CGCAAAAAATAGGCGAATCAAGAATCTTGGTTTTTTCCTAGATTTTTTTTCCGCGAATGGACAATTCTTGGCCAGAACCTGGCTTTTTGGCGAAGAATTGGCCAAACGGAGGAAAAAAATCAAGGAAAAAACCAAGATTCTTGATTTGGTGATTTTTGGAGGTCGTGAAAACTCATCAACTTCTCGCTAAAAAAAGGCTACCCGCGCCTCGATCTCATCATTAATTTAGTGGTGGAGAGTTACATTCTACGACCCAACGAACGCGGAACACACGACGAAAAAACGCAAAACGAAGCCGATTTCATGGCGAGCGCAACAACGTAGGAGGCTGGTACTAGCTGTTTTATAGAAGCACTCCACGCAGTCCACTCTACATTTTTACTACTATGAAACGCCTCAAACGTTATGTCTCGGAGCAGTCGAACCGCCACTGCTACGTTCCAAAACCGAATAAACAAGCGGAGCCAAAGTTGTACTAAAATTATACAAGAAAATGCTTTGAGCCAGAGCCGGCTAAGAAACAAACTAAAAGATCACGCACCTGTGCACAAACATCAGTTGTCTTCATCACTTGACTCCTCACTGTCACTACCATCCTCCACCATCTTGCTGTACTTCGCGGTGCTTTGAATGTACTGCTGTATCACCTGCCAGGATGCTTGCTCCTCAGCATCAGTGACATCCGGAAGGGGTTCGTTTTTGTATTCGCACATCTGTCCGCAGAGCTCCCTGCGGGCCCGCGCGATTGATTCCCGGTCCAACATCCTCCCCGTAGTTACCCTGGAAAAATTCACATCCTCCAAACTAGTCAAACCGCCACCACGAACCTTGCGGCGAAACCGGATCGGAATTTTTCCCGACCAGTTGCTGTTCTCCGGTCGGAAGATGATGTACAAATTTTCCAGCAGGGAGGAGTGCTTTTTTTCTGGCACTGCGTCAAACATGTTGTAGTTCTTCCAAGGGTCCTCGCGCTCGGTGCGCGACGATGCGGCTTTAGAAAAGGAGGCCCCCTTGACATCCTTGTTCTTCGCCGATTCCGCATTCCGCACAACAACATCGGCCCGGAGGTACTCTTTTGCCTGCCAGCGGTTTTTGTCGACGACGACATACAGCTGCTTGTCGTCCATCGTCCAGGAAAAATGCGCCGTGGGGTTTGAGTGCCATTTGAACATCTTCGTGAGCGTGGTCGGGGCGGGACGGGATGTCCAGTGGGCGACCGTTTTCACCGAAGGCTGCGCAAGCTGCACCGGGTATCGCTCGCACTCTCTTCCTGCGATGGTAAAAACATCCTTGAGCGGGCCGCATGCTAACAACCATCCCCGCTGCTTCTTTGTCCTGAAGCACAAGTAGGGAAACTCCGGGTCTGGGTTGCGGCCCGTCGGAACGCGCACGACGAGATCACCAGTCTTCACGTAGGTCATTATGTTGACCTTCGACCCGATGTGCCACTTCAACGTGGCGGGAACGTCGAAGAAGTTCTTCACAAGCTCCGGAACGACTGTAGCACCATGCTGACCAAGGGGACCACCGACACGGCCGGGCTGCTTCACCGCTGTGTTCTCGCTGTAGTCGGCCTGCGCATGCAGTGCGTGCTCGAGTGTTGGGTGGACGTACTCCCGGTCGTTCACCTTTTCCAAATCCACGAGCACCTGGTTCTCAACCACCATCTCCTCCTCCATCCCGAAAAGGTCATCTTCCTCCGCCTCGTTGCCACCCGGCGCCGCAAGTCCGCGCACCTGCCGCGCACGCTTAGCAGCCTGCTTCCCCTTTTCGTCTTTCGCGGTCGCAAATCTGTTGTCGCACAACTTCCGCACAAGTTCTCTGTTTTCCTTGTACTCGCTGAAGGACATGCTGAGCTCGTCGCCGATTTGTGCGCGAATCCCTGCGCGCGTGCACCCGAGATTTGGCGCGACCCGTTTGTTGTTGGTGGTAGTACTGTGTCGCGCTTCTGTGACCTGCGACGACGAAACCATGAGGGGCACCAAGGGGCCGACGATCTCCTGTAGCCGGGCCGACATCGCTCCGCCGTTTGCGACCTGTTCAAGATCGGTCTTGTGCGGGATCTGGATCCAATTGAGAAAACAATCGCAGTCATCTTTGGGCAGGAGGAGCAACAACTGTGCTGATTTTTTCGCCGTATCGTCCACCGTGTCCTGCAGCCCTCGCAACAAATTCGGATACGTCCAGAGCGTCTTCTCCCGCGTCGGCAGCCGGATGAAAACATTCAACAGCAACAGCATCCCCGTGGTATCTCCCGGCCTTGTCAGCATGTGGTTCTCGATGGCCCGGAGCAGCTCGGTCTTTGTTTTGGGTTTGTGGCAGTGGTGCGCCATCTCCGCCAGTCGGACATTGGTGTAGACCTGTTTCAAGTCGGCCTTCAGCCGGTTGCTCTGCGACGAGACGATGGTTAAAGCGGCGCGAGCAGATTCACACGTTGACCAAAACGCCGGGTCCGCTGCGGACTTTTTCGCCGCTTTAGCCGTTGCGCGGTTTTCTTCTTTTTTGTTTTTTGGTTCCAGGTTCCGCAGGAGCTGCTGTATCTGGGTGCGGTTTTTCAACAAATCCTCAACACAGTCCGAGAACGTCTGCCACCGGTGGGACTGATACTCCCGGATCGCCATGTGCTGCGGATCCCCGGTCTCCGGCCCCCAAAAGTGAATCGCTTTTTGCAATTTCCCGACCTCCCCAACAAACCCGTCCCGCATGGAGTTCAAAACCTGGAGATGCTCGCCGTCCAAAAGCGAGTACTGGTGGTGCAAGCATACGAGCTGGACCACGAATGTTTGGATCAGGAGGCCGCTTTTTTGCCCCCGCGCCTTTTGCTCCTTGCGTTTGACGTTCAGCGCCCTGCTGCACGTGCGCAAAACGTTCATCGCCTTGACGACATCGCTGCCGCAGTCTGTGCAGCTGATTATCACCAGCAAGGGGTCCGACGGGAAGTCATCCACCGTCGATCCCGGCATGGGGATCAGATCCGCGAGCAAGTGGTACAACTCGCATAGGTACGAAAGATAACCACGCGCAACGGAGCCGTGCTTCGTCGGTGGCGGCACAAATGTTTTCACAACCGGAACCCCGTCCACCATTCGCACCAACGTGACGTCGACCGCCAGAAGCTCGGCAGAGCGGAAATCGGTCGCGTCGGGAGCTATGCGGACCACAACGAGCGGTCGCAACAACTTCGGAACCTGATCAAGCTTCGCCTCCTTTTTCGCAAGGTGTTCTGCCAACTTCGAATCCGCCTCCAGACGCATCTCACCCAGGAATCGCCCGTTGAAAACAAAAGGCTGCCAGTACTTCTGCCCCTTCGGGTTAATGTCCGTGTCGAAGATGCAGTGAAGGTCGCGCTTGGTCCGCATGTCGTAACACTTCCCGGCCAGGACCTCACTCCGCTCTGCCATCTTCCGATACGTGTCGAGCAGCTGCTTCATGTAATCGTCCGCGCGCTGCTTCTCCGCCTTCGCTTCGTCGTGTGATTTGTTGTTTCCCAGGATGTTGAGTTTCTGCCGCTTCGCGGCTCCACCAGCTAAAGCCAACTCGCCACCACTCTCACCGCACCCCAACTCAAAAACCCTGCTTCCCGTCGGCGCTAGCATCTCCATGGTGCCGAGCACGTTGAACCTCGTCTTCTGCGTGACAATTTCGGAAAAGCCCCAAAGCTTCTGCAGTAGCGCGATCTTCTTTGTTGATGTTCCAGTACTTGTCCCGACCACGTACTGCAAGTACTCATTTCTTTCCTTCCTGGTTTCCAATTTTTCAAATTCGGTTTGGGAGTAGTGGGCCTCGAATTCAGCCCAGACGGAGCGACGCTGCGCCTGTCGAAGCCGGTTTGAGTTTCATTGATTAGTAGCTCTAGCTGGAAACGGAATTATGCAGACGAGATGGATGGGAACTAGTACTAGATGTAGAGACGCGAGCTGCATGACAAATTCAAAAAGCAGACTTGATTTTGAAAATCTAATGACGAATAGATCTAACTGTAACTGTAACCCTAAACCACAACCAGGCACCTCTCCCGTCCCATCTTCGTCATCCACTTTGCTGTTGGGGCCTCGCTTCGGCCGCTTGCGACCTGTGGAACCAAGGTCGCAGTTGGGAATCTTCAAGCCGTGCCGCTCCTCCATTTGGGACAGAACGAACGAGCGGATGGAGGAAACGCTGGCCCATCTCGCCGTTACCGCGCCGCCCGCGGTTTTTGCCCGGCGGTTGTATGTCCGCTGGAGACTTCTCTCGCACGGCGGAGCAGTTGTTCCCTCGCCCGTGGCGGCGATCTCCTCGAGCCTGGTAATGACCTCTACTACATCGCCCCACCCATCGATGGATTCCACCAGTTCGCGCGCCTCGCCATAATCGCTTAGCACCTGGACCGTTTTCGAAGATGCGCCAAAAACTCCTTCGTCGCTACTGGATCCGCCGGCGTTCTGGTTTTCGTCGAGGCCAACATCGACGTCGATGTCGTCGATGCCTGGTATAAAAAGATTCGCGACGTCGTCCATCTCTATGCCGGGAGGAAAGCGGCGGTATAGCACGATAGGACGGAAGACACAATGCGCACGCAGGTAAGAGGACACGACTACGCCATTTTTTTTTTTCGGTCTTCGTCTTTTAATATCGTGGTCGAAGTCGAAGCGATTGCATGTTTGTATTGCGTAAGAAATCAAAAGCAAGACCAAATATAAAAACAATAGGAAAAGTTGTTATGGGTTTCCACATAATCAAAGTCAGTTTTAATTTACAATAAAGGCAAGGCAGTGTCAATGTCAAATCTATCAATAATGAAGGGCGGCTCTCTTATTTTCGTTTATCGTTATCGCATCAGAATCAAAATGAAAAAAAAAAACTACAGGTGCGAGGCTCGGGTGCATTTCGTGACAGCAGGATGGGGAATACTACTTACGCAATCAGCTTTACATTCATTAGCGACAACTATGTGCGACGACAACAACTCCCAGACAGACACTAGCGACGACCATGATGCTCCAGCTCCTGTACGAAAATTGTAACGACTTGAACTCCAACCCCCCGAAAGAGAACAACCGAAGAAAACACGAGCCCCCCTTCATGATAACGAGGTCGATTTGCAGTCGAGACCGATGTGAGCTCTGCACGTGCACGAGCACTTCCCGAGGAAAAAACACAAGTGCGCCACATAGACCAACAACTACGCCACGACACACCTGTGGTCGCTGTCGGGCTACTACTGAAGATCAAGATTGTACGCACACAGCAGCAGCCGTGAATTGTCAGGGCGCGGTGGGATCACAATCACCAAAAAATGAAGACCTACGCACATGATACGACGGACTCGGGTAAACGTCGCGCTCGTGAACGAGATGAAAACTATTTTTGGTTCCATGAAACAAAGTCAAAGCGCAAGTGCTAGCGCACTTATCACTGCGCCACCTCAGATCTCAACCTCGTACGCCCTTCGCACCAGGGGAGAACGGAAGATCTTCCCGCACGGCCACAACCTGCTCTTCCAGTTCACCACATCCACAGCAGCGTCGCATTACAAACCTCCCCGACCGGTCGCGATACCTGATGTTGTTAGTAGTGGCTGTTGCTGGCGAAGGAGATGGAAACTCAAAAACTTATGATGAACATTTGAACTGTTGGCATTACGCATGAGATTTGAAAAAATTACGAACGTGAAGAGCAAGGCGCTCCAACTTGTTTCTTCAACATGCATGCTCATTCGGTGCTTTATGCAAACCATTTCCAGCAACAGACACTACCAACATCATCGGCATCTGTAATGCTAATTCCAATGCGGAGCAACAGCAATAAATCTTCCCTGAGCTGCCCGGCCATGATGTGATCCGCTCCCGGTTTCTCATTATCAACAGGCCGGCCATGTTCCTGGTCCACTTCCAACTTCTTCGGACTTTCCCTATAGGCGAATCCTTGTGGTTCTGTATTAAACCACAAGTTTTGGTCGTATCCGCTCGTGCATGGCAAAAAAGTGCCTGAGATCTTTCAATGTGGTTGCTGATCTTCGCGGGCCGAGCAGAATGATCGCGTTCAGAAATCCGAAAAGACCATCGTCTGCACTTCCGCGTCGCAGCTTCGTTGTTGTCGATTCCAGTCGTTGTCGGTCGGCCAAGCGGTATCGTCGCGTCGCCTCACACATCGGTTTCGAACAAAGCAAAAGCTACAAATCACGATTTTTCTTGGTTTTTTTGCTGTCCCGTTTTGCATTTTGTCCGTTCATATTTCAGTACCACGCAGGAACTGTCCAGGGCGTAGGAGAGCAGGTGGGACAGTTCCTCGTGGAGACAAGTGAAGAAGGTGAGTGGAGCGACTTCTGTGAGTAGACCGCTATCATTTGCTGTACTGTAGTCCTCTTCTCCGTTCTTGCCGTGATCTTTTTGCGCACCTGCTGTACTAGTACCGCCACCTTCATCCACCCTAGTAGAAGCGGCGGGGGCCCCGTGCTGGTGTAGCTGCCCGGCAGAATTACGTCCGCCAGATTGATGTTCCCGCAAGCACAGGCCGGCGACGATGTCCGAAACTTTTGCCACAACCCGCTTAGAAGTACCAGACGATGATCCACCAGCTGCACGAGAAAAGGCGCTGGAAACTGTACAGCGTCCCTCACATATCATCAGGTTCTTGAGTAAAACCGGCGTGACAAACAATTTCAGCAAAAAGCACAAATCTTCGCTGTCCATCGTGAACAGTTCCATTGCTTTTCTGTTCAGCACCACAGTCTCAATCAGCTCCAGACAAAGCAACCGGGGCCACCGGACGGAGCACAGCCAAAATCCCGGCTTGGTTTGGAGAAAGTCCTGGTTTATTTCCTGAAACTGGGAGGACGCGGATCGCTGCAGCAGATGGCCACTTCCGGTTGATGCTCCACTGGGGTTCGTAGAAGACGAGGACCCGCCCGTGATAAAATTCATTCCTGCGCCGAGAATGCTGGTCACTGGATTGAGCTTAGAAGCTGCTGCTGCTGCTGTAACCGCACTGGAAGTAGGTCCTTGTTGGCCAATGTTTATTCCCAAATTGAGATTAGACCCAGCTGCGCTGCCCCCACTTCCGACTGGTGTGCCGGGGATCGAAGATGAATCTCCAGTAGTGCTTTGTTCAAGAGCAGCGGCTCTCCTACACTCCGCTATCTCCTCATCGCTGCAATCCAGCATGACACACAAATCCTGCAGGAATAAATAAAGCAGTCGGACAGCGACGTCGGTGCTGTTCGTGGGTTGTCGTGGCTTCGTGTTGCGGAATTGCGAAGTTTGAATCGACGCGGAAGCGGAAGCCAGCATGTTGGACATCTTGTTCCGGGCTGTGGGATTGAAGGGGGGCTTGCTGTAGTTTCCAGAACCTGCATTGGCTTTACCTCCTGGTACAGACGAGGTAGGTCCTCGTCCTAGCAAGCCGAATTTCGGCAAAATCCCCGAGTCCAAATCCTGCAGCCATGGAGGTGGCGGGTGCGATATTACCGGCTTCTTGTGTCGGCCTTTTTTGCTTTTCTGGTGGCGAGAACCAGCTCCCGCCGACTCGTGATGGTTATCATTATCTGCAATACCTGGCGGGAGAGAAGAAGACTCCCCGGTGCTTCCGGAGATCGGTAGTTGCCTCCTCTGACCAGTAGAGGACGAAGTTGCACCCGCCCCCCCTCCGTCCGTTTCAGAGCAGGTGGACTTTTCGTTATCGCTGTGTTGTGCGGTGTATGCATTGCAAAAGTATCGTACTAGTATAAATCGCAATACAAATTTTTCCAGAAGGAAAAATGGAGCTTGTGATGCTGATTTCGCTAAGAAACAAGATTTGTCATGCATAATTTCAATTAGTACGAGTACGATACTTTTGCACAGGATACGGTGGTACCTCCGGATTCGCCCGTGGCACTAATTGGAATGTTGGTGCTGCTGGCATGAAGATTTATTTGCCGCGAAGAAGATGATCCACCAGCGTTTTGATGTTCCACCGCCTGACATGCCGTTTCTGTCAACTGCTCTGCCAGTTGCAACAGGCTCCCCCGGGCGACGCTCTGGACGACTGGGGAGGGAAGTTGAAGCAGGATGGAGAAAACCTACGTTGATAACAAGTTCAGAATTTTGGATGCAGCTGCTTGTCGCGCAAGCCTACGCTATGCGAGACATCACATGCACAGCATGCGGATCTACTGTGCATGCCAAATCACGGTCACTTCTCACTGAAACAGCCGAGGTAAAAAAATGTAGAGTACGTCACGCTGGCGCCATATCAAATGCAAAAATGTAAATGTCTGGGTCTGGAATGAAGCAACTTGCCATGCCAAATCTGAATCATGTAAAAATCTGTGTTGCATGATTACCAAAAGCTGTCCACTTTTCACCTAATCGAGAGACTGTTTCTCATGCAGGATAGGCATGATAGAACTCTCACAGAATCTGTCATGCTATGTCCTACATGCCAGACCTCATGGGTCATGGAAAACCTGCATGACAAGTCTAGCACTCTTCCGGACGCAGACATTTTTGCATTTGATACGCCAGCCTTACCTGCAAAAGCTGCTCCACCACAACTTCCCTGCTTGAGTGGTCACCAGGCGCCTGTAGTCCGCCCCCGGGGGAAATGGAACCAGCTCCAATTGTTCCTGGTGATCTGCCTCCCCTATCGCCAACGCCAACCGTTCCCACCATTGCCAACTCTCTCGACCCCGCGATGCGTTGCAAAATTTGCAAAATCTGCGTTGCAATGGACTCATTGCTGCCAAAAGCGATGGCCTGCTCGCGGAGGAGGTTAATGAGTGTGATCAACTGCTCCGCGTTGCTCGCGTCGTTTTGAATTTGTGTTGCGGTGACAATATGAGAAGCTGGATTTGTCATGCTGGAAGGAGATGTTGAAACAACTGCTGGTGATGAGACCAACCCAAAGTTTTCGACCACCCGTAGCGCGATCTTGAGACACACCGGTATCATTTTCACATTCCCGGTTTCGCAGCATTTTCGCAGGCACGTCACGTAAGTTTTCAGAGCGGTTGGTGCAGTAGAACTATCGCCCTTGGTGCTCGTCGTTGTGCTTCCAGTGTCGGTCGTGAGATTCCCTATCTGCTGACAGGCGGCAATGGCTTGCTTGACCTGCTGGCTTCGACCAAAAGTCGAGCATTCCGCAAGCAACGCTTGAAAATCCTTCTCCAGCTCGTGGGCGAAGATTTGCAGGGTTTTCTCGAAAGGAGGTGCTCCGGGCCCGCCAACCCTTCCTCGGGAGGAGGAAGACGAAGAGGAGTTCGTGGCTTTCATCCTTTAAATGATGTTTGTGCGTGTTTCTGTGATCTGGTAGAAAATTATGTTTCAGATGCACGACAGGACCACAGCTTCTTCGACGCAGTCACGACGACAACAGGTAGGTCCTCACACTCATCAAGTTGGTCATCTTCGCTTGGACATCTTCAACATCCTACACCGGTCCTTCCTTAACGAAGAAGACTACAAGCTGTTTGCAAGAACCTTTTTGGCATCTACTTCATCGTAGATGTTGTATTAGCGTTGTAGCGTCACGATCTAGGTAGGTGTACTCGATCGATTCGTGTGTAGTTATGATCACCAGTAGAAGATCGCCCGACCACGACCATAGGGTGGAACACATATGGAGAAGAAATTTAAGTACCCACAGGCGCAAAACTACCGGGCGTGAACACCAGCATACCTGCATGCTGCTGGAATAGTCAAGTCACTCTTCATGGTCTGTCGTATTCTGATTCATTTTTTCCAAAAAAGTGTAAAAGAGTTGTAAAACCGCCGAGAAGTTGTCTGCGCACCGTTGAATAAATCCACCCCTCACGACGACTGTGGAAACCAAATAGATACAAGGCATTCTGCTCCTCTTTGGGTCAGTCGTATTCATTTTGGTTTCTCAGAAGTAAATGAAGATGCTGTTAGCCTTAGCTGTAGAGATCATGTGAATCAATGATAGCTAGTGAAACTGTGTGAAAGCAATTGAAAATTTTCTGACACCGTTTTCTTCCTCTTCCCTTGGGGAAACTAGCATAGAAAGCCCTTTCCTGACAAGATGTTGAGATAACTTTGATGTTGTTCCTAAAAATAACGCGGAAGTGTTGACGGCACGACACCTCGCTCCGTTCATAAGGATGCATCTATGCAGACACGAATAACTCAAAAAAGTCAAAACTTTTCAGATTCATCAATGTTTTTAGTAATGTGCATCTTCTAGGGAATAATTCAAGCGGAAGCGTCGATAGTCGTGCTGCTGGTATCTGTTCATTGAAAAACTCTTGTGCTGTCTGCAGGAGAGAGTCGTGCATTTTTGCTTCATACACCAGGCATGCGCATGTTTGAAAAACGAAATTATTTTTGGCTCCGGTTTCAACTTCTAAATCGTGCGATGTCGTAAGTATGTCTCCCGCGCAAATAAAATCTTTGCAACGAGGTAGCTGCGAGGTTCCGGAATCGTCGGCGTCTTGACGATGAGACGACAATTTTTTATTTGGCGTTCATCGCAAAGTTTCTGAACCATAAAAATGATGTAAAACAACATGCTGACCCGATCGTCATGAAGATGACGGTGGGACGAACCACTTGCAGGAACCTACAAAGTAGCCACTGCCTCACTATGCTGGACATAAGGTGGAAGAAGATATTTCTGTAGTGGTTGTACAAAATTCATTTTTGTTGAGCGATGATAATTATAAATCCCCAAACGAAATTTTTCGTATTCAACATCGTTGCAGCTCCTGCAACTTTCAGTTTTACTTTGTCTTCTTAATCGTTATCGACATTCCGTGGTATCGACGCATCGATATTTTATTAGCTGCTGCAACTACAGCGCCTGCACCTGCTCGTACTGCAAGTTCAGTGATAATTGATTTATTTTTTGTATACACAACATATTTCCGCTTACCCTCCACAACCTCATCCTGCTTCCAGTCCTCTCTATCACTGCGAAAACGTGACTCCCTGGTTCGTGATCCGCAAATCGAGAAAAACCTTCTTCTCCGCAGCTGCTGCGCTAGCGAACTTCTCGTTTTCTGCTGCTGGACGACCCCCTTCTCCGCCACTGCAGCTCAAAGTGTCCTTCACCAACTCCATCTTCCGAAAGGTTGTAGCGCTGAAAGAGCCGGCGCTGGTTGTGGAGGCGCCAAACTGGTTCATTGTTGTAGAAGGGAAAACATGTTGGCCAACACTTCCCTCAACTTTCCTCAACTGCAATCTGGTGTGCACCCGGCTGGCCACCTGCTGTCCGCCGACCGAGTCGAGGGTGACGTTGGTGTCGTGCTGGTTGAAGCTTGACATTGTGGAAGCAGCAACTGAAGAAGTTGTTGCACCAGCAGTGTAAGAAGTATTGCTAGAAGAAGAAAACTTGTTGCGCACCTGATTTGACAAAACCACCGTTAATTTTCCCTCGTCCGCCAGTTTCTGCAGCAGCGAAAACACTTGCTGTACGTTTTGCTTCTGTTTGGAAACCAAATCCATGAAGTTTTCCAAGATCAGAAGCTGGTGCGGCTGGTGGACCTGTGATTTTTTTACGTGTTTGATCTTGGCATCGAGAACAAAGTCGCCGCATGTTCTTGTTCTTGATTTGATATGCATCGAGAACAAATTTTTATTTTTCGCAGATATAGTACCTCCTTCCCAGCATGACCCACTTCCACCGGCTTGACAACCTGCAACAACGATTGCAGGATTGTGACCACATTCCCTGCGCCAGCAGCTCCTGAGCCGGTCGCGTTATTCGCGTCCTTTACTTCCGTATAGTTGATGTATTTCAGCAGGTGATTTCCGGACAAACTCACCCGTTTCAAAAACGCTCCGTTTGAAGAACTGGACTCCAAGACGAACACCTGGCTCAAATTGTTGTTGTTCATCATACCGTTGGTTTGGTGCTGTGCCGCTGGACCGCTTGTTGAAGCTGCACTTCCGACGTTCTTCTCAATTATCGGAGCAGGACTACTGCTGCCATTCACACCGAGAACCTGCTTTCTCGGCGCCGGACTGGGCATCCCCGGCGGCGACAGGCGGACTGCGACGACGAAGGAAACCGCGAGCTGCGCGAGGAAAGAGGTCTTCCCCGAACCGGATTCCCCGAAAACCTCCACGATCTGTCCGGGTTTGAAAAAGCCATTGGTCAGGAGTTGGTCGTTAAAGATGGTGGAAGCAGTGACAACTGTACTTGCGGAGGCAGGAGCAGCAACGTGACCGCAGCTAGAAGTGGTTTTACTTTTGGTATGCTCGTCGTCCTGCAGTTCTAATTCGTCCGACGCCTGGCTCCACTGCTTCTGCTTCAGCGCTGCATCGGTTTTGCTCTCGACGACAACTGTCAAAACCGGTTGATGGGCGGTTTCTGCTGCTAGATCCTGCTCTCCTTTCATCTCATTGTGTGCAACAGCAACTAAAACAGAAGAAGAAGCAGAGCTGGTATCTTTGTTCGCCACAGCATCAGCACTTTTCTTGCTCAGCACCGGCGACGAGACTGGTTTGAAGGGAGTAGTTTTCACATCGGGTTGTTTTCCCGAGGCGGTGATGAAAGTCGGGTTGGAAATGGGGGAAGTTTTTTTCGGATTCTGCAACAGCGCGCTGGACAATACATCTTCGGAGTGTAGTACTGGTAAGGACTCATCGTTTGTTTGATCCAGTTGTTCCCCAACAAACTTCTGCTTTTTCGCCGGTGGTTTGATCGATTCCGCCGGGGAGACGACGTTGGATTTGTTGATTCCATCCTCAATGCTGCAACTGCTCTGCGACAACTTCTCCACGTCCATTTTATCACTGGCCGGTGGGGATTGCGACAGCATTCCCTTCTTCTCAAAATTCAGCGGTTCGATGCTGTTCAACAGATCGCTCTTCAAAGTAGACGAACCGGACGAGGGTTTTTTGTTAAGGAGGCCGGACAAAGCGTTCTCCTTAGCAGAGTCAAGATCCGTTCTTACTCCGACGTCCGTGCCCTCGGGAAACAGCTTCGCCCCACCTAACATCGAATCCGGCGCCGCCAAACCGGTGGAATTCGCGTAGTTGGAGAGCATCGTCGCGGAGGTGTTCGGCGTGGAGGTGGGCATTTTCGTGTTTTTCATGGCACTTCTGCCTGCGTTGATGTTGAAACCAGCATGAGAAACTTCTTGTTCATCTTCCTCACCTTCGACTTCCATCATGTTCTTTACAAATAATTTGGACGACATCGGGCTGACATTGTCGTTGTGACTCGTGGTCTCCATCGGATCCTCGTTGCTGCCCGCCACACTGCTGCTCTTCACACTTCCCCCGGCCGACAGCTTCGACGCCAGAATGCTCCCCAGCCGGGAGACGGACGGTTGGTGCCCGAGTTTGATCCGCACCCGCTCTTTATGAATTGCAAAAGTATCCTCGTAGTCGCACTTGTTGTATGAATCGCATAAGAAATTTGCTCAACGTGACAAGTGGAATTTGTCATGCTGAATCACCTAAGAAACCAGATTTGTCATGCAAGTCTGGCACTTATACGAGTGCGATAGTACTTTTGCGATGCATACTCCTCCTCATCAGACAGCTCTTCCAACGCTTCCTCGAGCACATCGTCGGTTATTTCCTTCTCCTATCCTGAGTAAAAACGTACCCACACCATAGTCAAGATGGGGAATCGGCTAGACAAATCCACAAGTTTTGGCTGTTTTGCATGACAAATTTGGATTCGTAGTGTAGTGCTGTTTGAGCTAGCTCAGCAGCATCACAGATCTAGCATACCATGCTGATTGGAGCATGACAAATTGCAAAAAACGACTAGAAAATGCTTCTCATGGGGCTCCGCATGAGAAACATTTTCAGCATGCAGATTTGCATTACAACTCTGGTGTGGGTACGTTTTTACTGAGGATATCTCCAGAACGTTGTTCTCGACAAAAAACTCCGGCTTCAAGGAGTTCCGGATCACCGCGGCGGTGTACGGGGATTTCTGGTTGTTCTCGGATTTGTATGAGAGTGCAAGGCTCCCCCTCCCCCTCATTTGTATAGCATTGTGCACGGCAATACACACACCCACACACGTGGAGCCCATGCATGACAAATTTCGGGGGCCCAAACAGTACTACAGTGAGTTGTACTGTTAGTTTGGGCTTCCGAAATTTGTCATGCAAGCAATGCCACAAGGCACCGACCGGATTTGGTATTTTGCATGACAAATGAGGGGGAGGGGGAGTTGTGCACTGTCGTAATTTGCTCGAGAAAAGCGACGCGTGGGAGGAGGGAGAAAACTGGGGGTCTAACTCATCAAGCTCGGACAGGTATGCATTGCAAAAGTATCGTACTCGTACTAATTATCGCAGTAATGCATCACAAATGTCTCATCTCTCAAGTCAGAAGATCCCCATTACAAATTTTATTTCTCATGCTGAGAAAATTTGTCATGCGCTTTCTACTCGTACGATACTTTTGCATTTCGTAACAGCTTGAGTTCGCCAATGTTGGGGAAGGATGTTAGGTCGATCTGGTCGCGTTGTTCTGAAGAGGACGTAGTAGTTTTGAAGATCAATGTAGCATCGTTGTTTCTGTCCTTCACACCGACGTCCAACATGTTCTGGTCGGGCAATTTGGAGAGGTGCTCGGCGTCGAAAGCGTTGAAGTGGTGGTATCCCAGAGAAAAAAAAGCTGGCAGGGCATATTTGTAATGCAAAAACACATAGATACACGCTAAAATTTGTCATGGGTGGCCCCATAGCATGCTACTTCGGATTTGCAGTGCAGTTTTTTTTTGTGTATTGATTTTTGCATGACAAATATGCCCTGCCAGTTTTTTTCTGTGTGATAGGTGGTTCGGGTTCGCGGCGGTTGCGGACATGTCGGTCTTCATCTTCTGATGTGCTGCTTTAATATTCGGCTGAAGAAGAAGCTGTTGCTCCACCTCCTCCTCGCGCTGCAACACCACGCCAGCACCGTGCCCTTGCCCTTGTTGGGCCGCGTCCTCATCTCCACCTTCGATCACCATCTGCGTCCCCACGGTCCGGCGCGGGATGACAGAAATCGGAGTTTTGTCCTTCAAGACATTCCCCGCGCCGCCGCCGCCGGCGAGTTCGCAATCTAAGGCGTCGGCCATGGTGATAGATTTATTGGTGTGCGGCTGGTGGATCGCGGAGTCGGAGTGTAGCAAGCTTGCTGCGTCGAGGAAACGAAGGAACACTGACTAGGTTTAAGTAGTGGAGGGCTTGAAGGAAGGTTCCTAACTCTACTAGGTTGAACAGGAATGCATGCACAAGAAAAAAAAGAAAACAGGTCATCGTACGCACATTTTTGAAGCAGGTACCACTTTTAGTTTTTTCTCTCACTACTTGTACTTTTAAAGGTCGCTCAGGAAGACGTTGCTCGTGTTTTTTGGTGAGACCAGCCTTCTGCAGTACAACCACAATGAAGAACACGGAAGATGATTCCTTTCCGAAAGTGCTATAATTTTCATACTACCTGAAGCTGCCTCGTCTCTACTCGTACAGAGTATGGCAAGAGAGTGTACCTCCATACAAAATTTAGCAATCGGGGGCGATTGCAAAAATGTACATTCTTCTGTCGCGGCAGCCTGAATTCACAAAATTTGTCTTCGTTCTTGCAGATCAATCTGCTCGTTGCTTCCATCGCAACTGTAGTATCAAAAAAGCTTTCTTGTTCTTCTTGTTGCTATAGGCTTTTGTAAACGACAATTGGGTTAAATTTCTTGATATCTTACCGTGACGCGGATTGTAATGTTAAATTCAAAAGGTGTGTAGTCCGAGTTCTCTGCGATCAATCTTTATAATTTTTCGCTATTTAATTGTACTAAATCGACATAAAAGCTGTAGTTCGTTGAGTTGCAGGTGCCCAAGCACAGTGCCCATGCAAGGCGTATTCTCGTGTAGTAGGGAGTAAAAAATACAGGCAGATTGTAGTAGAGAAGACATTTTTGCGCCGTTCCTCTTCCAGCACCGCTCTTCTACGGGAACTGGTCAACAAAGTGACCCGCCCCCTGGAGAAGTCCTCTACTACTGCTCGGGCAGTCCCGCCACGACAACTACGTGCGACGTTGTAGTTCTCCCCTACTTCTTTCCCTTTTTGCCCTTCTTTCCCTTTCTCGCCGCTTTTCGCTCTTCGTACTCGGTCATGAGGTCTTCCAACAAATCCTCGAGCTGTTTCTCCTCCTCCTGTGACTGCACATTCCACTTTACCAACCGCTCCCGCAGCCTGGCTAACCTCCTCTCCTGGACAGCCTCCATCTCCAGACGCATGGCTTCGACCTGAGGGAAGATGAGAAATTTGCATTGCATAAACCGCTGGTGAAACAAAAAACTGTCATGCAAGAGCAAGAAAGCACAATAAGATTAAGAATAAATCGAGAATCGTCATCTTCTCATCTTCTAGTGCCACTCCGTACCTGCATCATGAACTGCCTGCTCTGGAACTCCTCGGCATACATGTGGAACTTCTCTCGCCTTTCCTGCCGTCTCAAAGCCGAGGCTCGTTCCCTATTTTTCTCCATTTTTGCCTCGATTTTTTGCTGCGTGAACGGTGGTATGTCGTTGTGGGAGAGGTCTAACTGGTATGCACAGAAAAAAACCCATCAACATCCAATTTGTCATGCAAAAGAACATCCATAACCATAAAGTTCTGTGTTTGTCATGCAAAAAATGGATGTGGATGGGTTTTTTTCTGTGGATAACTGGGTTAACACGTTGTTGAAGTCCAGGGCGTCGTCTGTTGAGATCATTGATTCGTCGATTTATGTCGGCGATTTTGATTTGAAACAAATGATTAGTGGATAGCATATTTTTGATTTGGATTACGTAAAACACCAATAAATCAGCATGTGATGTGAAAATCAAAATCTCGACCTCCAGTAAAAAAAGATTATACTAAACGCATCCGCCGCGGCAGGTCCCAGGCCGTTTTTCGCTAGAGCTAAGATCTGTACGTCCTGGTTTTTCCTCAATCCCTTAGCCAATTCCACTATTCCGCTGCTGTCCTGCCCACCGACTACTAGATTGTTGGCTTCGAGGTTGAGGCAGCTGTTATGGAAATTTTCAAAACCGTTCAGATTCAGATAATTATCGAGAGTTCATCGCATGTTGACAATGAGAAAAAATGCCAACCACTCGTTCGCGCATGATAAAAAAGAAGTCAATTATACAAGACGCGCTCGTTCTTCGTGAGTGCCTCCCCGAAGGCAGCTGCTGCTTTCACGCCTAAATTGTTCCCTTCCAGATCCATTTTTCGTAGCGAGTCGTTCTTGTGTAGCATCTTTGCAAGCGTGACGCCGTCTGTGATAGTTAGGTCGGTAAAGTTCAATTGTTGTTGTCCCTTTTTTAAGTTCCCTGCCATGATGATCTTCAGTGTTCACGTTTTGTCAGCAGCAGCACCGCCAACTTCAACACTCATCATTCATGCATAGAGAGCATCACTATCACAGCACCAGAAAAATCCATCAAAAATTATACCTTCGTCGTTTAGTCCTTTCCTCGACAAATCTATTGAAACACAACTTGTGTTCTTCTCCAAGGCTTGTGCTAGCAATCGCAATCGGACGCTCCCCAGCTCGATACCTTGATGATTTTTGTCGGTTTTGGTTTGATGCAGGTTTCACGCATAATAAAAGAAACAAACTCAACTTTAGTACAACTGTACCCAGGGCTCATCGAGGGGGAAATCTAAATATTACATTGCAAGTCACACGGAATTATATCGCGTCTCAGCTAATTCTAAGTTTACCTGCACAGCTGACATTTTCCACACTTGTATTCGCCACTAAGTGCCCCATTAGCTGATCCAGACCACCCTCCATTTTTGCCCGCTGCTCCTCTTCTTCCCTCTTTCTCCTCTCCTCTTCCTTCCGTCTTCTCTCCTGTTCTGCCTTGAGTTTTTTCGCCTCCTGCTCCTTGAGCCGCCTCTGTGCCTCCTCCTGCTCTTTGCGTTTTTTCTCATCCCCTATGCATTGCAAATGTGTCTGGGTTGGAAGGATGCTGCAAGGTCTGTCATGCTTGTCTGGCATGACTGAAGAGTTTGTGATGCGTGTCCACGAAGAGACCCTTTTACTCGTCACCACGCAAAAACGCAGTTTGTCATGCGGAAAGCGCAACACTAATCAGCGCAGATATTTCTCAACATGCTTGGCTGTGCATTACAGAGCATCAGCATTCACTATTCGTCCCAACCCAACATTACAAGTTTCCAGACCCTCCAGACATGTTTGCAGTTGATATCCTCGGCCTCTTGTCTTCTTCGCTTGATCAAATCTATCTTTTTCTGCTTCAAGTCCGCGGAGCGTTGCGTGTTCGGGAGCGCAGAAGTTGCAGGCTTGAAGACGAGATCTGAAAGAGGATTTTAATGTAGTTTAATATCTGCATTGCATCAACTGAAAACCAAAGCGTGTCAATTACTGCGCATCAGTATAAATATGCATCATGACAAGAAGTTCAAGCATGTTGCAATCAGTACTTCCTTTCACTGTATCATCTTCTCCAAATTGCATCAACTGGTCCTCTATCGACTGCAAAAATATCGTACTAGAAGTCGGAATTGCAAATATTAACGTGCGTCACTGTGACTTCCATTTGCTTCCCAATGTAAACCAGCATTACAAGAAACTCCACAATTCAAGCTGAGCGAGCAATTTGTACATGCAATTACCACTAGTACGATTCTTTTGCACTGGATAGCCTCCGTCATCGAGGCTATGAGAGCATTTGTCTCAGCCTCGATTTGTGCTTGCGTCGCCATCTTCGCTGTGTGTTGTGGGGTAGTAGACCACGTGGGGATATTACTACAACACAGTAGAGCAAGCGGGTGCTTGTACTTGCTTTATTCTCCTCGCTGTCCTTCTACACAACGGAGATGTTGTTCTTCTTTCCGCTGGCTTACCTTCGACCTGCTACGTACTCGTCTGCAACGACGCGGCTTGCTACTTAAAAATTCTTCAGCAAGTCCGCGAAGTAGTAGTGCACTTCTTTGTTCCGCTACTTACAAGAATTATCGTGAAAATCTGTTTCTTGATGCGACTACTTGTAACAACGGCCACGGCGACTTCGACAGATTTAGGAGAAATCGACGTGCCATCGGTGCTGGTTGTTCGAACGCCGGGTCTTCGTGGTTGTTTTTCCTACTTCTCCTTTCACGTGGAACAACCTGGCCGTGCTTGTTCTCGTTTTAATCTACTCGGACCTCCCAGTCCCAGTGCTCGACGCCTCTGCACTCGGTCTCGGTGGAGGTTACTGCAAGAAACTACCGCGGTGACGGATTTCTACAGTGTAGTACTGGAAACGTCGCAGCGCCGGTCGGTGGATCTTAAGAAATCAATGGATGTCTACAGCCAGCACTATGGCTGCAAGAACTGGGCGTCTCTGTCGTCGTGTAGTTGTGACTGCCGTAATGTGCTGGTAGGACGAAGTAGGAGTGGTTCGCGGGAATGATAGAAGCAGACGACAAGAACGTGCGCCAGAATCTCGAAGAGACCAGAGCCCAGCGGAGATGATGCTGCAAATTGCAAGTCTGCTGCTCCGCGACGTCAAGGGTGCGCCACACACCTTTGTCTCTCGCTGTTGTTTTTCGGTGGTCCTACAGGTCGATAAATTACCGCCCGGTTAGAAGTTTTGTCGTCTTTTCACGAGCCGAATGCAGGAGTCCTGCGCCTCTGAAGACGCTCGATGTTGAAGGAAGTAAGAGCGGTAGCCGTAGATCTTTACACCGCGTACTAGGACCTCCTGTGGTGATGTTTTTCTGTCGGTGGTTGAGCAGGCGGTCCACTCCACCAGTCGATTTCTGCGTGGCGATGAGACGAAGTAGGCGGACTTATTTGCGAGACTGGCGCAGCTCGTTGTCGTGTACGCCGTGTACAGAGTGTGCCTACAAGAGCGTCGTACCTGCAAGCGAGTCGGTTTCTCGCTTCGGCTTACGCCGGCATTTTTGTTTCAATCTTTTTGTTGCGTCTCCTGCTATATAGTGGCTATGTATTCTTCTAGTTAGAGTTACTGTTGTAGTTGTACTCGTTGCGCACTTATCATTTTTGTTGTGAGTTGATATGTGGCGACTCACCATTTAGAGCTTTCGTCAAAAATGTTTCGAAAAAGCCATGCTCAACAACTCGAGAAATTCGTTGCGCATGTGCATGGTCCTCCACCACGACAACAACTCTCAATGTTTTGCGTAAGCCACTCCTTTCCTGCCGATTCCGCCTCTCCAACCATACTTCACCCCTAAAAATTTCACCTCGGCCGCAGCTTCTGCAAGTCGCAAGAACGTCGAGAGTACCTCTATCAGTCAATACGATACAACACTTGCGAGCGCGATGAATCATAATTCAAGCAGCGGTCTTGCTCTCACTCATCTTCTGCTCTTCCTTTACGTCTTTTTCCAGGGCGATTGTTGTACGTCGATCCCGAGAAAAGCACGCACGATAATTGCGAGCTGCAACTTCAACGAGCTGACTTATGCGCCAGTACCCCTAACAAAAGTCCGCGGCTCCAGGATAGCAACATAGGGACTACTCTTACATCCGCCTCGGTCGTATTTCTTTTTCAAGTTCAGGTACAAGGGTGTTCGATCGATTTTTGCAAAAAGTGGTGCTTTCTGCGTAGTAACAAGCGTATTCAAAAACAAGCACGAGCTGCGGAGTTCTTGCAGAGCACGATGAGTGGGAAGGAATACAGTGTGACTTTTTATGTAATATTCTGGGACTTTGAGTTTGACTTTGAATATATCTTCGAGTTGTTTGAGTTTGATCACATGATCACGTATAGTAACTGCTAGCTAATCTAGTGTCTGATTGTTTTTGTTTTCGAGACGTCTTTTCACGACAACCACCCTTATCTCAGCAGCGCTCCCGAAACCGGTACAAAATCGTAGTAGATGATGCACTATCCTGTGCAAAAGTATCGTACTCGTAGCAATCGCAATTATGCATCCCAAATCTTTATTTTCCTAAGGTAAATCCGCAATACAAATTTAATTTCTCATGCTGAGGAAACTTGTATATGCTTATGCATTTATACGAGTACGAGTACGACAGTTTTGCAATTCATATGCACTCACCCCCCGTTACGCCGCATTCCTCGAGACTTGCGTCTGCCGAGACGATTTCTGGTTTTTGTGTCATGTTGGGGATTTTGCATCACAAGAACCATTTTTACCAATACCATTGCAAAATGGTTTTCATGCATAAAAAGCAACAAGGGAGGGACCGAGGCACAACATATACCACTGTACTACCTTCTGGATGAAATCGATTCACACAAATCGACAGCTTGTCGATTGACCCACCGTGTCTGTGGATAATTAAGTCCTCGATGTAACTTATTTTCGTTGTTGGCTTCACCTTTATTGTAAACTCCAGCAGCGTGCAAACTGGGGCGGCCTGATAGGATGTGTTTTTCCACCGTGATATGATCGTCAAGAAGAGGCAGAAGCAGATCGGGGTTATTTCCCAAATCAATTCAGGGATAGCATGACAACTACGAGTTTGCTCTGCATAGAGGAGAAACAAATTAGTACGCATGAGAGGTGGATCAAACACAACAACAAATACGAGTTTTATCGTTGCTTGGACTTCCCGGTTGTCTATTATGGGTGTGTCAGGATTGAGATCGGCAGACTGTTGAAATAGTTTGTCATGCATAAAACCGATACCAGTTAGTAGGAGGCCCAGTTATCAAGCGGCGCATGACAAATTTTCCGAGCACCGGAATCCAATTTGTCATGCTGTTTGGGCACAGAAGACTGCTTTTGTCATGCTACTTTAGCAGCTCTAGTTCAAGCCCTACACAGGCTCACAATCGGCCTCACTTGCCATTCCGGCAAGACAGGCACTTCATCCCTGGCATTTTATGCATGACAAATCATTTCAACTTTGTCGATGTCAAACCTGACGCTTCCATATCTATTCTTGATGGCGTTATTACTGGGTGGTCGTACTTGGCAGCCTCCTCTACCTTCTCCTTTGCCTTCTTCGATTTTTTACCCATCTTGCAGCTTGTGGTGTTTTTTGCTGTCTACTTACTTCTAGCGTAGTAAGTTGTGCCAGACTTCGTGTTGTAGTGGTGGCCCCTAAGAAAAGAGTGGAGAAACAGTATCGAACGCATTATCCCACGACTCCGACTACGACCTTTTCTATATTAATGTGCGAGGCGACAATAACGATTTTGTCGACGAAAAATCTGAAACTTAAACGAATTTCTCTTCCATCTCATCTCGCACGACGGACCATCATGCTACCTCTCGACGCACTCAATCTCGTCGCAAATCTCGCGTACCTTCTAGCGCTCTCCGGTAGTTGTGATTCGAATCGCGGTGATGCCGATGAATATGGTCACATCAATGTTGCGACGAGTGCGTGTTACCGCTACCTTTGATATTCTGCGACTACAAATTAGCACCGGGTGGAGCAACGAAGCGACGAGAGCATCAACAAACACACCAAGGGTAGTAGACCAGCACGACTGCCTCGCGGAAGCCGCGGCATTGCCCTTGCGTGTCGTCGCATTTCAAATAGTACAGTTTGGACATTTATTCCAGTTTATTATTTTGCTCAGTAAAGGTCATTTGCTCTGTAAAAGTTCTAACCCGTAGTTGGAAGAGTAGTTCGTTGAGTGAAATTCTGTTACTCTGAAGTCGTCTGCTAAATTGCTAAATCTTTCCTGCTATTAAACCTGGTTTGTTACTCGAAATATTTCCTGCTACTCTGCTGCTGGTGCTGCAGCTAAAACGTTGTCTGATTTACTTTCCAAAAGTTGTTGTTCCCTCGTCTGCTAGAAGACGAGTCTGCTATAAGCTGTTTCTGATACTGTTAATCTAAGATATCTGTGAGGTGACTGATTCGGGTAATAAAGTTGTCTGTCACATAGGAGAAGTGTCTGATTTCTCTCTCTCGATAAAGAATCTGATACTGGTTAAGAACAAAACTGCTGATAAGTCTGTAAAGTGTAAGCTATTCTGAAAATAAGGTAATCTGTGCTCTCACGCGGCGAATGTGTAGTAAACTGGTTTCTGGCATGATGTCTGGTGACCACGCCATTCTGATTCTATCCACAAACCACAAAACGTTTTTCTAGTTATAACTGTGTCACATAATTCAACACGCTAAGATTAAAGTTTAGAATTGTTGTTTTTGTTTCTCTGCCTGTGCATCGGACGATGTGTCTCTGTCTGAAGATTTTTTCGGCGTCTAAATCTGATTAATCACGCATACTGTTCTGTCTGTTAGCTTATTCCTGCTCTGTGCAACTGTGTAAATCAAAGTTCCAGCAAACTCGTCTTGCATTCCATATAGCTGTCTGATTCTGTATTCTGGCCACTAATGCCTCGTCTCATGTCCAGCTTCATTTGCAGGTGGTGCACCTGCCAGTACTGTAGTTTTTACATAATTTACATTGCATTTTTTAAAATGAAGAACTCACCGTCGTTATCATGCTCTCGCCACCTAATTATGAAGTGCAAAAATGTCTGGGTCTGGAAGAATGCAAGGTTTGTCATGCACATTTTGCATGACCCGTGATCTCTGTGGTGTATGCCCCAGCATCACAAATTTTTTGCAGGCATCTTGATGCCTATCCCGCATGAGAAATGCTCTCTACGCGGAGCTAAAACTGGACGCCTCTTGCTGCTCATGCAATACGGATTTTTTTAGATTCCAAAAATAGCATCACAAGTTGCAATCTTCCAGACCCAGACACTTTTGCAATCCATACTAATCCAGCTGACTCAAGTCATTCATCTTCTCCTGCGCCTCCGCCGGCACCTTCCAGATGAAGATCGCGCCCTCCGAGCCGACCGAGACGAGGCACGTGTTGTCCGGCGCGAGCGCAACCCCGTTGATGGAGCCGGAATGCCCGAGACCGATCCCGCACGGCAGGCCGAGGTCGTAGTCCCAGAGTTTCACCATGCGGTCCTGACTACCCGCGGCGAAGTGCGAACCCGAGGAAGATATCAAATGCAAATGTGTCATCTGGGCCTGGAAAGATTCCGAGATTTGTCATGCAGTTTTTCCAATCTGCGCCAAGTCTGGAAAGCAGGGCCTAGCATGATCACAGGTTCTGCAGCCCCTTGGTGATGCCCATTCTGCATGAGATACATGCCCTCTCGGCATGGCGAGAAGTGGGGACCTTTTGCAAGAAGTCATGCAACACAGATTTTTGTATGATCCGCAACACGCGTCACAAGTTCGCATCCTTCCAGACCCAGACACTTCTGCAGTTGATAGAAGACATGGAGAGAGTGGCCAGCTCGCCCTCGATCGAGCCCTCCAGGACCCGGATGGCCTGCCCGTCAAAGGTGTCCCAGTACGTGATTTTCCTGTTATTTTCACGACATTTACGTTCGTTTACCGAAAGACGAAGTCATGCTGCATGAGACAACATAATGCCCATTTGTCATGCTACCTAAATCACTATCTAGTAGAATAACAGCCACAATATTTCAATCCATACCTGTCCGTTCCGGTGGTCAAGATCTGACTCTCGTCTGGGTGGTAGGCCATAGCCTTAAACTGCGTTGACTCGAACAGGCAGAGGGATCGCGTCTTGGAATCCAGGTCCCACAGAATGCAGCTACCGTCCGATGAAGAGGTGAAGGCCTGATAGTTTCGATTATAAACAGCTTAGTACACAGGAGCCGCGCACCATCAACACCATGTTTGTCATGCAATACACCATCAAAGTAAACAGCTCGAGCGCCGCCGCACTCGCGACGTCGCGTGAGAAGATGTTGATGGAAAAAAAGCGAAGTTGAAGAGAAGTCTACTTTTGTTTCATCACTTGCAGCATGCAATCTCACACGTCGTCCCTAGAAATTTAAATGGAATTTCGATATAGGTACCTTCTTGTCATCCTTTGTGAGGTATGGATTGTAAAAGTGTCTGGGTCTGGAAGGTTGGAACTTGTAATGCTAGCTTTCCATACCTAGAAAATCTGTATTGCATAACCAACAAAAGTCGCAGCCTCTTTTGTCATGCAAAAACGCAGCTTCTCATGCGGATCGCCTATGAGAAAGCGTTTTGGGAAGTTGTCGTGCCGAACTGCATTCGGAAGTGTTTTCATCATGCACATTTTGGCATCACAAGTTTCCAGACCCAGATATTTTTGCATTTGATATGAGGCAGATGCTCCACACTCTCCCTCTGTGCTCCTTCAGGGATGCTTCCATGGACTGGCTCTGCCCGCCTAACCTCCATACTCTGACTTCGCCCTCCATTCCGCCCGTGACTAGTCTTGTTCCCGTGCACGTGGTAGCGATAGCCGTGCACTGAAGGTTGTTGTTGATTTCGTTTTCCTATTCGAAGAAAGCGTGCACGACAAAAATTATAATCTACCTCATCTCTCATGCTGATCCCATGTTGTCACGCATCACAAGTTCCTGAAGTTGTTCGAAATTAAAGCAACAAGCAATAGCAAAGAGCGTCAAATAAATAAAAACTGTACCCCGTTCCTGTGTGCGTCGTTGATAACGTACTGCAATCGGCCACTTTGCGGCAAGAACGACCTGACTTTGCCGTCGCTCCACCCTGTGAGGATGGAGGACCCGTCGTAACTAAAGTCCAACGCGTGGCACTCGACGTTCGGCACCTGGATGCGCAGAAGCTCTTGCCTCTGCAATATCAAAAGGAAAAATTCCCCCTCCCCATATCGAGGACGAAACTTGTGATGCTGTATATGAGTACACAGGTCGACTTGTATTGCTAGAAGGCCGAGAGCCGCAGCTGTGGCCTCGTTTGCAGGCAATTGCCATGCTGTCTCCTAATTCCAGCCGCCTCCTGTAATGCTGAAGACGCAAGGCCTTCCCACGCCGCCAAGCACTACAGTGTCTACAACATCCTTTCCCTTCTAGCATGACAAAGCTGATTTGTGGCCACAGATCCGCATCACAGATTTCCGTTGGACGAGGGGAGATTTTTCTTCTTGATATGCAAGGCGTCCCACACTCGGATGTCGCTGCAGGAGGACGTCTATGCATTGCAAAAGTATCGCACAACTCGTAGTAATCCCAGACATGCATGACAAAGCTGGTTTCCTATACTGATTTAGCATTTACAAATTGCACTTTTTATGTCGCGGAAATTTATCATGCGTTTAATTACTACTTTTGAGATACTTTTGCAATGCATAAGGTCACGAAGACTCGGGAAAACCCCCTTGGGAACTTGACCGCGTTAATGCGCTCGAAGTGGCAGGAGTTTCGGAGCTCGGCCTTAAAAGTATCCAGGTTCACCCAGTACATGTTCGCCTTGTCCGTACCGACGAACCTGAGAAAGTATTTTCATGGTCGTTGAGGGCTTTTGATGAAAATTTCCAATGACAAAATTTGTAATGCTGATGTACCTTACGAATACGAAAAAGGTTCTACTTAATGCATGATTGCAATACGAGTACGATACTTTTGCACAGGATACGAGTAAGTTAGTACATGTGTGTGTTGTCGGCCGTTTTTGCGATAGAGGTAACACCACCCATCAGTGGTTCCTTGGTCATTGCTCTCACAGAAAGGTCTGCTGCGCTGAATTTTACCTGGCAAGAAATCATGTGACAACTTTCAACTTTGATGGACATGATCCTTGCTGTTGATCGCATTTTTCGTGGTGTCGATCATGCAGCACAAACTCACGTCTTCAGACCCACAAGCGGCACCATGGCCGCGAAATTCATCTGTACCAACAGCCCCGCCCCTGTTCCGCAGATGATGTCTCCGTTGTCCAGGATTAGTGTGGCGGTGATTCCCAATGAGAAGTTCTTCTTGTTCCCCGCAGACCGCTTGTAGAGGCATCGGCCGAGCTGGATCTGCAGCAGGTCACCGGTTTTCGTGCCGCAGTAAGCAAACTCATCCGCTTATGCATTGCAAATATGTCTGGGTCTGGAAACCTGTGATGCTGAATTGAGCACGAGTGAAGCGCTTGCAATGGCAGCCAAGCATGACAAGTTTTTGAAACGCCTGCTGATGCCTAGCACGCATCACAAATAATTGCGTTTTTGCATGACAAAGAGAGTTCCGCTTTTGCTGCTCATGCAACACAGATTTTCCAGGAATGCAAGACACGCGCCACAAGTTCCACTGTTCCAGACCCAGACATATTTACATTTGATACCGTTGCGTCAATCACTAAGTTCGTTGTCTGCCGCTTCAGTTGACCTGATAATTGATTTCATATAATGCAGTGAGTTCTGAATATGAAAAATGAATTTATCGTGCAGCAACTGCAAGAACAGGACCGCGGACGATCGAAAAAGAACGGCATGCGGAAAGAACCAAACACCTCCTGTCAAGTGATGGCAATCGCCTTTGATGGCTGATGTAAAAGATGATTAGTTGTAGCGAGTAAGTACATCTACATATCAACAAATCTATACCGAGTGCACAGGGCGTTGGTCGGATTTTCTTGTTTTGCAGGTCGATGCGCCACGAGGTAACGTGATAGTTTCCCGCGTATCACAGGAAAAAGTGTTGACGTAAACAGAATTTGTAATGCGGTAACGCATGACAACACGCGCCCAGATTTGTCATGCATAGCATGCACGCCAGGCACGATTTGTCATGCATATTTGCAATCTATGAAAACCGTTAACGTTAAGACTTTTTCCTGTGATACCGCGGTGACGAGTTTCATGCTGTCGTTGTTGAAAAACTTGACATATCCTGTGCAAAAGTATCGCACTCGTAGTAATTGCAGTCATACATTACAAATCTCTTTCTTCAGGCAAATCTGCATTACAAATTTAATTTCTCATGCTAAGAAAATTTGTAATGCAATCCATACTACTACGATGCTTTCGCATTTCATATGACACAATGCGCGCTGTCATTGCCCGCTGGGGTTCCGCAGATGGCCGAGCCTGTGGATCGAATTCATTTGGATGGATAATTTAGAAGGTGGCTGGTTTTGCTGTTGCTCTTGCTGTGCATAAAAATCTTCATGCATGGGCATCAGCATGACAAACACAACTACAAACAGATGGATCGATGGGTCGATCGTGATAATTCGTATTTCGTAAAGTTCGAGGAAAAATGCAAAAGAAATAGTACCGTTCTGCATGTCCCACACTACCAATGAGTTGTCGTCCTGCCCACCGAGCGATGCGAGGAAGAGTTCGTCGGGCGAGAAGCAGAGCGCCTTGACTTCGACTTTGTGCAGGTTGAGTCGGTATCTTTCTTTTCTCTGGTTGAAATCCCAGACAATGATGTCTGCATTGAAGCCCATGAAGGTGCATTGACCTTTTCATGTTAGTTTGTTTCAAGATCAAGCAACATGATGTTGCGGAGTACGAGTAGAAGCAAGTAAGAAGTACCTACGCATGTAGTTGGCAGTCTCCATCTGAGTCATGCTCATGCGTTGATATTGCGGCGCATGACAACATTAAAATAATTTCAAACAGCACAATCACGGTAGAGGTACCTGACGCCATGAGGTCTCCTGATTGTGATACCGTGATGCAGTTAACATCGTTATCGTGCCCCTGCAGAAAGCTCTGCGTTCGCTGGATCACGTTTCGTACCTGTAGTTTTTGTCATACTATTTTTGTCAGTGTCTAGCAGCTTTATTCATCATACGGAAGAAGTAGTTCCGCAACACAAGATTTCTTATTTTTCCTGGAAGAATGGAAGCTGGATGTTGTTTCGCAATACAAAAAATCAAAGGAGCGCGCTGCTCGTTCTCGAAGCAGGTTTGAATACCACGACGGTGCATCCCAGCGGAAAAATGAGGTGTTCGTTGTCGGGGTGTAGGACCAGCCCACTGGATATGAGATTGCACAACTCCTCTTGTTTCCCTCGTCTGAAGATGTCATGCAAGATACCACACGAACACCCACACTCTGCCTCGCGGCGCTGCTTGCATGACAGGTTCATCCGAAAAGTAAAGACGCGAAATAGAACCACGCCGCGACGCTTATTTCTTTGAATTTGTCATGCAGATCATCATGCAGGAGACGCTGCGTGTGCGCCGTTCTCTTTCTTGCCACCGCTACTTCTGTTGCTGTGAATGCACTCCAAATAGAGGGAAAACAGAAGCTGTGCACCCGGATACTTGGCACGGTGCCCTTGAACCCGATGACGGCTTGGAGCTCAAGCGCGTCAGACGCCATTTTTTTGATTCCTATAGCTTATTTGATGTCCAAATTGTTGTACTATTCGAAGATTTTTGGTTTATTATTGCTCCCCCCCAAAAAAAAACTGTGGTTGTGATTGTGAATTGATATTGAATTCGACGTCGAAAAAATGAAAATAATGATTCGACGGTGGACGACATAAATACAAGGCGAGCAATGCACGACAAAAATACAAATCTTCTTTTCACGACGACGACCCACGGCTTTCGTACTTGCAGCGAATGCGAAATATTAAACGAGCAAAAAGCTTTTCAAATTGTCAATCATCAATGATGCTTCATCTATCTTCTATTCGCTCCAACATGGAGTCCAAAAATTGACGCTCAGAAAATTGATCACGTACGACGAAAACTACACATGTTCATACGTCCTCGCGCCGTGCGGATAGAGACAGGTAAACACATACGCCTTAGTTATAGATATAGTTCATCTCATACTGTCGCTGTCCTAGTAATCCTAGTCGTATTTTTCAAGTTTTACAGAGCTTCATGTTCATCTTTCTCACAGTAGCCAAGAACTTTATTTCATCTCCAGTGCTCTCATCATCTTCCAACAACTCTACTCGTCGCTCTCGGGTCGTCAGGCTCCTCTCAGAAGTCAACATACATCAGAACTCGGGTTCTTGAGAGTAACAAGACGACGTCAACAGCGTCACTTTGTTCGGTAGTTTCCTACGTCTTTCTTCTAGACCACGACGCTACATGGTCAAGGAAAACGTATGGAACTCCGTGTTTTTTGGAGCTGCGCCGAACATGCTGGGTGAAGCATGGCTGCGCACCGAAAACTGCAGCCTCCTACCTTGTTACAGAAAACTGCTACGCCCAGGCTCGCAACGTAGTAGAGGAGACGTCGACGCATGTAAGTAAAAATGGTTCTAGTACCCTGAAACATTGACAACGGAAGTGATTTTTCCTTAGACAGTTTCTAATTGTATCTGTAATTCACTCGAAAAAGAACTTTTTTCTCGTGTCTAATTGTCCACCTTGACAAAGTCCTCCAACTGGACTGCCACAGACGCTTAGTTTCTGAAAATATTCTTCGGATTTGTCCGGGTCATAGACACAGTGAGCTCCTAATACTATTAGTGATAGTTAGGTGATGCAACTGCTGTCGATGTGGTCATCCCTCATTCACGACCCGATTTTGAAACAGGGAAAAATCGTCGATATGCTCTACCTAGCGATGTCGGTTGAACTTACATAGATCCTGTTCGGGACTACATCATAAAATTCCATAGTCTTCCTACCATGAAACTCTATTAAATATCTGCAATTTGTATTCCGGAAACAAAAAAGGAGCGCACCAGTGGAGCTGGCTGCTGCTTCTTTCTTAGTCGAGTCGTTTTAGATGATAGCTTGCGGCTATAATTATCCGCGTGCTCTTCTTCAGCGAGCGAAGATGTTGTGGTCTCCGTCTTCGCGGCACCACGGGGTGCGCGCTAAGTGAAGATAGAAAGATACAAGCTGGCTAGGCATCTTCGGCTTTCTTACATATCAGTGCTGAAAAAAAACAACAAATGGATCATCATGAAATTGTAGCTTCTTTGAGAATAACTTCAATTCTCGCCATTACGCAAATATGTATTTGCAAGGCGTGTGAAATTGAGCTCATGATACCACTCTAAAAAAACGAGAGCCAGAAGTGCTTTCAAGTAGATTTTCGTACAGGATATTTGAATGTGAAAGCACCACCGTCTAAGATCAAATGAAAGTCGACGAGACTTCTGGTTCTTGTCGACCTTATTCTTGCTGTAGCGACGTGAGATTTTTACATAAGATTCTACATGTCTTTATTCCATCCTTCACCTCGAAGGTAGATTGATATAGATAAGTGACCGTCTTGAGCGATAAAAAAAAGTGCGAAAAATCAACATCACCGAAGAAGAGGAGTAGCAGTTGTCGTGCAGATTCTGCGAGGACCATGGTGAACTACTTACATCACATATCAAAAGGAAAAATCCCCCCTCCCCATACTGAAAAGGTATATTTTTGGAAATTTGTAATGCTGATTTGCGGCCAAAATCGAGTCTGTCTTGCAAGAACGCAACTCCGCAGACAACCGCCGCATTGCGCAGGCGGTTTGTCATGCTGTTGGGCTTACAGAGCTAACATCTGTCATGCTAGTCGCCTACGTCCAAACCTCCCGACTCAGGCTTGGCATATGCCTGGAGTCCTCTCTAGCAAGACAGACCTGATTTGTGTACGCAAATCCAGCATCAGAAATTTCGTTTCGATATGGGGAGGGGGGATTTTTTCCTTTGATATCACAAGTACCACTTCTCCCCCGGCGGTGCCCTTGGCTTCGTTCGGCTTTCTTGTGAAAGCGAGAAAAGAATAAAAACAGAATGTCCAAGAACGACTAAAGGCGTGGAAAAAAAAATAAATCGAAACAGAAATTTTTCCAGAAAGAAAAATTTCGCTCTTTGCAGCAAAAAAACTTAAACCTGTATAGTCTAAGTCTTTTTACTGCAAGAAAGAAGAAAAAAGAGCCGGAGGACACTACTTGTAAGGGAAAGAGATAAAGGTCACAGCTGCGCACTTTATTCTTTTCACCGCGCGGTCTTATTTTATTTCTTTCTTTACACGAGGTCGTTATATCAATATTGCAATTCCAATTTTTGTATTAGTATTTTTGTATTTTGTCGTATTCGATGTACTAGGTCGCACAACTATCCAAGAGTTGTCATGATCTTCTCACTATCGGCTTTATTCAGTTGTCAGCGGTATTAAACCCGAACGTAACCAGCAGACTTTGCGCCGCGACGCGGACTATATCCCGACTGTCCTCGACATTCGTCAAGGTGCGCAAGGTCGCAGCGACGTAGGGGAAAAAGTGGTGCTTGGTAAAGTCAGCCACGTGGTTGATATTCAGAAATTGCACCACCTGCTCGTGGTCTGCTTCCGAAGTATTTTTCTTACCTTGGCCGCTCCTTGTTTCGCCACTTCCACCCTGGGGAGCGACTCCTGCGAGATGGTGTGCGTGATGATATTTCATCCCATAAGTAGTCGTGGTCTCCAATAGCCTGCGTCTTTTTCTCCTCGGAGGAAATATGCAAGAGAAAACACAAATCTGAATCACGCGACCTGTAGAAGTAGTAGAGTGCCAGAGTATTTTTAAAAGTAGCATCAGCTTGTTGCATGCAGCATGCTGAACCGAAGTTTTCTGCAGAACAAGGCAATGCTGAAGGACACAGAGAAGATGAAATAACCTAGGGTACGTGAGAAACTCATTTGCGCTCCTGATGCAGCGGAAAACATCAGGGCGGAAGATCTGAAGCGTGCTTTTGTGGCAGTGGCTGCACAAAAAGCCTTTCGTCCTCCTGGAGAACTGCAGATATTAATTTCTGACAACTGAGCATGGTTGTACTTCTACCGGCGCATTATTCTTGTCCTCTATCTTCCTGTAGGATAGGTAAACACACACCAGAGTAGCCCGCCGCGGAGAAAAGGGGCGAGCGCAACCTCCTGTGCGAGGAGCAGGGCATCATGATCGTCCTGTGATGTTGTCGCGCGTCAGGCGGACCAGAAGACATTTCCGTGAGACGAAAAAAGTGCTGTGAAATAGATGAAGATGCGCCAGTACTCGCAGCGCCGCTGCCTGATGCCGCTACACCTCCACTTGCAACGAGAGATGCTGCCGAAGCGCCGTCTCCCATGATATCGTCTTTCCGAAGACCTTGCTCTGTGTCGCTTCTACCGGACGAATCCGGCAGGAGAGACGCCATATGTTCCAGGATCCTTTCCGTCCATTTAATGGTCAATTCCGCGAGTTCCCTTGCCTGCCGAATCCGCGTTTGCACGGCGTCGTGCGATTCCGCAAATTGCGTGATGTGAGGAGCGTAGACCGTTTTGAACACTTCCATAAGGGGCGCGTAGTACTCCTGTTCTTGCAGGAGCGCCGCGCCGAGCACGTCGGAGAGCCGCGGAGTGCTGTGAAGCTGCTGCTGCCCCTCCAGCTGCCTCTTGTGGCGCGACTGGTGAAGACGCTTCTTGTCCTCGTCGCGACTTTTGGCAAAGGCCGTCGCCGTCGTGTCTTGCAGAGCTCCTGTGCCCGCTTGTGGTGCTGTATTAAAGTTAACGACATTCCCCTTCCCCAAAAACCGCTTTTTTTGCAAAAAATTGCAGGTACGAAAAAAATAAAATTCAAGCCCGTCCGACACCGCCTCCGCCGCCGCTCCGACCTGTTTATCTAGCTACATCATCATCGTCATCATCATCTATATATATATGTGTCCCATGGGCTAGCTAGTTCGTCATCAGTTGACTTAATGAAAGCAAGTAAAAAGATCTTCTTTTTTCGGTCCTTTTTGCAGGGTCTATCAGGGTGGGACGCTGGCTCCTGGCCCCAGGTGGGGCCAGGAGCCAGCGTCCCACCCTGATAGACCCTGCAGAAAGGACCGAAAAAACAAGACCTTTTCACTTGCTTTCATTAACTGATGACGAACTAGCTAGCCCTATATATATATATGTATATATGTAGATGATGACGATGATGATGAAAGTAGCTAGATAAACAGGTCGGAGCGGCGGCGGAGGCGGTGGCGGACGGGCTTGAATTTGTTTTTTTTCGTACCTGCGTTTTTCTTGAAAAAAAAGCGAAAATGGGGAAGGGGAATGTCGTTAACTTTAATATGCTGTGTTCATCTTGTTCACTGTCTCAACATCATGCAGCACTCCTTGGAAAGCTGCAGCCATCTGCTCCCTTTGGTGGTACGACCCACCTCCTTGTTCGGGAATCAGAAAGATAAAGTACTCGGCGAGAGTGGGTAAATTGTCCCAGGTGCTGACATCTTCGTGCCCTACCGGTGGGACGACCACGTTGTGAGCACCAGCGGCTCCCATCATCATGTTGTGGCCCGGTGCAGCTTGTACGAAACAATGTCCAGCGCCAGCCCTTGAAGAAGCAGCGGCAACATGCGGCGGCTCTGCTGCTGGGCAGGAAGAAGTCGACGACGAGGCTGCACCTGCGCCAAACAGCGTCGAGGAGCTTCTGAAAATTGAAGGCGCGGCCGCCCGCTGCTCGTCCCCAGTGGCTTGTTTAGCTTGTCGGTTATTTTCTTTGTTTTTATCAATTTCCAGCAGGAAGACCAGGTACTTTCTAAAGAGCTCGCGCGTCAATGCTTCTTGCTCGATCGTATACACGACGTCTGGCTCGCACAACGACGTGAAGCTGCTGCTGTGTTTAGGTAGTTCTTGATGACTATGGGAGTGTCAGAATCGAAATTGACAAAGTCGAAAAATTTGTGATGCACAAAATCGATGTCAGTTGGAGCCCTAGTTTCCAAGTGGCGCATGACAAATAATTTCGGGAGCACCCACATCCAGTCTGTCATGCTGTTTGGGCAAAGAAGACTGCTCCTGTCATGCTACTCTGGCAGCACATCGTATACCACTAAACAGGCTTACAATCGGCCTCATTTGCCTGCTCCCCAATACAGGCCTTCAGTGCCCTACATTTTAAGCATCACAAATTTTTCGATTTTGTCGATTTCGATCCTGACACACCCATAATGACCACGCAGGTCTTCATCCTCTTCCGTGGTGAGACGCCACGGCCTGGTGGTGCAGCTCTCAGTGCAAAATTCAACATCGACATCAGTGTCATCTTGATCGCCGACGACGTTATCCATAGAAAAAAACCCATCCCCATCCATTTTTTGCATGACAAACATCGAATGTTATGCATATTTTGCGTGACGAATTGGATGGAAAGATGGATGGGTGTGTTTTTGTGGATAGTCATCCCCGGCATCGGACAGAACCTCGTCCTTCTGATGCGCTCTTCGCGGCCCATGATCAACATTGCAGCCAGCATGATCATCCCCAAAGCCAAAGCCCCCTGCTCGGAGTTCTTCCGAGTTGATGGCAGCATCGAACAAAATGTCGATAATCTTTTCGTCGAGCTGCTTTTTCAGTAGATCCGCCACCGCGCGCATCGTGTCATCATGCTGCCGTTCTGGCGACGAGTTCGTGCGTGTCATGCTACAACCAGAGCCAGAGGGGACCACGTGGCGTAAATCCTTTGATGTTCTTCCGAGCACGTCTTCGCGCCTGTCGGGCGAGAGTAGAAGCTGCCCACGATCAGGTGGACGGGAAGATGGTGGACCTCCACCAGCCTCACGAGCACGGTCGTCGAGCAAGGAGAAGGAGCCGCTATTCTGTGACCCTACTCCTGGTCCACCTCCGCCTGCATAGCCGCCTAGTATTTCTTGAAGGCTGGAGGAGCTCGAAGCCGCTGCAGAAGCACCCTGGAAGTAGGGGCAAGACGACGCTGCAGCGGCGGCCGCCGGACCTCCAGCTGGTGGTGGTGGACCATCTAGTGATCCTTGTCCTTGCAACTGAGTTGTACTAGTACTACTGCCCGAAGAACGCTGGTGGTGGTAAAGATGGTCCTGTTGTCCGGAAGATGAAGCTGCTCCTGCACCAGCTGACCCACCACGCCGCGGAGCTCCTCCTATCGGAGCCCCAGCAGCTCCAGGTGGGCTTCCAAACCTGCCCGCACCTCCGTCCTCATCCATCATACGGCTGGCGGACATCTGTCGCGACATCGGGGGCGTCGTGCTCGCGTCTGAGGCTACCCGGGTCCACACGCGGGGGGCGCCGTCGGAATAAATCCGGTAATGTTGTTCCTCGTCCTGCTCGTCGTCCTCACTGTCATCTAGGTCGAACGAGCTGGGCCAACACGCGCTGACACTGATGTTTTCTTGCGAGTCCTGCGACACCGAGAGTGGTGGCCGCGGCCGCGGCTGCAAGGCTCCCAACCGAAGCTGCGGAAGTAGGGGTGGAGACCCGTGCGGCCGCGGGGCGTCGTGCATTTGGAGCTGGTCCTGTTGGTCCACAGCGACCCCATTGCCAGCTGCCTCCTGACGCATGTTGCAATCAGGTAATTTTTGTACATGAAGATCTTCTATCTCTATCATCTGCTGCTGCTGCTGTTGTTGAGAATTCGACGCTGCAATTGCCGCTGCGTCGTCAAGCCCCCCCGTCCGCACACGCTGTACTTGCTTATGCTTGCCTGGCCTACGCCTAGTCTCGTCATCTTGATCTTCGTCTCCTCGACTCGTCTTCCGCTCCTGCTCCATCATTCGAGCTAGTTGTTCCGGCGTCGTGGGCCATGGAAAAGCGGACGGGGACGAGGACGACGCAGCGGCACCGAAAATCAGAGGTCGTGGCCCCACTACTTGCGCAACAGGAGCTCTACTCCCGCCCGCACCACTGGAGGTAGCGGGCCCAGCAGGTGCGCCAGGAGGACCCCCGTCGGCCTGACCCGCGGCAAGAGCTCCAACGGTTGAACTAGAAGGTCTGCCAGAGCTTCTAGACGGTTCGATGTGCAGAACGTCCATAGGACTCCGTGATAGCCCTAAATGACGTTGTTTGGGCTCTTTGGTTTTACCAGCACATGTCCTCCGGTGAGATTCTTTTTCTTCGTCTTCCTGCGAGGAAGGCAAAGTCGCGCCATCTGGTCCTGTGGGGCCGCCTGCGTGAGGAGGCTGTGGAGATGAAGTCCTTGCACCACGACAAAAATCCTCTTGCTCCTGTAGTTCCATCTGGTCACGACCTCCCTTATCCGTTTGCTGCGAACACAGCAGCCGGGTCATCTCTCGCAGTTCCAGGTGGTCTATCAACCAGAAAAGTTGTGCGAACGTCAATTCCATATCGCTTCACACATTGATTGCAGGCGGTGGCGCCGGGCATGACAGAATAATAGATGCTTGATAAAATTGCATGTTGGTCCTACAAATTTTATTTCGATTTTGTGTTCGTCTTTCGTTTCTTGCACCATCACAAAGTCCGCGACCCATCAACTAAGCAAACACATTTTTCTGTGATACGGTCCTCTTCGTTTAGTGCCGAGGTTGCGCTTGCGGAGCTTCTTGGCGAACATAATTCGACGTCCATATAATCGTCGCGGTGAGCACCAGCGTACAATCCCAGAGCAAAACTGTCTCGGTCATCTCAACTTTTTGCAGACTATGCGACACAATGTGGTCGTTGTACAGAAAAACACACAAAAGCAGTGAAGATGGGTCAGATGGCGCAAGAGGTGGAAACACGCCCATTATAAGAACAACGGGGGCGGCATCCTAATTCTTCTTGAATGGCTAACATGAGCATCCATGACAAACACAAAAATAAAATTTCTTGAACAACGAACTTCCGCGTACAACAGCAGGGTAAGTAGAATGATGAGACTTCTCACTGAGACAGTTTTTTCTCGGGATACAGGATGAGCATGAGTATTAAAGGGCGGCAGACGAGGGACTACCGGCGCAGGTTGTGCTAGCAGATGACCTCCAGGCGGCGCGCCGTCGTGCTGCTGGGCGGGAAAGGCGACAGGGCCCTGGCTTGGGATGTGCTGGGCCTGCCGTTGAAGGTCAGCTCCACCAGGGTCGTCTTCTTGTAGCCCGACCCCTGCCCCGCCATGCACCTCCTCCGCATCAAGATGTTGATCATGCCGTTCTGATGCATCAAGAGCCTCTTGCATCAAAAATATCTCCGGGGTTGAGCGCCCAGGTACCGTTCCAGGAAGCTGCCAATGGAATTGCTCCTCAATTTCTTCACGACCTCCCCCGGCCCCGTAAAGAAACTGTTGCTCGCCCGGTGGGCTAAGCATGCGCGCGAAGGGTAGTTGGCGAGTATGAAACACATCAGTTCTTGATGCGAACGGATGTAGGAGGCGGTCGTGGTGGTCTTGGGGCACCACCATGGGTGGAATGTCTACCATCGCATTGTGCACATAGGAGCTTTCGCCACTAGAGCCGCCAGACTCTTGTCGATCCCACATCAGGAGTCTTTTCTTTTTCTTGCCCGGATCCGCTCCGCCACGACGATGCAGTTGCACCGCTGCTACGGCGGTTGAATTTATAGTAAGCCACCAGGTGGCGTCGATTAGGATTATAGACGTCAGCAACAGCATCTTCAGCGTCGATGCTGCCGTGAAGTTGTAAAGTTGTGTAGAAGTAGTTCTCATAATCATATTGCGGTTTGCCCTTGCGGATAAGATTTTCATTTTGCTTTCCGATACTAAATAAAAAATGAAACCTGGGTGCTATTAAAGGGCGGCACCACTCATTTTCAGTGTTTGATACTAGTTGGCGTTCGCGTTATTTTCGAGTTTATCTCAGATGTTTCAGCCTTGACGTGTCTTCGGGCTTCAAATTTGATGTCTAAAGTACTAGTAGTCGATGATGTGAGGGGGCATCATCAACTTTACATTGGTCGCCGCACGTCAGAAGCGTGGCCATGGCGCCACGCTGTCGGTAGAAACAACAAGGGTGTACATAGATACAGGTCTCAGAAAAGATAAAGAAGGTGTGATAATAAGTACTTACATCAATATCAGGTGGTTTTTGTCAAAAACAAGGTTTGGAAGATTTTGATTTTGAGTTTGATATGTCCGTCGTGTAGTCCGTACTATAGGTTTTGCGATTAAGTTGTAAGTCATAACTCCACCTGAGCCACGACAAACGCCGCCTGCGTTTATTAGTTTTTGATGTGGCGTCCCCATTATCAAGAATCTACTAAGTAAGTAATCAACGCCATCTCATCCACCTCCACCAGGCCCTAAAGTCAAATGGATCTTCTCGCGTCAGCGGTTGCTGTTTGTGACCACTAACTAAAACTATCGAACGAAGTAGGAAGTAGTAGATCCACTAGAAGTACAACACTTCTTCCTGTTTATTGTGGATCTTCTCGTCGTCCGTACATACTCCACCACAAGCGACGCTTATCTTCTCGATCTTGTTCCGCATCGTATCGTCAACGACCTCGACCTGCTCACGATCCAAGGATCAAACATCAGATAGCTCCTGCTAGATCAGCATGAAGATGTAGTTGAAGTAGGTAGATCTCGACTGTCAACAGACCAACAAACAGCTTGCACGTCGAGATATCCAGATCTTCCAGGACGCACCCTGATATACAAGATGCGTATATCAATTCTTTCGAGGGCTTGTTCATCGCTTTTGGTGTTTCCTGCCGATAGGTAGACGTAGACCTAGTATATGCAGAAATACTGGATCTGGAAAGAAGAACCAACGTGCTCCGAATCAAGAGTGGTCCTCCCTTGATGTAATGCTGCACTGCTTCAGGTGTTTCAAGCGGAAGATCTTCTTCATGCGAAAAGAGTCTTCAGTTACAGACAGTAACTTAAGCGTACAGCTAGATCTTCGTGCAGCTGGTGGATCTATGCCCTTTGCTCATCAAAGGCAAGCGCTTTGCGCTTCTTCTTGGCAAGCGCTAATGTGCTCGAGGTACAACTACTCGCCAGCAGCACGACTAAGGTCGTACCTGCACGGCTTCCTAGAGATCATCGTCGTCCTGTTTCGCGGCACACGAAAATAACTGCGCTGCTATTTTTCTTACACGTTTACGATACTCATCATTTTTTTCAAGTCACGACATTGACTACTTCTGGCGTTCTTTTGGTTCAACATTTATCGCTGTGTGGTCTTCTTCTACGATCTATCGCATTCCCATCCCCAGAGCTAGTGTCCACAAAGAGCAGAAGATCAGAACTTCCTCCTTCTGCTTCCGAAATTCCTCCACGAGGCGGTTCAGTTCCGCCATGAGGTTCCACTTGTCCACGACAAAAGCTTATGCACTGCAAAAGTATCGTACTCGTGTAAATGCATTACAAATTTTATTCTCAGCATGAAAAATAAAATTTGTAATGCGGATTTGACTTAACGAAAATATTTGTAATGCATGATTGCACTACGAATACGATACTCTTGCACAGGATAAAACTTGGCAGAATTCTCCCTCGTCCAGTTCCTGCTTCACGTTTTGATTCTCCGTATCCTGTGCAAAAGTATCGTTCTCGTAGTAATCGCATTTATGCATGACAAATCTCTATTTTTCAAGGTAAATCAGCATGAGAAATTCCATCTGTCATGCTGAGCAAATTTGTAATGCGATTAGTACTAGTGCGTGTGCGATGCTTTTGCAAATTCATACTCCGGTAGCGAGCAGTCCACGTCGACCTCGATGAAGTCAATTACCTCGCTATCCTACGTAAAAACGTCCCCACACCATAGTCAAGATGGGAACTCTGCAACATAAATCTCCAAGTTTTGGGAGTTCTGCATCCCAAGTTTCCATCTGCAGTGTAGTGGTGGGTAGCAAGGAAAGCCGCATGAGAAAGCCATTTACTCATGCTGTTTGCAGCATTACAAATTCCAAAACACGACTGGAAATGCCTCTCAAGGAGATGCGCATTACAAATCGATTCCTGTTATTGCGCATTTGCATGACAACTTTGGTGTGGAGGGAACGTTTTTACACAGGATACTCGTCCGTGATGCCCGGAGAGAGAGGAAGCTTTTTCAATAAAATCGGCGGAGTTGTTCTTGACGTTGATTCAGTTCCCTCGTCTTGTTCCCACGACCCGGCTGTGCTTGGTGGACCACTAGCTGCTGCTACTTGTGGCACATCCTGCTCCGGGACAGCCGTACTGCCAGAACTTGTATTCGTAATCACCTTCCCAACGTACCCCGTCTCTTCCTTTAGTTCCCGCAACGCGGCTTCTGTCACCGTTTCATTTCTATGATGGTCCACCAAGCCCGCCGGGAGTTCCAAGGTAAAAGCGTTCACTGCGGGCCGAAACTGCTTCACTAGAAGGATTTTCTCCTTGTTTTCTGGATTTAGTATTTCTGTCGGTGAAGAAGTTGTGCCAGTCTGGTAATTCCGTAAAGTTGCAAAAATCGCCACGGCATCGATGCTGGATGAATCATTTTTTCTTGCTGCTGCTGCAACATTGTCCTCTCCTCCAGCTGCAGAAGTCGGGCTGGGTTTCGTGGTTCTCACCACTCTGTCCCATTTCCGCTCCCGGCCCGTCTGGTCTGAGTAGGTCAAAGTTTCCAGCCGGATCCATTTGGATTGGCCGACGAGGGCGGTCTTCGCGAAATCAACGGCGGGTTGGTGGAGCAGACGGCTCGTCATGTTGGACTGTTCCCCGTTGTAAAAATACGGTCGGAGCAAGAAGATGTTTATGTACACGACTACTCTACTTATTTAGAGACCTACGACCTCCGAAGAGAAACAATATGGCGCAAATTTCTTCAGTACATCGAGAAGTAGTAGTGGACTGATGTTGTAGTGCGGAAGAACACGACAGCACGCAGGAATTTGGTGCTCCCCGTCACTTTTCCTGATCTATTTTGCTTTGCTGCAGATCATGGAGCTGTAGCATCGTTCAAATTCAACATATTCGTAGAAATTCCTTTACGTGTCGTGGTCGTGGTGCAGGCCAATGTATCTATGTAAGTCAATGTCAACAAATAATTCATCATGATGAGTCGCTGTCGCCCCAAAAAAGGTCCGCGTCATTTTCGCCTTTATTATGAAACAAATGCATCCTGATGTTCATGTTCTATTATATGTGTCCTGCTTTTTATGTCGATTGCGCAGCTGATGCCGATGCGGAAACTGAGCTGCATCACAACTGCGGTCCTAATAATGGCCGAACTTTTTTGATAGACGCTTTGAAGCAAAATGTAACTTTTTTCATCTAAAAATCGCACGCGGTCATTTGCTATCTAACTTGTAGCTTTTCCGTGGTACTAATGAGCTATTTCTTCGAAATAGTCCTTGTTGAGTAATGCAGCGAGCCAAAAAAAAAGCGTATTTTTACGCCAATCAGGAAAAGTATTGTGCTTTTGTCTTCATCATGTGCAATGAAGTCAGCAAGTAACTGTAGTAAGTAGAGATGAGTGCTTTTTCTGATGTGTCGTTGTATTTCTAACGAATAGCTAATTAAAGCGGCCATCTCCTTATCCTTTCTTGGAACCCTGTCTACCTGATTGAAAAGAAAATGCTAATGGTATATGATCAAATAGAAGAGGCGGAAGGTAGAGAATCTAGGAGCTGCGCAAATCTTAATCTATGCAGTACCGAAAGCAACACAAATAAACTTCGAAATTTTATTGCAACTCCTACAGTAGCAGCACTCCGGTGTCTCACTTGTGTTGAGAGGACATCAATTCTATTCTTGGAAACAAAAACAAATCAACTTATCAAATTTAGAAATCAATATTTGGATCGACTCCTGATGTGGTGACCACTCCAAAAACTAGAAACGTGAACGTCGCAGATGAAGTTGAAGAGACTCACACATTTATTAAGAGGGAGGACCTGCAGTACTCAAGTGTAGTGAAAAGCATCAACTTCTTCGAGCGGTACAGTATATCACAAAATCCCCAGCACATATCAGAAGTTTTTTTTTTTTTTCCTCTTTTTTTCTACTCCCTGCTACTCAGGTCGTCTTAAACAAGTTCCCCATCTTGTTTTTCTCAAAATCCGGTAGCAATCGCTTCCGCATCGGTAGGCCCAACAGCGGATTTTTCGCCGCCAACTTGTACGCCCGTCGGCAGTGCCGCGAATTCCCGTGGGAATTCATCAAAGCGAGAAAATCGTGCTTGCACTTTTCCTCCGCGGTTGGTAATTCCTTGTTGTAATTCCGGCCATACACAACGCCCTTGTCTTTTTCCTATTACAGTGAAAAGTGCCCCCCACCCCTAAATTGCAAAAATTTGTGATGCGAAGTTTCCAAATGAAAACTTTTTGTCATGCATGAAAGCAATATGAATCTTTGTGATGCAGAGTCTAGGCGTATATAGCATTGCTTGCATGACAAGCGCCGCTTTTGCTCGGATCTTTTGCAATACAAATTTTCGCTATTCACGATTGGAAATCTGTGATGCTGCTAGATGCAAGAGGGCGAGTGTTTCTCTTAGAAAGGTTTGCAATACAAATGCTCCCGCCAAGTTCGGGGGTGGGGGCATTTTTCATTGTAATATTTCCGGTCGCTTCTTCTGGTCCATCTTGTGCATCAGTTTCAGCAGCTCCTTATCCGTTAGCCCCTTCGTCTTCTCCGGATATTCCGCACGGAACCGCTCGTATTCCCGTTGTTCTCGCTGCTTTACCACAATTCGGCGAATGAAATCTTCCTCGTCCGAAAGGTCTTCTTCGTTCTCTCGTTCGTCCGAGTCCTCTTCTTCGGTCTGTGAGTCCTCCGTCTCGGTAGCGTCCGGAAACTTTTCCACCATTTTATCCTCCTTGTACAACATCTGGAACAGATTCTCCTGCGCCCCGCTGTACCGCGCAAAATCGTGGATACCCGGATCGTTGTTCGGATTTTCTTCCCGGTAGTTGTGGCAGGTGTCCAGGAACGGGTCCTCCCAGCGGTTGTCAACGTACTCTTGGATTTTCTTGATATACCGCTGGGGATCGAGAGAAGCAAATTCCAGCTCCGCGGCCATGCGCGCCGGCTCGATGTTGTCTAGTTTTTGCTGCACGTAGAACTCCAGTGGTAGGCCGTTTATCATGCCGTACTTGGACTGCTCCTGCGTCCTGCTCTGGACGTGCGATGTGGCGTCGCCGGGTCGCTTATCTGTAGAAGTCGCATTCTTCATCATCTCCGTCTTGATTTTTACCGCAGTCTGTGCTTCTACTTCTGCTTCCGCGTCATCTTCAGAAGGAGCTCGCTCCTTCTTTACTTTGACAGCAGGCGGTGGCAGGCCTTGCTTACTTTCCTTTGCCCCGGTAGCTTTCTTCATAGCTTGCTTCATCGCCACCTGCTTCGTAGGTGTGGGTTTATTATTTTTCATCTGTTCGCCGTATTGAGAGGAAAAATCCCCCTCCCCATATCGAGCAGGTATGTTTCCGCAAATTTGTCTTGCTGATTTGAGACCACAAATCACGTCTGTCTTGCTAGAAGACAACTCCACAGGCTCTGCCGCATTATGCAGGCGGTTTGTGATTGTGATGCTGTTTGGCCTACAGCATAGACGTTTCTCATGCTAAGCGCCTAGGCCAAAAGCTCTCTAGTACTGAGGCTTGGCAGGAGCCTGCTTTCCTCGACTGCAAGACAAACGCAAATCCAGCATCAGAAACTTCCTTTATTTGATATGGGGAGGGGGGATTTTTCCTTGTGATACGCCGGTCTTCTTGTTCTTTTTGCTAGCCGGTGTTTCAACAAGCTTCCTTTTCTTCGCGGCCGGAGACTTTGCTGGTGCATCAGAAGGGTTCTTATCGGCCTTCTTCATCACGATTATTTCGTCCGGTTTTTTCATATCACTTTTATCCTCGTCACTGTCGAAGACCGCCGCGGCATGATCGGTAGTTTCTTGTTGCCCTGCTTTGGTTGTACTATTCTTGCCAAAAATGCTAGACGTCGACAAAGCGCCTGGCTTCTCATCCCGACGGCGCAACATGTCGGCAAACATGGAGCTGGAAGATTCGTCCAGCTCCTGCTGGTCGCACTTCATCGTGTTCTTCGACATCAATCTTCCCGCTCGCTGCTTCTCCATTTTGTGCACGACCGAGAGTGGCACATTGTACTCTTTATTGTCCATCAAAGCTGCCAACGTGGTCGCTGTTCCTGTAGTTCCACTTCCGCCCACGACTTGCTGCTGCTGAATTTTCATCTCCAACTTCGCCCTCCTTCGCTCCGCCCGCAAATTCTCCGCATCTTGCTCGGTCTCCTCTTCGAATTGGGACTTTGTCAAAAGCTCCGCGGTGGTTGAAAACGTCTTCAGAGCTGTAGTGCTGTTGTTCGAAATAGTACTTTCTGCTTCTGCAACAGTACTAGCTGTAGTAGTACCCGACGACGTGAAGTAGAACAGAAAAACTTGTTCTACTTTGCTGGACGGGTGGTCTACTTCGTCGGTAGAATCTTTTACGTTTCCAATTTCTTCAGCGTTCTTGTCATTCTTCTTTTTTGATGCACCAGCAGCAGCTTGCTCATCACCGTGGTCTTCAAATAGGAATTTATAATTGTCCACACAGTAACTCGTCTTCAGCATCTGTTCTGCATTGTACTTCAAGACCGACGCCAAGGGGATCTCGATTGTCAGAAGAGTGGTGGACTTCATCTTGTTCGAAGTTCTCCCATTGGAAGGAGGACTGCTAAAGCCTTCCTCCATTTTGATCAGCACAGAGGCCTGACTCTCCTGCTCTAAAACTTCTTCTTCCTGCAAAATCCTGAAAGTGGTTATGGAAGCGTCAGGATTGAAATCGTCAAAGTTGAAATAGTTTGTGATGCATAAAATGCAACCCACAAAATGCCTGTCTTGCAGAGTAGGCAAGGGAGGCAGATTGTAAGCCTCTTGAGGGGTAGTGGTAGACATAGAGCTGCTAAAGTAGCACGACAAAAGACGTCTTCCTTACCCAAACAGCATTACAAACTGAATTTAGGCACAGCCAAGATTTGTCATGGGCCAATTGAAAACTGGGTTACAACTGGCATCCATTTTATGCATGGCAAATCATTTCAACTTTGTCGATTTCGATCCTGACACATCCATAGTGGTGTTTTTCACGACCAACTCCTTCCTGGTTTTCGCTTTGGAAGCTGAATTCGTATTCGATTCGACTTTTTCGCACGGTTTCCCAAACAGTTCTTCCAACCACGCCAGTTTGTCTTTCGTCACGTCGCACACGGTCACAAACTTGTCTTGGTACTCGACGTATGGATTGTAAAAGTGTCTGGGTCTGGAAAATTCCGGGACTTGTGATGCGTATTTTGTATGATCCATGATGCATGTAAATGCTAATGCATGATCTAGCATCACAGAACTTTAGAGGGCTTCCTGATGCCTATTCCGCATGAGAAGTAGCGCCCTCTCCGCGTGTTACAAACTGGACTCCTGTTGTTGGTCACGCAACATAGATTTTGGAACCCAAAGACAGCATGACAAGTTGCAATCTTTCAGACCCAGACATTTTTGCTATCCATACGACGTTTTCCATGATGGACTGTAGCAGAGCTTGGAGTTCCGGGTCGTGCTCTGGTGGTTCTGGAGCCAGCTTGTTCCCCGTGCTGTTGCTCTCGCCGGCTTTCTTCTTCGCTGCTGCTTTGCCCTTAGCGGGGGCTTCTCCTGCTTTGGTCACATTTTTTTCACCAGCCTGTGTATCTTCTTCTTCACCAGCCCCAGCTGCTCCTGCGGCGGTCAGGGTTTTCGCATTCATCTGCTTTGTTTTTCCTCCGCTACCACTTTTCATGATACCGCCCGACGCAGCTTCGTCCTCCTCCACGTCCATTTTGTCTCCTTTTTCAGTGCCTTCTTTTAAAATTGCAGGCAAATAATTTTGCTGGAAATTTTTATTCCGATGAGACCCACCCAGCGTGGAGGTCGTTCCCGCATTGATGTTCCTTTCGCCGGAAAGAAGTAGAATCCCTGATGTTGATGTTGAGTCGTTGTCGTTCTTCCGCAAAGTCGCGTCGAATTTTTGCAAAAAATCTTCCTTCGACTCCGGAATATCGCTCGAAACAATGTCCAAGCCGGACACCCGGAAAATGGAGTGGCAGTCTTGTTTCTCACCTTCTTTCTTCTCGTCGCCATACATGGTGTTGGAGCTGCAGTTTTCTTTCTCAAACGGCACAATCTGCAGATCGTTTACATCGTAGTGCTCACACGTCTTTTCGTCAAAGATCTGTTTCTTCTCTCTCTTTATCAAATGCAAAAGTGTCTGGGTCTGGAAGATTGCCAGGTTTGTCATGTAATGATCCATGATGTCTGTGATGCTGCATGCTCTAGCATTACAGATTTTTCGATCGCTTTGTGATGACTCTACCGCATGACAAATGTCCTCTCCGCGTAGCACAAAGTGGAGTCCTCTTGCTGCTGGTCATGAAATACAAATCTTTTTAGAATTCAAAGACAGCATCACAAGTTTAGAATCTTCCAGACCCAGACATTTTTGCGTTTGATACTCTTTAGCTCCTCGACGAAACTCCTGTCGTAATTGCACTCCACCATGTCCCGTATCCTGGGTAAAAACTTCCCCACACCAGAGTCAAGATGGGAAATCTGCTAGACAAATACCCAAGCTTTGGCTGTTGCGCATGACAAATTTGGGCTCGCAGTGTAGTGGTGATTAGCTAGTGCAGCACCATCACAGATCTAGCATAGCATGCGGATTTGAGCATCACAAATCTCAAAACCCCAATAGGAACTCCCTCTCATGGGTCTCCGCATGAGAAACATTTTCAGCATGCAGATTTGCATTACAACCCTGCGGTGGGGACGTTTTTGCTCAGGATATCCCGCTGCTTATCTTCCTCTTTCACTTTTTCTCTTTCCTTTTCCGCAAATTCTTTATCGTAGTTGATCATATCCTTCGCGGGGACGGGGAGATACTTGTCCACTTCCCACTTGGAAACCATCAAATCCTATCAAGTGCAAATATGTCTGGGTCTGGAAGATTGCGAGGCTTGTCATGCATATTTGGAACGACCCATGACGCCTGTAATGCATAACATAGCATTACAGATTTTTAGAGGGCTTTCTGATGCCTTTTGCGCATGAGATACGCCCTCTCCGCGTAGCACAAACTGGACTCGTCCTCTTGCCTGTCATGCAGTACAGATTTTTTCAGAATCCAAAGGTAGCATCACAAATTCCATTCCTTACAGACCCAGACATATTTGCAATGAATAGGTCCTTGTTGATCACAATTTTCTCGTCCTCCTCCGTTTCCCCCGGCACGACCAACTTCCCGCACTCGACAAACGCCCCGCGCTTCAGGTGCGCCTTCGAGATCCACCCGTCGGCCGTTTTCACCATGGGCACGGCCTGCATCATATCAAGCAAAAAAGTGTTAACGTTAGCATTGCATTCATGCATGACAAATTTTCGCTATCATGCATGCTATGCAATACAAATTTGAGCATTATTTCTCGTGTGTTCCTGCATGCCAAATTCCGTTAACGTTAACACCTTTTGGTGTGATACATCAGAAAGGTCTTCCCCATCCCAAAGGAGGTTTTCAGCGGCTCACTCGGATCCCGCTTTGTTTGCCCGTCGTCGTCGTAAACCTCAACCTATGCATTGCAAAAGTATCCGCATCGCACTAGTATAAAATGCATTACAAATTTTCCCAATAAAAAAATTCAATGTGTCATGCTATTTCAGGTAGAAAGTTGGATTTGTCATGCATATCTGCAATTTGGTACGAGTACGATACTTTTGCACAGGATACAACCGCCCGGTTCGGGTGCCCGGGGTCCGGCGGCGGCAAATAGTCCATGTTGTAGCCCGGCTCTCCTGGTCCGGGCTGGAAAATGGACCCGTTCGGGACTAAGTTTTTGAATTCAATTATGGACGAAGCGTCAGAATCGAAATTGATAAAGTTGAAAAATTTGTGATGCATGAAACCGATACCAGTTGGAAGCGCAATATCCAAGCGGCGCATGACAAATTTTGGCACCATCGAAATCCAGTTTGTCATGCTGTTTAGAGAAAGCAGGCGTCTTTTGGCATGCTGCTTTGACAGCTCTATCGCAAACCCCGACAAGCAGGCCGCTCAGACAGTGGGGCTCGCTTGCCATCCCTGCAAGAGAGGCACTTCATGCCAATGCCTTGCAGTTTATGCATGAGAAATAATTTCAACTTTGTCGATTTCAATCCTGACGCTTCCATATCAATCTTCATGTCCTGTTCCAAGTCGTTGTAGGCCATTCCCATGCGTTTCACCATCGTGTTATCCACACTAATTTTCCCGTACACGTACAAACGCGGTCTCTGCATGACAAAACTGGGCTTCGATCCTAGTTTAGCATGACAAGTGTTACACCCCAAGTTGGTGAAATTTGTGATGCACTTTGTACATGTACGGAAAAATTTGTATTGCATACTTGTCGATGTCAAACGTTTCGCACCAGGGGTCCGGGTCCTCCTTGTTTTCGAAAACGAGGTGCTCGATGGCCTATCCTGTGTAAAAACTTCCCCACCCAAGAGTTGTCATGCAAATGCGCAATGACAGGAACATTTGTAATGCGCATCTCCATACTACTTAGGAGGCATTTCCAGTCGTGTTTCGGAATTTGTAATGCTGTAAACAGGATGCGGAAATGGCTTTCTCATGCGGCTTTACTTGCTAGCCAGCCCTATACTGCAGGTGGAAGCTTGTCATGCAGAACTCCCACAACTTGGGGATTTGTGTTGCAGACTTCCCATCTACTTGACTATGGTGTGGGGAGGTTTTTACATTGGATATGCCCATAATCCGCTTCATTTTGTTCGCGTCGTCGGTCAAAACTCTCTTCCCAGGCGGAAAATCGTAGTCGTTCCGCTGGAACTGGTGCGTTTCTTCCAATCGGTGCTTGAAGCGCTTATGCGTTGCAAATAAAGTACTAATATCGCACTCGTAGTAATTATCGCAACCATGCATGGCAAATTCTTTTCTCAATGCACATCCCCATTACAAATTTCCTTTCTTATGCTGACGCTTTGTCATGCGATTTCTACTAGTAGTACAATCTATCATACTTTATTTGCAATTCATAACGCTGGTTGAACAGCATATTTCCGTCTTTCGACTCCCGGCACCCGTTCCCCGGTAGCAGCAGCGCCCCATTGTGGTAACTCTGCTGGATGAAGTTGTCCGTCAAGTCCCGTTTGATGATGAAAGGGTTGATTTCCTTCCGTGGGTAGTTGTACCGAAACAATTCCTCCCACTCGTCCCCGACGGAAGCCTCGGATAGTTCCGAGGAGTCCAGGGAACTTTCCTTCGCAAAAGACGACTCCGTACCCGTTTCCGAGCCCGAAGAGCAGGAAGAGGTTTCCGTAGGTTCGGAATCGAACGAGAGAGAAACCATCGAGTCGCTGTTCGGTGGTTCCGTCCTTACCCGGTGTGGTTTCGGGGGTTTCCGTTCGCGCTTTTCCACCTTCTCCGGTGCTGCCCCTTCTGGCGCTAATTTGTTCGGCGCTTCTTCTCTATTCGCCCCCATCGGATTGGGCTTTGCCTTCGCTACGCCTTTTTTCTGCATTTTCTTCCGCTGGTTCTTCCCATCTTCGTCCCCAGAATTGTCGTCTGACAGATCTTATGAACTGCAAAAGTATCGCACTCGTATAAATGCATTCCTCAGCATCATCATCATCATCATTGAGACGAACCCCCTGTGGTCGTCCTCACGGTGTCGTCTTGGCCCTAGGCTGTTTCGGACAGATGTTGGCTGTGTCCGGCAAGAGGACGGCTCTGCATGGGCAAATGTTGGCAATGTCCAGCAAGAGCACTGCCGTGGCCCGTTTTCTGCCGGTTTTTCTTTTTGGCTTTCTCAGCATGAGAAATAATAATTTGTAATGCGGATTTACCTTAGCAAGAGAATGTGTAATGCATGATTGCAATTATACGAGTACGATACTTTTGCACAGGATAAATCTAAATCGAGCGAATCATCGGACCCGTCGGGGGAAGACTGGACCATTTTCCGCATCTTCTGCTTAGCCTTCGGCTTCTTGCTGGATTTGTCACCATCCTATCAAATGCAAACATGTCTGCTGGGTCTGGAAGATTCTGAGACTTGCTCATGCACGTTTTGCATGAGCCATTGTGTCTGTGATGTAAGCCCTAGGTAGCATCACAGATTTTTCGAGGGGTTATTTCTGCATATTCCGCATGACAAATGCTCTCTCCGCATAGCACCAATTAGACTCCTTTTGCTGGTCATGCAATACAGATCTTCTTCGAATCCAAATGCAGCATCACAAGTTTACACCCTACTTCCAGATACAGACATGCTTGCATTCGATACATCCTCGTCGTCCTCGTCGCTCATCGAGGATTGCAACGGGGTGTCGTCTATCCTGTGCAAAAGTATCGCACTCGTATTGCAATCACGCATTACAAATCTTTTTCTTGAGGCAGATCAGCATTACAAAATTTCTTCCTCATGCTGAGGAAATTTGTAATGCATTTATACGAGTACGATACTTTTGCAGTTCATATCGTTCTTCGTTTTTTTCTTCGCGGCGGGTTTTTTCTTCGGCTTCGCGTTGGAAGTCGAATCACCGTCGTCACGGTCCAAAAACTCCCTTATCAAGTACAAAAACGTCGTCCCCAGTGCCCCAGACTTATCATGCAAATGCGCAATGACAAGAATGTTTGTAATGCGCAGCTCCATGAGAGGCATTTTCAGTCGTGTTTTGGAATTTGTAATGCTGTGCACAGGTTGACAAGATGACTTTCTCATGCAACTTTGCTTGCTAACCTCCAGCACTACATTACAGAGGCGGTTTTGTCATGTGCAACTCCCAAAACTTGGCGACTTGTCTAGCAGATTTCCCATCTTGACTACGGGGCGGGGACGTTTTTCCTCGGGGTATCCCCGTCAAACATGTCATCATCCTCGTTCAGCTTCAACTTTCCGTTTTTTTTCGGCGCTTTCTTCAACCCTTTCGCTGAGACCGCCACCGCCGGCGCGACTTTTCCCTCCTCCTCGGAAAGACCGTCGTCGTTATCACCACCTTTTTCTTTTTTCGGCGGTGGTTTAGTACCTCGCTTTTGATGTTCCTTCTTCAGCTTCGCCACGCGCTCCTGTTTCTTCGCGTACCCTCCGCAAAGCTTCAAGTGTTCTCGTCGCTTTTTTTTATTTTTCAGTTGCTTGTTCATCAAATTGTCTTTGTCATCTTCTTGAAAGTGCAACTTTTTCCCGACTGCCTTCTGGAATTCTTTCAATTTTTTGAAATTTTCCGAGTTGTGGTGGTGGCCTGCTGCTGCTGCTGCGTCGTCATCGGAGGAGAAATCCGTTTCGATTTCCGAAGAGTCAAAGCTGAGGGAGGAACTGTTATCCGAGTACCCCTTCGGCTCCTCTCGCCACCGCCCGACCTGTTCCTTATCGGAATCTTCTTCCGAAGAGTACTCGATCATTCCCGTCATGTCAATGTTGTTTTGCCAGTTTTTCTATGAACTGCAAAAGTATCGCACTGGTAGTAATTGCAGTCATGCAATCCTTTTCTTTGGGTAAATCCGCATTGCAAATTTCTTATTTTTTATTTCTTATGCTGAGAAAATTTGTAATGCATTTATACGAGTACGATACTTTTGCAATGCATATTTTCTTGTGTTTCGCCATGATCGACTGGTAGACGCGCTCGGGTTCTTCTTTTTTGTCCGCGATAGAGAAGTATGAAGTGCAAAAATGTCTGGGTCTGGAAGATTCTGAGACTTGTCATGTGTTAGGCAAGATATGAAATCCACCAGGATCATAAGCCAAGCAAATTCCCTACGACCTAAATTGAATGCTCATTGAAATCAGGCTCTAAATTTGTCGTTCAAATTTGGATCCAATGTGAAATCAGCATGTTCATACAAATGAACCAAAAATGAAGTTCATTCTAAACCCACTCTGTAAGCTAGTGATGATCAACGATGGTTGATCGGATTTCTCATAAATTTAGGGTGATTAGAACAAATTTGAACTTTCATGTTTACCCCCTTGACTGAGACGTCAGAAATTGTGTGTTGTTTGGAACCCTAAATTTTTCCCCACAGGCTGTGACGATAGTCACCATAGATTGATTGCGACTAAGAAACACTGAATCCCACCTAGATTCTGTTTGACATGCAAGATGGCCAGTGTTCACACCGCCCGCGTTTCTTCGTCGTTGATTGTCTTCACACCGTGAAAATTCGGTTGACATCATGCACGTTTTGCATCGGCCATGATGTCTGTGATGCATGCCATAGCATCACAGACTTTTTACGTTAGAGAAAACTGTCCCCACTACCCCGGTTTTCCCCAAATCAAAAATTTTTTTATGAACTGACGCAACAACACGGCCACCGGCCGCGCAGTCCGCCCGGATAGTGTCCGCTAGTGGATCTTCTTCGCGGATACTTTCTGAGGCTGTTACGTATGCAATGAGGCAAGCGGGATAGCGGCGCGCAAAAGTCGGCGCATGAGCTGACGGGGCAACAAGCTTTGTGGATGTGTGTAGCTACTTCGGCCCCATCCGCGCGCGGGCTACTGCAACGCGGCCCCGCCACACTGGCCGCGCCCAACTTCTGAGGCTCCGGCCTCACCGTTTCCCTGGGGGTCGTGCGTGCGTACCTTTTCGGGAGGTTTCTGGTGCTCGTTTTGGTGGCCGAAAGTGCGTAGATAGCTGCTTAGGGCCGAAATCCCCAGCATACGTTTTTTTTCTCGCCAGCGTGTCCGAACATGCACTCAGGGAAACGGTGCCGGCCAGCCTCAAGCGGAGAAGACAGGTCCGCGGCAAGGGGCATTGCGTTCAGCCTTAGGTGGCCGGGGGGCGGGTCTGGCATGGGCGCCTTGCCCAGGGCGTTGCCTCGCGGGCCCCGAGCTGCTTGCGCCCCAAAAAGCCGGGCAAGGCGTGCAGTGTCTTTGAGTCCAGCAACACACTTGGGGGAGCGGGCTCCGGTCTGGCCATTCGCGGCGCAGGTCGCTTGCGAAGGGCCCGCCCTGCTTACAATTGGATCGAAAAAAAAAAATTGTCTTTGGGGAAAACCGGGGTAGTGGGGACAGTTTTCCCTACCGTACTTTTTGAGGCCTTCGTGATACCAATTCCGCATGACAAATGCCCTCTCCGCGTAGCCAAAATTGCATCCCCTTTGCTGGTCATGCAATACAGATTTTTTTGGAATCCAAATGCAGCATCAGAAATTCGGATTCTTCCAGACCCAGACATTTTTACATTTGATAAGAAGTCCGCTTCTTCCATGTACCGGTCTTGGTTTTTCACGCAATTTTTTATCACAAGAAAAACTGTTATACGTTAACGGTTTTCATCACAGATTGCAGTCATGCATCACAAACGTAGCCCAATCTGCATGCTATGCATGACAAATTTTTTAGCCACGTTTAGTGATGCATTGCTGCGTCACGAATTCCGTTTTTATCAACGTAGTTAGCACTTTCTTTATTTTCCTGTGATATCTTCCAACGCGTGCTGATACTTTTCCGCGGGCCGCTTGTAGTCTAAAAACGGGAGCATGGCCTTCGTGTTGTCGGTCAGCTGCGTCCATTTTTTGTAGAGTTCTTCCCTTTTCTGCTCTTCCTCCGCCCGTTCCTCGGCTGTCATGTGCTCGTAGATGAGACATTTCCACTTCGCGGATTATCAAAACGAAAACATGTCTGGGTCTGGAAACTTGTGATGCTAATCCTAATTTATGAATTGATGTAGTGGGGACACTGCAATAGGCAGCCAGGCATGACAAGCTTCTGGGCTCCTTTGTGTTTCGCTTTCCGCATGACAAACTACATTTTTGCATGACAGGCAAGAGGCGCTTTTCCTGCTCACGCATTACAGGTTCGAGAATCACGTGGGACAAGCATGACAAACTTGCATTCTTCCTGACACAGACATATTTGCAGTTGATACAGCGTTGTACTCCGCAATTTTCTCCTCCTCCCGCATGTAATGCATTGCAAAAATATCATACTAGTCTAAACTGCATCACAAACAATTTTTGCAAGAGGAAAAGTGAAATTTGTAATGCTGATTTACCAGAGGTAGGAGATTTGCCATGCATGACTGCAATCAGTAAGTACGAGTATGACACTTTTGCAGTGCATATACGTTCTTTTCAAACAGCACGTTCTCAATATCCTGTTCCTTCTCGTTTTCCCGCTGCTTCTCGACGAAAAAGTTGTGCTCGGACCCAATTTGCTCGATTTTCAGCAGTTCGATCTGCAGCCAGACGCAGATGTTGAAGCAATACGAGGCGTGTCGCAAAGCCGCGAACTTCTCGTGATCCGGCAAAGCTTCATCCAACACCGTGCTCGGGTCGCCGTCACACGTGGCGGTCAACATCTGCCGCTGAAAATTCTCCCAAATCTCGTTTTCGCCGGTGATTTTCGAGAGATTTTGGGCGTGCGCGACATCGGCTTTCATCTTTTTGAAGGGGTTGTTGCTGTCAAAATCGTTTTCGTGGTTCATGAAGGCGAGCTTATGGAAAGAAAAAAGTTTGTCACAGTCACCAACTTGCAGGCTTTGCATTACAAATTTTTTTAGCATCACAAGTTTTCCTTGTATTGCAGAAACACTAGGGAAATCCCCTATGAAGCTTGGCTGTCATGCATTTTTACGCATGGCAGCCAGTTTTGTATTGCAAAAATGCGCATGAGTGATCGTGACGACCTTTTTTTGTTTGCTAGAGCTGCTCGTTGTTGTATTGTTGCCGGAGGAATTCCCGCACCCGCTTGGCCTGAATCAGATTCTCCTTCTCCATATGGATGTGTCAGGTTTGAAATCGACAAAGTTGAAATGACTTGTAATGCATAAAATCGATACCAGTTGGAAGCCCAATTTCTAAGCGGTGCATGACAAATTTCGGCGCCGTATAAATCCAGTTTGTCATGCTGTTTAGGGACAGAAGGCGTCTTCTATCATGCTGCTTTACTAGCATCTCCGTCGCAGACCCACAACAGGCTGGCAGTCGGCTTCGCTTGCCATCCCTACAAGAGAGGCACTTTATGCCTTGCATTTTATGCATGATAAATTATTTCGACTTTGACGATTTCAATCCTGACGCTTCCATACTCCACCATTCCCAAATACTCGCGGAACCGAGTCGCCTTCTCCTCGTTGCTGTACGTTTGCTGCCGTGGGTATCAACAGGAAATGATTTTTTTTTCCCGCGCACGTGGTTGTACACGTGCAGCCTCTGCATGACAAGACTTGCCTCCGAAGATGATCCTAGTCAGCGTGACAAGTGTAGTTCTTACATCTTCACGCTAGCCTGCTGGCGAGACAAATAACTTGTGATGCATTTGCTTGTACGCGGGCGGGGAAATAGTATTAAAATTGGATTTTTGCATAGCTGGCCGTCCTGCCGGCCCCTTAGCTCCGGGACGGGTTCCGGGACATCGGCCATGACGATCGTGTCGACCTTTTTCAGCAAATCCTCCGTGAGGTCTTCTTCTTCCCATCTTTTGTATTCTTCATCCGTATCGGGGTCTTCGGATTCCTTCCCTTCCCAAGAATACTCCGACATCTCTTCCGTCTCTATCCTGAGTAAAAGCGCCCCCACCTCATAGCCCAGATGGGAAATCTGCAAGACAAATCAACAAGCTTTCGCTGTTGCGCACGACAAGCTTGGCCTCGACGTCGCACGAGCGTAATGCTGTTTAGCTACTTCAAGAGCATCACAGAGCTAGCATATCATGCTTATTGGAGCATGACAAATTCCGAAACACGACGAGAAAACGCTTCTCATGGGGCTCCGCATGAGAAACATTTTCAGCGTGCAAAGTTGCACGACAACTACGGGGCGGGAGTGTTTTTACTCAGGATAGTCTCCTTCAAATATTGACACTCCCGCTCAAAATCCTCGAACAGCCGCCGCTCGATTTCGTGGCGGCGCGGTTGCACCGGTATGCATTGCAAAAGTATCGCAGTATCAATTCCAATTGCAGTCATGCATTACAAATCTCGTTCCCAAGGCAAATCAGCATGACTAATTGCATTTCTCATGCTGAGCGAATTTGTATTGCAATTACTACTAGCAGGATACTTTTGCAGTTCATAACCGGCTTTAAAGGTTCGGTCAGCGCTTTCTGCATCACTTTCTCCTTCAAATTCAGGTATTTGTACTTCTCGAAGATATGGAAGCGTCAGGTTTGAAATCGTCAAAGTTGAAATAATTTGTAATGCATAAAATGCGATACAGAAAGTGACTCTATTGCAGAGGACCCACGGAAGGCAGATTACAGCCCTGGCAAGGGTCAAAAGTTGGACTGCTAACTAGCATGACAGAAGGCAGCTCTTTTGCCCTACACCGCATGACAGACTCGCTTTCAGGACCGGGAAAATTTGTCATGCACCGACTACAAACTGTAGGTCTAACTGGTATCCGTTTTATGCATGACAAACTATTCCAACTTTGACGATTTCAAACCTGACACATCCATAGAAGAGGTACAGGTCTTTGTCGCTCTCGATCTGCTTCAAACAAACCGCTTGCTGCTCTTCTGTGGTGTAGTTTTCGTTGTTTTTCTATGCAAGACAAATTTATTCCCGCACATGCACAAAATGCATGACAAACTTCGCTACCACATTGGGGTGTCAAACTTGTCATGCTGACTAAGATTGAAGGCAAGTTTTGTCATGCAGGAACAGCACTTGTAACACTGTGCGGGAACTTTACTGTGGGTATTTTTCCAAACACGTCGATGTTGGTCTGGGCCAGGATCTATCCTGTGCAAAAGTATCGCACTCGTAGTTGTAATTGCAGTCATGCATTACAAATCTTTGTCTTAAGGTAAATCCACATTACAAACTTTATTTCTCATGCTGAGGAAATTTATAATGCAATCTTTTTTTTTTTTCTAAACTCTTCGCGCTTGGCTTTTCTTTTCTTTTGTTCTTTTTCTTTTTGATTTTCTTTTTTTTTTTTTGATTTTCTTTTTTATTTTTTTGATTTTCTTCGTTTTGGATTTTCTTTTTTTTTGATTTTCTTTTTCTGATTTTTTCAGCCACTGCGCAAAAAGCGGTCTATACTAGTACGATACTTTGCACTGCATACGGTCAACTGTCGATTTTTCTTGTCCGGGTGGACGGAGCCAAAACCCAGGTTCGAGTCCACGATCGGAACGAGTTGGGTAGAAGCCTCATCGGTAGTAGAGCTCGTAGTGGAGGACAGCACGACTGCGCCGCCACTAGACTGGTGGCTCCTCGAGGAAACTACCGGAACGAGAGCAGTCGTCGTTGCCGGCTTCTGCATCCAGGTTTTGCCTGCGTCGGTGGTTTTTGTCGTCGAGCTCGAAACAAGTACTCCACCAGTAGACGCAGAAACCACATCTTCGCTATCGACGTCCATAGGAATGGCTACGTCGTCTATTCTTGTTCCTTCCCCCGCTTTGTCGTCGGAAAGGGCCGGAGCATTCATTTCGTTTCCACCCTCTTCAGCACCACATTTCAACTTTCTCATGTAACCGCTGTCCGCAAACGCGTCGAGGTGCGAAATGTTCACAAGCCCGTTTTGTTCTCTTCGCGCGAGAGTCTTGCTTCTCGGGGTCAGTTGCTGTTTTTGCTGGTCCATTTGATTGTTCTGCTTTTCGTCGCCAGACGATAATTCGTCCCCGGAGCCACTAAAGTTCCCCGATGAACAACTTCCGCTGTCACTAGACGTTTCAAAAACGTCAGCAGGAACATCTTCTTTAGTGCCGCCAAGAACAGCAGTAGCTGTACCAGCAGAACAACTGCGACCACCAGCAGAACAAGTTTTCATCGATTCCGGTGCGTTGTGCTCCTCACGTAGCTGCTGGATGATAAAACCATCCACTGAGTTCTCCTTTAACATGTACTTCTCGAACTTTTCTTTTTTCCCCGATGATTTCCTCTTCGTCTTCTGATCGACATGATCCGTGAGCATTTTCACGTCCCCCTCCTCCGACGTGATTTTCTTATCGGGAAGATGAGTTTCAATTTCCCTCCGCTTCAGCAGATTCTGATATTTCCCCTGTTCCACCAAAACCTTTTCCACCACCCACTCCTGATCCTCCAGCGCGTACGGTTTGTCTTTCTCCCCCTGCCCGTGCTGTTCCTATCAAATGCAAAAGTGTCTGGGTCTGGAATGTTGCCAGGTTTGTCATGCATGTTTTGCATGACTCCTGACGTCTGTGATTGATGCCCTAGCATCACAGATTTTGTGAGGGCTTTCTGATGCCTATGCCGCATGAGAAATGCCCTCTCGCCGGGGCAAAAACTGGACCGCTTTTGCTGTTCATGCAATACAGATTTTTGTAGCATCCAAATGCAGCATCACAAGTTCGCATCCTTCCAGACCCAGACATTTTTGCAGTTCATAGTTCCGACCAGGACTCGATCTCGCCCATCACCGGCTGCTGCAGGCGGTCGCTGTGGACCGCTTCTAGCTTTATGGAAGCGTCAGGTTTGAAATCGTCAAAGTTGAAATAATTTCTCATGCATAAAATGCATGACCCGAGGCACGTGTGTTGCAGAGCAGGCAAGTGAGGCCGATTGCGATTGTAAGCCTGTTTGGGTTTACAGCTCGAGCTGCTAAAGTAGCATGAGAAAACCGGCGCTCTTTGCCTAAGCAGCATGACAAACTGGATTTAGGGACCACCGAAATTCGTCATGCGCCACTTAGAAACTGGGTTCCAACTGGCATCCATTTTATGCATGACAATTTTTTTCAACTTTGTCGATTTCAAGTCTGACACATCCATAAGCTTGTCGAAGTTTCTGAAGGCTTTCTCCACGATGTGCGGCGGGTAGAGATTTAGGAGTTTGTCCTTCAGCGCCTGTTTCATTTCCTTCCGCTCTTGTTCCGCGTCCACGATGTGCTTTTCGTACATCGGTTGGTAACCGTTCGGGTAGGCGATTTTCGTCGTATTATCCTCGTTGAGCTTCTGGTACATGGAGCAACCCTGCTCCGAGTTCACTAATAACTGCTTTCGAATTTCAAATTCCTTGTACTGTTCGTGACACTGCTCGCTGTGGCAGAATTTCTGGTCTTCCGGATTGGGTAGAAACGCTTTGGTCCAAAGCATCTCCCGTAGCTTGTTGATGGTGCGCTGCACCGTGCCCAGATTTTTCTTCGCGTCGTCCGTCATGAGCAAAGTGTTCCAGACATGATTGCCACCGAGAAGATGGAGCATGGAGTTCTGCTGGGAAGCAACATTTTCACCGTCTTCATGATCTGCGACAGAATCTTCATCGTCCTGCTCTTTCTTGAAAACGCTCGGGAACATGGTATCCGAGTACTGCTCCTCCACCGGTCCTCCTGGTTCTACTTTTTCCACTGTTAATTTTGCTTTCAACTTCTCCATCTGCATTTGCACCAGCTTCCCCACCTGCAGGTCCAAGTTGCTTAGTGACTCTTCAGTGGAAAACGCCGGGCGCCGTGCGACAGATGTTGGATCAAGAACTACATCATCTGCAGCAGTTGCCGACGTTTTGTCTTCGTAAAAATCGGGAATCAACTTCGTCAAATTCTGGCTCCACTCGTAATCCTGTAGGGAGTACAAAGCCTCTTGTAGCTGCTCGAGCGGCGTGCCTGTATTCGAGAAATTCTCAGACACGCCGTTCACGTTCTTGAAAGTACCCTGCTCGTAAATGGTTTTAGAATTCTCTTTCTCGCCACCTTCCACGGCACTCATTTTGTAGTTCCCTGCAGCTTTCCTTTCCAACTTTTCGTTCTCTTTCACCAAGAAGTTCTTCTCCTGCGTCTTCAAATTTTCGTACACTTCCCGGCCAAATTGCTCAATCAGAAATCCGCACTTCTCATCGGAATGCTCCAGCGCCGCGGCAAAATGCTTCATCCCCGCTTCCGGAACCACCGTACCCAACAGCTCGAACATGCGACGGAGCTTCTTGATGTAAATGTTCATTTGCTCCTTTTTGTGCTGCTTCAGAGAGTTTAGCTTCTCCACGTATTCATTCGTTACCGTTTCTTCGTACTCCTTTTTCAGCGCCTCGGCCTGTTTTTCCTTCCGCTCCAAGTACCAGGGAATCATTAGGTCTGACAGATCCAGCAATCCTCGGATCTGTTTGTCGGTGGCTAAATCCCGTTCCGCCTTCACTGCGTCCACCGCTTCCTGCTCAAATTTCGTGAACGGCAAGATCGGTTGTTTGTACTTTGGGTCCATCACCCGCGGCCCGTAGACCTTCGTGGTGTGGTCGCCGTGATGCTCCGTGTCTAGGGTCGCAAGTACGACGTCAACCAAGTCTTGCTTGTTGTCTTTGTAGATCTTCGGCAACAGCCCCGTTTTCAAACCTGGAATTTCGATCAACCGTAAATCCTTCAAATCCTTGTCGTTCTGACACTCGTCGTAGAGCTTCTTGTCCTCCTGTTCGCGTTCAAATTTGTGGTAGTCGTTCCCCCCATAGGGGTACCGCTCCTTTTCCGGCGGGGGCGGGGCCGGTTGGCTCGGATCGGTGTTCTCGTCAAACTCCAGACTGATGACCCACGCGTAGTCGTTAATCGTTTGCAGCTCCCCGTTATACAGGTCCAGCGCGTACTGTGCCGCCTTAGCGTGATTTGAAACACGGAGTTGCAGAGCCGGGTTATCGATCCGCGTGTTATCCATCGCCACAATGTAGGCCAGCGGGTCGTGTAGTCCGATCTTGTTCGTCACCTTCCGGCCGTAGTCCGCGAAGGCCTGGTATACAATGTAAATTTCCCGTACTTACATGTACAAAATGCATGACATATTCTGCTAACTTGCAGTGTACCACTTGTCATGCTAGACTAGGATGGAAGGAAAGTTTTGTCATGCAGAGACTGCATTTGTACGTGTACGGGAAATTTACTGTGGATACCTGGTCCCGCATGCTGTAGCCGATCAGCCGGCCCTCGTTGTGGTTTTTGATGAAACCCTATCAAAATGAAAAATCCCCCCTCCCCATATCAAAACGAAGCTTCTGATGCTGGATTTGCGTACACAAATCAGGTTGGTATTGCAGGAAGACACTGCGGCCAGATCCCCAGGCTAGGTCGGGGCGCATGGGTCTAGTTGTTCAGCATGGCAAACGGCTCCCCTTTAGGCCCAACAGCATGGCAAATCGCTTCCACAATGGGGCGAAAGCCCCTGCCATTGTCTTCTTGCAAGACAAATATGATTTGCGACCTCAAATCAGCAACGCGAATTTTCGAAGTCATACCTTTTCAATATGGGGAGGGGGGATGTTTCCTTTTGATAAACCCTCGTAGCAGGGAACGGTCGACAACTCGCCCGCGCCGGGAGCCTCGTCCATAGCCTGGATAAATTTCAGTTTGACGAGGAAGATTTTAGAAGTTTATTTGTATTGCACAGCGTGCAGCGTCGCTGGTGTTTCTCATGCGAGAGCTCATGAGATGAAACACCAGTGACAGAAAACGAGGGGAGCGCTGTGCAATTTTCTGTCATGCAGAATTCACATCAGACACGTGTCTGTTCTGTCTTCAACATGCGGAGCGTCCTACAACTTTATACCTGTTCCTGCCACGGCAACATCCAGTCCTGGTCGTGGTTTTCCGGGTCGTTCCAGTACTCATCCGTTTTCCTCTGTTTCTCTTCGTCCGCCACTAAATTTATTTTCCTCGCCCACTCCACCCCTTCCAGCGCCTGAAAACTTTTTCCCCCTTCCGGGAGCAGCGCCAAAGCCTGCTGTCCCGCGTGGTTTTGCGCGTTGAAGATGTGTTTGTTATACGGGTCTGCGGTGTTTTCCACATTGAACAGATTTCCCGCCCGGTTGTTGGCGTCGGTGTGGACAATCTGCTGCCGCTTCTTGTGCGATAGTAATTTGTAATTCAAATTGGAACAACCTCCATTCGCGGGGGTCTGGTTGATTTTCAGCTTTTTCAACTGCACGGTCGGAATTTCGTTGTGCGAGTCCATGCACTGCAACCGTTCCTGGTCCTGGTTCAGGAAATTGCGGGAAACGGTGCTCAGCGCCTTCCCGGAAGTGACCATACTGTTGTCGGACCGCAACCCGGTTCCGCCGGAGCCGGTCGGCAGCAAATCATACATCAAGTGCGGGTGCTCCCGCGGATCCACGCAGCGCTCGTCGAATGTGAAGCAATCTTCATCGTCAAAGTCCGCAATTTCCGGGTCGTCCTCCAGTACCTGCGTCGTGAATACCGTCGGCGGCGGCAGAATGGAGGTGCAGAACTGCTTCTCGTCCCCAACGTCCATCAGCGCCTCCTTCTTCGACCATTCGGGGACAAACGGCGCCCGCTCCGGGTGCTTCTTGATCTGACTGGCCCACCACGCGTCTTCCGTCGCTTTCATCTTTTTCAGCGCTTCTTCACTGTCCTTCAGCTTCGGCAATAAGTACTTTCTCTCGTAGATTTGCAACTGCTCGTCCGACAGCTTGCACTGGGAATTCAGAAAAAACCTCGCCGTGCGAAAATCCCCTCTGGGTAACGCCGTGTCGTAGACTTCTTCCTGTTTCAAAGCCGGGAACGCCTGGAAGGACAAATCGCTGTCGTCGTAGTAGTATCCTGTGCAAAAGTATCGCACTCGTATTGCAGTCATGCATTACAAATTTTTTTGTCAATGTAAATCCGCATTACAAATTTTATGTCTCATGCTGAGGGAATTTGTCATGCATTTATACGAGTACGATACTTTTGCAGTTCATAAGAAGGTTTGGTGGTCAGTTTCATCCAAACAGTACTCCATATTCGGGTAAAACTCCCGCGCGGCGACCAGTTGGCGCTGCGCAGCGGTCAGGGTGTATCAACTGCAAAAGTGTCTGGGTGGTCTGGAATATTGCCAGGTTTGTCATGCATATTTTGCATGACCCATAATGACTGCAGTGCATGACGTAGCATCACAGATTTTTGGAAGGCTTCCTGATGCCACCTATTCCGCATGGCAAATGCCGTCTCCGCGTAGCACAATCCGGGCTCCTCTTGCTGGTGATGCAATGCAGATTGTTTTCGAATCCAAGGACAGCATGACAAATTTGGATCCTTCCAGACCCACACATATTTGCAATGAATAGGGTGGAAGTGTTCGTCATGTTTGACCGGGTCGACATGCGGCTGTGGGTGGACATCATGCTCTGGTCGAGCACAGAAGATTCATCTTGTTGTAGTTCCTGCTTCACTAGAGGTGTGCTGTGAAAAAGGTGGCGCTGCTCGCTGTCGTGGTCCCTACTAAACTCCTGTTCCTGTTTTGTTTGCTGGTGCACTCCACCGACCTGCTTCATTCCCCCAACCGCTTGAATCGCGCTGACAACTTGTAGTTTCTTCATCGCGGAAAGATTTTTGTTCTTTCCGTTCCCACCCATCATCATCGGTGGCGCCTTGTCGTCGTCGTCCTCTTCGTCCGCGAAGGTGACCGTGGGCTTTTGCTTTGACGATTTTTTCTTGTTCATCTTTGTAGATGTTTTGGACAAAGCATCTCCAACGCTAGTATCATTTTCCAACGGTAAGAGCGTTTCCTGTTGTTCCTTCTTCACTTTCTTCTTGGAGCCTTGCTGTAAAAGTGGCTTCTTGTGGTCGGCACTAGAATGACCATTTGCAACATTTTCCAGCTGCAGCAAACTACCACCTTCTCCGTTATTAAATCCATTTTCCAGCGGGTGTGCGTCGTCGTCCTCGTTCGTCCACTCATTCGCCCCCATATGATCAAATTCGGGGTCGTTAAACGGATCATCCGCCACATCCACATCATACAGCCAGCGTTTCGGAATTTTGTAAATCGGACGCCAGAATGTGCCGATCCGCACATACATCTTCTCGGGCATGTGATCGAGCCTCCACGTTTCCTTGTCCTGCAGCGAACTGGGCAGCTCCATGAAGGTCAACTTCTGCTTCCGCTCTGCCTGTTGCAAGATCGGGTCCTTGTTGTTGCCGGGGAGCAGGGTGTTCTTGCTGCAAAACTGTTTCTCCATTTTCTTGATCGGGTTAAATTTGTCAAAGTACTTCGGCCCGGTTTTCCGGATGATCTTCAAAAAAAATTCCCCGAGGTTCTTCTGCCACTCAGGAAATTCGGGTTCCTTCTCGGATGTTGTTGTACAACTATCTCCGCAATTATTTTTTCGTGCAGCAGAAGAAGATGGCTCTTCTTTGTCATTTTTTCGCACTTCAGAACCACCTCCCGTACTAGTTCGAAAAGTGTACTTCGCCCGGACCTTCTCGTGCAGCTCAAATAACAGGTCCACGGGAAGTGCCATTTTGGCCAGAGTGCGGGACAACAACGCTTCGCAATGCTCGTAGCTTGGGTCGACAACAACTGTTGCAGCAGCAGCTTCGGAGTTCGTGTCAAAAATGTTACTAGTCTCACCACCCGCTTGTTGATCGTGCTGTTCTTGCTTGATTTTCGACTGGCTTCGGTTTATATCGACGTTGTCCTCATCTTCGCTCTCCATTCCAAGTTATCCAATGCAAAAATGTCTGGGTCTGGAACGTTGCAAGACTTGTCATGCAGATTTTCCATGACCCATGAGGTCTGGAATGCGAGACCCAGCATGACAGACTCTTTGAGGTCTCTATCATGCCTTTCTTGCATGAGAAGCTCCCTTTTACCTTGGTCAAAAGCGGACAGCTTTTGGTACTCACGCAACACAGATTTTTGCATCATTCAGATTTAGCATGACAGGTTTAAATCTTCCAGACCGCCCAGACATATGTGCATTTGATACAAGTTCCTTCTTCACCCTGATCTTCTTCGGGGGCTGGTCCTGCTCCGAAGCAGCTCCTGTACCACCACCATCCGAGGACATCATAGAGGCGTCAAGGTCGAGGTCCAGATCGAGCTCCTTTTTCACTTTGATGGAACTAGATTTACTTTTCGAAGTCTGTGCAGCAACTGCAACTGCCTTGCTTGTACTTTTATTTCCGCCTTTAATCGCAGACTTTTTCTCATCAACAGCCGCTTTCTTCTTACTGGAACCACCAGCACCAGCGCCCGTACTAGTTCCACTCTTGTTTTTCAAAATCTCGTCCTGCTGTGGGGCGCGAATTTTCCAGGGTGCCTTTTCGCGGGTCTCGCTGTTTTTCCAAAGGGATGATTTGAACAAGTCAAGGTATTCCATCACGGACTCCACCGGATCCGCCAGAACATCGTCCTTTTCCAAATGTCGCATATGCAAAGAAAAAAGTGTTACAGGAGTTACGCATTGTGTTGCAAGACCAGCAAGACAGACGATTTCTGTCATGCGCAAAATGCTTGCGAGTCTCGTTTCCTGTGTGTTTTGCTTTTGCCTTATGATCTCTGCATTACAAGTTTTCTCCGTTATGCGATGCAAATTTATTGTGATGCTGAATTCACTATAAATGTGTAACTGTAACACTTTTTTCCTTGGATATCGCACCATATTCTCCCAATACTCCATCTCCGAATACGGCGTTACCCCGGCCGCACCCGCACCCGTCAGCCCGTTTTTCGCTACGAGTTTTTGCGTCATGTCGGCGCGCCACTTGTCAATCTCGACCAGCCCGTCCGGGTCGTTTTCCTCGATCTCCAGGTCCCGTGCGTTCGCGGCATCGACGGACTTCACGAACTCGTCTCCCTGCTGCAGAATCACCTTCTTCCGATACACCCCCATCCGGCTGTAAAATTCGATCAGAACTTGTTTCGTAAACTCGTCGACCGACGGGAATTTTCCCTCGTTCAGACACAGATCGTAGCGGTAAAATTCTTGCTGAATGTTGTTTAACCCGTACGGCGTGGCGCCGCAGGTTTGCAGGCGAACTAAGGTGTCGGCTTCGTAGCGGTCGTAGTGGATGGGCACGTCGTACTTCGAATTCGTCAGTTCCGGGATGGGTTGGAAGTTCGGCGTTTGTTCCAACTCCGCCAACGTTCGGTTTTCGTAGGGTTCCGGGCAGTGGGGGTGGGAATTTGGCAGGTTTTTCATTGCGTAGGTCTCGCTCGGGTCCTCGTCCTCAAATTGATGTGTCTCTTTGTTCATCAAAATCTCCACCGGCTGCTCCACCAGCGCGACGCTCGTTTCGTGCTGCTTCCGCAGGGAGTTCGCTTGCTGGGACCGACCGAATTCGTCCCTCGTGTCCATCGCGTTGACCTCGGTGACTTGCTGCTCCCAGGCATCTATCAAATGCAAAAGTATCGTACTCGTATAAATGCATTACAAATTTCCCCAGCATGGGAAATAAAATTTGTCATGCGGATTTACCTTAAGAGAAAAACTTGTAACGCATGCCTGCAATTACTACGAGTACGATACTTTTGTACAGGATAGCATCCGAAGAAATTGCCATGGGCTTTTGCGCGCGTAGTGCGTCGCTCTGCTCCAGAAACTTGTAGCCTATCAAATGCAAAAGTGTCTGGGTCTGGAATGTTGCCGGGTTTGTCATGCATATTTTTCATGACCCAGGATGTCTGTAATGCATGGCCTAGCATCACAGATTTTTAGAGGGTTTCCTGATGCCTGTTCCGCATGACAAATGCCCTCCCCGCGTAGCACAAACTAGACTCCTCTTGCTGATCATGCAATACAGATTTTTTTGGAATCCAAAGACAGCATCACAAGTTACCACTTTCCAGACCCAGACATTTTTGCACTTGATATAGCCCATTTCCTTCAAATACGCCGTCTCATCGGCTTTCACCCAGGCTTTGTCGCAGTGCGCGGGAGAAGTCCGCGCCAGAATGTCCTCCGTGGTTAACAACGCCGAGCCGTCAGGATGTTGAAGAAGAGCAGGGTGACGTCGAGAAGTCGACAAGTCCTCACGAGCTGCTGCAGTCATGCCGGAGGTGTTGAGGTAGTCGTTGGTCAGAAAAGAACTGTTGTTGAGACCGTGAGGATCTTCTAAGCCCCCGCAGCGCTGGTCCTCGGCAAAGGAGTTACCGCTCGTGTTCGGGCCGGTAACCAACACAAACTTCTTGTCTTCTGCTGCTGATCTTCCGCTAACCAGGTTTTTATTGCTTTCCTTGTTCTTCGCAACTGTTCGAAAACTGTCAAAGTTCAGCTGGACGTCGTCGTACTTAGAAGTAGCTCGTCCTTTGTTTTCATCTAGTGAAAAAGAACCAGCTTGCTCTTGCAGTCCAGACTGGTCGTGGTCGGTGACACCGTTTCCTTCAAGCATGTCAACATCTTCATCGTTTTTGCTTTGACTTTTCTTCCTAGTTGATGTACTACCCACCACATCTTCGTTCCTCTTTGTCTTAGCCCCGGCGCTGTTCTTCTGGTTCGCGTTCGACTGCGTACTCCTTCTGCTCATCATGCTTTCGTTCAGCACGGATTGCTCTTTATCTTCCAGCGCCAGCAGCGACTGCTGCTGGAACGAAAACTCATTTTCATCATTCCTCATATGGAAGCGTCAGGTTTGAAACCGACAAAGCCGAAATCATTTGTCATGCATAAAATGGATACCAGTTGGAAGCCCAATTTCCAAGGGACGCATGACAAATTTTCGGAGCACCGGAATCCGATTTGTCATGCTGTTTTGGCACAGAAGACTGCTTTTGTCATGCTCCTACTTTGGCAGCTCTATTTCAAACCCTAAACAGGCTGACAGTCGGCCTCACTTGCCATCCCGGCAAGACAGGCACTTCATGCCTTGCATTTTATGCATGGCAAATCATTCCAACTTTGTCGATTTCAAACCTGACGCTTCCATACCCTGAAAGAACTTGATACTGCCGCATCACATCCTCGCGATCCTGTAGCGGCAATAGCTGGTGCGGTATGAAGTGCAAACATGTCTGGGTCTGGAAGAGTGCAGACTTGTCATGCATATTTTGTATGATGATTGATGTCTCTAATGCATGATCTAGCAACACAGATTTTTAGAGGGCTTCCCGATGCCTATTCCGCATGAGAGATGCTCTCTCCGCGTAACACAAACCGGAGTCCTGTTGCTGATCATGCAATGCAGATTTTTTCGGAATCCAAAGACAGCATTACAGGTTGCAATCTTCCAGACCCAGACACTTTTGCAATCCATATGCGGATCGTCAGAGCGATCCAGAATCTGCTTGTACCCCGTCATGCCGCTAGCCGTGCCCCGTAACCGCCAGTCAATCAGCTTGCCTTGCTCGACGGTCAAACCGGACTTCTGGTTGAAAAGCCGTGGCAGAAACCGGTTTTCCAGCTGCATGAGCCCGCCGCGGAGGGGGAGTTTCTTGTTGTTCTGCGGGTGCTGCTGCAGTACTCCTGCGTCGTTTTTGATTCTCGAGTCGGTGAAAATGTTGGTCATCAGCATGAAGTCGTAGTTGCTCTGCAACGCGAAGAACTTACCGTTTCCGATTATGGAAGCGTCAGGTCTGAAATCGTCAAAGTTGAAATAATTTGTAATGCATAAAATGCATGACCCGAGGTACGTGTGTTGCAGAGCAGGCAAGTGAGGCCGATTGTATGAAGCCTGTTTGGGGTCGTTAAAGCTCGAGCTGCTAAAGTAGCATGAGAACATCGCTCTTCTTTGCCTAAGCAGCATGACAAACTGGATTCAGGGACCACCGAAATTTGTCATGCGGGGTTCCAACTGGGTTCCAACTAACTGGGTTCCAACAGGGACCACTTGAAAACTGGGTTCCAACTGGCATCCATTTTATGCATGACAAATTATTTCAACTTTGTCGATTTCAACTCTGACACATCCATACCGATCGCGTTCAAATTGATCGAGTAATTGTACAACAACGCGTGGCATCCTGTGCAAAAGTATCGTGCTCGTAGTAATCCCATTCATGCATTACAAATTTCTTTCTCAAGTTAAATCCGCATTACAAATTTTCTTTCTCATGCTGAGGAAATTTGTAATGCATTTATACGAGTACGATTTTTTTGCAGTTCATACGTGGATTTTTTCCCAGTCGATCCGCGGGCAGTACCCCATCAAATACTCGCTCCGCGCGGTTACCGCGTAATTCAGCATGGCCTGTTTCCCGAGGTCCTGCTTGTTGTACGGGAAGGTCCGCGTGTCCTGGTCGCAGATCGCCGTGGACTCGAGCTCGTTGATCGCAAATGCGTTCAACATGTGCAGTGCAAAAGTATTGTAATCGTAGTATATTGCAGTCATGCATTTTTACAAATCTATTTTTATACCTGGATCTGCATGACAAACAAGGCCCACCCGAGCGTGGGGACAGGGTCCCCACGCTGGGGCCTTGTGCTCGTTCCTAGTGGCGCTAGTGGGGGAAGGGTGTTCGGCATCGGGGCGGACAGCGTCCGCCCCTCGCCTCACACCAGGCGCGCGCGTAGTGGCTTAGTGCGCAAAACGCTAGTGGGGGAAGGGTGTTCGGCATCGGAGCGGACAGCGTCCGCTCCTCGCCTCACACCAGGCGCGCGCGTAGTGGCTCAGTGCGCGAAGCGCTAGTGGAAAAAGGGCGAATTAGGCGCCCTGCATTTTGCAAGAAACAACAAAAATAGAAGCAAAATAAATATCTCTGTGTGGCTGCTGCAAAAAAGTTCTCTAATATTGAAGCGCAACGCCTTTCCGATTCCACAGAGCAAAATAAGCAGCTGTCTCCTGGCCGTGCATTGCAGAGATAGCCGCTTTTTTATTTTTGCATGGCAACGCAAAGACTTCTTTGTTTATGGAGGCAGTTTGTGTTACAGCTTTAATCTTTTCCATTTTTTGCGTCGCGTTTTTTTTTTTTGGCGCTTTTAGTCTATTCTTTTTTTTCACGTCAAGGTCAAGAGCGGCACTTGGCGTGAGAAATAAATATTTGCGCCCAGGCGCTGGTCTCGCCTGTGCTTTATCCTCTCGCTTCGCCTGTCGCGGCCACCTGTCGCGGCCACCTGTCAACGTCACCTGTCAAGATCGCCTGTCAATGTCACCTGTCAAGGTCACCTGTCAGGGTCGCCTGTCAACGTCACCTGTCGAGGTCACCTGTCAAGGTCACCTGTCACGGTCGCCTGTCCTGGTCACCTGTCAAGGTCACCTGTCGCCGGGGGGTAGGCGGGACCAGAACCCGGAAGTCAAGCAATGTAAATATTAATTCTAGAAGTTCCCTTCTTGATAAAATTTGTATTGCAATTTTACTAGTAGTACGATAATTTTGCAATGCATACAACGCAAGGGGCTTCAGGTCTTGTTGGAGAATCGCGCGGTAAGGTGCGTTTTTCTCCTCGACAAAGCGTCTCCGCTTCTGGGCTTTGATTTCCTCGAACAGGGCTGGGGAGAGTGAATGTGAATTGAATAAAATGAAATGATCTAGTAGGAGTAGGTGGTGGTCGTGCTGCAGCGGACTTCTTGTCTGTAAAAGTCCATTTCAAGATAATATTATCCGTCAAAGCTTTCATTCTTGCCAAACAGTGGCAATGCTTGACGTTGTTTCACTTTTTCATTTTCAGCAATGAGAAGGATTGGACGCACAAAAATTTCTGCACCAGCCGAGGAGTACTAGACACATAAAAATCACAACTCGTCACCAGTAGTAAAGTAAGTACTTACCTCGCATTTCCACCCATTCCTCCCTTTTTCTCCGACCCATGATTTTCTTGCCTGTTTCGTCGTAAAGGATCCGCTCCTTCCGCTTCAATCTGGCTTCTTCGAATTCTGCGCGTTTTTTCATTTTCCGCGCGTTTTTCTCCTCCTCCGTGTACGCAACAAGACCCTCCTCTTTTAACTCGGCCAATTTCCGGTACGTCAACGCGTTTTCCTTGTGGTACTTGCGCTTCACGTCTCGTTCTTCTTTGATCCGGCGTTTTTCCTTCTCCTGGAGCTTTTTCAGTTTTTTTTCGCGCTCCATCCTGCGCTCCCGCTTGAGACGACTTTCGCAGTTGGCTGCCTTTTCGCGTTTCTCTTTCTGCATCCAGTCGAGCAGCCGGCGATTCTTGTTTCGGTGGGGTTTTCCTTCTCCCCCACTGCCACCCGAATCGCTTTCGGAGCTGGGGTTGCGGTTTTTCCGATCCGATTCGTTGTCTGAGCTTTGTCTTATCCTGAGTAAAAACGTCCCGCCCCAGAACAGAGTCAACGTGCGAAATCTGCTAGACAAATCACACTAGCTTTGGTTGTTTGGCATGACAAATCTGGACGCGTAGCATAGTGCTGCTTGAGCTAGTTCAGCAGCATTACAGATCTAGTATCTCATGCTGATCTGAGCATGACAAATTTCAAAACCACATAAGAAAATGCTTCTCATGGGGCTCCGCATGAAAAACATTTTAAGCATGCAGAGTTGCATGACAACTATGGTGAGGGGACGTATTTACACAGGATATGTCTCTTCCTCTCGCCCTCGTCGTCAGAGTCGGGCCACAGGGGCAAATCGCCGCCGTTCGAATTCAACCACGCCTCTTTTTTTGCTTTTTTCTGATCTCGCTCTTCCTTCGGAAAGATTTTTCGTTGAAAATACTCCCGGTGCTCGTTGCGCTCCTCCTCCTTGACTTCGGATTTGAGTCTCTTCACCACCTTTCCGTCCTCGTCAAACCGTAGCACCAGCTCTCGGCCCTCGTGGTCCCGGATCCAATGCAAACATGTCTGGGTCCTCTGGAAACTTGTCATGCAAGTCTGTGAGTAATGAGCAGCCCACTGCAATGGGTGACCAAGCATGACAAGTTTGTGAACTCCTGCGTGTTGCGCTTTCCGCATGGCAGGCTTCATTTTTGCATGACAGTCAGGAGTGGATCTTTCTGCGCCTAAGCAACACAGAGTGAACAGTCATGCCAGAAAACCATGACAAATCTTGCATTCTTGTTATTCTTCCTGACCCAGACATTATATTTGCATTTGATATCCCGGATCCCCGCCTGAATTTCCCCTTCGTAGAGCAGTCGCTGGAACTGCTTTTCAAAGTCTTGTTCCGTAGCTGGGAGGGGCAAGACCCAGTCCGAACCGAGATTGTACTTGTCTTGATCCTGCACCATGTCGGAGAGGTGCGCGATCATATCCAAGAAAAAAACTGTGTAGGTGTAAATCTGTAATGCAGAACATGCAACAGAGTTACACCTGTCATGCCAGACAAGTGTGTTTTCCCTTACAAGCCACGCACGACAGGCTTTCTCTGTCATGTAGGGCAAATTTGTGATGCTGTTTCTCAAAGAAAGTTACACGACTTACACCGTTTTTTTCTTGCATAGATCAGCACCGCGTTATATTCCCGTCGGTGGTTGCCCTGGAGTTTTGCCAGCTGATTGTTCACTGCCTCGCGCCACATCTTCTGCATTTCCTCCTTCTGCTTCACCTGTGTGGCGTTCTCAACTGTTACATTCTCAACTGTCACATGATGGATCTGTGATGCAAAAGCACCACTATTATCCACACGATGATCAAGCTGCTTCGCATGATAAATTTGCAAAGTGCTAAACATTACCTAAATCCGACCGTGCGGAATTTGTAATGCTACAGGCGCAACCTCCACCCTTTCACGTTTCTCGTTCTTGCGTCACAAATCCACGCAACAGTTGAGAATGTAACAGTTGAGAACGCCATAAACTGGCGCATCTCCTTGTAGAACGTTTCCAGACGCTATGGGGGTGTCAGGATCGAAATCGTCAAAGTTGAAATTGAAATAGTTTGTCTTTGTCATGCATAAAATGCAACGCAGAAATTGTCTCTATTGCAGAGGACGCAAGAGAGGCAGACTGTAAGCCTGTTGAGGGGTAGAAACTGAGGTGCTCACGTAGCACGACAAAAGGCGTCTTCCTCATCCAAACAGCATGACAAACTGGATTTGGATTCTACCCAGATTTGTCATGCGCCACTTGGAAACTGGGCTTCAACTGGCCTCCATTTTATGCATGGCAAATTAAGTATTTCAACTTTGTCGACTTCAATCATGACAGGTCCATAGACGCGCCCGCTTCTCCCGTTTCTCGGCATCGTCGTTCGGAAACCGATTTTTATTCTCTACTTCCCCGCCCAAGTCCAAAAACGATCGCGCGCTGAAATTTCGCGCACCTACCCGGCCGGTGCCTTGTTCCTCCCCTGAAACATGAAGATCCTGCGAAGATTCGTGGTTGGGTGGCACGGGCGTGGGCTGCAGCAACGTGGGCAGCTTTATTTTATTGCGATCGTTTTCATTCTCTCTCTTCGGGCTCAGCAAACCGAAGGGATTCTTTTTATCCTGATCCTCATCTCCGCCATCAATCATGGAGTTCTTGTCATCATCTCCCCCAAGGACGGAGGACCGGGAGATCATGCGAGAAGATTTCTCTGCTGGAAGTAGTTGTGAAGACTGCTCCTTGTCTTCACCATCACCACCACGTGGTCGACCGCCGGGCATGGGCGAAGAACAAGATTCGTCGAGTGCAAAGAAGCCGGACAATTCCGACCTAGCAGCACTCGCAGGTACAGGCGAGCCCATCGGGTAGTCGGAGTACTCCATGTTCCACAGATGCTCCTCCAGCATGCCAAACTCCGATTGCGCCGGAATTTCGCTCAGCTCGTTCAGTTCCGAGAGGGCAGATGACCGGTCGTCCTGCTGATCACTCCTCCGATTTTTGTTTCTGCGACCTCCTCTGTTGCTGCCCGGAGTCACCAGGCCACTCATGTTCAGATCGTTGGGCGCCGTCCCCACCACGTCTATTGTCGAAAGGTCGACCTTATAAACTGCAAAAATGTCTGGGTCTGGTTCTGGAAGAGTCGGGGCTTGATGTCATGCAGATTTTGCAAGACCCGGCCCCGGGAGGTCTGTGATGCTGGTGCTAGCATCACAGATTTTTTGAGAGCTTCTTGATGCTAATTACGCATGAGAAATGCCCTCTCTGCGTGCCAAGAACGGACTCCTCTTGCTGCTGCTCAGGCAACACAGACACTTTTAGAGTCCGCAAACAGCATTACAGGTTCCACTTTTCCAGACCCAGACATTTTTGCAATCCATAGACCTGGCTTACGTCGAACACGGAGACTTCGGCAGCTTCGTCATCGTCTCCATCTCCGGCGTATCAACTGTAAAAGTGTCTGGGTCTGGAAGAATTCGAGACTTATCATGCAGCTTTTGCGTGACCGATGAGGTCTGGAATGCAGGACCTAGCATGACAGATTCTGTACGATCTTTCTCATGCCTATCCTGCATGAGAAACTGCCTCCCGACTTGGTCAAAACTGGGAGACTTTTGGTACTTAATCATGCAACACAGATTTTTGCATGCTTCAGATTTGGCATGACAAGTTGCATTCTTCCAGACCCAGACACTTTTGCATTTAATACAGCGGCTTGCTCGACGATGTTGTCCTCCGTCTTCCGGTATCAAATGCAAAAGTGTCTGGGTCTGGAAGATTTCTAGACTTGTCATGCAGGTTTTAGATGAGTCTTGATGTCTGTCATGCGTGCCCTAGCATCACAGATTTTTTGAGGGCTTCTTGATGCCTATTCCGCATTACAAATCAATGCCATCTCCACGTAGCAAAAATCACACTCCCTTTGCTGCTCATGCAATACAGATTTTTTTGCAATCCAAATGCAGCATCACAAGTTCCAATCTTCCAGACCCAGACATTTTTACATTTGATATCCGGCGCTTCGGGTTCCGCACGGGCGTGGACGCTGATGAAGCCTCCTGTTTGACTTTGACCTTCACCTTTGTCGTGCTTTGTGTGCCCTCATGATCTCCAAGAAAGCTCTCTTCGACGTGTAGTTCTTCCTTTGTTCCCGAAACCACACTACTTGCATCAAGCAACGCGTCTTTGATCTTGATCGCCGAAATAGTACTAGGATCTTCTTCGTCCACCTTCAACCGGGCACCAGCAGCTGACTCCTTGACTCTCTTTTTCCGCGCCTCCTCGACCATTTCCTGCTTCACGATCTCCGCGGCATGCGGTGCCGAGTAAAACTCCGGCCGCTGGACTTTGTCCACTTTCTCAAACTTCTTCAGCCGTTTCTGCAGGACGTGATTGCGCATGTGGTCAATGTCGAACGTCTGCAGTTGGAACCCGTTGCTGTAGTCGTAGTCCGGCATGTGCTATCAAATGTAAAAATTATGTCTGGGTCTGGAAGAGTCATGCTGTTTTTGCATGACGCGGCAGAAGGTTTGCCATGGAAGCTCTAGCATCACAGGTTTCGAGAAGCTTCCGACATGCCGAATCCGCATGACAAATCCCCCATTTTGGTGACAGAAAGTGGGCAGCTTTTGCTACCTATGCATAAGAGATTTTTCTGTGTTCTGAAATGCGCATTACAAGTTTGTATTCTTCCAGACCCAGACATTTTTGCAATGTATATGTGCACTTTGTCTTCGCAGAACTTTCGTACCGTTTCCGGGTCATCCTTGTTGACATTGTTTTTGAAGAAGATGTGATTCTTCATGGCCACTTCCTTATCCAGAACTGCCACACCTTTCTCGGGCTGCCACTTTTGGTTCTTAACCGCCTCGTCCATCTCTTTCCATTTCTGCTGCATGTGAATCGCCTGTCTCGTCTGCTGTTTCAGGTATTTTCGGTTGTAGGGTTTGTAGATGCTGTCGTGGCCCCGCCGGCCAAACGCTGCACTTTTCCCCATGTCCTTCTCGAGCAACAAATTGAACCGCTGCTCCTTGTCCGTCGTTTTGTTCTCGAGGAGGGAGTCGCGCTGGACTTGTTGTGCCATGCTGCTGGTCGTGGTCTTGGTGGCATCGGTATGTTGAATTTGATGCGAAGGAGCAAGAAGAGCATCGCCATTGCTATTGCCAGCTGCAGCATCCTGTTGATGATCGTGGTCCCGCATGACAACGTCAGCTTCGTGGTCCTCATCCTCGACTTCCTCTTTGTGTTCGAGCAAAATGGAAGCGCCAACATCTACCTCCACAGTGGGGGCTTTAGTGCGACGTGTACTATCATCTGCCTTCGCCGTAATTGAAGAGCTGTCGAATTCCTCTAAAAACCGGTCCAACATGTCCTCGCCCCAGAGATAGGAAGTGAATGCGGATTTCTGTTCGGCACTAAGCTCTTCTGGTTGTGGCGGTGCTGGTGGTTGCTGAGAGGAGTTTGTTGTTGACAATTGTTGTTCATCATGGTCTTTCTGGTTTCTGTGCATCAGTGACTTCATCTTCCCGCCGGTGCCATCTTCGACGGCACCAGTGTCGTTCGTCTCGCTCACCACACCGTTGTTCCCGTGCGGAGCGACGAGAACCTATCGAGGGAAACGATTGCGTGTAGAAGTGTAGCTCCTGTTTTGGACTCACAGCTCCGCAACAAATTCGCTCTGATGCATGATAGAAAAAGCTTTTCATACACCGCTAGTAATTGAAGCAATGTGATATTGACATCACTTATGATGAAGTGACGAGGCTCTGAAGTAGATGGATGCCGACATGACAAAGTTTTACATGTCCTAATTCCGCATCAGAGAATCACTATAGTTCTTACACTAAGCACAGTTTTTCATCTCTCGATAGAATCTCGTAGGGGTTCGCTGTCGCCGCGTGTTTCAATAAATTTGTCAGGCCGGAGCAAGATGCTGCTTGGTTTTTGTTTTGCAACTGACCAGCCTTTTCTTTCACCGCGGCCTTGACCGCGTCCTGGTCGGCGACCACGTTGTAGACCGAGACGCCGACATTATCCTCGAGTTCGTAGTTGTAAAACCGGGGCAGCGAATCCTTCATGTACATGCCCGTCAGAATTCGGTCGTGGTGTTATGCATTGCAAAAGTATCGCACTCCACTCTCGTACATTAAGTAATTGCAGTCATGCATGACAAAATGTCGCTCCAAACTTGAAACAACATTACAAATTCCACTTGTTTTTTTGCCGAAATTATTTCTGATGCTATTAGTGCTAGCACGTTAATATTTCTGCGGTGCATAGGTGCTCGCGGTCAGCGATTTCTTCCTTGGTCCAGGTGGTGCAGTTCAGGTAGTGCTCCCGCGAAGTCATCCCGAGAAGCCGCCCCTCCTTCATTTTTTCGGTTTTCGGAAAAACGTAGTCCCCCCAATCGATGTTGTCTTTGAAGAGGCTGTAGCCATCGTCCTCGAAATTCTATGCATTGCAAAAGTATCGTACTCGTATAAATGCATTACAAATTTTCTCAGCATGAGAAATGAAATTTGTAATGCAGATTTGCCTTAAGAAAAAGATTTGTAATGCATGAATGCAATTACTACGAGTACGATACTTTTGCACAGGATAAATTCTTGTTCTTCACGACGTTCTCCACCCAGCTTTTGTCAAAGTCTTCCACGTTGCCCAGCTATCAAATGTAAAAATGTCTGGGTCTGCAAGAGTGCATGTTTGTCATGCTTGTCTGGCATGACTCTTAAATCTGTCATGCACGTTACCCAAGAGCTCCGCTTTTCTGTGATGCAGAGGCGCAGTTTGTCATGCAGAATAGGCAACACCTAGGAGCTCAGAAATTTGTCATGCTGAGCCAGCATTTGTAGCGTCCTCATGAGACGCCACCCAGCATCACAAGTTTCCAGACCCAGACATTTTTACTTTTGATACCAACCTCTCCTTCTCCACATCGGGGATCAGAGACTCCGGGTGGACCGGTTTCTTCGCCTCCGTGGCGTGTTTGTAGGCAATGGAGTCCAACCCCTTCATCAGATGCTGAGTCACGATCGCGGATTCCTTAAAGCGGTCGAGTTCCGGCTTCACGGGCACGACGGACGGCTTGTATTTCGGCAGGTCGACGTCACTGTCGCTCGGATCCTCCGGGTTCTGCTTCGGAATCCAGAACTTCTTCTTCCACGCTGCCCGATGCTCCTGGCGACGCGCATCCTCGAGCTCGTAAAACTGGTCCCGCGTTAGCCCTTTTCGTCCTCGTTCCGAGGGTTTCTGGCCGGTTTTGTTGTTCGCGCTGTCTGTCATGCTGGAGTTTGTCATGTCAACTTTAATAGCGTCTCCAGTTGTTCTAGCGACGGCAGACGCAGCGCTGATGTTCTCCTCGGGTGCAACTTCATCCTTCACTTCAACTTTCTTGTCCGCCTGCTTCCCTGCTTTCTTCGCTCCAGCTTTTTTCTTCGGTTGCGGTTCGTCCGCACCCTGTTTCCCAGCAGCATTGGAGGTCTTGGCTTCTGGTTCTGCGTCTTCGGGCGGGAGCAGCGTCTCCGCCCCGGACTTCCGTTTTGCGGTATTTTTCTTGCTTTTATTGTCCATCTTGCCACTAGCTGGTGCCAGTGCGGCTGATGTTTCCAACGCGACGGGGCCGACGAGACTCGTTCGATCGTGGTTGCGGGCTGCAGGTGGAGTTGAGCAACTTGAAGTTGTTAATAGACGAGAGGACGAACAAAGACACACAACATGTACGTTCCTTGGTCAGAGAAGATCACACAACTTCTACATCACGGATCAAACAGTATTTGACTTTGACGCGAGTGAGTCTGTGTCCTCAATAATATTCATCGTGAAAGGTGGCGCGTGCGAGAGCTTTGAAATCAGCGTTAGCGTTCTTTGATCCGCTCATCAATACTGCTATCTCAATCTCGTCGCACTCGCTCTCAACAGCTCGCGCACCAACATGATGCCGCCAGCGCTATTCTCTATACTCTATACTGGTTCTGATTTACTGTTTGTCCTCAATCAGAATCACACACATTCATGCCCTTCCAACCAAGCGTGGCTAGTTGTTCTTGGGCAAAACTAGTTGTATTGATGATGACGGGTATAATCACTAGTATTGTAATTTTTTCCTCACACATTCCTCGCGTCGCTCCTTTCCACTAGACAATACCCAAGTATCCAATTTGATTGTCTTTACGTCGGTTCAAACTCAAGGGACAAGAACACACATTAACACACCTCGAGCACAAGCTTCAGCATCCTTTTTCTTCATGCCTCGTCGCAGCATCGATTTTTCTTGGCGCAATCCTACAAAACTAGTGCATTATAAGTGCTGGAGTGAAATAGGAGTATATTGTCGTGTCATCTGCACATGAAGCTGCTTACGCAGCTACTTTTCATTTTCACCTTCCTCTCACGCCAGCACTTCCTCCTCCACCGATCATGTTGTCGTAGTATGGGCTATTTCGTCGACCCGGGTTGTTGAATCCAAAAAACGGCACGCCACCGCCCGCCACTCCCGGCAATGGGCAACACGTCCCGTACTGCGCACAGTTCTGCACCAGAAAGAAAAAGCCGCAGCAAGATTATGCAATACAAATTTCCCGTCCATGTACAAAATGCATGACGACTTTCGCCATTACTCCGAGTGTGGTCCAACTTGTCGCGCTGACGAAGATTGCAGGCAAGTTTTGTCATGCAGAAACAACATTTGTATCTGTACGTCGTGCACGGGCAATTTCCCGTGGATAAGCAGGCCACTCCGAACACGAACCAGATCAGCTCTAGCAGAAACCGTGCAAACGTGTACTGCGCAGGAACAGTTTTCCCCTCCTGATACAAGTCACCATCGTCGTAGGTTTGCGAAAGCCGGCGCTGCGACGACTGATACTGCGGAGGAGCGGGAGGGTAGTTATTGTACGGCGAAGATGGAGGGGTCCCCGCTGCAGCCGCATTGTTGTACCCGCCATAGGGGCTTCCGGAGTTGTAAGGTGAAGGTCCGCCGGGAACGAGGACATTGCTCGAGACCACACTGGGCGGCAGCTGTTGCTGAGACGGATAATTGTACGTGTTGTAATCTTGAGTAGAAGGAAACGTCGAGTAAGGTGACGCGGAGCCCCCGCCCCCTGGTGCGGCCGGAAAGAACGATGAGTCGTATGCCGCGGCACCCGGAGCAGCTGCTGGATAGAAGAGCTGGGAACTACTGCTGCTGATAGAAGGTCCTGCAGCGCCAACTCCTGGTGCTGGAAAGGGATTTGCCCCAGTAAACGTAGTAGAACTGCTGGTTAGCCCACTGTTTCCGTAGCTACTCGCGTAAACGTTCGCACTGGTAGAGCCCAGGTTTTTCAAAAAGTTGAACTGAATGCGCTCCATCTCGATACCAGTCGCCTCCGCCCGACGCAAATCCAGTTGCGCCGCCCGGGCGTAGAAGCTCGCCTCGGTCGCCTTGCGCTCCGCGAGAAATCGGTCGGCGGGAGAAGTTATGCGTTGCAAAAGTATCGCATTTTTTTTTTTAGGAAGAATTGCATTACAAATTTTCTGAAGAACAAAAATGCTGCAATTTGTCATGCTATTATAGCTATTTCAGGTATAAAATTATTGGTTTCGGTAGTTTTGTCGTGCATAATTGCGATTAGTACCTAGAACGATACTTTTGCAATGCATAGAAGCGCTCGCGCTCTGGTACAGCTGGATGGCTTCCTGGATCAGCAGTGTGGCTTTCGCACCGAGGGTTTTTGCCGAGTTGGAGTAGGCTTCCAGGGCGTGCTGCATATGCTGCAGCCGCGGGGAGGAGGTTCTACTTGAGGCGGAGGAGGAGAATGTTGACGCAACTTGCTTTCTTGCCGAGCCCGCCGAGCCCGCATTTTCACGGTGGTGCTGCTGTAGCAGCTGCTGCAGCTGCTCCTGCCCTTGATGGCGAATTGGATCTGTAGCCGCAGCTTGGGCTTGCCTGGACGAGGAGAGCTGCCCTCTCTTGCTCGACGAAACCAGCGATGTTGTTGCCGGAAATGATCTGCTTGGCGTTGGCACACTGACACTGGTCTCGCTGTTGCTGTCTGTAGTCGTGGTGCTCGGCTGCTGCAGCTGTTGCGCAACGTGTTCAACAACATCTGGCAGATTATCGTTCTTCTCGTTACTAGTCGTGGAAGTGGCCACGTTTTGGTTTCCACTGCTGTCGTTCTTGGTGCCGACAACTCCAGATCCAAAAACCTCCTGTTCTTGAAAAGTAGCTGCAGAAGATGCTGCACTGTCGTCGACGTTGTAAATGTTTGGTCCGGATTTTTGAGTCGTGGTTGAAAAAGATTTCATATTAGTTTCACTCCTGCCCCCCGGCCCAGTCGCGCTCCGACTGCCGGCAGTTGTTGGCTGCCCTGAAGAAGAAGAAGAAGATGTGCTTCTGTGGTCTGCTGCAAAAATATCGCTGGTTTCCGCCAAAATTTTGCTTACACTGTTCACCTGGTCACGGATAATCTGGTCCTGGAGAAGATCTTGATCTGGTTTTGTAGAAGAGTGCGACGACGGTGCTGCTGTTGGGAGATGAAACGACGGCAGGCGGCCTCCGTTTGCATCGGGCGGACCACCAGGTCGTGAAGCTTGTTCTGGCGGCCCAGCATTGCGAACAGGGTGGCTTTTCACTTCTTGCTGCACCTCCGATTGTTCTCCTATTCGCGGCCCTGCTGTGTTGATCTTCGCGTTGAGAGGACCTGTTGTAGGTCCTTCTTCTACTGCATCACCTGTCTGCCACTGCAAGACGTCGCCCGCACTTCCGCTTGTTTTTCCCGTCGAAGCAAGGTGTAATTCGTTTTCAATCCGCCCCAAAGCTGCGTCCGGGTCGCTGATGCTGGTTTCAAGGAGATCTGCATCTTGATGATCCTGTTGGGCCGCCGGCCCGTGAAGATCCAGATTGTGGTGAGCCTCTTGAGCGAGCCTCGTGTCCTCTGGCACTGTGTTGAAAAAAGAAGCTGCTGCTGGATCACTGCGGTCGCTGCTGTTCTCCTCCTGCGCAACAACTGCCACCGCTCCTAGTACAGACACCAGCACTACAGATTGTTCGAGTACCTTCGCAGGATGGAGCAGGAAAAGCGCCACTTGGGTGGAGGTCATCAGCAAATGGAGACGTCGGTTGACGCAGGACCCGCGTCGAGGTGAACCTGCAGCGCCGATTTTGAGACGAGAGGCCATGTTATTCAGGAAGGCGCCGGTGTTCTTGGAACTTGAGAAGCAGAGGCAGTAGGAGGCCGAAATCGCCTCCAGATCTTGTCGGCGCAGCTGTATTTAAATTTGTCTTATGTTTCCGAAACCGATACCCATGCGTGGAAACAATCTGTAAAACAATAACTGTCTGAGTCTTCTTCATTTTTAAACTATAGCGCGAAGATCATCTTCGTGTGTTCGTCACGAATAAGAGGAGCAGCGAGTTGTATACCACGACCTTGGCTCTCTTGTATAGAAACGCTCAGAAAGACGGCCCGATTTCTTTTAGGCTAGTAGACCATAACACTCATAAACTCGTCCTGCCTTCAGCATCTTGTCGTCCCTCTTTGCGACTTCTACTCATTTCTTCAACGCGATTTCTTATATGTTAATGTCCGCGACAACGAGAAGCAGCCTTTGCCTTTAATTCGTGAATAGAATTATTATTATAGGGACCACGACAAATAAGAATAACGTGGGTCAGACGCGGATAGTATCACGAAGAAGTAGAAGTAGCAGCACGACTCCGCTGGAACAGATTCCTAGTCGTGGAAGTCGTTGCGTAGAACACTATGAAGACTTCACCAGCAGGTAGCCAGGTTCTTTGCGTGCTGTGTCTGTTTTTTGTAACTAATCTTTTGCAAAATAAACTACACAGGCACGAGATTAACCTCCGCCCACACACAACTGACTGCTGCATCAGCAGCACAGGCCTCCTCAGCACCATCAAAGGCAGAATCGCTGGGGGCGGCCGCACGCTGCAATAAATTTTCCTCGCTCGTCCGGATCGCCAAGTGCCATGGCTGGGTCGAAATGCTAGCAGTTGCCGTTGTGATGAACTACGAGGGAGCGACGTGACGGCCCTCGCAGCAGATCGCCGTCGCAGAGCCTCATCGATGAGTAATGAAGCTGAGTGTGAATAAAGATGAAACTGGAGCGAGAAGCTACAGCTGTACAACCCCAACCACTCGGAGTAGACAATTAGGATTAGCACCAGGTTAGATGTATTATCTTGCCTGCAGCGGATTGGTCCCGTAGCCCGACTATGAACTGCAAAAGTATCGCACTCGTATAAATGCATGACAAAGTCCCTCAGCATGAGAATTAAAATTTGTAATTCGGATTGACCTTGAGAAAAAAATTTGTAATGCATGAGTGCAATTAAGTACTACGAGTACGATACTTTTGCACAGGATACCGACAAGCCCCCGACAACCCAGCTTTGCTCCTCGATGGGGAGTGCGCGAAAAAACTTTTCGAAAATCTGCACCCGTTGCTCGTCCAGAGATTTCTGCGTCGGGAGCAGGACCGGAGTTGTAGAGGAGGTGCTAGAAGAAGCTCCACCTGAAGTTGATGTGCCCGCCGTACTGATCAGCCGTTGCGGTTTGTCTTTCAACTCGACAAAGTAGTACACCCACTGTTCCTATCCAGGAAAAGACACCCATCCCCATCCAATTTGTCATGCAAAACACGCATAAGTGCCAATGTTTGTCATGCAAAAAATGGATGGGGATGGGTGTTTTTCCTGGATAGTTCCGGGTACGTCACTTGCATGGATCCCTCGTCTAGAATCACGTCCTCCAAAAGTTCCATCCCACCGCGGATGTTCCTCGCCAAGTGCCTCTGGTTCGTCTGCTCCAGTTATGAGAGTTCTACTACTGCGCAACGAGGACTCCTCCGCACTTGTCGGGCATAAGCAGCAATACAAGCGTCGGCAAGACCAAGAGAATAAAGAGTGCACGTTGATTTGCATGACCACAGATTCACGCGAACAAGATCGTGGTCCTGCTTGGGCTCCTGCCAGACGAGCCTGCACCTGTCATGCAAACAGTGCCAAGAAGCAAAGACCAGCCTTAGTATAGATACTTTTGCATGACAAATGAGGGGTCCTCACAGTACCAGTTGTGCATTCTCGTACCAAAAGATCGATCAGACGGCGGATGAATTTTTCCCGCTTTGTGTCCGAATTGTTCCAAAACTCCGTGAAGAGCCGCATCCTTTGGGGGTAGGTGAGACGGTGCTTGAAAAAGTTCAACACGTCGTCGCTAACATTCTTAGTCGTCAAAAACGGATACGAACCCTCCGGAAAGGGTTTGGTGTGCTCGCTATCGAAAAAGCTGCACTTCAGCGGGTTTGTTTTAGATTTACCGGTTTGGCTTGATGAAGAAGAAGCAGAAGGAGTTGTTGACGCGTTGCTTTTATCGTAAAGAAGTCCACCCCAACTACCGGAAGACGACGGCTGTGGTGCAGCTCCTACTTTCTTCAAAAGCTTTGGCTGGTGCGCCGCAGCAGGATCGGTTGCAAGAAGGGTATTGGTGTAGTTCGTCGGCGAAGAACTCATCGTTCCACCAGGCAACATTTTCTCGACCGCACCACCGGAACCCTTGGAGCTAGAGTTTGAGTTTTTGCCGGCTCCTGGTCCTGCTGCAGAGTTAAAATCATGCTGTCTTCTTAGTCGCACGCTGTGGTGCTGATCCTCGTCGGTTGAGTGCGATGTTGCGTCGGAATCCGAGGAGGCGCCTTCTGTATGGAGGAGGAGAAGAAAAAAACTCTATCGGAATAAAAGCACCAAATGCTTAAACATAAATCTCCGAACCAAGTATATCATAATTGCTGGTCATCATCATGACAAAACTTGATGGCCGCTACCGTCGCTTTCTTGAACAGAATAGAGACGATGCAAAAGAACTAGGAGCAAAGAATGTTGATGAAACTCCAGTCCAGGATACAACAATCGCGCGCAAGAAAGAAGGCAGCACAGAGCATACCTGAACAATCCTTGGTGTAGTGCTTGCAACATAGCCCCTCCCCCGACGGTGGTTTTCTTCTTGGATAGATGTTCGCCCATTTCGAGTAGTCGATAGGAGGCATTGTCAAGAAGAGCCGCGTGCTCTTGCCGTACCACTATTCAAGTTCAGCTGTTGTACCACTGTTTAAGTCCACAAAATAAAGGTCGAGTACGTCAACGTGGTGAGATGTTGAAGAAAATCGATTTATAGGCAACCCTAAAATACAAGTAATAGAAGAAGTGTTGTCTTGTCTTCACGGATCAACGCAGAAAGATGAAAAATTTATAGTATATAGAATTGCATTCGCTTCAAATTCAACTTGGTTGTTAACGTTGGTGATGGTTGTGATGGTGGCCCTGACGCGAGTACTACATGAGCAAGAAAAGCATGATAGAGACAATTATGGCCTCATCAGTAGCGCAGCAAAACAACGATAAAAGCAACTACCTCAACGCCAACTACTGCGACAAAAATACAGTTGATCTTCTCCATGCTGTATACTTTCATTGAAGAACCAGATCCTCAGCGTAGCTGTCGCGGGGCCCAAACAAGTGAAGTGATCAGCGTCTTCAAAATTATTGAAAAGTAGCTCTACAGGTAAAAGAACGATCTGTGTCTTCAAAATCGAAAAATAGCGCAAAAACCGGCATCATAGCTGAAGGAGCTTCAGGTTTCACTTTTGATGCTCGTGGTCTGCTATTTCTACTACTTGCCGTCCCATCCAGATGCGCATCTCGCCGAAGCCCATTTTTGGGCCAAAGCTGACATTCGAGCAAAGAAACGAATACTTACAATTTCATTTTTACGTGGGCAGCTTCTTCAGAACTCCGGAGTAGAGCGAACACGCGGCAGAACCGGCTTGTTCCCATGGGGTCGGTGGGGCATGACCTCATCCTTTCTCTCGGAGATGGAACAAAAGGAAAACTATTGACTCCTTGTTCGATGAAAAATAGGGTGTCGGTGTGGCTTTATTGTAAAATTACGGTGAAACACAAACACGTTTATTATGGATGCAGATCTATGCATATGCTAAATGGAATTCATCTACGGTTCTTGGATAGAGCTCCTGTTGTTGTCTCCTACTTTAGATGATAGGTGGTTCGTTTCGCTTTCCATGATGTACTTATTTCATCTGGTAGACGAGTCTTCTTCTTCGAGCGAGGAGATCGTTTTTTCTGATTTTTCCTCTTGATGGTTAAATTTAGCTTGAGTTGTAAAGCCCTTGGTGTTGGTTTCTGTGGTAAGTCGTAGAGCAGTAATGTGAAAGTGAACGATGAGCGAAAGTATAGTATAATGAGCCAACATCGAAAAAAAAAGGCACTCGTGTGTTGTAATGTACCGGAAAAACAAAATTGAAAAAAGATGGGGAAAAAAAATGAAGAAAAAAAAATGATTAAACAAATGAGGAAATGTAAGAGCTGACCGACTGCAAAAAAATAAATATTAAAAGCAGCTTTTTGTTTTTATTCGCGCTAGAGATTGATAGGGGTGCAATTATGAAAAACAACTGTCGTCCACGAGGGGGGTGATCGGGAGCTATAAATCGCCGAGTGGATCACGCGACCTTTAACAGCATCTCTCAGTCCTCGTCGGGCGCAGCAACACGCTCTTTCGTTCTTGGAATACAGGGATACAGTAGCTGCAAAAAAATGGGAAACAGAGAAATGACGAGTAAGAAAATTATGCGTGAATGAAAAATCTTAAAAATTCTTGTACAGACTGAGTTTACCTAGAAATTCTTGCTACGAGCCTAGCTTGAATTTGAAAAAACAAAAAAAGAAAAAAGTCAAAATGTTGAGAGAAATAATATCATGCTCTTCTACTTCCCGACCCCTTTTGTCGGGTTTTTCTTTTTCCTCTTACCGGTCCCAAATGCCGAAACCATCCATAACCAAAGCGTGTTGGTCGGTATCAAGTGTAAAAGTGTCTGGGCGGTCTGGAAGATTGCCAGGTTTGTCATGCACATTTTGCGTGACGTCTGATGTCTGTGATGCCTGCCCTAGCGTCACAGATTTTGTGAGGGCTTCCTGATGCCTATACCGCATGACCAATGCTCTTTCCGTGTAGCAAAACTTGGGCTCTCTTTGGTGCTGCTCATGCAATACAGAGATTTTTAGAATCCAAAATCAGCATGACAAGTTGGATTCTTCCAGACCCAGACATTTTTACAGTTGATAGTCGGGACGTTGAAAAAGCGCGTACCCGTTCACCCACATAGCGAGATATCCAAAGTAGTAAACAAGTTTTCATTTCCATACACGTACGATAAAAGCTGTTCGTTGAATGATGCCAGGGTGCATCATCTTCCTGACTAAGTACCGTCTTATTTGAAGTTCGGTTTTTATTTTTTACTTCTCTCGAAGCAAGAGAGCATGACAAAGAACTCGGGTGATGTTGTGTCTTCACAGCTTGTTCAACGAAAATATCCTGCGGCGGTAGTTCAAGTTATTGAGTTTAATTTTGATGAATACTGTGCGATGCATTCACTGATATTAGGCCAATTTTTTACATTTCGTACGTGTCCGGTAAAGAAACAGAAAGTTTGTTTTGCGTACCAGCGAGGAGACATCGTTCGGGAAGGCTTGGAGGTCCTGGATGTGCCAGTTTTTATTTTTGAACCGTTTCATGTCCCGATATCAAGTGCAATTTTGTCTGGGTCTGGAAACCTGTGATGCTGAATTGAGCATGATTGAAGCGCTTGCAATGGCAGCCAAGCATGATAATTTTTTGAGACGCCTTCTGATGCCTAGCACGCATCACAAATTGCGTTTTTGCATGACAAAGAATCCTTCTCTTTTGCTGCTCATGCAACACAGATTTTCCGGGAATGCAAGACACGCATCACAAGTTCCACTTTTCCAGACCCAGACATTCTTGCATTTGATACCCGCACCGTTTTGTCAATGATGATGAGCCGCAGATGGCCAAGCTTCGGATCTTATGCAGCGCAAAAGTATCGTACTCGTAGTAATTGCATTTGTGCATGACAAATCTTTTTCTCAAGGGAAATCAGCATTACAAGTTTACTTTGTAATGCTGGGCTAATTTGTAATGCAATTTATACTAGTACGATGCTTCTGCATTGCATAGATCTGCATGGTGAACCCCGTCCAGCATGAACACTTCCCACCCACTGAACAGCGGCGGCGTGGCGGGAGAATTCACATCGAAGGCCTACTATCAAATGTAAAAGTGTCTGGGTCTGGAAGATTGCCACGTTTGTCATGCATATTTTGAATGACCCATGACGTCTGTGATGCATGACCTAGCTGGCATCACAGATTTTTAGAGCACTTTTTGATGCCTCTACCGCATGAGAAACGCCCTCTCCACGTAGCACAAACTGGAGTCCTTTTGCTGGTCATGCAATACAAATTTTTTTAGAATCCACAGACAGCATTACAAGTTTAGAATCTTCCAGGCCCAGACATTTTTACATCTGATACCTTCCATGTGTTTACCACTGTGCGGAGAGGAGCAGGCTCAACGTCCTGGTCGTGTTCCGGCCGCTGCAGCTGGTTATCAACTGTGAAAGTGTCTGGGTCTGGAAGATTGCCAGGCTTGTCATGCATATTTTGCATGACTCCTCAAGTCTGTGATGCATGCCCTAGCATCACAGATTTTTAGAGGGCTTCCTCATGCCCATTCCGCATGACAAATGCTCTTTCCGTGCTGCAAAATTTGGACTCTCTTTGTCTTTGCTGCTCATGCAATACAGATTTTTTTAGAATCCAAAATCAGCATGACAAGTTGGATTCTTCCAGACCCAGACATTTTTACAGCTGATACTGCTCCCCGTCTTGCAGCTGGTCTTGTTGATGTTCTTGCTCGTCGGAATTGTAGTGGCCTTCATAACGCTATCCTCTGCAAGAAAAGTGAGTATCGCTATCGCGCTCTCAATCTGAATGACAAGTCTTGTTTCTTAGGCAGAAAGAATTACAAAGTATTTCACTTTTATTAATCTTCATGCTGCGCAAGTTATTTGATGTCATGCGGTTGTTGATACATAAAGCTCCGAATCAGTACTGCGATATTTTCACTTTTGCAATGCATAAACGCGGATCCGGGAGAAAAGCAAGGCCATGGAGCTTGTCGTGCTCCTGGTTTGCCTCGAGCTGGTCGTATTCCTCGGGATCTGGGTATCCTGTGCAAAAACTCAACGTACCAGTAGTAGTACCCATCCCACCAGATTTATGTCATGCAATTCTTGCTCTTGTTCTTCTGGCAAGTAGGGCCGGAGGTCGTCAGTCACTCCTCGTCCTCCCTGATGTTGCAAAATTTTTGCATAAATAAGGGCGTTGATGCGTAGCTGTGTATGTTGGGTGGAGCAAGAACCTTTCATGGCGCTCCTCCTCTAAGCAGGAATACATAAACAAACGGCCACCTCGAGTACTCACTAGAAGATGTTGTTGTAGCCGCGGCGGCCACGAGGGCGGCGCTACCTGGTTGTACAACGTACTTAAGCATGACAAGAAAAGCCAGATGCTTGTTGTTTTCACGACTCGTGAAGTAGTAGACCCCGCTCTTCAAGAGTGGTCTTGCGAATGAACTACAAATCCCCAAAAAAAACATTCAGAAAAAAACACCCATCCCCATCCATTTTGCCATTTTTTTAATGCAAAAAAATCATGAAAAATAAATAAAAAAAGAAAAAAATCCGAAATATTTTTTGCATGGCATTTGCGAGAAGTGCTAACTGATGGAGCTAGCTAGTGGCGTCAGTGGCTGCACATACTTTCGCTATGTGATTTTAAGGTGGCTAGCTGAAACCGAGATCCGAACCACGACCGAGAAATACAACTCGCCGAAGCCAGTTCTCGTCGTTGGGCACCTCTGGTCCCATGGAGGTTTTGAACTTTTGGCGCAGTCACGCACAGATACCCAGAGGTAGCGGAGAACTCGCCAAGAACGCCGCGGCTGCACCATTGAAATTAGCGGGAGCAGCACCAGCTGCGCAATTATCATCGATAGTTGCAGAGCAGATCTTGCGTTCCAGCTCACGAAAAAAAAACGATTTTTTTTTTCGCAAAAAAATGTCACGCTTTTGAAAATGCTCACTTTTTTGATGGATGATGTTTTTTCGCACGACGGCACCACAAATATTGGATCGACCCATCCAGTCCATTTTCTTGTAGAAGTGGCTGGATGGGTCGAGGCAATATTTGTGGTACCGTCGTGCGAAAAAACATCATCCACAAAAAAGTAGGAATTCTTGCAATTTTCAAAATGACACTAGAATTTGTGGATGATGTTTTTTCGCACGACGGTGCCACAAATATTGCTTCGACCCATCCAGCCATTTCTAGAAGAAAATGGACTGGATGGGTCGATCCAATATTTGTGGTACCGTCGTGCGAAAAAACATCATCCATCAAAAACAAGGTCAATTTCAAAAACGAAATTTTTTTGGAAAAAAAACAAAATCAAAAAGTTTTTCCTACGGCAGCCTTGCCGAACAGCAAAAGTCTTCCCGTCCTGAATTTGTATTATCCACTCGAACCGAAAGGACAGCACGTGTCAAAATCCATCCCAGGTCCGTCGCTTTCATCCCATGTGGCGACGCGGCGGCATGGCGATATGGCCACTGCAAAATGGGCCAAGCGATGGGGCCAGAGTCGATGTGCGGCGGCGAAAAGAGGCTTTTGCAGGATCTGGAAGTCGTCGCCTGCTGCGATGACCTGTGATGGACCTAGCAAATTTCATTCATGTCAAAAGTTCCTAGCTATGACGCCACTTTAGCTATGTCACCATTAAAGTGATTGCTTCCGATGCCGATTGGTGACAACCCTGAAAATTTTTTGAAAAAAAGCCGGTTTTTTTTTGTTGAAAAAATAGCAAAATGGATGGGGATGGGTGTTTTTTTCTGGATAATTATCTTCTTGACTTCTACGGGGTGAAGATGGGCACTACGTAGTGTACGTAGAACTAAAAGTTCTTTTTACTCAGGATAGCACTTCGCCAATGATCATGGGAACCCAAACCGGCTGCTTCCCCGGAGCCAGAACCGCATGCGGTTCGTCTTGACCGAGAAGCTCCTGCCTGTATCCAAGAAAAAAAACGTTGTTAGTGTAAATTTGTGATGCGCAACACTCAAGATGATTTCGTGTTTCATGCATGGCATGCATCGTAAGGCCCATTAAAGGGCGTTTTCACGTCGTACTATCTGCGCATGACAGGTTTTTGCTGTCATGCCAGACAAATTTGTAATGCTATTCCTTCAAAAAAGTTAGACCTACAATGTTTTTTTCTTGGATAGCCCGGTCTCGGGGTTCACGACCGCGACGTTCTCGCGCCCGTGCAACAGCTTCTGCACTTTCGCGTGCAAAGCGCTCCGCTGCCACTTGTGCAGGTTTGTCGCTTCTGAGCCCACCAGCGTCGCCGGGTCGACCTCCTCAACCACCGGACGACCCGCGTTTGCAACAGCGTGAGGAGGAGGAGGGCCCGCGGCCGCGCCCGCAGGGTTCCCGAAGGGGACTCCACCACTGCGCGGGCGAGGCAACGGCCCTTCTTGTAGAAGTGGTCCACCAGTAGCAGTACCCCCGACAGCATCAAGAGGCGCGATCTATCCAGTGCAAAGATCGTGTCTGGGTCGGGAAGGATGCAAGGTTTGTCATGCACGTTTTGCATGACTTCTCCTAACGTCAGTGATGCATGGACTAGCATCACAGATTTTGCGAGGGCTTCCTGAGTGATGCCTTTATCGCATGAGAAATGCCCTCGCGCCGTGGCAAAAACTGCACCACCACCTCTTTTACTGTCCATGCAATTATACAGATTTTTGTAGTATTTGTAGTATGCAGACGCAACATCACAAGTTACATCCTTCCAGACCCAGACACATTTGCAATCCATACAGCCCCTCCTCCACCTGCATCGTGCGGCCCCAGACTGGCAGGAAAAGAAGAACTTGTACCTTGCGCCGCGGCAAGAAATGCTGGATCCTGTGCGTGAAGATGTTGTAGCCCTCCTGCATCAAGATCATGTTCATGTTGAGCAGGTAAGGCTGGAGCAGGTGGTTGGAGACCATACTCGCCCCCTTGTAGTCCTCCCCAGCCGACGGCAGGAAGAGCATGCGGAATCATGCTTCCACCCGCTACTGCTTGTAGTCCAGTATGCGGATCCAAATCACCACCGCCGAGATGAGATGTTGCTGTATCAAGACCATGGCTGAGTAGAAAGCCCCCATCTGGGGCATTTATATTTTGCATTTGCTCCGTAACAGTGCTGCCGGTAAAAGCACCAGCCCCAGAAGCCGTGGCTGGCGAGGTGGTCCTAGACAGCCCCACCTTTTGAATCAGCTCCCACAAATCGGTTCCCACCTGCTGCTTCACCACTTCCGTGAGCCCGGTCTTGCGGCTGAAGTAAGCCGCCCGCACCACCGTGTTACCACTTGCCGGTTGGTCGCGAGGCCAGGCGACGGCCACCACCGCCACGTTTGCCTGCGGGTTGGCACCACCCGAGTAGGGATTTTGGTACGCCGTGGACATGGCAATGTCGGCTAGAATGATCTTGCCCTCGCACCGCAGCTCCGCCTTGCCTTGCGGCTGAATACTGTGTCCGTTCACGATGCGGTCCACCCCGAAAAACTGCAGAGCAGCTATCCAGGAAAAAACACCCATCCACATCCAATTTGTCATGCAAAACATACATAAAGTTCTGTGTTTGTCATGCAATAAATGGATGTGGATGGGTTTTTTTTCTGTGGATAGCAGCATCGACTTCACTACAGTCGGGCGGCTGCTCTCCCGGGAGCCCATGAGTGCTGCGGCCCCAAAAAGGGGACGGCGTCCGCAGATTGGGGTTCTGATAATAGACTGCTTTGCCAAGGTATGGGGGTGCCAGGATCGAAATCGACAAAATCGAAAAAGTTTGCGACGCATAGAATGTAGGGCACGCAAGGCCTGTATTGGGGAGCAGGCAAATGAGACCGATTGCGTTCTTGAGCCCGCTTAAGGGTATGCAACGCGCTCCGCTGCCGGAGTTGGAGTAGCATGACAGGAGCAGTCTTCTTTGCCCAAACAGCACGACAGGCTGGATTTTGGTGCTCCTGAAATTTGTCATGCGCCAATAGAAAACCGAGCTGGTATCGGTTTTAATATGCGTCGCAAATTATTTCGAGTGCGTTGATTTCGATCCTGACGCCTCCATACCTCGAGGGCGGGGTCCCCGTCCATCACATCGAGGCCATCGAGGTCCTGGCTCGTGCTTGTCTCCACGAGCGAAAAAAGGTCCTCGTGCACTGCGCGTAAAACGTCGTCGCGAAATTTCGGGTTTTGCATGATCTCGTTCTCGATCTCGGCAACGCTCGCACTGTTGACAACAGTCCCGCGCATTGTCCGAGCCTGGCTCTCGACCGCGACTCGAAGCACATGATCCATCACAGCATTGCTGATGCTCGCATGCATGTACAGCGTGCGCCCCACCACCACCATGCTGTCCGCGCGCGTCCGGAGTTTTTCAAAAAGCCAGCCGCCCGGTCCCCAGGCCTCTCCGTAGTCCGCCCGAGGAGCCCAGGACCCTGTAAAAGGGTCCGGGTTCGCGTTCTCAGCTGATATTGATTGGACCGACGAAGGTGGTCTGCTTGTGGCCCATGAAGATTCGGGCTCCTTTATCGTATGCAAAAACGTCCCCGCCACGGCATAGTCAAGATGGGAAATCGGCTAGACAAATCCACAAGCTTTGGCTGTATTGCATGACAAATTTGGACTCGTAGCGTAGTGCTGTTTGAGCTAGCTCAGCAGCATCACAAATCTAGTACATCATGCTGATTGGAGCATGACAAATTGCAAAAAACGACTAGAAATCGCTCCTCATGGGGCTCCACATGAGAAACATGTTCAGCATGCAGATGTGCATGACAACTATGGGGTGGGGACGTTTTTAAATACGATATCCTTGGTGACTGCCTCGGACAAGTACTGGCCTACAGGGTGACCGACGTATCAAAATGACAAGGCCCCCCTCGTCCCCATATCAAAACGGGGATTTGTGTAGCGTGATTTGTGATCACGAGTCTTGTTCACGTTGTCATGCTACTTAAAAGGGAAGAGATCGATACGAACAGTACTACAGTAGTACTGGCTTGGGTCGTTGGAAAGCCTTGCGGCTTCAGCATGACACGACGCAACTGGAAGCGGAAAACAGCATGACAGATTACCTGCAAGCTTTATTTCTCTTGGCCTTCTAGCAATACATTTGTGCTGTATAAATGCAAATACAGCATCACAAAATTTTTTCGGTATGGGGAGGGCGGATTTTTCCTCACAATACAAACCCGGGCGTCATCTCCAAGTACCGCAGCCGGAACATCTCGTGGTTTCCCAACAGAAAAATGACCTTCCCGCCAACCCGTTCCCTATGAATTGCAAAAGTATCGTACTCGTATAAATGCATTTACAAATTTCCTCAGCACGAGAAAGAAAATTTGTAATGCAGATCTGCGTCTGCCTTAAGACAAAGATTTGTAATGCAAGACGTGCATTTATACGAATACGATACTTTTGCACAGGATATTCCGCTTTCTCCTGCAAATCGAAAATCAGGTCGTAGATTTCCCGTCCATCCGGTCCACGATCAACGATGTCGCCCGTGCAAATCAGCGTTCGACGGCCCATATGCATTGCAAGCATGGAAGATCTGGGTCACTGGATTTGTCGTGTGAGATTTCAACGACAGCAAGACCAAGATCTGGTAGACGTAGACTACAAGTAACCCGCTTATGTTTTGATGCCCCCGTGCTTTTGAGTGCATGGGAGTTTGTCATGCGTGTTATGATTATGTATGGTTCATAATTTCTCAAGGAATCTGTAGAAAAAGTTGGCCTCGTCTACTAGTAAAAACTTGTCATGCTGTTATGATGTTGCTGTACAACTGGCTACTCATCTGCGATGTCGACTTCAGCAACACAAGTTTCCAAACCCAGATCGATATTTGCAATGCATAGCCACCGATCCACGTGACGCCGCTCGCAGCTTCCAGCACGCCCGCGAGCACGAGGGCTTCGCGCGCGGCCGTCAGTATCCAACAGAAAAAGTTAGGTAGGGCATACAATTTCCTGTAATGCAAAAATAAGTACACAAGCTGCATTGCATCTCCCAAACAGAATGCTATGGGCTCGCCCATGACAGTTTTCAATTTTTGTTCATGTAATTAAGTAGTTTTGAAGAAAAATTTATGCCCCGCCTGCTTTTTTCTCTGGGATAATCAGGTCTCCATGAAAATCTGCCACGGACAATACGACGTCCATCGTTTCTATCCAAGAAAAAAACGCTGTTCGTGTAAATTTGTGATGCGCAACATGCAAGATGATTGCGTCTGTCATGCTTGGCATGTATCCTAGGGTCCATTAAACCAGGGCGTTTCCACGTACTGTCTGCGCATGACAGGTTTCCCCCGCTGTCATGCCAGACAAATTTGTAATGCTGTTCCGCCAAAAAAGTTACACCTACAACGTTTTTTTCTTGGATAGTTTCGTCGGCAGAAGGGCTTGAAACAAAGAAGGCCTTTGCCACTTCGGGCGGCATTCCAGGCAAGTGGGTGGACCGTTCTAACTCGGAAGAAGCGCGGTTCCACAGACTCAATAACGCGTCCTCGATTTTTTTTGCGCTCGCGAGTAAGAACTGCTCGTCGCCAGAAGGTGCGGTGGCCGAGGTAATTTCCGTAAACACCGACCAGATGCGGTCCGAGTATGGAGGCGCTCTCAACTGTTACATTCTCAACTGTTGCATGGCTTTGTGATGCAAAATGGGCATCAACGTAAACATGGTAAAGCTACTTCGCATGACAAATTTAAATTTTGGGAGGGCCAAACAGCATGGGACTCTGTGCTGAATTTGTTGTAATGCAAGACTTGCAAGATCCGGCCTTTCCTTAACGTCATACCATGCGGCTTGTGATTTAAATTGTGACAGATTTGGGACGGATTTGGGACGGCCAGCTTTTTCTGATTCTAGGCGCCCCAAACCGGTCATATGGCCAAGCCATGGCGGGGCGGTGTGGGACTTGGCGGCAGGGCTAGCGCGCGTGTTCTGAACGTGTTCTACCGCTTGGGCAGAACCTAAAACCAAAGCTGCGAAAGTACGGCCATCATCCCCCACACCATTGCCTGGGGCGTTCCTTTTCACATCTACATAGGGCGACCCAGGGGAATGAAAGGCCGACGACTGGCGGCTTCCAAGGGCCAACAGGTAGCAGCACAGAAAGCTGGGAGATGTAGAATGCAAAGGTAAAGAGGAAGAACGTTTGCGGCCCGAAGGGCCGCCGAGCGAAAATTTTCGCCAGTGCCAGGCGCGCACCCATTAAGCAAAATTCGAGACCGACCGAACGGGCACGGAGAGAGTCCCGAAGAGAAAGCAAGCGCTTCTGGGAAGACGCAACTTTTCAGATTTTGACGCCAAGCTTTTCAATTTCAAATGCAGGTCATAAACAGGTCCGAATTAGGTCAGAAATCCAGAATGTAATATAGGGACGGGATTCCTGACCTAATTCTGACCTAATTCGGACCTTTTTCTGACCTCCATTTCAAATTGAGCCGGAGGCCATGATCTTCGTCCCAAATTGGCCCAGACCCACTGATCGCGATTTCAAATTGATGATCGCGATTTCAAATTGATGATCGCGATTTCAAATTGGTGATCGCGATTTCAAATTGGTGATCGCGATTTCAAATTGATGATCGCCATTTCAAATGCCTGATCGGCATTTCAAATGGGCGATCTCCATTTCAAATCGCTGATCGCAATTCCAAATTGACGATCTTCATTCCAAAACCCACACCAGGCCAGTCAAATCTCTCTCCAGTCCTGTGCCGCCGTATGGGCGTAGCTTATTTTGGTGCCACACCAAGGCGAAACTCCATCGCGGGGAACCATGGGAGTGGGCTGCGGGGCACAACGATGGGCCTAATTTGCAATGCCAAAACGAGCTCTGGCGCCCGCAATGCCCGCGCGTGCTCTCGAACAGGAGCGCTGCTTTTCAAAAAACCCTGTCCGTCCCAATATCGTCAACAATTGGTCAACATTCTATTCTGCGCCGGTTGGTACAGCGTTAACCTTTCCTTGTAGCCACTCTTGCATCACAAATCCACGTAAGAACAGCTAAGAATGTACTAACAGTTGAGAACGCCATACCGAGTGGGCTTCGCAGAATCGCTGCGACCACTCTGGTGTAACGGTCGCGAGGGTGGCCAGCATGAGCGGAAGGTCGGAGAAACGCTGAAAAACGTCAGAGAATTGCAGCAGCGCGGGTTCTTCTCCTCGTTGAACGCTCGAGTAGATCAGTGTCGAAAGTTGTCCGCAGGGAGATGTTGACTCAAGAACGCCAGCATTATGCTCGTCCGGTAGTCTGTCGCTTTGGAGGTGGCGGCCGTGAGACAACAGGAGGCCTTCTCCGGGTTGTGGTGCCTTGGGAAAAGTAGTGCCAACACCGTTTGGTGTTCCATCAACAACATCCCCGACTGTGACCAGGGTACCACGCTCAAGGCGCTGTCTCTGGTCTTGTGGCCCAGCAAGCGCTCCTCCTGAAGATGCAGGACCACCTCCCTGCATCATGCCGCCGCCTGCAATTCCGGTATTTCCGGACACCGAGGACAAGCGGCGCAGCTCTTCTTCTAGAGCGTGAATCCTTCCTAGCAAGGGGTCTCCTAGAAGATCAGACAATGCGCTCAGTCGCACACGAGGACCCTGGAATTCCTCGAAGACGTTCTGGATCTGCTCCAGTTCCGCGCGACAAAAATTCTGCCATAATTGCTCTTGATCAACACTGGCTCTCGGCAACCCTGGGATTTTCGTTAGCGCTTGCTGAATTGCAAAGGTCGACTCGGAATGGGTTGGATCAAGAAACCACCCCAGCACGTTGCGATACCGCTCGCAAGGCGGATGCGCTATCCCCTCAGGTCCCGCCACAAGGTTGACGTCAAGATCCTCTTTGTATCGCGAGAAAAAACTGCTTCACTGTAAACTTCTTGTAATGTAGTTGCAGAGAATGTATCTCGCAAGTGTTTGTCTTGCTACACATGCAACACAGTGGATTTTTTTTAGCTGCGTTTTCCCTCAGGAACCTTGCATGAGAAATTTTCTCTGCCGTGTAGAGCAAACGACCTGCAAAATCCCTACAGTGATGAAACACTTTTCTCTCACGATACTTTGAGGGGGAACTGCAAGCGAACAACGCTTGGAGGTGGAGGTGGTGCCCCTGCTGCGCTCCCTCCCGCTGCGAGAGGATCTGGGGATAATCCGAATGGTGTTTCTTGTTCTTGCTGCGCTTGTGACAATCTGGAATGCGTGGCCTCGATCATCTCGCGGAATTCCGCAAACCTGGCATCCAGGTTTTCGAACTCCATGGCGTTCACCGCGTCGATAATCCCCTGGTCCAAACCAGAATCGGAAAGATCGTCCCACTTGCCAAGAATCTCCTCGTGCTTCGCTTTTTCTTCCGCCTCATTGTTGCTACTGGACGACATGCCGAGTACTAATGACATGATGCTCGCCCCCATCACGGACGTCGACTGGGGCTTCTGACCACTTGCCCAGGTGAGTCCTGCCACGCCTGGCACATCTTCAGCTGTGGGCAAGTACTTCTCTGGGTGCAAAAATTCCTGCACCCAGTGCTTGGTTTTGACACGATTGGTGAACGTCTGTTTGTTTGCCGCGTCGCTCCTGGCAAAGACTTCGGCACAATTTTCGTTTGTAGCTCTGCGCACCCCGCCGTCGTCGCCATTCCCTACTTCTACGTGGTCCGAGAAGTGCAAGCTGCAGAAGCGCTCATAAATCAAAAGTGCCAGACCATTCTGGGGGGCGGATGGGTTCGCTTCGTCGGGCCTACGACACATTTCATTTCCCTGCTCGGTGTACTTGTTACACACGAACTGCACTTCGCCTTGTTGGTGCTTGGTGAGTAGGCTCCACGAGCTATCGGCTTTGTTCTGGTCTTCCACAGTGTAAAACCTGGGTGAACCCGGAAAGTATTCGCCATGAATGAGCCCATTTTCTCGCCGGATGACGGCTAACAGCTCCGCGCTCACCTCTGTTGCTGCTGTCGCTATCAAAATGAAAAGCCCCCCATTCCCATATCTGAAACGGAGTTTTTCTTTCTGGTTCTGATGCTGGACGATGCGCGCAGTGTCTTGCAATATGGGACTGCGGCCAGGTCGATCCGCAGCCTGGGTAGAGGCGTTTGAGTCGCTTAGCTTCGCATGGCAAACGGCCGCGCTGAAGACCCAGCAGCAAAAGAAATCGCTTCCATTATGATGCGGAGAAGCCTCTGCACATGCGCTTGCCTGCTTGCAAGGCGAATAAAAAGCAGATACACTTTTATAATTGTGCACACATCTTCTACTCAATCAAAATCAACTTCAAATCGAAATCAGCATCATGATCTTAGGCTTTCCCTTTCCCTCTTCAAAATAATATGGGAAGGGAGGACTTTTCCTTACAATAGGAGTTTTTGCTGCTTCTTCGTCCCAATCGAGAGGCTTCAACACGAGCCACTTCGCGGCGTCGTTCCAGAGGTGAAACCTCTGGTCCAGGTTCGGAGACGTCCTCTCTCTCTCCTGTCGAGTCGCAAGCTCTTTGAACGACCACAACCGGCGCACCTTGTGCCGTTCGGCCTCTTTCGGCGGATCGACAAGAGCTTCTTCTGTCGGAACGAACCCAAGCGAGGTGCGCCATACAGATGTAGCGGGAACCGGAACCTTCAGAAGGTCGCCGAGGAGAACACCCCCCAAGTGTGTCGCATCTTGTGCCGACTGTCCGTTCCAGAATCCGTTCGGATCCAGAAACGCCTCGAACCACAAAGGATTCAAGAACGCTCGTCTGCATGCCGCGTCGCTATCGCATCCGCTTCTATCGGTGACGACCTGCCTTGCAAACTGCTTCATCATTTTGACATTTTTGTCTTGTCGGCTCTGGCGGCACTTGTTTTTTTCGTCCTCTGCCTGGTGAAAATACAGAGCACAGAAGCAGCCCCATTGGAAAGTGTACTGCTCTTCGGCGGAGGACAGCTTTTGCGCTGCTTCCTGCTGGGCTTTAGTAAGCCACTTCTCGACGAATTTTTCGATCTCAGCATCAACAACGCCAACACCAACTTGAACTTCCCGTCTTCCTGCTCCCGCACCTGCTCCACCTGCAACAACATCTGCAGCCGCCGGAGCCCCGTTAATATCGGGAGGAAAACGGGTCCCCCCACCCGTACCCCTTTTCCCTTTGTTCCGCGAGTACTTTAATACTAGTATTTTCAAATAAAAAAAGACGAGGATCTGCGAATGCCACGAGGAATAATTCGTGCTGGTGCCATCATCAGCAAAGCAGGAAAGGTGTTTCCACCTGTCAGTCCGACACTGACGCGGTCGAGTGACAGAGAGAGAGACTCGCGAAAAATGTAAGTAGGCTCCATGTATAACATAAAACAAATAGTATAAGTAATATCACGACTGCTCAGGATCCTGATGTCAACAAACATCAAGTAGGTCCATTTCAGTTCGGCGAATTTGACTTCAAGTTCACTCGTAGTTTACGTTTAGTAATAGTAATGTCATCGCGTCATAAATGTATTACCTATTACATGATTGCACACGTCGGCTGCATTTTTCGGAAAAGAAATCCCACATCTTGATGTAGGCCAGCACTACAAGGACACCATGCTTAAGCATTTTCTTTCTGCGGTTCGGTCATCATCATGATTTTTCTAATTTTCAGAAGTCGCAGCAACTTCTAGTTCATCTTCGAGCATTTTTATTGCTGATAGGAGGGCCGGACATCAGATGTCCGGCCCTCCTACGCCTACAACAAGAATCTGCTGCTGAACGTACATCCTCCTCCTCGGTCGTGAGCCTATACGCAACGGTCGCGTTGCCTTGCGGCAAGATAGAACAGGAGCTAGAGTCAGAGGACTACAGCAGTTCCTTTACAGGAGGACTTGCGTTCTCTACTTCGCGGAGGTGGCAGCTGCTCGTAAGTACTCATAGTATCTGCAGCTTGTGCTTGCTGCTGCTCCTGCAGCATTGCTAGCCCTTCATCAGGATGCCCAGGTAACGAAAGCGCTGGCCTTCTCTCTGACGTAGAAGTCAGCGCAACTCGACATACATGTTTCGAGGGCGGCGCGAGGACTCTGCTCGAGCGCTGCTCAGTCTCCGTGCTGCGCAAGCGAGCACCTCTAAACTTTGATTCCCACGCCAAGAGGACGAGTACAAAATGAAAAAAGTATTTATATGCAGAATTGTGGATGTTGACAAAAGAAAATGTTGTTGAGCCGATAAGTGCTACCACTGCCATCTCGTCCATAGTAGCAGACTACTATGGCTATGCGGGGTCCACGGGGAAGGGGTGGCTTTGCTTTCCTTTGGTAAGTGCGTTTTGGCTGGACGGGTTCTTCGGGAGTCGAATCGGCGGACGCTTCCATACCACCGGGCGCTTCTATATTGTCTTCGATCGTGTTGTGGCCGAAATTCCTGCGAAGCGGTGTGAAGTACGCATATTCCAGCAGTTCATATGCCTGGTCAGCAGTTATATCGTCCCAGCGGAAGTTGCGGATGTTAATGTTGGCGCGTTCAAGTGCAATCGGTAAATCCGGGGGGACGTGCTCGAGGAGGCCCTTTTGACCTGCTTCCGCTTGGGCAAGAACTGTAAGCGCAGTAGGTAACATGTCTACTGCAGATATCAGGTCGTACAACATGATCCACTTGCCCGTGGGTCCATTCCAGGATCCCTCCCATGATCGCGTCCGGTCCTCATTCACAATTCGCTCGATTGCGATACGGCAGGGAGACTGCGTGTCCACCAGGGGTGCACCACCTCCGTTTAGGTTTCCGTACTTTTGTTCAAACATGGCACTCATCTTGCTTTTCTGCATGGAACTGGAAGGCGGCCCGTCTTGTGTCTTAATCCCCAACTCCCGGAGTACCATCTGTGCGTCCTGCACTATTTCCATATGCATTGCAAATGTGTCTATTGGGTCCTCGGGAAATAAAAATCAAAACTGTAGTGATGCGAGTTGTGTGAACGCAAAAAGAAAAAACTGCGCTGCGAAGTCCCCAAAAAATACCCGACCTTTGTCTCAATGAGGGAGCATCGATCTCCCGCACAGAGGAGTACGCATAGGGAAACCACCGCAGAATTAATTTGCCATGCTCCAGGTCCATCCCAGAGCCAGACCTTCTTGTAGAAAGATGCAAAAGTAGCCGCGGCATGATCATGAATAAAGTGTCTGCTTTCATTCTTCGAGACCCAAAAACATAGGCATGCGATATTTCGGGTTAAAAGGCAAAAGTAGGGGAATATGAACGAGAAACGCAAACTTCTCCTCGTCTACTCCGCGAGAACGACCCCAGCAAAGGGAAGAGGCTGACTGCGTCTCTACCTGCACCTGCACACACTGACACGAATCTAACAACTTCTCATGCATAATTTGTGCAAAAATATGAACTAGAAGGAACAGGAAGAGTTGCCATCAAATAAGAAACTAATAAGATCGCGCATCTTCTTAGTTCTTGCTCAATGTCGATATGCAGAGACTCAGAAACTCAAACTGTTTTAATCGTAATACCAACTCGAACGCGACATTGTCGCTGTTGTAGTTGTCATGTCTACAGAAATTCAAATTGATTCTGGTGCCAGCGCCGACAATACAACGGCGTCAATGATCAATGAAAGAATGGTAACAAGAGGAAGAGCCGAGGCCGACCCGTAGTCAATAAATAAACGCAGTCAGCAAACGAGTTCCTTTGGAGGTCCTCGTCAGGCGGGGACGAGGCGAAGTCGTGTTTTCACTCGTGTATCGAAAAACAAGCCAGGCAACCATGTCGTCCAGACTGTTCCACTTGGGAGGAGCTTGACCGGGGGGACTATGGACGTGTCAGAATCGAAATTAACAAAATCGAAAAGCTTGTCTGTGATGCACAAAATACATGCCAGCTGGAGCCTCAGTTTCCAAGTGGCGCATGACAAATTTCGGGGGCACCCACATCCGGTCTGTCATGCTGTTTGGGCAAAGAAGACTGCTCCTGTCATGCTACTCTGGCAGCACACTGCATACCCCTAAACAGGCTTACAATCGGCCTCATTTGCCTGCTCCCCAATACAGGCCTTCAGTGCCCTACATCTTTATGCATAACAAATTTTTTGATTTTGTCAATTTCGATCCTGACAGTTCCATATCCGTTGGAGGCATAAAATTCACTTACCTGAAGTTTTCGCTCATGCTGAAGCTCCCCCAGTAGCTGGCTTTGCTGTGTGCGGTATATCCTAGGGAAAACTAACCTCATCGTAGTATACTGTTACGCACAGCTGCTGCGCAAACAAGTAAAGATAAAATAATATGCATGCTTTTCGTAATTTTCACTTTGATCATTTATTTTACGGCCCACGTGCACGTGGTCAACACAGAAGCTCGTCCTTGTTTTCTCTGATATGTAAGTACTAATGTTGTATGCAGCAAGTCTGCAGCCTCTGGTGCTCCTACACCTCCTGCTGCTCGTCCTGCAGCAACAACAAAAATACTTACAGTTAAAGGTCCCGCTCGGGCGGTTGTGCTTCTCAGGATAAGAAGCTCGCGCTAATATGGCAGAGTTCTCACGAAATTTCCGTGAGTTTCAGATGATCATGTCGTCAGCCACAACGCAATCCGTGCCACGTATACTACGGTGTCTTTGCAGGTGCAATGCGTATTATCTTGCTCTTGAAAGATTTGCAACGCCGTACTCAAGACGTCGGGCGCAAGGGCCTCACTGTTCGGGTCGACGTCATCTTCCTGGCCCATGCCGGAGTTGCTCGTAGCTGTCGGTCGTTCCGCTGCCGGCCAGTTTTCCAACTTGAGAAAGTTTTATGCTACTGTCATTTGGGGAGAACTCCTTCAAATCCGTCATTTTTTTAGGAAGTACTAGACCCTTGCTGTAGTGTTCTATATATCACACCATCAGCATGCACCTCCTCCACGTCAACATGCAACCATTACGCACCGCCCCTTGCTTGTGTCATTTTGAAGCCAGCACGAGGACACAGGCAACTCTTACGAACATAAAGGCTCCTCCAGATAAGAGGACCTCACACAAAGTACCGTCACTCTGTCTTCAGCGGAGAAGGAGGTAGAGGTACAGCCACTTCCTCATACTAATATCGTCGACGTGGTAGGGGAACTTATTTACACATGCGTCTCATGCAAGGAGTCTGCTTTCGTCTTCAGGCGCCGGGGCACCTCGGCAAGTAAAATGGTCTATAATGAAAATCAAAATGATCGCAGCTCTCTACCAATAATAGCCGCCTCAGCGGGGGTAGTGAGGTCGTGGCAGTTTTTTTGTCTTCACGCCAAAAAAAACGCGGCCCCTCTGCCCACCATGCCATCGTGAGTAAGGTTATGCACGACGGCACGGCGGTCGCTAAAAATCGCGATCCAGTGCTGGCCATCATTTGGCTTCGAATCGAAAAAACCATCCCCGCATGCTATGGCCCCGCCCGGGCCGCCGCCGGGGTCGGCCCCTTGGGAGCCCCAAATCGGGCCCATGGCATGCGGATTGGCTTTTTGCTTTCGGCGGACTTTGTTTTTTTTTGTTTTTTTTGTCAAAGTGCCGCGCTTCCTGGTCTTAAGTCCGCCTCTGAAGTGGCGGACTTTGGTGGCGTCTTTTGCGGGGCCCGAATGTGGGCCAAAATGAGGCCCATACTATGCGGATTCGCTGTTTTTTTCGGAGTGCTGCTTTTTGGGCGTCCCTTTTTGGGCGCCTCAAATCGACGGGAACAGACGCGGCGGGCGCCTCAGAAGGGCGCCCCTTTTGCCGGCTCCCCTGCGTCGTTTTATCAAGCGCGAATCGATAGAATTGGCTCGGGCTTTTTTGACAACAAAGGCTTTGTTGTCAAAAAAGCCCGAGCTACAAAGCCCCGGCCGCTTGATAAATAAAATGTTTCTATGTCAAAAAACACCTCCGGCCGCTTGAAAACTGCCTGTCGTTTTGGATAAGACATGTCAAAAAAACAGCTAGGATAGAACGTTCGTGACCTCACTACATACTATAAAATATTGCTGTTTGTCGAAGGCTGAAGAGATTGCCCTGCAGCTTGTATTTCTGCGACTCTAACTGGAAGACCCGACCCCGATCCCGACTACTTGTCGCGAGACGTATAGGTTCTATAACTATCGTCCGATTTCTTACAGTACTTCTTTCCGTGGCCGCCCAGTATTTTTGCCATACAATGTTGACACTCCAGGAGGAATTTTTAAATATCGCAATGTTGCTCCTGATCAGATGATGTCTCACTACTTGAAGGATGAAGAAAAGTTTTTCCCAAATGCGCATTCCAACATAACCTCGCGACCCAGTCGCTAGTTTCTTCCAGAAGTTCCACGTACTGAAATTCAGGAAAGCTATCCGGAGGGGCTCCTTCGGGTTGATGTGTAGTCGGAGTTCTTGTTCCGACAGAAACTACCAATCGAGGATTGGCCTTTTCGCAGGAGGATGAGGAACGCGCTGAGGATGGTGACGCGGCGGCTGGATTTGCCTTTCTTGCTTCGATAAAGGACTCTTTGTGGAGCGCGCAAAACTGGTTCCAGTGTGTGTCGAACGAAGCCTCCAGTCGCACCATTTTGTCCTCTAGATCTTTGCCATGCGGAAGGTCAGTCAGATCAAGATCCGTCTTGTCCCGAGACCACTGATCCACCTGAGCTTTGGTGGAGAGTTGGTTGAATGCTTGCCAAAACTCGTCCAGAAAGCGCACATAATAGCCCTTGAGTTCGTCTTCGTACGCTAGCTGCTCGTATCAAAGCAAAACAAAAACAAAGGGACCGCCGCCTCATATTTGTCTATGCAAACGCCTCAGAGCTGTCCTGTCCCACAAAACAATTTCTTTGTCTGTTGGTGTCGGGCGAGTAGATCACGGAAAAGCTGCGATCTTTATTTCTCGTGGTGTATCACTATCATCCCGAGACAGAGTACACAAATGGAAATCGAAATTATGTCAAAAGCAAGCCACGCCGCAACAGCGCTGGCGAGTCGCCGGTGACAGACGTTGCAAAGATGAATTAGAGCAAAAACCAGAACATATAGATGAGGAGCTCCACCGGACGAGAAATGTATAAACCTTCAACCTGTACGAGCCTTAATGAGACAAAGACAAACCATTCGTCCACTCAGGACGAACAGAAGCATGATGGTGCTTCTGATGCTCCTTCAAATTCGTTGAATATTATTTACTTAAGAAAGTAGGTGGCAGGGAGAGGGACTTCGACTTGTTTTAACAAACATAGACATACAAACAAGCTGCAACATGCTATCTCAATACACTTCATTCGTGTAGTACAAAAGACCTTTGCTTGCGTGTTTCCCCACCCTGAACTGGATGCCAATTGAAATATACTCATAAGCAGTGCCATATTTGGCGGCGATTCCAGGGAAAAAAAAATTGATCTGATAAGTTCATCTCCCGGCTCACATGATTGTGTTCGTGTTCATCATCCTGTAGTGCTGAAACTAATTCGCGGTACGGTGTGCGGGTGCGCAAAAAAACGCTGCCCTCTTGAAGATTCCCTTGAAAGCAATCGCGGAGACGTCTCTCGAAACAACCCTCACTCAAAGTCGGAATGGCGCGCGCTTTCCATTCGGTCTCTTTTTGAGTCAAGTATGCGTCCAGATGGAGGCCAGCGTGAAGTTTTTTCTTGGTTTCGGCGGATATCCAAAAGGGGTGGTCACCGGCATCGCCTTCTCTCGCACTGGGGTTTCGATACATCTTAGTAAACAACTGCTGAATGTAATTTTTCTGGCGCTCGCTACTTGTGTAAAAGTCCCACAACTTCTCGTCGATTTCGTTCGTTGCGGGATGGACTTGAACAAAGGGCGTCACCTTTTCCGCGCATGAAGTAGCTTCGGCTTCATCCATCTCGTCGGGATACGTGTTACAGAAGTCTTCGACGACTGCGCTGGCAAGTCGTTTTTGTCTGTCCACTAGGGACTTGGGAGGGGCACCTTGGGCGGCGCCTGGTACTGTGTCTGTGTCGCCCGGCATTGTTTCACCTGGTCCGCTGCAGAACTCCTTGAGCAGGTATTTTTGTCTGTCTCTCGGAAGCATCACCCATAATTTTTCGAACTGGAGCTGACCAAAAACAGTGCCCTCGTATCCCGAGGTTTTGGCGTCCGCACTCGGGGGTGGGGCCCACGCACACGAAGTTATACCGGCTGTCGTCCCAAAGAGCTGAAAAGCCGTTTGGGAAGCGAGCGACGCGAACCACGCCATTGCGACGTTGGTTTTTCTTCACCTGTAGTTTCACTTGCAAAACTATGGAGCTGAGGGTGATGCTGCAGAGCACGATGCTCCGTTGGTCAAGAAGAAGAGCCGATTTATTGCTCCTTCAAAGATGGTCTACGCCGTTACTCCAGTTCCGAAGTGGTTCATTCCGTTGCGCCAGACTTCAATCTGATGGATGGCCGCAGGTGCAGGACTAATATTCACAACACCGCTCCTTGAGCCGCTCCCACCTCCTCATGATCAAGAGAAGCAACATCTTTTCTAGTTGTACATCATCAAAAAGGGGGTGGACAATACGACCGTAGCAGCAGGTTTCCTGTGTTTATTAATGATCAGATCTTGTAGAAGAGGGAGAGGACGTACGAGCTCGGAGTAGAAACAAACTGCTGGCTTAATGATTGATGTAAGTGAAGAAACGAAGCCAACCACACGGTAATTGAGCAGATTGTTTTTTCATGATATCATCCACGGTGAAAAACGGGCCGCGGGCGATCAGCGGCACACCTGGATGCTTGTTAGTTGTCGCCGAGTAAATGCTTGTTAGTTGGCGTTTAGAAATTGATGTAAGAGACGGACAGGGTGTAACGAAGATAGGGCGCAGAATATCGCGTCACTGAGGGCGCAGAATATAGAGTTGTTTCCGGGTGAAATAAACTCCTGTAATCGAGATGGTGGAAATCGAAATTAATAGCGGTCGTGTTCTCGTGTTGTGCTTTATACGGTGATCGATGATCAGATCTATCCATATTCGAATTCTTCTGATAATGGCTGAAAAGTATAATCAGAGGACGAGGCAGCCCACTGCTGCAGCTGCAAAGAAATGTTAACTTTGCAGGTTCTGCAGCGACCATCCCTGCTCGCCTTCTTGCACGAAAGAGCATGTTTGCAAATGTACGACACGATGATGGAACTACGAAGCGCAAAGCCGAAGTATTAATCGCAGCACGATATCTTCAAGCGAGACCGATTTTACGTATTCACGGTTGTTAACGCGGCTAACCGAAATCAAGAGTAGCAAGAAAAGAGGTAACCGAACACGAGAGCGGGACCGACGGGCCATGCACAGAACATCAAAAAACAAATAAATGTACAAGTATATACGAAACAGAAACTCAAACTTCATCTTCCAAAATGGAAGCAGCATTAGTACGACCGAAACGCTATTAACGCAGGGCGGGCGGCGCGCCGTCGGCGAACCAACGAAGCATGGTGTTGATAGTGGACTTGCGGACCTCGATCTCGCTTTCTACGAAATTATCGCAAGCATCAAATTGGTGCCTTCACGACAACCGACCTGCCTTACGACCACGCTTTTGCAAACCGAGGAAACGGAAGAAATTTGCTTCTTCGTTGAGACAGCGCATGCTAAACTCTACGCATGCAAATAAGCACGCGAACCACATAGACCGATCACATGAAGTGGAGGTGCTCAACGTTTTCCTTTGTTTCCTGCAGCTCGCTCTCGCACTAAACAAGCAACAACAAGAACTCGTCCTGGCCCGAAAATGTTCGCCGCAACAAAAACTCCTTGCGCAGCTCGGAGGCTGTAAATATTTTTTTTCGACTCATGCCAGGAACAGTCCAGGCACTTCCAATCGATAAATCTAAATTAATATGGGGACATCAAAAGCAAAGACGATCTTCGTCTTCTTCATGATTAACATTCGACCACACACTAATTTTGATTTTTGAGTTTCCGAGCAACAAAGTAAAGCAGCTCGTCTTCTCGTTCTTCGGTCTTCTTGTTCGTGACCTGGGGTTCATGATTCCACGTCGAGAGAAATGCTCCTGTTCTTGACGGAGAAGGAGATTTGTCAAAGTGGTCCTCCCCCGGTACTTCTTCATGCCGTTCTTCTTCAACAACACTCCCACCGCATCCACGTGGCTTCGCACTGTCCCTTCCGGCTTTTGCAGCCTTGCAGTGCTCCTGTCCACCACGTCCCGCCACCAAAAACTCCAACTTTTCGACCCGCCCACACTGCACGACCAGCGCCGCACACAACTTGTAAAAAGACCGGCGCAGCTTCAAACTGATCAGATTTTGCATCTGTTCGCTGCAAGTGGTGCTGTGGTCGTGGTCGTGATGGAGCAAGAGAACAAGCGGATCAATATTATGTGGTCTATCCTCCACGACGAAAAAGAACTTCCTTTCCAAACGCTTTACCTTCGCGAGGAGAAAAGTCGTCAGATGTTGCGACAGGCCTTGAGGGTACGAGGAAGATGTTGGTAAGGTGGTGGAATAGGACGCGCCACGAGCTCCGCATTGCGTCGGTCCAGCAGCTGGTGGCCCGCCCGCCGTGGAGGTAGTTGTACTACCCTGGTGCTGGTCGCTCTCTTTGTTGATTACTGTGTTTGTGCTGCTCTGTACTGTGGTCATGTGATCGCTACTTTTACCGTCGTAATTATCAAAAAGCGGTGTCACACGGCAACTCTTGATGTCCTCAGGTTTGTTGTTGTACAACGTCCGTCCATTGCTAGTGCTATCCTGTCCGCCAGGTTCATTCATCTTCGTCCTGTAGTCTTCAAGGAGCACAGCCGTCAATTCCCCTGCTAGAGCGCTACTAACGGTGTGGAACAGGGGTGAAAAAACGTCGGGCGGATCACGATCAACATGCTCCGCAGCTGCACGACCTGCAGATGTACCTGGTCGTGCTTGTCCGGTGTCATTATCGCTTGTTCTAGTGGTCGAATGTAGAAGTTGTCCAGGAGGAGCTGCAGTAGTACTACTAGCTACTGCACACGAGCCTCTTCGGCTGAAATAGATACTGACAAACTCCGGTATCAAATCTTCGATTTTTCGCCGAAATTCCCGACTGCGAACGGGGATGCAAGGAGGATATGCGATGGAAAACCATGAAAGTAGTCAAGATGATCTTCACTACAACCAGCAACCCATTCGATTTTTATTGCTGGTCTTCGTTTACAACGATGCAAAAATGGTAATATACGAGCCCAGCCTCAGTTCTACTCCATGATCTTCGACGTTTGATTGATTCTTATGCTCCTCTGCAATTATGATCACAGCACGAACTACAGCATCAAGAAAAGTTTCGACGCAGTCCCAGTGACTGTTGGGTTTTTTCTATATTCCTTTTCTTGATGTCGTGGTTGTTAAGATTGACTATGAGTAGGGTTTTCACGAGCATACTGCGGCAACGCTGGGGTCGTAGTTCGTCTTCGCGGTATTTTTACAGCTCTCCGTAGTTCTTGCAGCGGTAGTACTTCCATCTTCACCTGCTTGTTGATGTTTCCTTTCTCGTAAAAGCGACGAGGAAGAAGTAGCGGAGTTGCCCGCGGCTACCTGCTCCATCTTGTTCGAGGTCTTGTGCAACTGCTGGCAACTTTCCGGCGCCATTTGAGATCGTCCCCCTGGTAGCACTGGTGGACCAGCATTTTGATTTTGGTCACGCGCGGCTTCACCGCCTCCGTGTGTGGCGGAGGCGGCAGTCGGAGATGTTGTTGAAAAACTGCCCACTACTTCGCTGGTGTTCATCGTGCCGTGCGGCTGGAGCGCTCGTCCGGTAAAGTGCTGCACAATCCATCTGAAGTTCTGATACTGCACGCAGCGCAATTCCGCCAACGCTTTCGCATCGTCAAACAGTTTATTTCTGCACAGTTTCAGTTGGCGCTTTGCTTCCTTCGAAAGAACGATGGTCCTCTGCTCGGTTTTGTCAATATGTTTCTTTCCACCAGCGGCTGCACCAGAACAAGCATTTGGATTTGCAGCAACCCCGGTGGGGTCCAGCCGCGGTGAAACCGATGTTGACGCCGCAGGTGCTCCTAGCCCAGATGCGACAAGACCCGCTGCTGCGCCGCCGGCTGTGGAAGAATCTGTTGTGTCGTTGTCGTCTATCATGCCGCCTGCTCGGTGTCGACAGTGTAGTTGCTGGTCTCCGTCAGTGTCGTAATTTGATGCTTTCTGCTGCTCGAAAACTTTTTTATCAAAACACCGCTGCGAGACCAACAACCGCAGAAACTCGTAACAGAAAAACACAACGAGGTAGTTGTTAGGTGAATCATTCTGGTGGCCTGCGTGGCCTCCCCCTCCTGTTACTCGTCCGGAGGAGGTTCTGCACTTTGTACTACCTCCATCTTCGTCTTCTGGAGAGGCGGGTCGCTTCTCGTATGACATTTTCGTGCGTCGGCTATTTTCACCACCAGCATCTGAAGATTCTGCTCGTGAGTGCGCCGGTCCTGCTGTTCCTCGTGAACGTGATGGTGATTTCTCTTCGATGAAACGACGAACCGACAGCGAGTGCTTCACTTGTTTGAAAAACAGTACCTCGGGCTGCGGCCGGATGAAGTTGTTTATGTTTTTGTGTGAACAGCTGCTAGAAACCGTGTTGAAAAAAAAATAAAGTGCCTGTTCTTTCGAACCGACCATCTGCAATCCGGCTTCGAGAAACAGGGAGAAAACCAATTCCCAGGAAGTAGAGCTGGAGCTTTTAGTTTTTCTCGGGCGTGGAAGCGGGGCAAGAGCATGGTCACCGCCACCACGGTCACCAGCATCTTCATTGCTCAACATCCTCGAGGGTCTTACTTCTACTTCACCGTCATCGTCCTCCCCTCGTCCAGATGGTAAGACTGTCACTTTTCCCCCGTAGTTTCGCGAGCTGCTTGTAGTAGGTCTTCTTCGACCACTGCTGGCACAACAACTATTGGACGCAATGATCGCGCTGCGAATCAAGTCCAAGACGCCCAAAGGAACGACGCCCAAGTCAATGAAACTTGTTGGAGTTCTTGTGCTGTCACTGTCAACATCTTCTCCGGCTGCAACTTGACCGCTTTTCCTCATCTTCGTAAGAGTAGTAGAGCCTCCTGCTGTATTTCCCGGCGAGGCTTTATCGTCGCTCTTCCTCGCGGAGGTCCTCAAAGGAGAACTTTTCCGCCCGCCCGCAGTGGATGACGATGAAAACACAGACTTGACCTTCGTCAGAGCTGAGCCCAAGGAAGAGGACGTCGGGGAGGATGTAGTTGAAACGCCAGCAGCACCCCCTCCTCCCACTCCACCTGCTAATGCCATCGCGTGATTATTGCTGTCGTTACCAAGTAGTAGCCCGGCTTTCACCCTGCGAGACTCGGCGTTCAAAAACAGCAGTAAATCCACCGTTTTCAGTAGGAACCGGGAAATGGAAATTTTGTTCGGTCGTTTTGATGTCGAAAACAAGTTGGCACGACTCGTTCCCGAAGCTGCTGGCCGCGCGGGCGTCTCCTGATTGACAGCATCAAGCTCGTTGCTCGGGTTCGCGCTGCCCTGCTCGTCGTCCTCGTTTGCAACCGTCATGTAAATTTCATCTGTAGAAGTTGTTTTCAACATCAACCTGTCCGCCAAAAACCGCACGCATTCTTCGGCGGTCGCGAACGATTTCTGCACCAATTGAAAGTACTCCCAGGGGGTGCAGCAAAGTTCGAGACGAGCTGGTGTGTTGTTCGACGAGGAGGTGCAGGTGGTCCTTGTATCATGTTTCAATTTCGTTCTTCGCGTGCTCGGAGTTTTTTTGACGGAGCAGGTGGTCATCCCCCCGTGGCCAGCGGTAACAACTGGGGTGGTGTTACCTTCGGCAGATTGTTTCGATGTGGTCGTGATGTTCACCCTGGTCGTCGTTGACGTTCTATCGGTCCCCTCGAAGTTCTCCCCGCCCTTTCCATCCCCTCCGCTACCGCTTGATTCGGTCTCTGCATGACAGCTTTGTTCCTTGGAGGTTTCATCTCCATCGGTACTAGAGAGATCCTCCGCATCAGATGCACTGCTCGAAGAGGTGGTGAGGCTTATCCCCTTTGATGAAAAGAGCGGCCGCAACAGCCATCATCGTCCATACCTGAATTTGTCATGCGGAGTGACATACTCATACTAAAGCAAAAGTTACATCAGCAGGCTTTATGCACTTCCACTTGTTGTGCGGCATTACAAATTCGAACGACGTCGCCGGCACATCGACACTAATTTCCTACGCCTAAAACTCGAATTCTCCTCGAGTTCCTCATCGAATCGCGCAACGAGCTCTTGAAACGTCTCGTCCGGGATGTGCAAGGGGAAAATACTTGGAACGCACAATGTTTTTAGGGATCATTTGTCCTCGCTGCGATTCAAATGATGTTTCATGCATCAAAAAATCAAGACAAGTTGTCTTGCGAGGACTACATCTACAGCTACACCAAGCATTGTTCTTGGTGCTAGTGATGCAGGAGGAAATTTAAGGTTGGATCAACATAATTGCTTCGTCCCCATGTCGTGAGCAGCGCTCCTGTATTTATTTCCGAGCGTATTTCGTCAAATAGTCCAGTGCGTGATCCGCGGCACAACGCCCCCCACTGCTGGGCAGCTGCGTGTCGTTCTGCATAATTCGTCCTCGTCCTGCTCCAGCTCCAACTCGTCCAGCATAGTTGCCGTTATCTTTCTTGTTCGCCGTAGAGAGCACCCCCGTCCCTGTCCCCAACATCCGCCTTTCTTGCGCGAAGTACGACGGCGGCTGGATCGCGTGGCTGATGGCCAGGGGTTTGGTTTTTATTTTTGATCTTGACGAGGCCCCGTTGATATTCCGGCTGGAAAAACTAAACGCACTTGCTCCACCACCACCAGCGACGAGGGGGGCAAAATTGCAACTCCCCGTCTGGTAATTCTGCACTTGCGCCAGCCAAGATTCCACTTGGCCTCGGAAGTACAGGAGTTGCCGGTTCTCCGGACTGCTTTCAAGTTCGATAAGTTTTAAAGAGCTGGAGACAGAAGGAGATGAACCAGTTTGGGTTAGCGGGTTTGAACAACCGGTGGTGTTCTTTTGGAAGTAGTTCCCGCAAGGGTTATTTCCAGATCCCGTCTTTGAAGATTCTTGAGAGTGTAAAATGCGGTGAAGGAAGTAGGTCACATCGGGTTGCGATGCTGGTGCGCCTGCTGTACTAGCTGCAAGAGTAACATGATGTTGCAAGAGTTGATAAACTTGTGGTTGGCCGCCATCTGGATGACGATGATGATGAAGGAGCTCCAACTTTTTCTCCAACTCCTCTCGACTAACGTGCCACCATGGTTTTTTCTTCTCCACCGCCTGTTCGTGCTGTTCTCTTTCTTCTTTATGTCCATTCGCTTTTGTTCCATGCTTGTGCTGTTGCTGTACTGCGATGTTTGCAATTTCGCCACGTCCTTGTAGTTTCAACAATGTCGGATGATCAGCCTCTTGACTGCGACTGAGGTCGTCTTGCAAGACAGACGAATGTTCTTTTTCATTGGCTGAGAGTACGTGGGCATCCTCCTTACTAGGATGATCTCCCGCTTGTCGATGATGTAGTCCTGTTGCACGACCACCGGAAGCAAGCTCAGGCTCGCAAGCGCAACTGGCTTGTGCTTGTTCTTTCATAACCAGTCCTGCAGGGAATGGGAAATCCGGATCGGCCCCGCCCTTTCCATCTAGGCCCCTTGGCGCGATGCCACGCTGGTGGTCCTGGTGGTCCCGGGAGGACCCTTCATGCGGGATGACTTCTAGCGGCTCCTGCTGTTCCAACAGTTGCTGGCTAGTACAGACCTCCTGCACTGCAAGTGCCTGCGCATCCGTTTTGCAGACTTCACTTCTACTTCCTTCGCTGTCCGGCCCCTGTTTCTCGAGCCATTGGTGCAAATCGTTTTCCGTATTGAAACAGCCCTGCTCGCCTTCACCTGCAATCAATCCCGCGTATCTTGCTGCCAGCTGCAGAACGCACGCAGCTGGTGCCGAGTCAACATGGTCGCGGTTGTCAGAAGCGTCACCGTGTAGTTCAGCAGTTTCAACAACTGCAGAGCCAGAGGCACTAGCTGGTCCTGCTTGGTTCTCTACATGATCCTCCGTCAACAGTGTTCGTCCGGCCTCATTGTCATTTCGCTCGTCCCGCCCGAGCAAGTCGTCTCCTCGTGGCCGACGTCCACGGGAAATGTTTCCGAACAAAAACCCGACTTTCTCCCCCGCACTCAAATGTTTGTTTGCCAGAATCAAAGCAATTGCTGTTTCTAAGATTGAAACATGTTCTGCAGCTGCAGCAGCAGCAGGAGGAGCATCAGCAGGTGCAGGATCAGAGCCTCCAGCTACTAGTTGGTCTCGATGTGTTGAAGATATCAACCCTCCAGACGCAGAACAAATCGCCTCATGCAGCTCCTCTCGCAACCGTTGCCAACTACTGGCGAAAGCCGCTTTGAAGCGAGAGCGGGAGACCAAGTCGAACAGTTCCCAGGATTCCAACTCAGGGAACCTCAAATTACGACACGATGTTGAGGATGTCGCAGTTCTTTTTGCCAACACCAAATTTTCTCGTATCCTCCCCTCATTTTCGTCGAGGAGAAGGTCGAAAAAGGCGGTTGGTAGGTTCCCCCAAATTCGGTGGTCGCGGAGGAGGGTGTAAGTAGTGGTCTTTTTTTTTGTGCACGTCGGGTGTACAGTCGCGGGGTTGGAGGCAGTCGCCTCCATGGTGGCGGCCTTAGTTTGAAAATAATCCGTGTTTTGTTTACCTCATTGTCATTCTTTCACACGTTTATTGCGCTGGCTTAACCAACGGAGGAAAAAAAAGGAAGTTTGAAGATCTTCGGTAAGCTCAAAGAGCTGACGTGTTTGTTTGCTCTTGATCGTGATCATCATAGACCGTCAGCTGTGAGTGCGTGTGCGACTCTTTGAGTTTCGAAAAAAAAGGACGGAAGTCAGTGGGCAGCGAGCTCCGTCTCTCTCCAAGCTCTCGCGTTGTTTCATGTTCAACAGCTACGGCTCCACTAGCCGCAGCTGCTTCTTTCTGAAGGCTCGTCGTGGCTGCAACAAAAAAAAACAAGAAGATCATCTTCACTCATCATCGTCGTGATATAGAAACACTGCAGCTCCTCAGCGCTGGTGGCACAACGACCATGATATTGATGGCGGGACACAATGGTGGTCACGACATTTTTCTCGCGCAGCAGCATAGTTAGAAAATCAAACCGCTACTTCTACTTCAGCTGAGACGACGAGTTCAACTTCGTTAAGTACGGTTACAGGTACAGCAACAGGGAGCTCCCAAATTCGTACATGAAGTTGGACTTTAGCCGGCGGTCCTCCTGTTCAACATTTTACAAAGAAACACAAAAGAGCGACCATTTATTGGTCGTCAGATCATACATTCTTCTGAGCAGGACGAGTCCTGAAGACATCTTTCAAGAACTCTAGTTCTGCCCTTCGTGCGCTGCAGCTGCCACTAACCGCGGCGCCGGGAGTAGATGTTGCATTTTCACATTCGTTTCAATCCCCGGACCATTGGAGCGGTTACGGTTTCTAGTCATCACCGGCTGCGCATGATAGCGGTGCTGGTGCTGCAGCTGTTGTACTAGTGCCTTCCCTTGCTCTTGGTCGCCGTCCATTCGCTGTAGCTCTCGCTCCTGCGCGTGCGCCGCGGGCGAACAATTTGAATGCGCCGACTCATTTACTTTCCAGGTAGGATGAGCGTCTGGGATTCGGCGAATTGGGGAGAAATTTTCCGCCTGTTGGTTTAATACTTCATTTTCGGGTCGTTGTCGTTCAGGGTGTGTGAGAACAATAGGAGTCCTCGTGCCGCAGGAGCTGTCAGCATGATTCTGTTTCCTCGTCATGTAGAACCCTTTGTCGAAGAAGTCCTTGTGTTTTGGCACTAAACTGGAATAAAAGTTCATTTCCGGCACCTTCTGGGATCTCGTTCTTTTACTCCTGTTTTTAGAGGCTGTACCTGTTGTAGCTGCTAGTGAGCATGAAGAAGTGCTAGCTCCTGCCGCGGCTTTTGCTCCAGCGTTGTGAATTTCGGCCCCTGGTGTTGCAGAAGCTCCTAGTCCTGCTACGATTGGTGAACTGCTGGAAAGTTCATTTTTCTGTGACCGATGAGCTGCTGCACAAAGTAGAGCGTCACGTGCGTCCTTCACCTTTCCGCGGGGCCCCAACTTGGCCTTATTGGTCGCCAAGCTCCTTGCTGCGATTTCGTTTTCGGCAGCCTCCAGCTCTTCATCGCGGTCGATGGTTCTCTCAACAAGTGGACACTTTTCATTGACATCTTCATGCCCCGACGCGTTGTTGTAACTCGCACCTGTGCTATCGTAGTTTCCGGCACCTTCGCGACCGTCCGTTCCGGACTTTTCACGGATTGATGTCGCGGTGATCACACCTTTCGGATCAAGCGTCGCGGAAGAACCACCACCCTCCATTTCACCATAGGCTTGCTGCTGCATCTGGTTCGTCCCTACAACTCCGCTCCCGCTTCGCAACCGCATCTGCCGTGCGACAAAATTGAAAATGCGCTCGTCTCGCAGCACGGCTTCCGCTGCGGCGGTCTTTTCATCTTGACAGCTGGTTCCGTGTAGAACAAGTCCGGGCTTCGTCGACGACGTTTGATGTGGCGTAGTCGTAGTTCTACCATGTTGAAAAGCCCCGTACAAGTTGTTCATCTGCAGCCTCTCCGTGCTCACAGCTCCATTACTGTTGTACACCTGCCTGGTCAGCCACTGCTGCAAACTCAGCCCGGACGGGATCGGCAGGCCGCCCAGCGAGTGCAGTTTCCACATACTGGAGGCGGTGAAGAGACCGGTCGATTTGCGGTCGCGGTGGAGAATCGCCAACGCGATGGGCTCGTCTAAGGCCGGGACTAGGTGATTTGCTGCCGAAGTGAAATCGCCCGCTGTAGTTTGCTCGTCGTCACCCTCACCTGGTACGATTTGGAAGCTGCTCATGATGGAACTCTCTGTCGTGTGCTGCGAGCGGAAAAAGGTCGAGGTGAAAATGGAACTTTTGTCGGCATCAGCGCATGAGGAAGACCTCGGGACTCCGCCGATCTGAAGATCCTCGAAACTCAGATCCTGTAAGTATGTATCGCATCTTCACAGGTAGAGTTTTGAGTTGGAAAAATGCAGGGTGTGTTTATTGTGTTTATTGATGTTCAAAACCGGCACTAGTAGATGAAGACGCAACTATGTATCATTTCATACCTGCGCCACCCGCAGCGTGACTTCGGCCCTTTGATATCGGTGCGCCGCGTTCCGTTCCGCCGGCTGTGTTCCAATCACAATGGTGTCGCACCACGGAGGCAATTTGTGAAGGGAAAAAGTCAGAGTGTTGCGGGAAATTTTCTGCCGCGAAGCAGGTGCTGCAGCGGAGCCGCTAGTGGTCCCGCTAGTATTTTGAAGACCGCTATCACGACCGCAATTCTCGTCAATCTCGATCCTGAAAACGTCCTTCACCTCGGGATGCTCGAGATTCCTTCTTTGGTGCCCGTGCTTGTCACAGAGAGCGAAAAGCAGTCCGATTTGCGGCAATTCATCATCGGGAAGGATGATGTTGATGTTTTCCGGGTTGAAGTGGAAATTTTTCGGGTATTTCCACTCGATTGTGAAAGTCACCTCGCTGACGCTGTCGAGGAAACAATGGACCTCAGAAGGGAGGAGGTATTTGGAGGTTTTTTTCGCTTGTAGAACTCCGTCACGGCCAGGCGCGGAATCGTAGTGTCGCGAACGGTGAGGTCCCGTCGACGATTGCTGCGCCGCGCCCATCTTGAAGATAAGGGGATAGCGTATAAGCGTTCTGACACTAAAGCTGCAAGAACATGAACAGGCGGCGGAGCTGTGGATCGATACAATTGATCATCACTCGTGTGAAGTTAATGCGAACCCGAACGGGGGTGGCTGTCTCTTCTCTAACGAGAAGGCGTCGATGCTCCTCTGCAGCTTCTCGTTGGTGTTTCGCTCATGTCGTCTCCATGCACTTCTTAATGCGAAGATGAAAGATCGACCTTTCTGAAAGGACGACCTCTAATACAAGAATCAACGAACAACGCCTCAGGTGTAGGTGACGATAATGAAAGAAGAACAGACCACAGCAGAATCTTCAAGAAAAACTACCTCCAAGCCAAAGTGCGTTCATCTATTCAACAAACTTTGCAGCTGCTTGTTCTGCATCAAGAAGAAGAACTTGTACGTACTTTTATTGAAACAACCTCACGATATCCCTCGAAGCCTGTTTTGACACTTTTTCGGAGTTCGAAATCTCAGTTTCCAACCTCCTCGCCTCGGTCTGGAGCGATTCCTTGCAGTTTTTCAATTTCTGCATGGCTTCCTCGGCCCGTTTCCTAGTGGAAAGCTTCGAGTTCTTCTCCTGCGAAAGGCGCGCACGGATTTTGTCAAGGTCGAGGTTGTCCATGGCCTTCGATACCGTGGAAGCCTTTGGCCTTGCTTGCGCTGGCGGAGCAGACTGGGGAGGCTGCGTCGAATTATTCACCTTTCCTGGGTCCGACGTTTCCTTCTTGTTGGTTAATCTTAATATCCCGGTCGTCGATGAGACAACGGCAGTTTTTGCAGTGGTTTGAGTCGACAACAGCCGGAAGATTTCGTCCGCTGCCCTTTCCTCCGCTGTTGAATACGGTTGCAAAGAGGAGGCTGTGCTGCAAAAGCCGTCTTCCGAATCCTCACTCCTGCTCTGCCGCGCTGCTGGACGTCCGACTTGATTTTCCGTCAACCTTGCCACGTTTTTTCGCAGCGACTCAGCTTCAAGCACTGCGGAGCACAGCACTGCCTGCAGCTCTTCGTGAAGATTTTCAGCTGGCGTATGATGGTCGTGCTCGCTCCTGTGTAAGTCAGGTGCCGAGTCATCCGCCCTGTAGCACCTGTCTGGAAGCCGCACACCACACGGAGCGAAGCCGGAAGAAGATGGGTTCGCAGGCGGTGGATTTTCGCTGGTCCTTGTGCTTGTTCTTTCTAAACGCGGACTCGTTCTTGTCCTGTTACTGGCAAGATGATCACTCTCATCTTCCCCCTCCTCCATTCCTCCAATCCCGCAAACTACACTCTCCGCCAGCACGAACTGGTCTGCGTACATCGGCGCACAGACCACCGGCACAGAAGCCGCAATCGCTTCGTGAATCGAGGCGAAGCCGCAGTGCGTGATGAAGACGGCTTTGTGCCCGTAAGCTTCCAGGATCAAGCGTTGCGGGGCGAGGTGTTTGTAGTTTTGCTGGTGCTGTTCCAGGGATTTCAATTTCTGTTGAGTTTCTGGTAGGGCACTAGCTGCAGAAGCAGTCCTGTCTCCTCCGTCACAGCTTGTGCTGGTGCTGCCCTTCGCGTTTACGTCGCTTTGACGAAACAGAACTCCCTCGTCGTTGAGAAAGACGATGTTTTCGTAGGACGAAGACGAACAAACCGAAAAATTTCCGACTGTTTCACATTCACAACTGTTCGGCGAATAATTATCTTCAATCTTCTCCAGGTCTCGACGACTGGCGGTGATGAGAACAACGGTCGCACCAGCGTCGACGACGTTGTATCGCTGCCCAGAAAAACCGCTACAACTGCCTTCTGGACCTGATCTCCTACCACCACCACGGCCGTAACACGCCACTAGCAACTCCAGCAGTTTTCTCGGTACCTTCGTCACCGAACCGAAAGAGACGTAGATCACTCGGGAAGCACTGCTCACCAGCTCCTGCGTTTGCTCGTCTTGGAAGATTCTGATTCTCATTGGGACGTCGGGTGGAAGCAGCTGCTGTCTACGCGCAGTATTGACGTCGTCCCACGGCCGCGCGATCGGATCAATGCCGAGAAACACCACTTTGCCCTTCGCAGTAGAAGTCGCGGCATCTTTTGCAGTCGTGTCGCCGTCTCGGCCATGATTCATCCTCGCAGCTTTTTCTTTCTCCTCAGCTTCTTTAACCTTCCTCTGCACCGCAATCGGCGCTAGTTCCGGAACAGAGAAGCACAGCGACAAGGCCGCTCCAGTCGGCGGGAATGTCAAGTCGATCCAGCATATCAAATGCAAAGATGTCTGGGTCTGGAAGGGTGCAGATTTTTGCCATGCTGTTTTTGCATGACCCGGAAGGTCTGGCAAGCAAGGTCTAACATCACAGGTTTTGAGAAGCTGCGTCGATGCCTAATCCGCATGACAAATCGCCTATTTTTTCGGTGACAAAAGTGGGCAACTCTTGCTGTCTATGCATGAGAGATTTTTGTGTGGTGTGAGATGCGCATCACAAGTTCCGTCTTTCCAGACCCAGCCATTTTTGCAGGTGATACAGCACGAAACTGTGCAAATCGGATGTTTTATCCCGAGCGAGTTGGCGACGAGAGAAGCCTATGCAGTGCAAAAGTATCGTACTCGTAGTAATCGCAGTCATGCATTACAGATTTCTTTCTCAATGTAAATCCGCATTGCAAATTCTATTTCTCATGCTGAGGAGATTTGTCATGCGATTTATACTAGTACGATGCTTTTGCATTTCATAAAGCCCAGGGGGTCGCGACGTCGTAGAGGAAAGCAGTTGTAGACAAAGACTGGGACCACGACGTAGAGGTGGTAGTTGTAGTCTTCAGCAACGCACCAACTTCTCCTTGTGTGGATGTGGTCCTCGACGTGCCGCTAAGATGAGCATGATCTTCGTCTGCACGATTCACGATTCCATCCGCCCACTGCAGCGCGGTGGAAAATTGCGACTCCGTTTTGATGGAATGCGCAGGAGGGGCTGGTGCAGATTCCTGTCGTGTCCTCGTGCTTGGATCTGATATCGTGACGGACAGGTGAGCGTCGTTCTGGGCGCCCGTTCGACGAGCATCAATTCCGCACCCGGCGTCCTCAGATGCAACGACCTCCAGAAATTCGTCCCTCGCTTGTTCCGCCGTGTAATTCCCCACTTGAGAATCCGCCAGGATCATCACGTGGATGTTGGTGACGAAAAAATTGGTCCTGCGGTTATGCAATTCCAATTGCGAGTCGCTTTTCTCTTGCGTGACAGCATCAGCAAGTCCTTTCGCTATCCGCACCAAAGGCTGCACGTGCGCGGCGGAAGCCAGGTTCACGAGGAACAGGAAATCGAAGGAGCGGGAGATGTTGGCTTGCGCGTGCCCCTGGCCCTGCTGCTCTGCAGCATCAGAAGTTGTCGTAGAAATAACCGTGGGCATGATCATGGATCATGCAGAGCAGCAGCCACGTTGTAGATGAGCCTCTACTCGTTCTTCTTTTCCTCCGGTAGCTTCGGCTCTTCGCCTTGCTGCAGCTCTAGTCCCCCACCAGCAACCTCCTCTCCGCCATCTGTTAGAGCAGCACCGCCGCTTCTTGTTTTGTCTTCTCTCTCTTCATTTTTCTTCGCGATTTTCTTTCCTCGGTCGGCCAACTGTTGCATCCGGACGATTTTCGGCGGCCGCACGTGATTTACCGCTTTTCGTTGTGGGCACAGGGTGCCGGACAAGTAGCAGTCGTACGCGTAACAAACGACGCACATCACGATCAGGCAGAGCATCAAAATGCGCATCCATAGTGGATCCGTTCCGGGGTCGATAAAACGCTCGTAAAGTCGGCTGGTGGAAGCAGTGCGGTTGGTTTTGGACATGATTTTTGGTCCAGTTGTTCGGAAGTCGTGAACAATTCTTGGTGCAATTGGTCGTGGCAAGAGGATCTACAAGATGATCTCTAAGGACGGACCGGCAGTTGAAAATAAAGCTTTTCAAAAATAGAAGTCAAGTGACATTGCACGAACAACGCATGTGGTAATTCTAATTGTGCCGCGAGCGACGCTTTTATTCGCACATTATCTTCTCGCTTCGAGCATTGTCCTGCTCCGCCTCGCCCTCGTGAGCTGTCAAAAATCTATGTCGAAGAAGTTCGACTACGACTCACTCGGAACAACTCGTACCCTGTACATCGTTCAGCTACACAGAACCAGATGTGATGGCGCTGTCCTCGCGGGTTCGTACGTCTTCATGAACAAGACCCCAAGGAGGTCGTATCAAAACAGTTTTGATTTTGAACAAGCTCTGCATGCTGGTGGCCAGTTAGAAGTAAGAACTGACTCTCAAGCTGCCTAAGTGCACCAGTGCCAGGGGTCTTCAGTGAATTGCGTTGTGATGATTTCTTTGAGATGGTACTAGCCCAGATCGCTAGTATTAAGGCATTTCAGTTTTTGTTTTGATATCCGCAAAATTGTGTGGCTCCTCAAACTAACAACGAGCGCAAGTTTCAACAAACAAGCCTAAGCCGCTCGGTTGTAGACCAGTGAAAAGTGCATACGAGGACCCTCTGCAGCTCGTCCTCCACCCCGGCACACTGCACCTCCTCACTACCCGACGTTCTGCGCAATGAGGTCCGCGATCCGCTTTTCGTAATCCTCGATGAGAAACTGCATTTGCGTCTGCACCTCGACTAATTCTTCCTCTGCAGATGTCGCCCTGACTAACAATTTCGCCCGCTCCTTTTCCATGTGCAACACCTGCTCTTCCAAATACTTGCACTGCTGTTGCAAAAACGACTGGGATTTTGGCGAAACGTCCCCACTGTTCAACTCCACCTTCCGCATCCGGTCTTCCAACTCTTCCACCCTGCTGTTCGCCGCGTCCAGCTCGACTTTCAACTTCAAGTTGTCGTCGTGGACGGATCTGGAATTGTTGTTACCATTATTGTTCTATCAAGTGCAAAAGTGTCTGGGTCTAGAAGAGTGTAAAGTTGTCCTGCAGATTTTCCATAACCCATGAGATCTGGAATGCGGGACATAGCACGACAGACTCTGTGCGGTCTCTCTCTCTGCCATGCCTCTCCTGCATGAGAAACTCCCACCTTCCAACTTGCTTAAAAGTGGACAGCTTTTGGCACTCATACAACACACCAGGTTTTTGCATGCTTCAGATTTACCATGACAAGTTGCCACCTTCCAGACCCAGACATATTTGCAATTGATATGTTCCCGTTCTGCTTCTGCAATTCCTCCCTTAACCGCTTCACTTCATCGTGCAACAATTGCTCCTTTCGTTCCCGTTTTGGAGACACTACCGGGGAGTTCACCGTGTTGATCAATTTATCCCTTGCTTCGGACAATTTCCCCTCCAAATCCGTCACCATCTGCTTCAACTTGTCTACCTCCCATGCCTGCGCGTCGTTCGCCTGTTTAAACACGTCCGAGGGGTTTAACTGCTTGGTTAAAGCGAGGAAACCTTTCTCCATTCCCGTTTTCACGTGCTCGAACTCCTGCTTCAACCGCTCCACTTCCAGCTCCTTCAGTTGCTTTTCCGACTTCATCAACTCCAATTCCTTTTTATTCTCGTTGAACAGCGTGTCTTTTTCGATTTTTTCCGACTGGAGGTCATTTTGCAACTTCTTCAACTTTTCCTGCTGTTCTTTCATTTCCTCCAGTTTCGAAATTTTCTCCTGCTTATCGACGATTTCCTTCTCTAATTGCTGCTTCAAAGTCGTGACCCTGTCCCTCAAATGCGTCACTTCGTCCTCCTTATTTGTCTGCATGGACTGGATGATCTCCAACTTCGTGTTCACGTCGTTGAACTTGAGTTGCAGCTGTTGGTACTTCTTTTCCAGTTCATTTTTCGCGTTCATCAAATTCAACAGCTCCACATTCGCCTCCTCGTGCTGGCCGTCCTGCTTCGCTTTATCCAGTTTCATCATGGAAATCAGCTTTTTTTGCTTCTCCAAGTCATCTTCAGTCTCCTTTAAGCGCTGTTCCAAATCCTGTTTTCTCCCCTTCAGCTCCTCGATTTCCTTTTTCTGCTTTTTCTGATCGATCGTCAATTCCACGACTTCTTTTTCAAAATCCAACGTTTTCTGTTTTTTCGCGAAGTCCTTGTCTTCCTTCTGCTTCTCTAGTTTTTTCAACTTGTTAACCGCGTCGACGAGGTACCGGGAGGTCTTCAGTTTGTCAAACTGCGCGTCTAATCTTTGTTTCTTCAGCTGCATCACGGAGAGCAGCACCGTGTCGTACTTCTTTTTCCTCTCTTCCAGCGATGATTGTAATTTCTGCTTCTCGTCGGTCAGTTTCGATAGTTGCGATTGAAGTTGCAACTGCTCCCCTTCGAGCGCCTGGATCCGCTTGACTTGCTCGTTCCCGGGGGTCGCAGACGCGGCGCCGTAGCCCCCGCCGCCGGCTGTCATGGCGGAACCGATGGCGCCTGGGCCGCCATCGAGGGAGGAAGCTGTGGTGGTTGCGATTTAGAGAAAATTTTGATTTTGATGGTGGAGCAGGAACACAGGCTAGTAGATTCGTGCACGTGCAGCTGGAACAAATCGAGCCAAAAACTATCTTCTAAATCCACTTCTGCAAATAAAACGCATTATCACAAGTGTAGTACCTTCCATCCCCCCACCCCCTCCCCTGCTCTTGAAATTCTTCAGCATCTGCAGCAATTCCCGCTTCATCGCCCGCACCAACAAGTTCGCTTTTGCGTCAAACCGCACCTATGGAAGTGTCAGGTTTGAAATCGACAAAGTTGAAACGATTTGTCATGCATAAAACGGACGCCAGTTGGAACCCAGTTTCCAAGTGGCGCATGACATAAACAGACTGTGCTACTGCGGGCGGGACATTGTGTATCAGGTGAATTGATCAACCCGAAGACGCCGCCGCCCCGGGCCCTATGGACCTGGCACTCCCCACTATACTCCTCACACAAAACACCACCAATACAACTGTAGGACATATCCAAGTGGCGCATGACAAGTTTTGGCGGCCCCTAAACCCAGTTTGTCATGCTGTTTAGGCAAAGAAGACTGATTTTCTGATGCTCCTCTAGCAGCTCGAGCTCTAACCCCAAACAGGCTTACAATCGGCCTCACTTGCCTGGTCTGCAATGCACGCGCCTCGCGTCATGCATTTTATGCATTGCAAATTATTTCAACTTTGACGATTTCAGTCCTGACGCTTCCATAGCACCGGCGCTAGTCGTATTGACCCTAACGAGTGCAACAGCTCCAGCCCCTTCGCGCTCACGCGTGGTTGATTTTGCTGCAGGCAGAGTAAGGTCGTGCAGTTCACGTTTTGTCCGTTGAAAACCTCCTTCAGCAAGTGCGTCAAGCAGCTTTTCCGCACATCGCCTACCGCATCCGGGTGGTACGAAACCGCCACGTCGTACAGATTGTACATGGATTTGAGCTATCCACTGCAAAAGAGTCGCACTTCTTGTAGCAATTGCTATCGTGCATGACAAATGTCCCTTGTTAGGTAAAATAGCATTACAAATTGCATTTTTCTTCTTGATAAAATTTGTGATGCGGTTTATACTAGTACGAAACTTTTGCAATGCATATGAACGCGTCAAAACCCTCCCGCAACTGCACCTGCGTCCGGTTTTCCGCCAGACAGTTCGTGGCCTGCGCTTTATCAAATGCAGAAGTGTCTGGGTCTGGAAACTTGTAATGCTACAAATGAATGGTAGACGCACTGCAGTACCCAGCTATGCATGACAAATTTCTTGACTGCCATGTCTTACGTATTCCGCATGGCAAACTGCGTTTTTTCGTGACAGGTAAGAGGGCCTTTTCGTGCCTATGCAACACAGATTCTCGAGTCATGCCAGACAAGCATGACAAACTTGCATTCTTCCAGACCCAGACATTTTTACAGTTGATACGCTTCCAGGAGGAGCAAATTGCTGTAGATCTGCCGATCCTGTAGGATTTCCAGTTTCAAGCCCGTGGTAAGTTTCTTCTGCAACGAGGAATATCGGTTCTTCATCCCCTCGGCTAAGAAATGGAGGGCGGCTTGCTCGGCCTGTTGGGTCGAAGAAGAGGAAGAGGATGTCGCTCCACTACCACCCGATTGGAAAATCACCGGTGAAGAGCAGTTTTCCAGCACCGTTCCGTACTCCAGCGTGTCGCGACACTGGATTTTCTTCGCGGGACCACCAGACTTCGAACTGGAAGAACTGGCTGGATTGGTTCCGGCAACGACCGCTTTCGGGGTCTGGTCAGCATTATTATCCGCTGAAGCGTTTGACGACGAGGACAAACTCGCCGTGTCCACCGTCGCCAATAAGTCGCGGATGTTCTCCTCGCAGACCTCGAAAAACGACATGCGGACGAGGTACTCAAATTTCAATTTCGAGTTTTTCCGTCTTTTCTCCTTTTCCGTGATGGCTTGGAACAGGTTTTTAATCCCGAGCGCGTACAAACCATTCGCTTTTCCCGACATAATGTCCGCCTTACCGGTTTTCTCGGCGCCGAGGGTGAGGAATACCTTTTTTGGTTTTGGTGATTTTTGTGCTTTCTTGTTATCCAGAAAAAAACACCCATCCCCATCCATTTTGCTATTTTTTCAACAAAAAAAAACCGGCTTTTTTTCAAAAAATTTTCAGGGTTGTCACCAATCGGCATCGGAAGCAATCACTTTAATGGTGACATAGCTAAAGTGGCGTCATAGCTAGGAACTTTTGACATGAATGAAATTTGCTAGGTCCATCACAGGTCATCGCAGCAGGCGACGACTTCCAGATCCTGCAAAAGCCTCTTTTCGCCGCCGCACATCGACTCTGGCCCCATCGCTTGGCCCATTTTGCAGTGGCCATATCGCCATGCCGCCGCGTCGCCACATGGGATGAAAGCGACGGACCTGGGATGGATTTTGACACGTGCTGTCCTTTCGGTTCGAGTGGATAATACAAATTCAGGACGGGAAGACTTTTGCTGTTCGGCAAGGCTGCCGTAGGAAAAACTTTTTGATTTTGTTTTTTTTCCAAAAAAATTTCGTTTTTGAAATTGACCTTGTTTTTGATGGATGATGTTTTTTCGCACGACGGTACCACAAATATTGGATCGACCCATCCAGTCCATTTTCTTCTAGAAATGGCTGGATGGGTCGAAGCAATATTTGTGGTACCGTCGTGCGAAAAAACATCATCCACAAATTCTAGTGTCATTTTGAAAATTGCAAGAATTCCTACTTTTTTGTGGATGATGTTTTTTCGCACGACGGTACCACAAATATTGCCTCGACCCATCCAGCCACTTCTACAAGAAAATGGACTGGATGGGTCGATCCAATATTTGTGGTGCCGTCGTGCGAAAAAACATCATCCATCAAAAAAGTGAGCATTTTCAAAAGCGTGACATTTTTTTGCGAAAAAAAAAATCGTTTTTTTTTCGTGAGCTGGAACGCAAGATCTGCTCTGCAACTATCGATGATAATTGCGCAGCTGGTGCTGCTCCCGCTAATTTCAATGGTGCAGCCGCGGCGTTCTTGGCGAGTTCTCCGCTACCTCTGGGTATCTGTGCGTGACTGCGCCAAAAGTTCAAAACCTCCATGGGACCAGAGGTGCCCAACGACGAGAACTGGCTTCGGCGAGTTGTATTTCTCGGTCGTGGTTCGGATCTCGGTTTCAGCTAGCCACCTTAAAATCACATAGCGAAAGTATGTGCAGCCACTGACGCCACTAGCTAGCTCCATCAGTTAGCACTTCTCGCAAATGCCATGCAAAAAATATTTCGGATTTTTTTCTTTTTTTATTTATTTTTCATGATTTTTTTGCATTAAAAAAATGGCAAAATGGATGGGGATGGGTGTTTTTTTCTGGATACTTGTTGGAAGGGTTGTACAACAAAAGGACAAGAAAGCTCTGTCGTGGTATCCGAAGGAAAAAAATATGCATGCACAACGAAATAAACGCACCATCGGAAACGGCATTTAGCGAGAGTCTCAGCATCAACTACGACTAAGTAAATCTGTTGCAAATCATCGATCTTTCTATCATTATACCCCATTCACCCCCGCCAAACTTTCTGCTATCAGCGGATTCAGAAACGCGCTTGCGATCGAGTCTGGCGACTCGTTGTTGCTCAAACAGGCGTCCACCTTGATCTTCGTGTCTTTGGAAAGCTCCGTAGACCGAAGCGTGACGGTTTTCTCATCCGTTGTGAAAACATCTTCCGTCTGGACCAGCTCGTTCGGGCGCCGGGCCCGAATCTTCACCAAGCGGGTGATGCGCTCCATGGTAACGGACTTCAACTTGCTGAGTATCTTTAGTGTGTTGTTGCTAAAAAGAAAAATGACATCGGCACGAAGATCTCCACTCCTTCGACTTACATTCTAGAAGTGTCCACAACTCGAGCTCAGTCTCTTTCGTCATGAGTCAGTGTTCTCTCCCAGTTCCACCAGCACAAATAACAAGTTTGGTTTTGGTTTGGCGTTTGCATCTATCACTCCTCGCTGGCTGGTCCTCTCATACTCCTCGAGTTGTATCTTCGTCTACGCTTCGTTGCCAAGAAAAGTCAAAGTGCAAGCTGTCCGGCTTTGATCAACAAGTAGTCCAACAACTACGGAAAACTCATTCTTTCAACCGACAACCGCGGCCAAGCACAACGAGTTCAGGTCCACTCATGATTCTTCAGGAAGGCTTACAAAAACTGCCCATGCTTGTTGTCGCACTCATATTACCACAAGAGCTGGTGGGCTGTAGCGTTTGAGCAGTGCCGCCAGGCATGCGCTCTGCCCCTCGAGCTCCCTGAAGAAGCCGGCCGGTGGGAACCCACGCACCCACCCAACCATCCAGCCACGAGGCAACGGCCAAACGGCTTGGGTGGAAAAAGCTGGGCGGCGATTGCCCCGGCGCCCGCTCAATCAAGCGAACACCAGCCAGGGCCAGCTGGCTTGGCAGGCCCGGAAAAATAGGGGCCCTGGCGCAACGCCGCCTGTCATCATTTTCGCCCGGGGGTGAGGGCTAGCGCTGGCCCCCGGGCCCCGAGCGGAGGGCCATCCAACAACCGAACCGCGGCCCGGCCCCCCTTTTCGGAACGGGCCCGGGCCTAGCTCCAAAGGGGCGGCGGGCCCGCTGGCGCTGTCTCGCTCCCTGCCCCCCGCGGCGCTGCCGCGGGCGGCCGTGTCCAAAGGATGGCGGGGCGGCCGGGGGCGTGCTTGCAGAGGCGCCGCGCGCGCCCTCTTGTTTGACTCTTTTCGCGCCGTTACCTTCGTAGCCGGGCGCCGTCGTTACCTTCGTAGCCGGGCGTCTTCGTTACCTTCGTAGCGGACGCAGGCGCCTAGCGCCTTTTCACCTGTGGGGGCCTTGAAGTTACTACGAATCCACTCCGGCACTGCTGCCGCGGTTCGGTTTCCGGAACGGCCCCACACACTTGGCGAGCGCTTTACTATGACAAGCTACGCCCTTCCACAACCGCGGCAACCCCTACGCCCATCGTCTCTCCTTGACTCGCCCCACTCGGCGGGCGTTTCCGTATTTGCGCCGGTCCTTGTAATCGTCCTGGCCCATGGCTTCTCTCCTACGGAGCGTCTCCGACCCATCCGGCCTAGTCGTTTCCGGGCGGGTGCCGGCTGGCTCCCGAGAGAAGCAAGCGACTGACGACCCAGCCCGGGCGGGTAAGTAGTGCTGGCGCGCCCCAACCATCTTTGCGTAGAAGGTGCTTTTTCATCTATGCTGGTGGTCAGATGATGGAGAACAACCAACATGAGCATGAAAATCAATCATGAGCCTGACATCTTCCACTTACATCAAAGCGTGCCAACATGCACACTGATCAGGAATTTACTCTCTCATGCTCTCGAGACCACCAGAATCGCCTTTGCTTTCACTTTGTTCGCGTTTTTAGTCCCCAAGTCTGTTCTCCACTTACTTCTTGTTCTACGCACAAGCAACTTCATCCCTCTTTGTCCTCTAGAACGTCGGACCACACTTACCTCAATTCGGATCACTTGCGCTCTTCTCTCACGGTACGCCCGCTCTTTGCACCCGTAGCCGCTGCGGAAACCTCAACTGCCAATCGCCAAACAAAGACAGGATGCACAAGCTATTTTGACACCAGCCAACACAGCTGCACCTGCGTCATGCCGCCAATACGCTCCGTCACAGAGAGATGGTGATGGCCTTTATTCTGGCAACGACCATGCACTCAGAAAAAACGCGGGAGGCGCGGGTGGCTGCGATGCGATTCGTTGGCTGCCCCGCCGATCAACACACAGCACCCGCCGATGGCGGGATCTCGGCTGGAACGTCGGCTACGCCGAGGCGCGGCAGACCACTACCTCGGGGCGCGCGAAAGTGAAAAACTCGCACTGCCGGCGCGCAACTAACTTAGCTGCCGCGGGAGGGTGCCCGCGAGGTCGGCTGCTCAGGCGCCGGCCGGCCCTGGTCGCCATGCCGGCCGAGACAACAAGCGGGCGGGGGCCATTAGTTACGGAAAACAAGAACGCCGGCGCGCGGGCCCACTTGGCCACGGGGAGCGACTGCCCCAAGCCCCTGGGCGAATTGGATTCCTGACGAGCCCACAGGCCGCCCACAAGCGCAGGGCCCGCCCCGCGCTGCACCGGCTTGGGCTTCCCAATGAGCGAGGACGTTCCAAAATAAAGAGGCCGGGCGCGCGGGCATGGTTTCCGCTGCGCTTGTGGTGCGGTCCGCCGATGTGTCCTAGGTCGCGGCCGCGATAGGTCCCCCGGCGCTGTAGCATCATCGCCGCTGGGTCGCGACCTACTCAGCGGAGCCGTGGCCGCGTCTGGCTTGGTGTTGCTGGGGCTGTAGCCCACCGGCGACATCGGGCGCCGTCAAGGATTTGGATTCCACCGAAAAGGGCCCCAAAATCTTCGCTGTTGATCTTGAAACTCTCAAATTCAAAACTCTACTCGAAGTCGCAGAGGATTTCTACTAGTTCTAGTACACTACACGCGCTCATTCTCATCATCAAGAGGATCCTTACATTCGGTTTTGTCCGCTCCGCATTTGTACGCAGTACTTACCACTCTGCGCTGCCGCTGGCACCAGCTCTTGCGCTCTAGAAGCTCTCGCCATGATTCTCTCTCTGAGTCACACAGTCGCAGATCGTTGTCGTTCATCTCGTCTGCGCCGTCGTGATCAAACAATCGAGAACAAAGTTGTGAACAAAACTCGACACGCGCGTGTGACGAGTTCACTGTAGAATTATTACCCGTAGAGCAAAATCCTTGCTCTCATCAAAAAGAGAGTGCTGCTGTGTTTCGGTAATAAAGTTATTTTCGTTTTATCGTAGTTTTAATTGAGAAGTTGAAGTCAAAGTCTCAGTCGCTGTACAGTTCAAAACCAGCCGTCGGAATTGCACTCTTTCGAGCGCTCGAAAAATAATGCAGCCGATCACCCTGGAAAAAGTAACCGCGTTTTTTTTACACACCTAATGCACCTTCATCTATTTGGTTGCCCTGCAGCTGCCCGTGCCCGGCAGCAGCGGCACTGTTCATCTGCTCCTCACCATACAATCTCACCAAATCGTCAACGTGCGCTGCGCGAAAGCTGAGGAAAAAGCTCAGCACCGCGTTGGCTTCCTCCTCCGTGCTGAAGAGAGCGCACATGTGTTTGTCCCTCTCCTTCTCTTCCTTCGACAAAATATTTTGTCCCTCCTTTATCTGCCTATGGTAGTTGATGCAATACTTGGCCAGCTCCCACCGCTTCGACAGTTGGAAGGACAAGATATTGCAATGAAAAATCCCCCCTCCCCATATCAAAGCGGAAATCTGTGATGCAGATTTGTGGTCACAAATCAGCTTTGTGATGTTAGAAGGCAAAAGATGCGGACTGTAGTGCTGTCTAGCGTGGGAAAGCCTTGCAGCTCCAGGATGACAGGAGGCAACTGGAAGTGGGAAACAGCATGACAGATTACCTGCAATTTAGGCCGCAGCTTCGTCTCTTGGCCTTCTATTCAGTCTTCAAAATCACAAATTCGCGCATCTTCCGTTTCCGATTTGGGGTGGGAACTTTTTTCACTTTGATACAAGAGCATGGCCTCCCTCGTGTCCGGGTTCAGTTGGTTGACGTAGTGTATCCTGTGCAAAAGTATCGTACTCGTAGTAATGGCACTCATGCATTTACAAATTTTTTTCTCAAGGTAAATCCGCATTACAAATTTAATTTTTCATGCTGAGGGAACTTGTCATGCATTTATACGAGTACGATACTCATACTTTTGCAGCTCATATAGTGAGCGCGGGTTTGACTGTCCTGCCGCGCTGTGTTCAACAGAACAGTCCCCACAGCCGGGTACGGGACCATGTCCCAGATGGAAAGAAGAGGTTTGTGCGGAAGAGGGGCTGTTGGCTCAACAACATCTTCGGGCTGATGACGCTGATGCGGATCGACATGCAGCAACCCAGCACCTGTTGTGCTACTACTCGATGAGGCCGCGCCGTCTGCTCCGTTTTTGTGAAGAAACGACGTGGTCGTGTCCTCGCCCGGTTCTTGTTGCTGCACGACAGGATGAGTAGGGGCCGTAGGGGGCGTTGTACTTCCACCGGCACTTCTTCTTCTCGTTGAAAATAGTACATCACGACCACCTCCGTCAACAACTACACGACCGTTAGTATTTCGCTCAAGAGTTTCCACATCACCATACCTCAGCACCGCCTCCCTGGTCATGGTTTGCATTGCGAAGTCCTGCGGATTTCGGTCGAACCCTTTATGCGTGCCGTAAAAGGTCCCGTAAGCGGCGTTGTGGTAGCCGGCCAGGATTGGGAGGAAAAAAATCGCGTAGCAAACCAACATCTCGAAGACAAAGGAAGAGCGCGCGGTGCGGATCCGGTCTTTTAAGGTGCGGAAAGCGCGGGAGTTCTGGATCCAAGTGATTTTCAATTCGTAATTTGCGTAGATCAAGAATTGCTGGAAGAAGAGGCAGGATCCCATAAGCCACGTCCATGCAATCACGACCAACCGGAGCCATGTCACCGTCTCCCAGGGTCGGGGCGAGGTCTCGTAGTCGAGGCACCCAATGTGCCAGAGGTACGGGTCCCGGAAAATCTCCTCGTGGGGAACGTCGTAGACATCGTGTTGGGCGCTAGTTGTACGGAGGCTGTTGTATATCTTCAACCCTTGGTCGTGTTCAAGATTGTTTCCGAATCGGACAGCCGATAGACCCCCGCGGGGATGATCTTTGTTATCAAACAAGTCGACGCTGTAGTTGCGACGTGAGGTTGAAGCTGTCCTCGTCTTGGTCAACATTCCATGGTCCAACGGATACGGTTTGTCAAAAACCGCTCCTAAGTACCCTATCGGCACGTTTTCGCCCCAGAGAAGCTGGATTGTTTCAAAGATGAGCAAGGTGAGACACCCCGCGTTTGCGGCGAAATTGTGGATCAGAACGTACAGGTTTTGGTTTCGCCCGGTCTCGGACTTCGACGGAATCACGGCGGTCACAACGAAACAGAAACTGGGGACAATCAGCCAACAGCACCGAAGGACAATCTCGCCCAACACGGCCAAGCGAGGCAAGCCCGGGTCGCCGTGGTCGCCGATCTCGCTCTATCAAAATGAAAATTCCCCCCTCCCCATTTCAAAGCGGAAATCTGTGATGTTGCGGGATTTGTATACACAGACCACATTTGTCCTGCAGGAAAGCACTGCACGCAGATCGCAAACCCAAGGGGGGGCCTTTTGGTGTACTAGGGGCCTAGCATGGCAGACGTCTGCCCTGTAGGCCTTGCAGCATTGCAAACCGCCTGCATATCGCCGCGGACTCTCTCGATTTGCTTTCTGGCAAGACAGACACGATTCGTGGTCACAAATCTGCATCGCAAACTTTCGGAAGGCCATGCTTTCAATATTGGGAGGGGGGATTTTTCCTTGCAATAGGCTCAGCTTCTTCCAACGGCACCACGAGCGGTAGGAACGTATCAAATGTAAAAGTGTCTGGGTCTGGAAACTTGTGATGCTGGGCGGCGTCTCATGATGAGGCCACACGTGCTGGCTCAGCATGACAAGTTTCTGAGCTTCTAGGTGTTGCCAATTCTGCATGACAAACTGCGTTTCTGCATCAGAGAACAATGGGGCTCTTGGGTAACACGCATGACAGATTTTAAGAGTCATGCCAGACAAGCATGACAAACATGCATTCTTCCAGACCCAGACATTTTTACAGTTGATAGAGTGAAGCGGGTACTGATTCAGCAGCGTCGCCACCATGTAGAGAATCAGTGCGATGGTGAACGACTTTCCTTCCAGGCTCGTCTGGTCCTGGCAAACGCAGGATAACGTCCCGCGCTCCAGAAAATCTTCCGGTAAAGCGTCACGTAGCTTTCTGAGTTCGGCTGGTTCGGTGGAGTCGTCGTCGTGTTCAGAGCTGCCACTTGCGACTGCGGTTGCGCTAGTACTTGGGGAAGGAGGATTCTCTTCGCGAAGATCAGAAATCCCAGTCTGGTTAATATTGGCAGCTGCGCCTTGTTCGGAAGCTGCTGTGCCTCGTGTACCAGCGGAAGTAGCTGTGCCGCGTGTAGTTGTACCAGCGGAAGTAGCTGTGCCGCGTGCATCTCCAGCATCATCTCCTCCCAACATGGTCGTACTTCCTGCTTCACCCCCCGGCGCCCCACCAGCGGCAAGAGCTGCAAGCCGGCGCTCCCGATCCTCTCTATCCCGGCTGTCCCTGGTCACGTAAATCATGTGCGTCCTCGGCTTCGCTTTTCCCGGGAAAAATACTTTTTTCCACGCGAGCAGCGTGCCCAGTAAAATCGCCAGGTACCCGCCGACACACAGCTCGAAAGATAAGACTTGGCTGGTCCGGGTTTCGCCGAAGAAGATCGCAAGTAAGATATGCATTGCAAAAGTATCGCACTAGTATAAACCAGCCATGCTCCGGCTACCGCCGGAGCGCGCGGCTGTTTGGCCGGGTTTGAACTGCTTGCGGACCGGACCACAACGACATGCATACTTAGGCCCCCTCAGCACCGTCTGCGCGCTTCCCGCGCCTAAGGGCGCTCTGCGCAGGGAGGAGCTACCACTAGCATTGGGGCAGAACAGGAGGCACCTAGATGCCACACCAGTCCGCTACGCATGCCTTTCGTTAATCAAGACGAACCAAGAACCGGCCCGCCCCACCCCATTCCCCGGCGCCGCTTTTTCAATGACTTCAGTGTGGGAGGGGGGCGCGAGAGGGTGCGCGAGAGGGTGGCGCGAGAGGGTGGCGCGAGAGGGTGGCGGGGGCTGGCGCCGAACAAAACAAGTCCGCGAAGGGCCTGCAATGCTAAATATGGGGAATACCATGCGGATTCGCGCCCGCCACTTTGTGTCTTTACCCTCTCGCAGACCCTCTTTTTTACCTCTTTTGGGGGTCCCCGCTAATAATCCGGCTATACTCGCGGGTAGAGGTCGACAGAGGTGGCCCAGAGGTGGCCGAGAGGGTGCGCGAGAGGTTGGCCCTTATTCGCGCCACCTCCCTCGCCCTCTGTCGACCTCTCGCGCCCCCTCTTTTTGACCTCTCTGCACCCTCTGAGGCACTTAGGCGCCGCCTTAAGGTGGGTCCTTCGGCGGGCTATACTCGCGCACCCTCTCGCCGACCCTCTCGAAAGGGGTCCCGCGCCACCTCTCCACCTCTGTCGACCTCTTTTTTACCTCTTTTGACCTCTTTTTGACCTCTCGGCCACCTCTTGTTTACCCTCTGTCTACCTCTTTTTTCGCATGAATATAATATATAGTAATCGCATGACAAATTTTGCCAAGAGCAAAAATGGGATTTGTCATGCTGAAAAAGGTAGACACAGATATCTGTCATGCACGAACAACAACACGAACGCAATTAGTACGAGTACGATGCTTTTGCAAAGGATATAAGAATCGAATCAACGACATCGTGACGCCGCCGCAATATCGAATCCGCTGCAGGGCCTCGAGGTAGAAGGCATCACGGGTTTCAGCGGTTTTCCGGAAATGTTCCAGCTGTTCTTTTAATCTTTTGTTTTCCTCTTGCAAATCGGTTTGCTGTTGCTCCAGTCTCAGCAGGCGCTCCTCGAGGGAAGTAGGGGGCGCAGCAGCCGCGCTTTCTCGTCGTGGTGATCCTGGATTTCTCCCTGGCCTCGAGTGAAAGTTTTCCTCTATTTGCTCTTCCATCTTTTCCTGCAGCAGGGCGGGGACAAATTTCGTGTCGTGCTTGTTGCGAGGAATTATATCGTCGTCATGGCCCATGCCCATCACCTTCTCGCGCGCAATCTCTTGCAGCTCTTCCTCTTGCTTCATCTCGCCCACCTCTACTTGTACGGACACTTTTTCAGCAGCTCCTGCAGCCTCAACATCAGCTTGGACCACGAAAGAACTTTCGCCGTCAGGAGAGAGGACCATTTCCGCGTTCTTGTGTATGTGTTCGGTATGCTCGTCCTGATTCCGCTCTCCAGCTGCTTTCATGCCTACTTCGCTACCGTCATCGACGTCGTCATGCGTCAAATGTGACTGATCGTGTTCCCGTGCTATGTGTTCAACAGCAACTTGATGCTGCTGTGCCGCACGACGACCGTCGTTGTGACCACCATCATCACCTACACCTAGTATTCTTCGACGTGGCTGCAAAAACGAGTTGTTTGATTGCTCTGTTTGTGCATCTGAGTCTGACTGCGTGTTCCTCTTCACAGCCTCGTCTAGATCCTTCACTTCTGAGTAGAAGCGGTCGCTTTCCACTTGTTGCGCAAGCGGAGCAACTCCAGGAGGTGTAGGCAGCTCACCCCCTGCAGCAGCCTCCGAGTGGTGTGCTAACACAGCCTCCTCTCCCAGGTGGTCCAGCACTCCGTCCTCATTTCTATGCCGCTCTGCCACCTGCTGGTGGTCTCTTCTTTCTAAAAACTTGTGGTGCGTAGACGAACTAGGAGCTTCACGCCTGTCATCCCCTGGTGCTGGTGACGCACCACCTGTCGAAAGAGCTGAAACTTGTCTAGGGAAATAACTCTTTTGTAAAACGCCTGAGAAATTAAACGCTGTGAAAAGACTCAATAGAATGAGATGAAGAAAAGGCGATCTACATCGAACGACGATGGCATGCTGCATAAACTGCATCATGATCTCCAAAGACAACTTGGTTGGGGGCAAACGTGGTACGTTTGCACGTGCAAGTATCCGAATCTACTATTGTCTACACCGTTGAGTCGCAGTACTAAAAATTTGTCACGGGCAGGTATCGTTATCGCTTTGAGAGGGCCTGTTCGATCTTCGAACTAAAATGCTTATCGTCTTAAGTAAAAATAAACCAGAAAGGAGACCACACTGGAGTGAACGCAACGAGAACGAGTACGAGAGCGACATGTTGCTACGACGTTGTTGATGAATGACAGTTGAGACGGGTATAGCTACATGCAATCTGTGGCGGACGATTTAGGAGAGGTAGCGCCGAGAGAGCACAATCACAATGTTGACCGAACATCTTCATTACGAAGGAAGACAAATACTGCATGCGGACGAAGAAGCTGTAGCTCAGGACGAAAACAAAACTCAATAACCGATCCCGATGAGCAGGAAGAGGCCCAGTAACCGAATAGTTGTGTGTATGTGTTTACTGTTACTAGGTCTTTGCGCTACTGCTACAGAAACTTCATATCTGCTCCATTTCTTGTAGCAGAACAGAAGGCCCTTGCAGCAAATGAATTTGCCGCCGAGAGCGACTAAGCTTTCGCCCGCCCGCTCCTTCTGTCTGGAGCAGGAAACCCAGGACCACCTGCTGCCTGTCCGATTTGATGTTCGTTGTCGATGCAAAGATATCATACAGCTTTATTTGCAATTTGATCGTTTCAAAACTCTGGTAGATAATCATTCGGTGGTATACAGGGCATTCGTGATTCGCATTTTTCGTCCTACTACAGCTCTATGATCTACGATTCATACCACCTCCCCGCCGTGCAAATTCAACATAGATAAAAATTGCACGACAAATCATAGCAGCTTTTTTGATAGACAAGTAAAACTTCTATATGGTCTACAACTAACTTCCGCGTAGTTGATGCTTACAAATCTCTTTTCTCTTAGAAGTAGTTTCCGAAGTACAAGACATTTTGTCTTGCTATTCTCACTTCTTGTTTTGAACCTAAAGCAAATTCTTTCCAGCAGACTGGCGTATTTTTGCTGGCACACGAGTTGCACGACTGCAGCGGACAGATATCTTCAACATACGCCTGATGAAGAGGACCCCCCGCTGTCGCTGTGTGCCCGCCAGATTCTCTTTACTTTCTCCCCTTTTGCTATTTTGTGTGATGTCAATGAAAAAATGAAATGCCTTCCAGATGGTAGCACTCGGGCTGACGGGTAGCATAGGAGTGGTGCATCTTCACACCCCCGCCCTGCTGCCCTTTTACTTCTTGCCACGAGCGGTTTCTACCATTGCTAAGAGTAATCCAATCAAGTGTAAAAAAGGTCATATCGCCCAAAGAATTGGCGCCTTTTGATGATGTTTTAGACAATGATTAATCGAAAAAGTTGATACGAGTTTTTAGATGAGAAGACACGTGGCCGTAGTGGTCATCTTCATCGCTTTTCATCTTCGCACAGTGAAAATCCTGGTGACGAAGAAACTTTTGTCGCTGATCGCAGGATGAAACAAACAGCAACGGAGCAAGAACTTGTACTACAAAATGCGCAGGATTTTGCCAGATCGGGTAGAAACTATTTGTCGCTTAGGAGTTGTAGTTGGAGATGAGCGAGATGAGGTCGCTGACGTTGTTCTTGACGAGCTTGACAAATTCTTCTTGCATATGCATTGGAGGTTTTTTCACTATCCACCACCGCAAGTTGCAAAAAATTATGTCGTCGTCTCTACAAATCGTCCATGTCGACTTCCATGATCTCCTTTTTCTCCACTACTTCTTCCTCGATGACCTCCTCCTCGATAATTTATGAACTGCAAAAGTATCGCACTCGTAGTAATTGCAGTCATGCATTACAAATCTTGTTCTTAAGGTAAATCCGCATAACAAACTTTCTTTCTCATGTTAAGGAAATTTGTAATGCATTTCTACTAGTACGAGTACGATGCAACTTTTGCAATGCATATAATTTCCTCCTCCACGATCTTCTCGGCGTTGTTCGCAGCACTACTTCCGCCCTGATTCCACCACTCGTTGCCACCAGTTTGTGCTGAGGATCCAGCTGCTGCCCCCTGTAGTTTGAGTTATTTTCAGTAAGTTTAGAAGTACAACGCAGTCGGAGCTGCTGCACATGTTGATGAGGCATGACGTAAGTTTGTTTGCACTTGTTGCTTTAGAAGAGCTGAAAACATCAAGAAAACCAAAACGGAAGTCCAATGACACAACAAGAACAAAAATCACATACCGTCTCCACCCACTTATTCGTTGCATCATCCCACTTCCAGTTTCCGTCCTTATTCCAATTATCTGTCGCACCGTAATTGTTGTTGTAGCCAGAAGAGGAAGCAGCAGCTGCACCGGAGGAATTATTGTTGTAGCTGTAGTCTTTGTTGTAGTTGTCCCGATCGTTATAACCGGTACCGGATGAGCCCCAGTTATTGTCGTCCTTGCTTTTGTTCCAGTCTTTATTGTTGTTCCAGTCGTTATAATTCCAAGAACCACTGTCCCACTTGCTCTTGTCGTCGTCTTTGTTCTTTTTATCCCAACCTTCCCAGTTGGACGAAGTTGCAGCTTTTTTCTCCACTTCTTCCTCTTCTTCCGCACCAAAATTCGGATCCCAGGCCATGTCGGCGATGAGCTTCTCATGTTCGGTGAGCCCGCCGGTTTTCGTGAATTCGTAATTGGTAATATCGAAAGGAAAAACTCCCCCTCCCCATATCGAACAGGCATGTTTCCGAAAATTTGTGTTGCTGATTTGAGGTCACAAATCACGTTTGTCTTGCAAGGAGACAACGGCAAAAGCTTCGCCCCCATTATAGAAGCGATTTGTCATGCTGTTGGGCCTAAAGGGCAGCCGCTTGCCATGCTGAACAACTAGACCGATACGCCCCTACATAGCCTGGGGATCTGGCGGCAGTGCCTTCCTGCAATACAAAGCTGATTTGTGTACGCAAATCCAGCATCAGAAACTTCGTTTCGATATGGGGAGGGGGGATTTTTCCCTTTGATAGGTAAACTGGTGCTTTTGGTACCCGGTGACATCGTTGAATTGTTTCATCTATGCAGTGCAAAAGTATCGCACTCGTACTAATCGCATTCATGCAAGACAAATTTCTTTTTCAAGCTAAATCAGCATGAGAAATTCCACATGTCATGCTGAGCTAATTTGTATTGCAATACTACGAGTACGATACTTTTGCAGTTCATATCATCGTGTCATGCATTTCCGCTTTCTGGTGGACGAAGGGCGCGAACTTGCTATCCGTTTCGAAAGTCGGCTCCTTGTAAACCAAACCCCCGCTGGATTGAATGACCTGCTGTTCCTTGCCCTGCTTGTCCTTCACCGGAACAATTTTCCACTCCTTGTCGCTGACTGTCGCGATGAGCGACAAATCCTTCACCGCGTTATTCAGCACTGCAACCTGCAAGGCCTGCATCGCGATGTCGTCTTTCTTTTCCGGACTGCTTTGGACGGATTTATCCTGGATCGCTTTCACACCAGACAGTTCGTTCTGCTCGGCGGCGGCGGAGGCGATCTCCTGTTTCTTCTTTTCAAACGCCTCCTTCCCGAGGCACACGTAGTTGCCGTTTAGTGGGTTTTTCGGGTTCTCCAAAATTTTCCAGCTCTGGTGTTCTTGCTCCCACCGCGCAATATGACAACCTCAGGTTGGAAATCCTCAAAGTGCAAATTACTATCTATTATATTCATGCGAAAGTAGAGGTCTACAGAGGGTCGAAGAGAGGTGGCCGAGAGGTAAAAAAGAGGTCGACAGAGGTCAAAAAGAGGTCGACAGAGGTGGAGAGGTGGCGCGGGAGGTCATTCGAGAGGGTGGCCGAGAGGGTGCGCGAGTATAGCCCGCCGAAGGGCTCGCCCTAAGGCCGCGCCTATAGGGACCAGAGGGGGCCGAGAGGGTCCAGAGAGGGTAAGCGAGAGGTGGACAGAGGTGCCGGGAGGTTGCGCGAATAAGGGCGAACCTCTCGCGCACCCTCTGGGCCACCTCTCGGCCACCTCTGTAGACCTCTACCGGCGAGTATAGCCGGATTATTAGCAACACCTCTCGGGAGAGGTCAAAAAGAGGGTCTGCGAGAGGGTCAGAAAACCCCGAATCCGCCCGGCTCGCGGCCGGTTTTGTTTGGGCCTTTTCATCGCGCAGGCCCGCACCCTCTCGCGCTACCCTCTCGCGCACCCTCTCGCGCCACCCTCTCGCGCCACCCTCTCGCGCTACCCTCTCGCGCTACCCTCTCGCGCTCCCCTCTCGTGCCAACCATTTCCGTCGGGAAGCAAATAGGGCGGGGGCGGGATGGTGATCAAAATAGGGCAGCGCGGCCCCCGTTCTGCTTCCTTCGGCACCTATGTCGAGGTGGCTTCTCTTCGCCCCCAAGCTTCGTTGCAGTTGCTCCCTGCGCATAGCGCCAGCAGGCGCGGGAAGCGCGCAGGAGGCCGCGCGGGCTGACATGGCGCAAACCGGCGCCAGTAGTTCCCTCGGTCTGTCACGCTGTGCCCAAAGACCCGGCGCTGCGGTCCGACCCGCGCATTGTCCTGCCCCGCCACAACAGCCTTGCGCCCCGGCGGCAGCCGGGGCATGGCTGGTAATTTGTAATGCAAAAAAACGACTCCAGTTGAAGCGCCATTTGTAGTCGGCGCATGACAAATTTCCTGGGCCCTTAAAGCATGTCTGTCATGCAGGTTAAGGCAAAGGGGTGCGCTTCTGTCGTGCTAAGCAGCACTCCAATTCTTGACCCCCAGCAGGACAATAGTCGGCCTCCATTGTGTCCTCTGCAATACAGTCTTTTTTGAGTCGTTGTCGTATTTCATGCATCACAAATCATTTCCACTTTGAGGATTTCCATTGTTCTGAGGCTTTCATACGCAATTACCACGCTGTCGTACTTTTCGATCGCCAACCGGGATTATCAAATGTAAAAATGTCTGGGTCTGGAAGAATGCAACTTGTAATGCGTATTTCAAAACACAGAAAAGTCTCTCATGCATACGTAGCAAAAGCTGCCCCCTTTCTGTCAGCAAAATAGGGGACTTGTCATGCGGATTCGGCATTGCGGAAGCTTCTCGAAACCTGTGATGCTAGAGCTTCCATGCCAGACCTTCTGTGTCATGCAAAAACAGCATGCCTCTTCCAGACCCAGACATTTTTACATTTGATATGGATTCTTCCTGCTTCTTGCTGTTTTTCTCCTTCAAAATCGTCAAGTGGATCTTCGGGATGATGATCAGCTTTGACTTGATTTGCAGCGCCACCCGGAAGTGCTCCTCGTCGATGACCTGGCGGAACTCGCAGAGCTGGCCCTTGTAGGGATTTTTGTCCGTCGACTTCATGATCTTCATCCGCAAACCCTTGTAGGGGTGGGCCTTTTTTTGCCCCTTTTCTTTGTCGTGCAACTCCTGCCACTTCAGCGGAATTTTGTCGGGCCTTTGCTCCTCCTCCTTAATAATAGCCAGCTCTTGCTTCTGCGTCGTCAGTGCTTTCTGTACCGCAGAACCGTGGGTCAAAGCCAGCGTGCCCATGTCGGCTGTGTTTTGTTGGTGCATGAAGAACATTATCGAACTTCAAAAAAGGCTGTTCTTGCGGACATGTTGAACATATGAATTTGAACTACAGCTGCTGCATCTGTATCTATAACCACATGAACAACATCTTCCCAGAAGTAGTGCTACGTACTGCTAGCAGCAAAAAAATTCACTATATCAAAAATACCCGCGACTTGATTTATGGTTGCCAGCTGCCGTTCCACCATACCCCCGTCTTTTCGCGTCGCTTATCAAATGCAAAAATGTCTGGGTCTGGAACATTCTAAACTTGTGATGCTGTCTGTGGATTCTGAAAAAATTTGTATTGCATGAACAGCAAGAGGACTCCAGTTTGTGCTACGCGGAGAACAAGGCGGCTCTCATGCGGTAGAGGTATCAGAAAGCGCTCTAAAAATCTGCGATGCTGCGGCATGCATCACAGACGTCATGGGTCATGGAAAATATGCATGACAAGTCTAGAAATCTTCCAGACTCAGACATTTTTACATTTGATATCGCTGCGGCTTCGTCAATTGCGTATTTCTCGGTCTTGCTGGTTGTCAAAGCCAGTTGATTCTATCCTGAGTAAAAACGTACCCACACCAGAGTTGTAATGCAGATTTGCAAAGACAGGAAGACTTGTAATGCGCATCCCCATGAGAGCCATTTCCAATCGTGTTTTGGAATTTGTGATGCTGTGAACAGGATGAGCAGATGAATCTGTGATGCGGCTACACTTGCTAACCTGCACTACACTGCATACGGCAACTTGTCATGCGTGACTCACAAAACTCCTAGGTTTGTGTTGCAAAATCCTCATCCTGACTCTGGTGTGGGTACGTTTTTACTCAGGATAGATTCGCCTGCGACTTCTTCGCTTCCGGTCCGAAGTCTCGTAGGCCGCCCTTCACCGCTTTCTCGAGTTTGCAGTCAGTACCACGGACGAACATCCAGTCGTTTTTGTTTTCATCGTCCCGAATGTACATGCCGTCGGTGAGAATGTGCATGATGCGCTGCGTGCTCTGGTTCGTCTGGGCCCCTGACCCGGAGATTTGTTTGTTCTGCATGAACCGGCACTGCACTGCGTCGAGTTCGTAAAGCAGACGCCCATCGTTGTCCGCCTGGACTAGCCTGCCTTGCGTGCCACGTTTAAGACCGAACTCCCCCTTTATTGCTTCACTTATCGTTTTCTCGGACTTCGCGTTGGACTTCAGATGGCATTCTGTTTTGGTGATGATGTGTTGCATTTAGTTGGATTTTTGATCATGAAGATGGTCGTGCACGTGCTCGTCTTCATGCATGAAAATTTCATGTGTACTACTACGTCTATCAAGCGATGATCGTGATGTCCTTGAAAGAGAAAGCCTCTCATTTCAATTCAAGCAGAACAACAATCAAAAACAAAGCAAAAAGCATCTTCGTATTAAATACCGCTCTGCTTCACGTCCAGCACGGTATTTGCGGTGCTCAAGACCTTCATGCCGTCGTTGGGAAACAACTGTAAAACGACCGCCGGCTGGCTACTAACCCCGTCCCCCTGCTCTACATGGACTAGGTCGTAGAGTGTGAAGGCAGAGCCTGCTGCGAAGGTGGTTTTGTCCACCTCGTCTTGATTGGTGGTCATGTTCGTCTGCATTGAGTACTTGTCTTGCTCGAACGTTACCTTCACGTCGTTGATGGGCAAGTGCACTTCCTCGGGCCAGCCGTCCATCCCCAAGGACGCAAAGGCGACGATTACCGTTTGCGCATCGGTGTCCGCCTTGATCACGTCTCCTATCCTCCCCCGCTGCTTCGCATGGTGGGAAATCACCTTCACGCGCTGCCCCGGCTCGAAATACTTGCAGCACTCACGGGGGTCTACTACGACGTGACCTGATAGTTTTTGTTTTGATAGGATGAAATACTTTCTTGTCGGTGTCATGCGAAATTCAAAACTGCGAATCGTTTTTATTGGGTTATTTTCCTTGACACGTTCGTACTAACTGTCCTCCAAATAGGAAATTCACAACAAATCACTATCACACCTATTTTCCCGATTCCCAGATCCCCCAGCCTCGGTTCCACCATCATCGTTCCGTTTTCCAACATTTTTCTCACGGTCGCCTATGGATGTGTCAGAGTTGAAATCGACAAAGTTGAAGTAACTTGCAATGCATAAAATCGATACCAGTTGCAAGTCCAATTTGTAAGCGGCGCATGACAAATTTGAGTAGAGTCGAAATCTAGTTTGTAATGCTGTTTGGGTAAGGAGGACGCCTTTTGTGATGCTACTTGAGCAGCTCTATTTCTAACCCGAAACAGGCTCACAATCTGCCTCCCTTGCCTACTCTGCAAGACAGACATTTTCTGCGTTGCATTTTATGCATGACAAACTATTTCAACTTTGACGATTTCAATCCTGTCAGTTCCATATCGCGACCACACCTTTCAATTGCCCCATATACACCTCGATCTTGTCCCCCGTTTCGAACGGGTTTTTCTCTTTCACCATCAAATCCTCTGCCCCTAGTTGCACGTGCCCCTGCGCATCCAGCCCCGCGGTCACGCTTTCGTCGACGGCCGCGTAATCTTCTGGCATCAACTATCCACAGGAAGTTTCATCCTGTACATGATGTACAAATGCAGTTTCTGCATGACAAAACTTTCTTTCAATTCTATTGTGCATGACAAGTGGCATGCTCCTCCAAGTTGGTGACATTATTTGTGATGCATTTTGTACATGTACAGGAAATTTGTATTGCATATCAACACGTTGGAAAAGTCGTTCTTCTCCGCCATGGTGGCGTTGTATCAAATGCAAATTATATGTCTGGGTCTGGAAACTTGTAATGCTGAATGGCCATGATTGACTGCGCCTTTGAGTACAGTGCGGCATGACAAATTCTTCAAACGCCCTGTCATGCGCAGGACGCATTACAAACTACGTTTTTGCATGACGAAGGTGAGGTGCTGTATTTGCTGCTTATACAATACAGATTTTTTAGGAATGCGAAACACGCAATACAGGCTCAACCTTTCCAGACCCAGACATATTTGCAGTTGATACGTTCACAAAGGGGTCGATCTTCGCGAGGGGAAAGTGTTTGAAGATGTGCCCGGACTGTCTTGTAAACGTGTCGCCGTTGGTCTGAAAGCAGCGGATCCCCATGTACTCGATGTCGCGTAATTCTTCGACAAAAATTATCCCCAACTCCTTCCTGTTCGCGGTGTCGTAGGTGAAAAATTGCGCGGGCGGCTTTGGTTCCTTGCCCGCTCTTATTTTCGTGTTTTTGTTCCCGAATTTTTGTGGTCGGTCGATATTTGTGCCGTAATTGGTCAAACCGCCGGTCCAAGTGTTGACGTCGCGGGGGAGGCGGGGCTTCATGCGGACCTGCACGCCCTTCTCGTCTATTTTCAGGACGCGCCCGAGGTCGCCACGGTAGGTGCCATTGGCGAGGACGCGGACGAATTCTGTATGAATCAATGCATTACAAATTAGCATGAGAAACAAATGACATTTGTAATGCGAACTTACCTTACGAAGAAGATTTGTATATGCATGACTGCAATACGAGTACGATATTAAAAACAAGAGTAAGTACGTCCAGCCTTGATGTGGCTGTGCGGCGTGGTTCCAGCTTGGCCCATGCACTGCCTCAATACGTTGAAGGAATCGTCAGGTGGTACTAATCTTGTGTCCCAGGCCGAAACGCCGCGGATTCCTTGCAAGAATTTCCGCAGTTCTTGCTCCTTAAAGGCCTCGATGTAGATGTAGTCTGTTTTGATGGTTTTGATTTGTGTATTTCGGAGGGGACCCCAAAGGCAAAACCAAAGGTCTAACAATCTTCATCAAAAATCTAAACGTCATGCAGCAGTGCGCGTCACCAGCGAACAAGCAGAACAAAACAACATATGCATGTCACATCAGATCGCAAGAAGTACTGTCATACATGAGTATGTACATCAAGATCGCATCAAGAAGTACTTTTTATATTCCTGCTGGCCAGCACGGAGAACACGGGGGAGACGAAGTCCGGGTCTTCCTTCTGTTTGTAGGCCATTTTTGTCGTAATCGTGTTACAGACGTCAATTCCCTCGCCGAAAATTTTCACGCACCACAGTTTCGGGTCCGACTGCCGCATGAGAACCGGCTCGGTGGCCGGGCCGGGGGTTACTCGGTCCGGTTTTCCTATGGATGTGTCAGAGTTGAAATCGACAAAGTTGAAATAATTTGTCATGCATAAAATGGATGCCAGTTGGAACCCAGTTCCCAAGTGGCGCATGACAAATTTCGGCGGTCCCTAAATCCAGTTTGTCATGCTGTTTAGGCAAAGAAGAGTGATTTTCACCTGCTCCTGTAGCAGCTCGAGCTGTAACCCCAAACAGGCTGACAATCGGCCTCACTTGCCTGCTCTGCAACACACGTGCCTCGGGTCATGCATTTTATGCATTACAGATTATTTCAACTTTGACGATTTCAAGCCTGACGCTTCCATATTTCCGTGAAGCTCGAAGGCGCTGGGTCTTTCGAGGTCGTCGAAGGCGCCGGCTTCGGAAACGGGGAGGTATCCACAGGAAATTTCCCGCGCACGTACAAATGCGGTTTCTGCATGACAAAACTTTCTTAGAATCCCACTCAGCATGACAAGTGGCCTGCTCGCCGTTGGTGAATAAATTTGTGATGCATTTTGTACATGTACAGGAAATTTGTATTGCATAGGAGGGAGGGGGGAAGCATGACTTCATCTTCTGGGAACTCATTAATCAGGTCCTGCATCTGCATGGCCACGTTCCCGGCGCCCAGAAGTCGCCCGTGGTCCGGAACAGTTTCATCCCGTAAAACCGCATCCGGATCCTGATTGATCGGGGCCGCTAAAGGATCAAATGCAAATATGTCTGGGCGGTCTGGAAGATTGCTACGTTTGTCATGCATGTCTGACATGACTCAAGAATCTGTGATGCCTGGGCACGAAGCGGCCCTCTTGCCTGTCGTGCAAAAACGCAGTTTACCATACGAAACACGCAACACATAGGAGCCCAAAAATTTGTCATGCTTGGCTCCGTATTGCAGTGGGACTCTCATTCACCTTTAGCATATACAAGTTTCTAGACCCAGACATATTTGCAATGCATATAAAGGATCCCGGAACAAATCGGCATCCGCCTGTTTCACTTCGAGCTCGCGTTTCCTGATAAAAAGTAGAGATTGGAATTGGATTGAGTTTTTGTATTTAACAATGAACATTGCTGATGCAGTTTAAGTTCTGTAGTCGTTGTACTTGTACAGAAGATGGAAGTACACATCAAGCTACTTCTTCGAGGGAGCTTACTACACTCAGAACATCAAATCATGTCGTTCACATATACCTTTTCTCTTCCTCCTCTTCTTGCCTCGCTCTTTCTTCCATTTCCCGCATAAAGCCCCCGAACAGCCTTTGCGCTCCGACTTCCCCTATCAACTGCAAAAACGTCTAGGTCTGACAGAGTGCCAGGTTTGTCATGCATATTTTGCATGGCCCATGGTGCCTGTGATGCATGATTTAGCATCACAGCTTTTTTAAGGGCTTTATAATGCCTATTCCGCATGAGAAATAATGGCCTCTACGCGTAGTACAAACCGGACTCCCATAATTGCTGGTCATGCAACACAGGTTTTTTTGGAATCCGAAGACAGCATGACAAGTTACATCCTTCCAGACCCAGACATATTTGCAATGCATATCCCCTCCGGCCGCCTTGGCATTTCGTTCGATTTCCTCGCGTAGTTCCCTGACCTCCGCGGGCTATGAAAGCCTCAGGTTGGAAATCCTCAAAGTGAAAATAATTTGTAATGCAAAAAAACGACTTTAGTTGAAGCAGCATTTCTAGTCGGCGCATGACAAATTTCCCGGGCACTCGTCGAAGCGTGTCTGTCATACTAGTTAGGCAAAGGGGTGCCCTTCTCTCATGCTAATCAGCAGCCCAATTCTGAACCCGTAGAAGCACAATAGTCAGCCTCCATTGCGTTCTCTGCAAAAGAGTCTTTTTGGTGTCGCATTTCATGCATCACAAATCATTTCCACTTTGAGAAGTTCCATTCTGAGGCTTTCATACGGGCTCTGCGGCCTCTCGGTCTTCCCTTCTTCGCTTCCGGTTTTCATCTATGCATTGCAAATATGTCTGGGTCTGGAAACATGTGAACCTCTGATGCGCATTTGAGACCAGAAGCAAATCTGTCACGCATGGACCGCAAAAGCCGCTCATTTCTTGTCACCAAAAGAGGGAACCTGTCATGCGGATTAGACATCGCCTAACGTGCTCAAAACCTGTGTTGCTAAGACTTGCATGCCAGACCTTCTGTGTCATGCACAAACAGCATGACACCCTTCCAGGAGACCCAGACATATTTGCAGTTCATATCATCTTCCGAGGAACTTTCCTCCGACCCCTCCTCGGCCTCCAGATCCCGAAACTGGGCGGCTTTGTCGCCTCGTCGCTTCGGCATTGTATGTTCTTGCTAGAATAGAATATCGACGACCCACAGAACTGCAGCCCTTGCTAGTGCAGAGTCGTCCGATCGTGTAGAAGTCGCAGGAGCAGGTGGGGGCCGCGGCTTGTTGATATCGCTATGTACTCCGCGTCGATATCTGTAACCGCATGAGTCGCTTCTTCAAATAACAGCTCTGAAAGATGGTAGTCGTCGGTGTCGTTCTTTTTCCGCGTTCATTTAAAAAAGTTGTACGTTCATTTGGTCGTCGTGGTGAAAACGATTGAAAAAACAGGTATCAACAAGAGCGAGATATTAAAGTATTAATTTCTTTGGTCCCGTAGCCAATTCGTCGACACAACTTGGAGGAAAAAAGAAGTGCCACAATTATCGGTCCTCTACTCTTCCCTAAAAGTGATTTTCAGGAGGTCATGGAACTTATTTCTAGGCCAGATAGTGCGCACAACACACTGACTACAAGTGATACTGTTGGTTCGAGTTCGATATTTGTGCGTAGGAAGGAGATTTTTTCGAAATCGAACGACCTCCGGGGTCTGCAACAGCAACAAGCAGCTCATCAACATCAACTCCACTCATAAGCGTGAGGTGGAACCTCGTCAGGAACATCATATCGTACTCATTTATTTTCGAGTAGATTTTTTATCACGATTTTTATCATACTGAAAGAAACTGATCTGCTTCGACCTCGAACGTACAGTCTCCACCTAGTAGTACTACAGCGTTAATCACTTCTTGTTCCGTCGAAGAGCTCGTGCCAGACGCAGGCACTTTGGCTTGTTCCTGATGATCTCAACCTCAACCACGAAGATCTCGTCTTGATCTTGCCACTGCCAGAGGCACGACTCCGTACCTATTTTGAGCGTCGATTTTAACAGCTTCAGAATCTTGATTCTGATTTATCGTTTCATCTGGAAAGGGGGAGAGCTTTGCTTTCTACTATTTTTTCCAGTGGTATTTTTTTACTTGTTTGTCGACGAGCACCATCAGATCACGTATCTTCACACTACTTCTACTACGAACAACATGCAAAAAAGCGCCAGAACATGAGGGCGATTTTGTGCCGTGATTCAGAGCGTGGGATTGAAGATTTTATGTGTTCTTGCTAGTATAATCGTGTCGTGCACGAGGACGACGTCATGCTGATATCTTGTTCATTCATCAACTGACACGATTCATAGAAAAGAACTGAGGAAATGGGTTTTATTCCCTTGCTCTAACAAGTACAAGGAAGGACAAAAGCACGTTCAGCTATCCACGACATCATGCACTTTCTTACAGATCTCGACCGCAGCACTTCTCAAAGCAAGCGTCGGCATCATCGGTGACGAGTTACTTGTCATCCAAGTAGTATAGCAAGCCTCCACTCACTGTCACTTCATCTTCCCGAGCGCTTTGTAGAACCCCTGAACTTCCTTATCGACATCCGCATTCCCGGTTAGTTTCACCTGCTGCTGATTCACCGGGTCGTAAACATGCGTTTGATGGTGGTGACCGCCGCCCGCATGAGAAGTTACCGCCCCACCGTTTTCGCTCTCCACTTGCTCCTTTGCGATTTCCGTGAGTGAGGCCGTGGCTTCCTTGCGCAGAGACACAAACCAAGACTCGAAGTCCTTCTGCAGTCGCTTTTTGTTCTGCTCTATCCACAGCAAATTTCCCGCACACGTACAAATGCAGTCTCTGCATGACAAAACTTGCAAGTTAGCGCTCCTTGTCATGCATTTTGTACAGGTATGGGAAATCCACATTGCATATGCTCCAAAACCTGCTGGATCCGCTCAATGTCGTGTTTCACCTGCCGGAGGGTGTTCGTGTTGTCCGAGTAGATTTTCTTGTCGTGCTCCAGCTGCGAAAGAAGGTGCTGCTCCTGCGGGTCTGATGTGGTCGTGGTGGATATGGTTGTTCCAATTTCAGTGTAAGGAGCAACGGTAAGCGATCAATCGCAAACTTTTTCCTTTTAGTACAGAAGGGAATCGATTACTATTCTGCAAATCAAAAACACTAAGCAAAGCTGCAGTGGAAGTGGTACAAGCAAAAAGTACCTGGCGCCTTCTCCTTCCCACTGCTCACGGCCCCACTTTGCTCCCCATCCACCCCTTTCTCCTCCTCCCCATCCTCCATGGCTCTCCCTAATCTCAACTTCTGTATTTCCGTCTTGCACTGCGCCGCGCGCTGCCGTGCCGTGTTTGCCTCCTCACCCAGCGCTTTCGCGTTGACATACAATTCCCGCAACAGTTCCTTGTTTTCTTCAAACGATTCGTTATGCTGTGCAAGAGTATCGTACTAGTATGAACCAGCCATGCTCCGGCTGCCGCCGGAGCGCAAGGCTGTTGGGCCGGGGCAAGACTGTTTGCCGATCGGACCACAACCCCGCGGGCCTATGCACAACGAAACATATTGCGCCTCGCCAACCCGCAGGACCACTTGCGCGCTTCCCGCGCCTGTGGGCGCTCTGCGCAGGGAGCAGCTGCAAAGAACACCGGGGGCGAACAGAAGCCGCCCGGCGGGAGAGGGTAGCGCGAGAGGGTGGCGCGAGAGGGTGCGCGCGAGGGTGGCGCGAGAGGGTTGCGCGAGAGGGTGCGCGAGAGGGTGGCGCGGAAAGGCGCCGCACAAAACAGCTCCGCGAATGGCCTGCAGTGCCAAATATGGGTAGTGCCATGCGGATTCGCGCCCGTTTCTTTGTGTTTTACCCTCTCGCAGACCTCTCGCAGAGCCTCTTTTTGACCTCTTTTGGGGGTCCCCGCTAATAATCCGGCTATACTCGCGGGTAGAGGTCGACAGAGGTGGCCGAGAGGTGGCCAAGAGGGTCCGCGAGAGGTCGCCCCTTATTCGCGCCACCTCTCGCCACCTCTGTCGACCTCTCGCGCCCCCTCTTTTTGACCTCTCTGCACCCTCTGTGCCACTTAGGCGGCGCCTAAGGGTGGGCCCTTACTGTGGGCCTTATTCGCGCACCCTCTCGCGGACCCTCTCGAACGGGGTCCCGCGCCACCTCTCCACCTCTGTCGACCTCTTTTCTACCTCTGTCGACCTCTTTTTTACCTCTCGGCCACCTCTCTGGGACCCTCTGTCTACCTCTTTTTTCGCATTAATATAATGTATAAGTAATCGCATGACAAATTTTTCCAGAAGGAAAAATTGAATTTGTCATGCAGATTCGGGTAAAAGACTACATCTGTACTGCAAGGCTGCCATTTAATATACGAGTACGATACTTTTGCAATGGATATTCGTTTCGCCTAACTGATTTCCGAAAAACTTCAAACGCCTTTGCGCGGTCGAGGAGGAGTTCTGCAGCCTCGCGGCCCTGGGGGACTGGGGCGGAACTGGAGCTTGAAGATGCATTTTTTCCTGGGACGCCGCGACTATGCGGTGCGTAAGAACTACTGGAAGAAGCTGAAGCTGCTGAGCCTCCCCCTGCAATGCTCGTTACATCCGACGCAGCGACGCTGGTATTCAACGCGGAAGAAGACAACATCCCTTGCGTAGTTGCGCTCGTACTCCGGCTTGCGACGCTGCTGGCGGAAGGCGAGTGATCGGCTTTTGTGGAGGAAGACGTATCCTGTGCAAAAGTATCACACTCGTATTGCAGTCATGCATCACAAATCTTTTCCTTAACGTAAATCCGCATTACAAATTATATTTGTCATGCTGAGAAAATTTGTAATGCATCTATACGAGTACGATACTTTTGCATTGCATAAGACGCGCTAGTTCCTGAAGCGCCGCCGCCCCGACTCGACGCCGCACTTCCATCTATCCACAGTAAATTTCCCGCACACGTACACATGCGGTCTCTGCATGACAAAACTTGGCTTCGATCCTAGTTTAGCATGGCAAGTTTTACGCTTCAAATTGGTGAAATTTGTGATGCATGTTGTACATGTACGGGAAATTTGTATTGCATACCATCACCAGCTGCGCCATTACCGCCGCCCCGATTCACGATCGAGACCAAGATGCCGATTTCCTGATCTCTCTGCGCCACTTCCAGTTCTAGCTGCTTGATTTGTTGCTGCAGCGCCGCGGTGTTTTTGTTTGATGACGTTGTACCGCCTGCAGAAGATGAGGACGAAGCACCGGCGCCTGAGGTTGCGTTCAACCCTCCAGTATGCATTGCAAAAGTATCGTACTAGTATAAATTGCATTACAAATTGGCTTAGCATTACAAATTAAATTTGTAATGCGGATTTGCCTTGAGAGAAAAATTTGTAATGCATGATTGCAATTACTACGAGTACGATACTTTTGCACAGGATATCCAGCAGCTCCCACCCCACCGCCGTTCAACGCCAATTGCCGGAACTGTCGGAATATCCTGTGCAAAAGTATCGCACTCGTATAAATGCATTACAAATTTCCTCAGCATGAGAAGGAAAATTTGTAATGCGGATTGACCTTAGGTAAAGGATTTGTAATGCATGATTTTGATTGCAATACGAGTACGATACTTTTGCACTGGATACGGAAACACTCCAACTGCTTCTTCCTCCCGCCGCCGACTTATCAAGTGTAAAAGTGTCTGGGTCTGGAAGGGTGCCACACTTGTCATGCAGGTTTTCTATGACCCATGACGTCTGGCATGTAGGACATAGCATGACACATTCTGTGAGAGTTCCATCATGCCTATCCTGCATGAGAAACTGCCTCTCGATTAGGTCAGAAGTGGACAGCTTTTGATAAGCATGCAACACAGATTTTTACATCATTCAGATTTAGCATGACAAGTTCCATCCTTCCAGACCCAGACATTTTTACAATCCATACGACTATGAAATTCGCGATTTGCGTGTCTTCGCAGAACTCCAAAACCTGCTTTTTGCACTTTTCCACCTTCTCTAAACTGAGCTCGCTATCCGGATCCGCGTCGTCCTCGTCGTCCCCACGGTATTGCTTCAGTTCGTCTTTCAACTCCAAAATCTCGCGCTTCAGTCGTTTTATCATCAACTGCGGGTCCAGTTCCTCGTTTACGATCGCCGAATTTTTGATGCACGCTACTCTTTGCGCAAACCGGCAGGTGGAAATCGCTTCGTCGATGTTGGTCGGCTCGACTGCGATGGTCCCGACCATCACCGTTTTACAGTTTCCGCCGAGGGAGTCGCGGAGCACCGAAGTCATCATAGAATTCCGGTACGGGATGTGCATCCGGCCGCCGGTGGAGCGTTCGTTTAAGGCGACGATGACTTGCTCGAGAAAATGGAGGGAGGTGTTGATGTATTTGGCTTCGCTGTTTTGATGTTCTTGTGATGCGATTACCATTCACTCCTTACTTGACCCATGCAATTCCACATGACAATCTCAACCGACCGAAAATCGAAATAAAATCATAAATACGCCAGCAACTTCCCATCCACGCCCGTCTTGCTCACGCGCTCCGATCCGGCAAGATCCACCAAGTGCACTTTCGACCTCCTCACTACGTCCGAGCCGTGCTCGGAACTCTGGATCCAAATGATGAAGATGCAGTGCGACCGCGTGGAGGCGTCGTTCATGGGCGTCTCTGCGACCACGCGGTTGGTATCGCCGAGGAAGAGAAGGTTCAAAGCGTCTTCTTCCGAGGCAGCGACGTTGACGGAGAGGTTTTTCAGATGCATGTTGCCATCTTCGTCTTCGCGCAGGGAAACCTGGAGTTTGTTGTGCAGAACAGCCTAGCCAAAAAATTCAAAGGACTCAAATTGTAATGCTGAAACGGGAAAATCAACACCCACAAGCACAGGCAAATAAGCAGTGTTAATATTAGCATGACAAACTCTAGAAAGAAGTTGAAGTACCTTCGGCAACGACTCCAATTTCTGTGCTTGCTCGTCCCGGGAAAGTAAATCGTACCCGTAATTGTTGTAGATTTCCAGGTACGAGACAAACACGGAGTGTGAATTCTGCCCGTCTCGCCTTATATGCTCGAAAATTTCGGAAATCGTCCGTGGTATCAACCTATGGAAGTCTCAGGACCGCAATCGACAAAGTTGAAATGATTTCTGATGGATAAAACGGATACTAGTTGGTGCCCAGTTTCCAAGTGGCGCATGACAAATTTGGGTAGAACCCCAGTCCAGTTTGTCATGCTGTTTGGGTAAGGAAGACGCCTTTTTTCATGCTTCTTCACCAGCTTTATTTCTACCCCTACTCAAGAACAACAGACTTACAATCTGCCTCACTTGCCTACTCTGCAAGATAGGCATTTTGTGGCTTGCATGTTATGCATTACAACTTTTTCAACTTTTTTGATTTCGATCCTGACGCTTCCGTACAACCCCCGGTCGACGTATTTCTCCGAGCCACCGGTGATCGTGTTATCCTGTGCAAAAGTATCGTATTCGTATAAATGCAAGTCTTGCATTACAAATCTTTGTCTTAAGGCAAATCTGCATTACAAATTTTCTTTCTCATGCTGAAGAAATTTGTAATGCATTTATACGAGTACGATACTTTTGCAATTCATACGTGTACGTTTTCCCCGATATCAAATGCAAATATGTTTGGGTCTGGAAACCTGTGATGCAAGGAAGGGAATACTAGTGAGCCCACTGTGATGCGCTCCCCAGCATGACAAGTTTTCCGGTGCCTCTGAGTTGCGTACTCCGCATGAGAAGCCGCGTTTTTGCATCACAGACAGGAGGACCTCTACTTCGCGGGCACGCAATACAGAGTTTAGAGTCATGCTCATGCCAGACTAGCATCATAAATCTCGCAATTATCTCCCAGACCCAGACATATTTGCAGTTCACACCGGACCCCGTTTGCCCATACGCGAAGATCGTACCGTTCAAACCGTTCAAAGCGTCTTTGATTACTATCCCGTGTAAAAACATCCCCACCTCAGCGTGGTTGTCATGCGATTCTGCATGCCAAAAAAGTTTCTCATGCGGAGCCCTATGAGAAGCATTTCCCCTTCGTGTTTTGGGATTTGTGTTGCTAGGATCAGCGTGATATGCTAGATCTGTCATGCTTCTGAGCTAGCTGCACAGGATCGCACTACGAGGATAAATTTGTCATGCAAAAACACCAAAGCTGTGTGATTTGTCTAGCAGATTTCCCATGTTGACTCTGGTGTGGGGACGTTTTTAATCAGAATAATTACCGGCCCGGCGACTGTTTTGAAAACTTCCTCCTGCGTCGCGTCCATGCCGAATAACCCGTCGAACTTGAACTTGTGATTCTGCTTCGAGTTGTTGACAAGTTGGCCCTGCCCGGAATCCACATGCTCCCGGTCGATGTGAAAATCCACAATGTCGTCGTCATCGCGGAAAGAATATTCGCAAGAAATTTCCCGTACACATAAGTACAAGTGCGGTCTCTGCATGGCAAAACTGGGCTTCGATCCTCGTTTAGCATGACAAGTTTTACACCCCAAATTGGAGAAATTTGTGATGCATTTTGTACATGTACAGGAAATTTGTATTGCATAAGGAAAAACCCGGGAACGCACGGGTGGTGGGACGCACGCGGAGAAACACACGAATGTTCGTGTTCGAACCTGCTGACTGAGATTTGTCTTTCTCTGACATGATGCTTTTTGGCAGGCTTTTTGAACTCCAAGAAAAAAGGATATTGTCAATTACGGCCGCCGTGGTGGTGCCTGAACTGCACGACGACCCTTATCGAAAAACAAAAATCGACTCTTTGCCTTTATTTGTATGTGCTGGTGTTGATCCTCCTTTTAAAGCTCCAGATGAACCAGAAGTAGCCGAGCCCTGTTGTAGTTCCTCGGGGCAGGAGCACGGATCCTTTAGCGGCCCTTCTTGTTCTTGAGCTGCACCGACACTGACACCGACACCTACCTGCTTTCGGCGCCGGATCATGAGGAGAACAAGCATGCGGCATTGGCGCTGCTGGTCTCGTCGTTCCGCAATGCTTTTACGCAAAAATCCTACTTCGTGGTGTTGCACTTCACGCAGATTTTAGAGTTGTTGCTGCTGGTTCATTCTTCAGGATTAAAGCCAATAATCTTCATTACGTCAACATCTTCATCAGGAGACGCTTTTGCATTCATTGTACAAAAAAAAAGTAAATTTTCACGAAATTTTCAATAAGGCATTTTTTTTATTTTCGTGACAAATAAAACAAAACCTTAGTAGGGACAAGGTGAAGCGCAACATCTTTGTTCTCGAGATCTAAGTAGGGACTTCTTTGAAGTTTGCAAATTCAGGTTTTCATCTATTACCTCTGCTAAAAGCCTTTTTTCTACTTTCCGGAGTGGAATAATCAACAAACTGCGACTCACACTGGCGCCACCGGCGGTATAGAATCGGCCCACTTCCACACGAGTTGTGTTCTTGACCCTTCATCATGAGTATCTTCTTCGCGGTGCCCCGGCATACTTCGTTGCGTTTCTTGTAGCAAGGTGGCAGAGGTAGTAGAAGACGACTTTGCCGCCAGGTCCTTCACGACCGCTGCTGCTCGCTCCTGCACATCATCATCATGCACTTTTTGCTGCTCCACCAAATTGAGAAAACTGTTGCTACTGTCTTCATCAGAAGTGTGGTGGTGATGATGATGCGAATGGTGATGTCCATGATGATGCCCATCATGACTATGCCGTCGTCCTTTGTGCAACAGGTTCTCCAACTTCTTCTCCTCTTTGATCTCCGCAATCACCGAGCCGGTTTCCGTCCCCGCACCGCCTCTTATGGCGTTCTCAACTGTTACATCCTCAACTGTTACATGGATTTGCAATGCAAGAACGGCAACAGTGAAAGAGGTGAGGGGACCTTGCGCGTCTTGCATGACAGATCTCCCACAGATTCTCAGCCTGTTTGGCACTTCGAGAATTTGCCATGCGACGTGGCTAGGTCGTCTCGATTCTGAAGGTAGCTTTGCATGACAAACGATGTAAACAGTTGAGAATGTAACATTTGAGAACGCCATACCTGTCAGCCAGGATTTCGACTTGCCGTAATCCGAGTGCTCGTGCTCCCTGTTGTAGAGAACTTGCCCAGGAGCAACGGACGAGCCAGCCGCGCTGCCAGTTTCTCCCCCGAGGGAGCCAGTCACACTTTCCTCCATCCCTAACAACGCGTAGAAGATGAAGCAAACCAACAACAGAGACACGATGTCCATGACCACCTGAATCGTTGCAGACGCGTGCGCGGTATGCTCTGCAAAAGTATCGCACTCGGAGTAATTGCAGTTACGCATGACAAATTTCCTTTCTAAGGTAAAACAGCATGACAAATTTCATTTGTAATGCTAAAAAGTAGTTGTAATGCAAGTTATACTAGTACGATGCTTATGTTTTTGCATTGCATACGCGGGGTCGATCTTCAGGTGCAGAAACAGCTGGGGGAGCAAAGCGCCGAGAACAGCGCCGACGAAAACGATGACGAACGCGGACAGAGACAAAACAAACGCAGTCGGCGGGTTCGGCCAGGAGAGCAAGTAGTCCTGCACCGTAAACCGCATGACCGCGACCAGCATGACACAAAGCGCCAGGCTATCCTGAGCAAAAACGTTTCCACCACATAAACGTCGAGATGGGAAATCTGCTAGACAAATCAGCCAACTTTGGTTGTTGCGCATGACAAGTTTGGCCTCGTATTGTAATCCTGGTTAGCTTGTTCAGCAGTATCACAGATCCAGCCTGTGATGCTGATTGGAGCATTAGAAATTCCAGATCTTCACGACTAGACCTAGAGCATACTTGTCATGGGGTTCCGCATGAGACACATTTTGAGCATGCAGATTTGCATGACAACTATGGGGGAGGAACGTTTTTCCTCAGGATACAGGCCAACCGCGGTCTTTGCCAAATCCCAGTTCCGGATCTTTTTCCCCGTCGCCAGCCGTCGGACCACGTACACGACAGATTGACCGCCTGCATTCCCGCCCGCGCCGACCAACATGGTGCTAAAATACACAATCGACGGGTGCTTTTGGAGCAGGGTAGAGAAGTTGGAAAGGATGAAACTCCCTGAGGATTGGAACAACAGCAAGCCGATCAACCAGGAAACGCGGTAGGTAAAGGAGAACTGCTCGATCTCCTGGTATTTCTGCTTGGGGGAAGCTCCGTCTGTATTTTTGTTGTAGTTGTCTTCCACTTCTAATTCGCTGCTCCGCATTTCGATTCGGTTGGATTCTGCAATGTTTCCGTAGATCGGTTTATCAGAATTTTTACTGCCGCGGCCGCTTGTTCTGCTGCTCAATACGTGATCCTCGCCGTCCTGTCGTTCGGGACCCACTGCTTCTCCCTCGGGTTGATGCAGTCCTCGCGAAGATGCAGAGGGGTGCTGTTGCTGTGCCTGCGCCCCTGCTTTCGACGTCAGTTTCGATGTACCAGCACTATGCTGATTCCGCAAGCTGGTGGGAAAGACTTCCGGTTTACTCTCCTCCGAACGTCCGGAGCCGGACTCGTGTTGGGAAAGATCTGCAACCGAAGCTGCAGCAGACAAAATATCAGCTTTCTGTTTATTTTCTTCCTCGGAGATTTTCAATGCGGTTTCTAATTTCAAAATTCGCGTTTATGAATTGCAAAAGCATCGCACTCGTACTAATTGCAAACATGCATCACAAATCTTCATCCTAAGGTACAACAGCATGACAAATTCCATTCCCAATGCTGAGGGAATTTGTGATGCAACTTATTCTAGTACGGTGCTTTTGCAATGCATATCGTTCTCAATTCCGCGATTTCCTCCTCCTGCGCGTGCACGATCTTCCGTGTGGAATTGTCAACGTCTACTTTTTCATTTGCGTTAGAAGTGCGGAAGGAGCCTAGTAAACCGCCGGTGGTGGAGGAGTTTTGCAGGTTGATGCGAGCTATGCATTGCAAAAGTATCACACTAGTAGAAAGCGCATCACAAATTTGGTCAGCGTGACTACAAATGGAATTTGTAATGCTGATTTGCCTTTAGCAGAGAGATTTGTAATGCACCATGGCACGATACTTTTGCAGTTCATACGACCGTCTTCATAAGAGCTCGAATTCGGATCGTATTCTTTGTTCTCAATCACCGAATGTCCGGGGTGTTGCTGCTGATGCAAAACAAGCTGTTCCTGTTGACTACGGTCGTTGTTCTTCTCACCTGTTGGTGGAGATGGACTAAATGCCTCCCCTTCTCCTGGTCGTGGTGGAAAAACAGCATCTTCACCTCCACCTTCCGGCGTCGTCGCGAGAACACGACCATCAGCACCACCACTTCTGTGGTAGACCTCGTCCAACGGCAACGCCGCGGCTTTATTCTCGCCGCCACTGTGGTATTCCAGGTCGCGCTGGGTCGCAACGGGGGACTGGAAAGAATCCGCAGTGAGAGCGGCGTTTTTTTGGAGGTGCAGCTGCTCGCCGTTCTTGTTATCGCTATCCGCGATGTAGTCAGGGGAAAACGACGAATCTTCCAATACATCGTTTTCATCAATCGGCGTCGGCGAGGCGGACTTCGGCTTATCCAGATACGAAGCCGGAAACCGGTCGGAAGTGAGGGGAGTGGGGAGCATCTTATATATTTTCTCAACGTTTCTTCATTCAACTACAACTTTATACTCTCTGGGAGAACTCGTCTCGTCTAGTACTTCGCACTCTCTTCTGAAGCTGCTTCGGAAGCTAAAGCAGAAACATTTCGAGGAACTCTACTCAAGTAATTCATTATGAAATTCAACGAAAAAAATGAAGAATCGCGTTGCAGAAAGAAGAAAGAACTCTTGTGGTAGTTTTTAACCTTTTTAAGTGCTGTTATCACTTACAGGATGAGAGTTTGCTTTACTCGTCGTCTTGTTCTCTCAAACGGTGAAAGAAAATATCAGCATTTGACTTCGTTCTTTAAGTTGAAGAGATGTGAGTGTCGTTGTGGAAATGCTTTCGCAAATGCAAATATTTTCTCGACGTCGCATGGTTTGCAGAGAGCCGCTCTGTCCGCCAGATTGCACCCCAAAAGCCTTTCATTTTCTCACCACACCTCTCGTCAATACTAGAGTTGATGAACTACTACAAGATCGCACCTCATGCTCTCTGGCACCGCTTTTTGATGCTGTCTTGCTTGTTCTTTCACGACATCTCTTAGTGCTACATGAGGAGAAAGCGCCACAACTGAACGCAGGATGAAGAAGAACAAAGAAAACAACGTCAATAGTTTCTCGGTCTCATGGTACGGCACGAGCCCTAACATGGTCTTCACTTGCCGAGAACACCGTCAAAAACTGAAGGACGAGTGGCGAGCTTGTCTTATTCCTAACAGGTGTAGTCGACGTGCTGTTTTAGTTTTTCGCTTCAAGGGACATCAAGTGCTAGCTGGGGAGCAAAGCAATAAAAACAGTAGATGTGAAGCAAGAGGTGTTCATCCGGGAGGTGTGGATATAAAAAGCGCAGGCTATTTTTTGGTCATCTGCATTAATAGGCGCGTGCGCTTATTGGTACTTACACAACAACTCATGGCCGTCGTACTAGTCTTTATGTGTTTTCCGTTGTATTTGGCCTTATCATGATCAATGTAGTTTTGCTTTTTGTTCTGGGTCCGACCTTCAGAGCTGCTTTGAGAAGTACCTCGCGCCCCAATGCTGTAGTTGTTGTTAGTCTCTGCATGCTTGTAGTTGTTACCTTTACCAGACGTGGTAGACTAGTTCGAAAACCGTTTTACGATTTTCCACGTCCTCGCGAAAGCAAAGGATTTTTGGCCAATATTTTCTTTTTTCAAAATTCTAAATCATTATCATTTTGCGTGGCAGACTCGTTCTATTTTTCTTGTCGAAGTAGAAGTTATCTGCGCCTTCGGTCGTCGTTTCTTGCCGTGGCTTTGTATTGAGTTAGAGAGGTCGTGCGTGATTTTTTACAACTTCACGCACATCTTCATCTTCTTAGGTTGTCGCTGTGTAGTTGGTCGTTCTTGCAACAATAGTCGCAACAAGGCGGGACAAAAAAATGATTCGCTTCATATAACAAAATTTTCGTTTCTGTTTCGCAAATAGTTGTTTTTCTTCGAGGAAGTTTTTTTTTCAGAACCTTGTTTGTTTGTTTGTGTTCATGCGTGAAGGTGGGAACGCGTTTACACACCTTCAGGGAAGGTGGTCTTTTATCAATGGCCAGAACATCATCTGCGTCATAGGAGACATGATATTTTCTAGGAACGTTGGATAGAACTCCCTGCCGCCTGCAAGGTGCTTTCCTAGAAAGCACTTGTATACATTTGAAGACTACACTACACAACAATTCGTAAATAACATAGAGTTCATAGAAGAAGATAGCACTATTGTTCTGGAAACAACGAAGAGCCCACCTGGTCTTGTAGTTCTAGTTTCCGATTATTCGGAAGAAATAAAATAGATGAAGCTAGTTCTTGGAAGGCTTTCATGCTGCTGCGGCTCGCCTCGCCGACTCAAAATCATGTCTACTATAATTCGTTGGTGTGCTATGGATGTGTCAGAGTTGAAATCGACAAAGTTGAAATAATTTGTCATGCATAAAATGGATGCCAGTTGGAACCCAGTTTCCAAGTGGCGCATGACAAATTTCGGCGGTCCCTAAATCCAGTTTGTCATGCTATTTAGGCAAAGAAGAGCGATTTTCTCATGCTACTTTAGCAGCTCGAGCTGTAACCCCAAACAGGCTTACAATCGGCCTCACTTGCCTGCTCTGCAACACACGTGCCTCGGGTCATGCATTTTATGCGTTACAGACTATTTCAACTTTGACGATTTCAAACCTGACACATCCATATGCTTCAAAAGTTGGAAGGAGCAACCGCCCGTCACTTGATCAGGTCTTATTTCGCAAAAGAGAAGAAGAAATCGCCCTCATTGTCGAAATCCCAGTATGAAGTTTAGAATTTGCACAGTTTTTAGCATGGTTGTACAGCGTTTAGCTAGAATTTCCGGACAAAGTATTTGTTTCCTCACCCAACCACCACAGAATCTCCAGTGATTAGCTTTAAGATTGTAGAAAGCATCCTATTTGTAGTCGTTCGTTCCAGTAGTGCCTGTTAAGTTTTCGATGCCAGCTACGGATAGCCGGAGCTCGAGTGTACGACATGACGTCAGTGTTAGTTATATAATTTCAATCGACCTCGATAATACAACAAAAGCTGCAAAAATTTGAAAATATCACATCTCATATTGGGAACCGGCTATTCGCGACAATTTTATCGAGAGGTGGAGGTGCCCTGATACTGAAAAAAATTCACCCTCGAGTATCTGATGTTGGTGCTATTAGTCGGCCCGCCGCGTCGAAGCAAGCTTTTACTAATTTGTAGTGCCGTGGTCATCTGCATCTGCTCGCGCTCCAATTATTTCCACCGACGTCGCTCCGTCTCGTCCAGCGTTTTTTCGTTTCTCGGGGCTGGGCGAAAAAAGCAGATCCAAATCGTCAGCAATGATGCAGGAGATGTTGGCGTCTCTGGTCGACGTCCTCGGCGATGTTGACCATGATTTCGCCGGGTCTTGCAGTTCCAAAGGGGCTGGTTTGCCGGAAGAGGTGAAAAAATGTCGGTCCTCGGGTAGTAGTTTTCCTGCTGGACGTCCACCAGAGTCCGGAGCTGCTGCAACTGGTGGACCACCAAAGATTTCGGTTAGGTCGTTCTGGAGTGGATGCTGGTGCTTCTCCTCTTGCCGCACTGACTTCGCTCTTGCTCTAGTGTCTGGTGGTCTAGTACGGCGAGATAAATCTTGCTGCAGATCTTCCGGAAATGCACGGTTTGTACCGTCGTCCGGCGAGAAAAGATCTTCTAGTAGAGGCGGACTCTGAGTTATTCGCCCGCTCACTGCGGAGGAGGAAGAAGATCCGGAGGCCAACCTGCAATTCATAGTTTTTTTGATGTGGTTCTTACAGCATAAGCGAATTGCAGAGAAACAAATCCGACCACTATTGAACAGCGGAGCAAACCACGAACAATGCGGAACAAGAACGCTGTCGCTGCCACTAGCTGCTGTGTGGCTGTGGTCCTCGATCCCTCATGAAAACAACAGAAAGTAGTACATGTACCTGTGCGCAGCCGCTTGTTCGCCTCCCCCGCTCTGCACCTCCACCCCGTCCTCGCCTTGCACTTGCTCACAGGGCGGTTGCTCTTTGTTTGGTGACCTGCGCCTGTTCCTTTCTACCTTGATCCATTTTCCTGTCTCCGGCCTCTTGACCCATTCATACTCCGTGTCCTCAGGTTCATCATCAGGGACCTCGAAGAGGACACTGTCAGGATCGCCGTCAGAGTCATAAAAATCGAGGTGGACGTCGTCTTCGCTACTGCTCAACATAGGACTTCTTCTACCTGCTCGTGTAGTAGCTCCATGACCTCCTTCTGCACCTCCTGCGACAGTTTGCAGGGTTTTGGTTTTCTCAGTCGCAGTGGGAGCCTTGTTCTCCTGGTCCTCCTCCTCGTCGCGCAAAACAAGTAGATCATGATCTCTGAAGATGTCCATCGCAGTAGTTCGTGCAGCATCGAGTTCATCCAGAAGATTCGAATTCGTCGAAGGTGGTTTGTTCTTGCCCAAGTTCAAAAGCGCTGCCGGAATCGTAGTTGGCGGACCAACGTCAAGCACGACATGCTTTGACTTGTTCTTCTCCTTCCGCTTCTTTTTCTTTATCTGTTTTTCCCGGTCTTTATCCTTTCTCCTTTCTGCCGCCTTCAACCGCTCTTGCCTCTCCTTCTCCCTTAATAACCTTTTCCTGGCCGCTTTCATCTCGTCCTTCTTCAACCTCCTCTTTTCGGCCCGGCGCTGCTTCCTAGAGAGTTTTTCTAACTTCTCCCGTTTCCGCTGTTCTCTCCGTTTCTTCTTCAGCGCTTTGAGGTCGTCTACTAGGTAGTTGCTTTTCGGGAATAGCGGGCTGGAGGAAAAGGAACAAGGAGCAGCAGCAGTGGCATTATCGCTTGTGACAATGGAATTACGGAAATCGTTTGCAAGAAGGTCGCTTCCGAGTTCGGTGAACAGCTGTCGGGACACGTCGGCCGGGGTTTCGAAGATATTATTTGATATCACTCCAGGAGCAGAGTCGTAGTTACAACTTTGAACAAGTTCGTCGAATCCACCATGGAGAGCACGCGAGCTAGCTCCTGTGACGGGCCTGGCGGTATCGGTGCTCGGAGATTCTTGGAGCAGCTGCTCGAGTTCGCGTCCCTGGTGTGGGTCCTGCACCTGCTTTTTTCCGATTTCCTTACCGTTATCATGACGTCGATCATGTTCCTTCCCCTTCTGGTGTAGTTGACCCCGCATGTCATCCAACCAACGCTTGTCGCCTTCCATCACCTCGGTATTCGAACTCGACAGCAAAATCGAATCGCTCCCCTGTCGCTTGACGTCCAACACGAGTTGCGCTGCGAAATCGTCGAGGTTGAGTTTTTCAACGATTTTCCCCAGTCGGGCTCGGTGGAGGTTTTCTTGCTGTTCATCCTGAGAGGATGGGGAGGAGAGGCTCGTGCAAGCAGGGTCCAGTGGTCGTCCCAGAAAAACGTCGAGCAGGGAATGACTGGCGCATGTTTCTGAGCAACTGGGTGTGAGATGGACGACTTTCGGGTCTCCATCATGCGCAGACTTGTTCTCCATCCCAGCACCACACATCTCCTGAAAAACCTGCAGTGGCGTTTTCATGCTTGGCTCCAGCAGCGGGTGCGCAGACGGACCCCGATTGTGCTTGTGCTGCGTTGCTGGTGTGCCAGACTGGGTGTTGTTATGCTTACTGCCGAATGCAGAAAAGTTGTCGGAGTTCTCCGACAGAAATTTTCCGATGAACTCGGCAATGTCCGCTTGTTCTACTCGATCTACTTCTTTATGGTAATCAAAGCTCTTGGTGCTGGAGTTGTTAATGTTGTTGCCGTCATCATCTTCGTCTCCGGTTGATGACGACAGTCGTGCGCAAGTTGCGTCACCATCATGATCATCCCATTGTTCGCCTTCTGTCGCTGAGACCAGCAAAGTCTTCAGCTTCTTCTTCAGCAAAAGTTCCAGTCGTGCCATCTGCCGCTGATACTCCACCACCCTAGCGTCTTGCACCGAGCCGGTCAGCTGTTTTGATGTTGATGTTCTGATGGATGTATTAAGTTTTTAACGACTTTAAATCATGGTGAAACATGAATGTATATGCAAATAAAGTGACGAGGAGCATCAACACCCTCAAAAGTAGTTGCTCACCACGCTGTGCTCAAAGCTGCACTGATTCCAGATCACAAATATATACTACCTGTTTTTCCCAGACAATGACCTGCTTTTTCAAACTTTCCTCCAAAGTCTGGTGGTCCTCACGAGAACCACCTTCCGTTCGTTTCATATCCACAACCAACCCCTTCCCCAACCGTTTTTCCACATCGGCCTCGACGACGGATGCTAATTCCTTCAGCCTCTCTTCCGTGAAAAAGCTCAAAGCCAGTTTTGACAACGCGGTCCGGTGCGGCTGGGACATCTTTATGGTGTTCTCAAACGTTACACTCTCAACTGTTACATGAATCTGTAATGCAAGAATGGCAAAAGCGAAAGGGGGAAGATTGCAAAAATTGCATTACAAATTCCGAGCAGATTTAGGTGATGTTTAGCCCTTCGCACATTTGTCATGCTAAGCAGCTTGATCTTGTGGATGATGATGGTAATTTTGCATGACAAATTCATGTAACAGTTGAGAATGTAACGTTTGAGAACTCCATAATCTTGAATTTGCTCGTGTACTCAGTGATCATTTTATCCAACTGGTTTAGCCCCGTGCTTGTGCGCGCTGCGGGTTTATTGTTCGCTCCTGCTTCTTCTCCGTTGGGATGATTTTCTCCCCCTGCGGCACCGGTCGTAGCTGGCACTGCCGCGTCTGTTTTCTTCTTGTGTGTTCCGCCACCTGCCGGATCGACGATCGCTCCTGCACCGCCCGGAGGTGCATTTTTGTCAGCTGCCGCCTCAGCCGAAGCTGCCGCTGCCTCCCTCGATTTGCTGCTGTCCTCCTTGTCCTTTTCCTCTTCATCGGCCCCGTTTTTCTTCTTGTTCCCCGCGATCTTTGCCACGGTCGCAGCAGTAGCACCTCCACCTCCTCCCACAGCGCCGCCGGGGGTCGTGCTAGCACCTGCTTTATTCCCTGCATCCGCACCACCTTTCGCAGCAGCCGCTGCTGCCGCCGCGGCTCCTTGTCGAGCCAGGATCTTGTCTAAAGGCATGCCGGCCTCGCGGTCCATGTCGTCAACGAGTAGCAGCGCTTTGTTGACTTCCTTCGCCCGGGTTCTGAGCATCATATTGATCCGGTTTTTTCTGCTCTGCAAGAGTGCGCGCTTTTCTTCTTCGAGTGCGTCGAATTGCTTGAGAAGATGAGAAGCGCCAGCTCCATCCTCTTCCCGGTCTTTGTCGTTTTCGTGCGAAGCGACGGAATCCTGCCTTTCTCCGGTAGTTGTATCGAGCTCGCTTTTCATCTCGACAGATGAGTCTTGTTCGCCAGCAACAAGACCCAAACTTGCGACGTCTCCACCGGGGCGCGTGATTGTGATATCCGAATTCTCGTCAACAAGTAGAGATCGTGCACCTACTTCCTCAAGCCCTTTCTTGCGGTTTTCGTGTTGTACTTCCTTCTTGCCTTTATTGCCATTCGCATTCTTCCGTGTCTGCTTTCGCTTCTTGATGGCCGCTGCGGATTTCCTTCTCGCCGCGACAGAAGTAGGCGAGTCGGAACTTGGTGCTAGCGATGAAGTGGATTCTCCATCGCTAGAAGAGTCTTCATCTCCGCCGGAGCTGCTCGCGGCCTGCTCGGATTTCTCCGCATCACTGCCAGTTTGACCGTCAGCCCGCTCTGAACTGCGTGCCGCGACAACCGCCACTGCACCGCTGGATTCCTTATCGCTCTCGTGGTCTTCTGTTGGAGATTTATTCTCCTTCGAGCTGGGGTCTTCACCGTCATCTTCTTCTCCCGCCGCGTCGTCCCCCTGCTGTTCCTTGCGCTTCTGTTGTTTCCCAGCCTCTTTTTGGTCTTCTTCAGCCTCCTCGTCAAAATCAGCCAAAGCCCTCCGGTCAAACTCCCGATAGATCACTCCCTCGGGGAAAAACGGCTCCCACTCCTGCCAGAAATCGTCTGGGATGCGCAGATGGTCGTACAAGCGAGGTCTTTGGTTGAACTTCGTGTTCACGTTCGGTATCAGCGAGCAACTCTGCACAATATCAAAATGCGCATCGTGGTTGCAGATCACATCTTCATCGAAACACGGAGTTGCCTTGTCCAACACCCGATTTATTTTGAACGCGCGCCAATAAGGCATTTGCTTTTCGTGTTTCTGCTGCGTGTACAAACAGTCCTTCGCTTCGTGCACGTGCGAGCCGCAATTCAAACACGGTTTCGATAACGGCAGTAACTCCCGGGAGAAACGGATCGGATGGCGGTATTGGAACGGTGTGGTTAAAATGTCGGATAAGCAAAGCTCTTTGGGGTTGTTGGTAAATGCCGGCATCTCTTTGATGGAAATCTCGTCCATGTTTTGCTTCAGAATAACCCGCTTTTCTCTGATTTCCTTGATGCTCTTCAACAAATTTCGCTCGATAATCGCCGCTTCGTCGTAGCGAGATTGCTTCGCCTTCCTTGGCTTCGGGACGATGAGGAGAGATTTTGTGTATTTCAAGATTTTCATCGGGCGGGGGGTCTTCGGGGAGTCAACGTGCTGCTGTTTCCCGGCGGCGTCAATTTTTCCATCTTGCGAGCTGCTCGCAACGCCAGCTGGCTGTTTTTCTTTCTGCTGGATAACCACAGTGCAAGATGAAGCTGGACCCACGTCTTTCAGAGCAAGGGCAGGTTTGCTTAGCAGACTTCCATCAGGGCGACGATGATGATTCGTCAATTGAATGCTCGGCTCCTTCTCCTCAGGCGGGTCTGGATCTTTGAAAATCATCCGATGTTCCGCGTAAAGCTTCTCGAGCTGCAAGACAAGTTCGCTTTTATCCCCTGAAAATAAACCATCCCCATCCACTTTTTGCATGACAAACGCAGAACTTGCTACATGTTTTGCATGACAAACTGGATGGGGATGGTTAATTTTCAGGGGATAGCTTTCCTCCCGATCGAATTTTCGCTTCATCCGGCACAGCTCGTAGTCGATGTTGAAGCTTCCACATTCAACATGTACTTGGAGTAATTTGTCATGCTCGTCCTGCTTTCCAGCCTCGGGTTGTGTTGCTGAGCTTGCATTCTCGATAAAGATCGTTTCGACACCTGCGCTTCCTGGGGCGAAGGAAACTTTCCTCGCATTCGAATTCGCTTTCTCTGCGAGGGCAGCGGCTGAAAATGATGTTGGCCCGTTGAGCTGCAGAGCGGTTGCAGGAGCTGTCAGCGTAGTAGTTCCAGAAGATTTCATCTTCGATGTCGCAAGAAGGTCGATGTCAACGTCTTTTTCTACTTCCTTGCTGTTCTTGTGCTCGAGGACATGATCTGCGCTATTTTTACTACGCGCCCCGCCCTCCAAAAGTAGTTCCTTTTTTCTTTTCTTCTCTTCCTCCTTCCTCTTCGCTTCTTCGGCCTTTTGTCGTCGCAGCTCTTCCTTTTTCTTTTGCTTGATCTGGTCCAAATACGCGTTTAGCCGCCTTCGGTTCACGGACCGAAACCCGCAGTGACTGTTGGAGCGGAGCTTCGCCTGTTTCCAGCCCAGGTAGCAAGTGAAAGAAGAAGGCTTATTCGGCGAGGAGGAAGTTGATGATGAAATTGAACCAAAACCGGACGAAGCCGACGTGCCGGCCTGTGTAGTAGAAGATGACGTCGCACAAGAACTTCTTCCGTCACTGCAAAAGTTGACAATCCCTTGCCGCCAGCTGAGGTCAACAGCAACCTCGTTCTTCTCCATCAAAACAGGTTCCAGCCTGGACTTCTCTCCCCCTTTGTTCCGTTCCCGGTTCCAGGTTTCCAGGTAAGAGATTTTCTCAAAACTGGAGAAGGAGTGGCTCCGCGGCAAGTAGCGCTTCTCCCGGTGCTCAAAAGCGTTATACTCGCTGTAAAAAGGATCGTCTTCGATAGCGGCTCTTTCCGCTGCTTTGTCCTGTTTCTTCTTGGCGGCATTTTTCTTGTCACCATCTGCATCTTCATTTTCATCGGCCTCGTTTTTCTTCTTGTCAGAGGCAACTGCAGCCACCGTTCCTGACGAAGCTGCGCCGGGTTCTTCATCTTCTTCATCTTCTCCACCTGAATTTGCTCTTCCTCGCCGATGATCTTGATGCCGATCGCTTTTTCCTTTCTTCCCCCGGCCTTTCCTGCCCTTCCCTTTACCCTTGTTCCACGAGTTTTTCCCTTGTCCTTTTTTTCCACCTTTTAACTTGTTCTGGAGTGCGCGCGGCAGGTGGGCTAGGTCGAAGATGTCCTGGGGTTCGTGCTCCTGGTCATCTTCGTCCTTCTCAGAACCGCTGGATTTTGTCGGCTGTGAGGAAGGGTCTGTGTCTGAAGAATCTCCCACCTCTCCTCGCTGCCGCTTGTTGTCCTTCTTTCTGGTAGAAGTGCTTCGGCGCGTCTTCGTTTTCCCTCCTGTAGCGTCACTTTCTTCCGACACAGAAGGTGATACTGAAGCAGTAGAAGTTTTTGATGTTCGTGATGCACAGTCTTCACTGTGGTCAACATCCTCGCCTGCTGCCTTCTCTTTATCCACGCCAGACGAGTGGTCGCGCAAGCCCATTTTCTTCAGCGCCTTCTCGAAATCGGTCTCGTCCTGGCCGCTCGGTGAATCCAAATCATGATCTTGGTCGTCGTTGAGTTCCGCCCAGGCTTTTTCCAACTCGATAAGGTCTCCCTGAATTCGCTTGAACTCTTTCCGCAGTTCTTTTTCCTCCTCACCACCGAACCTTTGCGCATAGTCCTCCTCATCCGATTCCGTGGACGGGGATTTCGATCGGGCAGTAGAAGAAGTAGAGGAGCCTGAACTAGTAGAGGACGACCTTGAAGAGGACGAGGAGGTTCTTGGGGTGGACAACTTCGAGTTATTAGGGGACCTCCGTGAGCAGGAGGGCGATCTTCTGTCAGAATCTTTGTCTGAGCGTGAACAAGCGCCTTCTCTTCTGCGTCCTCTACTCCTGTCCAAAGTAGACCGTCCCCGACGAGAAACAGCAGATTTTTTCGACGCTCCTGCGCCGTCTTCTTCCGAACAAGTAGATTCTCCACTACTTCTAAACCCGCCCTCTCTTATCAACTGCCGCGCTTTCTTCATCGTTTCTCTTTTCCGGGTCTTTTTGGCTTTCCTTTCCAGCATCCTTTCCGTCTTGCGGATTTCTCGCTGCCGGAGACGCTCAATTGCTCTGGCCGATAGAATTCCGGCTAAAGCGGTCTTTTCCCAAATTGTATCCACAGGAAATTTCCCGTACACATACAGCTACAGATCCAGATGCGGTCTCTGCATGACAAAACTTGGCTTCGATCCTAGTTTAGCATGACAAGTTTTACGCTCCAAATTGGTAGAATTTGTGATGCATGTTGTACATGAACGGGAAATTTGTATTGCATAAACTGATTTTTTCTCTTCGAATTCTGCTTGTTTTTCCTTCACAGCTTTTTCCAATGCTCTCCTCTTCTCGTTTTCCAATTCGATCCACCTCGACATTTCCTCGTTCTCGACCATCCAATCGTCGATTTTCGCGAGCGCACGCTCCAATTTCTGTTCCACCCGGCTCCGCATCCCGGATTCGATCAGTGGGCCGCAAATCAAGACATTTGATCTTTTCAAAACGATAAACTTATCCAAGAAGAAAAACCGCTCAGATTCCGACCGGATTTCGCTGGAGTCTAGCGCGACCGTGACGTATTCTTCTTCGTAATAATCGTGCGCGGGATCCTCGGAAAAGTAAATTGCCGTCCGCCCGAGCCGGCCCTTCAATTCCGGGAACTCTTCGCACTGGAGAATGTAGCACAGCTCCTCCGTCATCTTCAGAGTTGACATCCTGCCCTCCCTTAACTGTAGCAGAAACTGCTCCGCTTCCACGTGTCGCATTTTATTGAACTGAAACCTCCGGCAGAACAGCTCCTTCAATTCCACCCTGACTGTATAGGGCTCCAAAAACGGCGACTTCGTGTGGCATCTCGCTTTCCGCCCCTCGCTACCCTCCCACATCACTTGCGCCATGCAGTCTGCGCGGAAGTGGCCGACTGGATACGCGTTCGCCACGTCGAATTCCCGCCAGTATTCGTAGCAGAAACAAGGCTCGAAGGCGGATATGAAGTGGAACCAGGTCGCGTCACGGAGAAAAGGATTTCCACCGAAGAGTAACGGCCCCTTGTGATCCGGCTGCAGCCAGATCCGGTGATCAAACTCTCTTTCTCTTTGCAGGTGTCGCCAATTTTGCATCATTTTGGTTCCCATCGACTGTTTCAATTCTGGCGGGAGACCGTCTAACGCTTCCGAGCCCGGGAAGTGGTAATCCTTCTCCAAGTGGAGTTTGTATTCGTGAAAATTCTCTTCGTTCAGCTCTGTGTTCAATTTTTCGCTCGTTCCAGGTGGGACGGGGAAAGAGTAGCCATTCTGGTCGTTAAAGTGATCAGTTGCGGTGATGGATTTTTGCCTCTGAAGGTCTGCCTGGAGCATGCGCTGCCAAGATGATTTTTGGGACAACTTTCGTGTTGGCGCTGACGTAGTTGTTGGTACAGGCCTGCAGAGAAGTAGGTCCTCTTGGTCTTGCTGATCATTTTCGATGTCACTTAATGCTTTTTTGCCACCTGGTGCTGCTGTTTCGGCAAACCTCACCCTCTTTGACCGCTTCACCTGGTCTACTTGGAGCTCGGCCGGCTGTCCCGCGGTTGAAGCATCAACCCGCCTTTCTCCCCTGCCATGCTGGTCTCTTCGCTCTCTCTTGCGGCGGCGGCCTGCTCTCTTGCGGCGCCCGATGGAGGAGCTATCGAGGTTATTTTCAATATCCGCCAGCTCCAAATCATCCCTTGTGTTTTCTTCATATTGCGGCTCCGCCCCAAGTTGCTCGCGCTTCTCCCGGTCCGTCAGAATGCGCCTGGTGTGGTCGATAATCCCGAACCTCTCCCTAAATTCCTCCGAGAAGACAAATTGATTTCGGTTTGCGCCAAAGTTGTGCAGGAAATCTTTCTGCGTCTGCTTTTCGTCGTCCTCGTCGTCGTCGTCCCCAATCATAGCACAACAAGTCCACGACCTCCCGGCTGCTTCCTCCGCTTCGAATAGCTGCTCGTACTTCGAAAGCTCACTCATTTTGTCGAGAACCAGGGATTTGAAGCAGTTTGAAGCGGTTGACCCCAATTGGGTGAATTTTTCCGCGTTTCGTCTTAAGAAGGCCCACCAGGAGGAAACGGGGACCAGATCTTGTTCACCCGAAGCGGCTTGCGAAACTCTGCCCGGCTCCGTGGTCTGCGTCGTCGAAGGTGGAACAGCGGTCGTCGCTGAGGTTGATGTTGATCGGCCGCCGTGGTCTGCACGGCCACAATTCTTTATCTGCATCGCCTCTATCTCCTCCAACAACCGGTCCGCAATGTCCGTCCGTTTCTTCCGCTCCGTCTTCCGATACAACTGCTTCACTTTCTCACAGTTCGGAAACTGGTCGAGGAAATCCGTCTCGGTAGGGTCAAGCAAGAGGTACTCTTTCGCTCGCAACTTGGAAATAACAAGCTCGACTTTCGGAAGCAAATTCCTAACCGCGTTGGCGCCGAGGGAGGGGAAGTTTGTGGTGACGAAACGCTCGAAGTGGTGGAATTTTTGGTAATCTTCTACGCTGGAGGACGACACGGACACTTCCGCGTGTTCCTTAGCAGCTCGCTCCCCTTTACTCCGGTCGTGAAAATGGGGGATGACTTCCAGCCGATTGGTCTCTGGGTTGAAAACCCAAGACGTCTTCATCCGCTCCTTATTTCCCTGTGACACCCCGCCAAAATTCCGCATGAACAACCGCATATCTTCCGCACTCAGGGCCTGCACCGAAATTTTTGAGATGCCGGGAATCATGATGCTTGCCGGGGCATGATCATCGTGGGGAGCGGTTATTTTTCTAGCAAAACTGTCCTCAACGCCGCCAGATGAAGAAGAAGACTGATGCTCTTCTTGCGACGTCGTCACCCATTGAAAATCCAAACTCTCGGCCAGATTGCTGTCTTCTTGGCTAGTGCCAGTGCGAGTGCCAGCAACTGGATTAAAAACACAACTCTCTTCCCTTTTCCGGCTCTTCCACGACATATTGAATTCCATCGTCCCAATTTTGCACTTTGTGCTCACGATCTCCGAATTCTGCCATGCCCGTGCCTCCTCCATCGGCTTAATCAGCTCCCCCCGGCTATGGAAGCGTCAGGTTTGAAATCGACAAAGTTGAAATGATTTGTCATGCATAAAATGGATACCAGTCGGAAGCCCAATTTCCAAGCGGCGCATGACAAATTTTCGGAGCACCGGAATCCAATTTGTCATGCTGTTTGGGCACAGAAGACTGCTTTTGTCATGCTTCTTTAGCAGCTCTATCCCAAACCCTAAATAGGCGCACAATCTGCCTCACTTGTCATCCCGGCAAGACAGGCACTTCACGCCTTGCATTTTATGCATGACAAATCATCTCAACTTTGACGATTTCAATCCTGACAGATCCATACCGGCCGTCGGTGAAAACGTACTCGATCAAATCGTTTTTGTCCTCAAAGTATGCATTGCAAAAATGTCTGGCTGGTCTGAAAAAAGGCAAGGTTTGTCATGCTCGGCCAGCATGAGTCTCATGTCTGTCATGCATCAACGCAGTATGACATGCAGAATAGGCAGCACGTAGCAACTGAAAAATTTGTCATGCTTGGCCGGCAATTGAGATGTCCTCATGGTTGTTCAACCCGCATCACAAGTTTATTCCAGTAGAAGCCCCGGACATATTTGCAATGCATACGAAGAAGTCCTGTTTCTGTGTCCGATTGAAATCTTTCTTGTCGATGTTCACGGCGTGGAAGTGCTTTCCGCTGTACACGTACGGTTTATGCAATACAAATTTCCCGCACATGTACAAGATGCATCACAAATTTCGCCAATCTGGAGCGTAAAACTTGTCAGGCTAAACGAGAATCGAAGCCAAGTTTTGTCATGCAGAGACCGCATTTGTACGTGTACGGGAAATTTATTGTGAATACGGTTTTGGATTATCACATTCCATATCAGAGTCGAACTTCGGGTCTTCCGCTAGATCTACCACGAAGTTGTGCTTTTCCAAATTTTTTTCCGCTAGTTCTTCCAAAATTGAATCGTCGAGTGTTAACCGTTTTTGTTTGACAAGCTTGAGGTTCCATTTTCTCAACTTCTCATTGATGTACTCCTTGTTCCCCCGATCCCGTTTTTTGTACTTTTTGATCAGCTTTTTCTTTTCCTTTTTCAACTTTTTCGCATAATATCGCTTGAAGTCTTCGATCCACAGTTTCTTCATCAACGTCGTGGTCGTGTGGACGATATCGTGTGCAAAAGTAGCGTACGACTAGTATCAGTATGATGAATCGCAAGGAAAATCAAATTTGTAATGCGGATTTTCCTTGGCAACTAGATTTGTAATGCAGAAGTGCAATTAGTACGAGTACGATACTTTTGCATTGCATAGACGAGTTCCCAACAGGCTTCGGTGTTTGGGATGAATTTTCGTGTGGATTTCTTCGTCCTCGGGTCGTAGAAATCCTTGTACCAGTGGAAAGATGTGGAAAGAGGGGCTACGGCGTCTTCATCGTCTGTGGGTGAAGGAGAGGAAAACGGCTGCTTCTGCTTTTTCGGTTGCTTCTGCTGTTTCGCTTTTTTCTCACGCCTCGACGGTCTAGTCGTGCTGCTGGTGGATGATGTCGGTCTAGCCTTCGGCATAGTGCTGGGGGCACCCGTACTAGTTGTCGCTGCAGACTCTTCGGGTGGTCGTTTCTGCTCCACTTCAGTGTCTTCTGCATTTTGGCCCGGATCCTCCTTCGACTGATTTTCATTTCCCGTGCCTGCCAGAAGGAGAACTTCTTCGTCCTCCTGCTCCGTGCCCGAAGCATCATCATCTGCTGCTTCGCTGCTTTGTGTTTGCTCCTGCACCACTTGCTCGTCAAAATTGCAATGATAATCCTTTTTCCAACCCGCAGCCAGCATTCGGCGCTCTAGCAGCATCGGATTCAACTCCAAATCATGATCACTTGCCCGCTCGTACAACGGCGAAGAAGAAGATGCACGAACCGGACCATGATGATGTACTGTGGCTCCAGCCAGATCTCTTTCCTCATCCTCGCGAAAACGAATTGCTCCACCGCGGCGACGTGGAGGTCCTTTCCCCACCTCGTGTCGCTTTTCCTTCTGTGCTGCTCGACGTCCTCCACGACTGCTCGCGGTGTCAACGACATCCCCAGCAGCAGCAACACGGTTGATGGCGCGAAGACCTCCTGTGTTTCTACTTCTTTTTTTCAGCAAAAACTCCCGTCCCACACCACGAACAGCACTACAGGTTTTCCCTGCCATCATTCCGTCTTCCTCAAAGTTCGTCACGAACTTCGACAAATCGAACTTTTTCTGCTCCCAGATCGAGTTCTCATCGGATTCGTCGACCGCAGTGGAGGAGTCGCCGGAACAGGCGGAGTCGGAGCCACGACCACCTCCAGAGTCGGACGAGAAGGTGGAAGAAGTTCTCCTTCTACTTCTTATTGCATCGGACGACAACGTGGACGAGGACTCTGAACTAGTTTTACCACGACCAGCACGAGCTCGAGAGACAGCAGCTTTTGACATAGTTGGACAGTCCCCGTCCTCTGTGTCACTCGAAGAGGTTAGCGATGATGATGAAGACCAGCTTGATGCACTTGAAGTGGCGGAGCTTGTGCTTTGGCCGGAAGATGATGCATCGCTACTTGCACCACCACCCGGATGAGGTAGTAGAAGCTCCTTTTGTTGTTCAACACAACTCTTTGATGCGGTGCGTTTTCCTGCCGTGGCGGCCTTGAGTTTCAGATCAGGGTCTACTGTACTTGCTGCTGTAGTAGTCCGCGCGGTGTTCTTCCTCCCGTTTCTTCGCTCTACTTCTGAAGAAGCCGTAGGAGTGCGATCTTCTATTTCTCCCGACGCAGTTTCCGCTCCTAGCGCCGACGCTGGTCGTTTGCGTGTCCTCCTGGACGAGCGTTCTTTTCTCTTGTTACCCTTGCGAGAGCGCCGGTCGCAAACATCTTCACCGGAGTGCGAGCTGGCGCTTTTTTTTCGTCTCCTCGCCGAAGAAGATGCGGACGACTTCCCAACTGGAGGACAAGGCTGCTCGCCCTCCCCCGGTCGCGCAGTTCTGCTAGACTCTTTTGAACATGTCCCGGAACGCGAAGAACGCGACGAAACTGTCTCTTTGACTTTGTCCTGTTTCCGTTTTCTCGCTTCTACAACTTTCTTCGACTTCTCTATCTTTATTTCCGGACGCCGGAACTGCGAAGACGAACTGCTCGATGCACTAGATGTTGAATCCTCACTGCTAGTCGTGCTCGTCCTCGGATTACGAGGACTCCGATCTTGTTCAGCACTCGAACCATCCTCGTTCGCCTCCAAAAAAGCTTTCATCTTGCTCCCGGGACTAATGGGCGCGGCTTCTTGATCGCTGATTTTGCACTTGATGTTCCTGCGCGTCACATCTCCGGGCGCGTCCATGAGCTCGGATTCAACATCTTGATCTTCTTCCTGTTCCTGTGCAAGGTCGTTTTCCGATGAGCAACTTTTGTCTACTCTGTTGCCAGTTTCATCTACTTCACGGCCGGAGTTCTTCTGCTTTTTCTTTTTCTTCTGAACAGACTGGTCCCTTTCCCGATCTGCTTTTCTGCTCTTCTTCCCCAGCCGACCGCGTTCGCGTTCCCCAGAGCCAGAGCCACATCTATGAGTTTTGCTTTGGTTCTTGTCTGATTTCCGCCTTTTCGTTTTGTCCTTTTTCTTCTTTCTCTTTCCCACATCTTCACTGTCGTTTTCGTCAAACAAAGACTCTTGCCTTTTCCTTTTGTCTACCGCACGGCGCCGGCCCGCATCGCGATCGCGAGTACCGCTCTGATGTCCTCGAGCGACCTTCCTCGCAGAATCTTTTTTCTCACCGCTGTCTGATGAAGAAGAAGATGTACTATCGGTATCTGATCTATAATCCGCACGATCGAGGGCTCTTCGCCGCCTCATTTTCCGCTTTTTCCTCTTTTTCTTTCTTTTCCTATTCCTGCTTTTTGTTCTACTTCTTCGTTTACTTTTACTTTTATTCCCACCCCCGAGAGCCTGCTGCTCTTGCTCCTTATCCTTTCCACCGATCTGTCGCACCAATCTGCCGCGAGCGTCTAATTCCCGGATCGATCCATAGAGCTTTTTCTGGTTGCCCCAAGCGAGTTTCGGATGGTAATACTCCTTCATGGACTCGTCCAAAGCCCTCGTGTCTACCTTCGGCTTCTCGTCTTCTTGTTTATCCCTGTTTTGATCCTTTGCACCCTTGTTTCCTTTTTTCTTTTTTTCCTTCGCTTTTTTCGCTTCTTCCTCAGCTTTGGCAGCCTCCTGGTTCATCTTTTCCAGGTTAGCCCAGGTCATTTCCTCCGTGTAAACAATCGCGCCGTCGTCGACCGCCGGGGTTGCAGTTTTCTTTCTGTCTTTGTAGTTTCTGATCCTCTCATATCCTGTGCAAAAGTAATATCGCACTCGTATAAATGCCAGGCTAGCATGACAAATCAAAATCTGGTTTCTTAGGTAATTTAGCATGACAAATTTGATTTTTCATGCAGAGCTAATTTGTAATGCAATTTATACTAACTAGTACGATGCTTTTGCACAGCATATCTCATCGTCCTCCCTCCCAAACAACCGCAAACCCGAATTCGTCACCTTCTGCAATGGTCCGTATTTCTTCGCCCGTCGCTCTACGGAGCTATCGGTGTTCTCGGAGCTGTAGTTTTTGTCGCCAGGATATCCAAAAGAAAAGACCCACCCGCATCCATTTTTGCACGATCATGAATAAAACTGGATAATTCAATGTAAATACATGCGTATGCCTGGTTGTGATTCGCATGACAACTTGGATGGGTCGGGTTGTTTTTTTGTGGATAGAGGAGGCTCAAAATCGGAATTATCACTGCTATTATCTCTCTCCTTCCCGTACTCCCCGTGTGTACCGTCATGGTACCGCTTGTGCAGCCCGAAATACTTGTCCCAGGCTTTGCGTTATGAACTGCAAAATTATCGTACTAGTATAAATCGCATGACAAATTAGCTCAGCATGACGAATGGAATTTGTCATGCTGTTTTACCTTGGGATAAAGATTTGCAATGCATGACTGCGATTACTACGAGTACGATACTTTTGCACAGGATATGCGTAAATTCGGGTGCGCGCGAATCAGTCGCTCGACTCGAGATTCCGGGCAGACGACTATCAAATGTAAAAATGTCTGGGTCTGGAAGAATACAAACTTGTGATGCGCATTTCAGAACACAGAAAAATCTCTCATGCATAGGTAGCAAAAGCTGCCCGCTTTCTGTCACCAAAGTGGGGGGCTTGTCATGCGGATTCGGCATTGCGGAAGCTTCTCGAAACCTGTGACGCTGGAGCTTCCACGCCAGACCTTCTGTGTCATGCAAAAACAGCATGACTCTTCCAGACCCAGACATTTTTGCAATCCATAACGACCGGGAAAGGACAAGTAGCGGCATTGTGGTGGGGCAGCGTCTGTTGCCAGCAGTTCTGGCAACGCTGCCCCGAAAGCATGTGCAGAACCGGGTCGTCGGCCATCTTGTTGGAAGGATGATGCAGCAGCAGCGCGCGTGGGCGTGCACCTCTCGACGAGCAGGATTGGCTCTACTACTGCACCAGGAGACGCTGCACCACGAGCGTGAAGGAGGTTGACTTCAATTCATTCTTGTTGTAGTCCTCGAGAAGAGAGATGAACCAGACTACTACTATCCGAACGTAGTACCAAGCGCCGCGCTTATTTGCCGCAGCTGCTCAGAGTAAGCCCGCGTACCGCTGCCCATCTTGCCCCGTTCCTCTCGTCGTAGTTGTGAAACCACCACGAGACAAGGATCTGCTATCAGCTTGCTCCTTCAGGACGGTGGGTCGGCATCGTGGTTGCGGTGTCGTACCCGAGGACTCCACGCGATTTGACTGGGTTTGAAAATCGATATCGATACAGTGAGGTCGGCTTTCCAGGGCTCTCTTGTTTAGTCGCGTGTCGCCGAAAAAAAAATATGAATGGCGATGAAGATCGATATGTTCGTATGAAATTATGTACGCATGTTTTTTTTTTCTCTAATGTCAATGTGTATGTCTTGCATGTCTATGTCTAAATCTTTCTAGTATGCCATCATGCGGTACTATTGTTTTCATGATTCATTCTTATTTCTTAATCTTATGCGATTCATGGAGGAACATTCATTTTTCCTCTTTGCGGAGCTTGCTGAAGTTGAAGATGATCGACAGACTACTCACATTGAGTCTCTCTACGTTGTACTACGCATTTACTACAACAAAAAATGGACAAGACTTTCAGTCTTGTTTCCGGCGCGAGGAGAACGTCTAGTTGTACAACAACGATCCGCGGCATCAAAAGTAGCAAGCGAGCGAAGCGGACGGGCCAGGTACTTGAAAAAAGTTCAACGGTACAACAGAAAAATGATTCAGATCCTGGTCAAGAAAAAAGATGATCACGTTAAAAAAGTGGACATGGACGTCGGCGCTGGAAGAGAATGATTTAAATGTTGACTCGTCACTTCTGGCGTAACAATAGCCTTCCTTTTTGATGATAGATCTGTTCACAGAAAAGACACAACTTCGACTTCGTCTTCTTCCGTTACCACAAAAAGCCTAACTACTGTCTCACTACAATACATGATCATGATCGCGCTTGTTTGCTCGCCCATCACATCAATGATCGCTACTCGCACTACGCCTGTCGCAACTTCTACCAGCCAGAAGCAAGTCGCACGGTGGCCATAGAACAACGCCGCGAGTGTGTGGGATCTTCACCTTTGGAAAACTACCCAGAAAGTGAGAAGGAGAAACTTCGCACGCGGCCGTGCAAGAAAATGTCTACTCTTTGCCGCGATGTTGAAGTCGTGTCAACGACTTCTACAATGAACGCGAGGACAAATAAGTGATCGTCATTAGAGGTAGAACAACTGAGACCTCTACTTTACGGGGAAACGCAGCATCGTTGTGCTTTTCCCGTTTATTTGTGAAAATTTTCATTTTGCATCTGTGCTGGTGAAATTGAAGATAAGTAGCATCCTGAACATACGTGTTTCTTCACGTCCCCGCGTTTTTGGGACAGCGTCTCACTTCAAGAATTATCGACAAGAAATCGTATAATGTTGCTTGGGAGCAGAAACTTGGGCAGGGGAAACATACACAGGTAGAGCTAGAGCAGGTTGGGGGACGAAATCATATCACGTAGCTCTTGGTGAGGGGCATCTCCTTCATCTGGCAGCGGCAATTGCCGCGTTTGTGCGCATAATTCCGACGAAAAAAAAACTTGAAAAAATGTGTCGTGTAAAGGGGGGGTGCTATGCTGGGTACTGATGGGCTACAGGAGTGCACTTCTCATCTTCGAGTTCTTTTCCAACCAGCCAGGAGTGATGAACAGCTCATGGTCCGCGAGGACGTGCATCGCGCACGCGCTTGAGCTGCAACGGTGGATATCGACAGTCTACAGCCTGCGCTGTCGTCCACCACGTTGAATTTTTGTACTCGTCGTCGTGTTGAACGCTATCACTATATCATGCTGCAGCAAAGTAAGGAGCATTGTCCGTGATGTCCAACGAGTTAAACAAAACCTCCACATCCGCCGTGGGGCATTCTATCGTACAGCTATTTCGGCGGCAACAAAAGCCTCTTCCCGCTAGTACCCGGCGGACCCGCACCCGGCGGGCGGAGAAGGTTACTCCCACGGCCGGGAAGTGGAGGACTCGGACCTCCCATACTATCTCCCGTCAAAGAAATCGGGCCGCTCAAACTATTGCTCGCGTTTGACATTCGTCCGGGACCTGCTGGTGAAGATCCACTCGGACTCATCGCATTGTCAAAGGCGTTGTAGGTGACTTTGCCGAGGAATTCCGACTTTAGAATGGTGTCGTAGGCGACCCACGAGTGCGCTTGATTGTAGATGTCGGTCGCGTCCTTGCCGATACCTGGAAATCATATGTGTTTGCGCTTATACAATATTTGTGATGCAGATATGTATGCTGCAGACGCAACAAAATTTGTTTCAATTTGTATTGCATAGCATGCACGGTAGGCAAAATCTGTAATGCTGCACGACGATGTTGACAATATAGTACCTCTCAACAGCTCTCCTTTTCCCCCGGGATGGTAGGCCATGTAGCTCGTGACGTCGTACACGTGTCCGCCCTATCAAATGCAAAAGTGTCTGGGTCTGGAAGAATGCATGTTTGTCGTGCTTGTCTGGCATGACTCTTAAATCTGTCATGCACGTTACCCAAGAGCCCCATTTTTCTGTGATGCAGAAACGCAGTTTGTCATGTTGGGAAGCTAAGGGCTGGGCGTCCCTGTCGTTCTCTAAACCTTAAAACGGTAGCCACTTACTCGACAAACTCTAGGTAGAATAAGTTTGGACAAAGTGATCACTACCGAGAGACAACAACAAAATAAAGGCTCCTGGGACGGCTGCGGTGTGAGCATTTGTTGCTATCTGGGTAGGGATAACGTTGTATGCAAACCTAAACACTAGCGTCAAGGGAGAAAAGAAAAGTAAAAAAGCGGTAAATCATCCTACTAAGACACAGTCCCAACTACGAAAAAACCCCTCTTAAAAAGTGAGGCAAGATGTAACGTAGTTGCGTTCATGGCGAGCAGCCGCAAACAAGGCGAACTGTCGCAGCGGACAAATGCAAAAACGTCCGCAACCGAGGGAGCAGAGATGGAACCGCAAACGCCACCGACCGAGACAGCATCATATCATGCAAAAGGTCGGAACAAGCCCGAAAACACAAGGGCGGAGCAACTACATTACAAACCCCAAGACGGGAAATGTAACTATCTAACCCAAGCTAAAATAAGTAATAATCTACCTTAACTAGCACTACTTACTAGCGCGCGTCTAAACCGATCCACTTCATCCAGAAACGCAGTTTGTCATGCAGAATAGGCAACACCTAGAAGCTCAGAAGCTTGTCATGGTGAGCCAGCACTTGTGGCCTCATCATGAGACGCCACCCAGCATCACAAGTTTCCAGACCCAGACATTTTTGCACTTGATACGCCCAAAACCATCCACGCGTCGGACCTCTTGTTGTGCTTCTGCACCTCCGAGAAGGGGATTAGGATCTTGTTCTTCTCCTGTCTCCAGTTGGCCGGCCGCGTTTGCATGTCCATTTCCGCTTTGCGCATAAAGTCGAACTGATTCAACGCACGCGGGGCTTTCTTCCGCCCGATTGGCTGGTTGGAAGTTACGGGGGGTGGTGGGGATTGCCGAGGAACTGTAGCTGTACTACTAGTTTCTGGCACGTGCTGCTGGTTGTTTTGTGCGGATTGGGATTCAGCAGGACGCGCGGGAGGTTCTACAGACTCGCCTTCTTTAGCACTATTCCCCGATTGTGGTACCGGAAAGAACGCTTCGCCTTCTCCCCTGGGCTGCGCCCCCCGATTTCGTTCTCTAGCGGTCGCCGATGAAGAAGCTCCTGTGGAGGTCCGGTCTGGCGCGTTAAACGGATTTGTGTTGCTTGTTCCCCTACTAGATGAAGTAGTTGTCGCGGTGACCACAGGTGCCGGAGCGATGCTCATTGGGACGATTACTGGTGCGGGAGCTGATATTTTCACCATGTCGATATCTTCCTCTTCATCCTCATCGACGGAGCCAAATCGCGGCGACATCGACATTTCCGCCTGATAGGCGGGGCGGGTTGTCGATGATGATGACGATACTGGGGCAAAATAAGTGGTCCGGCCTTGTTTAGAAACACTGTCCAGGGCGATCTTGCTGCCCCCGGTGCTCGGGCGCGCTGGTGGTTCTGGTCCTCCTACATTACTGTAGCTGTTAGCCGCCCCCGTTGCAGCAACCGCAAACGGGTTAGAGCTAGAAGGTTGGTTGGACACGTTGGAATTAGCATACTGCCCACTCGTCCGGCTCGAGGAAGCGGTGCTAGATGTAGACCCCGGAGCCATCGTGCTATCCATACTGCCGAGAAGTGTCGTATTACTTTCATCGGCAACTGCACCTTGTCCTGAAATCGCGGCATCGCTTGTCGCTCTCGTTGCGTTCTTTACCGGATGATCATGCCGTGATTGCGGTCCAAATCCTTGCGATTCCGCAGAAGAGGTCCTCTCGAACGTAAATCCATCTTCTTCTTGTTGCTGTTGATCACTACTCCTGTGGGAAGATGAGAGTGTGCTTCCGGTTGACGTAGTCGCTCTTTCCGGCACTACATCAGAGCCACGCCATTGATCTCCCCCTCCTCCAGCAGGTTTTCGTTCATTTGTTTGTCCTCGGTGCTGCTGTTGTTGTTCCTCTTCCTGTTGCTGGGCCTGCAACATCCCCCCAAGTAAGCCGCTGACGAGCACTTTGGGCTGTTGTTCTTGCTGTGGGAGCTTGATCATGTTTGGAGTACTTTTATCCTTCGAAAAATCCGAGGACCCTCGGCGCGCGGCAGAGTTGTTGTTGGTGTCCAGCAGATGTGAAGATCCACGACCTTCCCTGGTATAGAGACGAAATAGGTGATCTTCAGCACTGTTCTTATCCCTAAACAAATTCGCAGCATACCGTCGGGATTTGCCTTTTTTTTTGCGCCAACGCAGGCGCTGCAGTTTTTATGGTCGCGCCTGCGTAGAAGTGCTGTTGCCTCCCCTGGTGGGTTTTTGCACGCGGCCCAGGCGTCGTTCTAGAGGAACCAGCAGGCATTTCAGCACCCCGGCGAGCCTAGACCTAGACTAATGAGGCCCCCCCACTGCGCAGATCGACGCGCCCAACGGGCACTCACAACACAGCCATCCGGCGCAGGCGAGCATCTTTTCCGCGGCCCCGGGCCCTACGTACTCGCAACCCAAAAAAGGCCGCAAGCCGGCTCGTGCGGACTTGGTGCGCAGGCCCCTCGTGACCCCTTGGAACTCTTCAAGCGCAACCCAATCTCCCACCCACCGCCCCACTCACTCACCGTTGGCACCGCTTTCGCGGCGATGGTGGACGCACTGGCAGAAGACCTTGAAAGCTTCCCGCCTGGTACTCGTTTGAACGCTTCGGAGGGATAGATAAGAACACCTACTGCAACGCCCTGGCATTGATGTTTTGGCATGAAGCAGAGTTGGAGCTTCTGCGCCAAATGTTCCCGTTCTCGAACACTGCTGCTCTTATCCTCCACGCCGTGCATAGATAAGAACACGTTTGTAACGACCTGAAATTGGTGGCTGGCACGAAGCAGAATGACATCTTCTGCGCCAGAGGTTCCCGTTCTCGCAAAAATGCTGTTCTTATCCTCCAAATGGTGCATAGATAAGAACATGTTTGTAACGACCTAAAAGTGGTGTTCTTATCTATGCACGAACAGGAGGGATAAGAACAGCACTTTTGAGAGAACGGGAACATCTGGAGGAGAAGCTTCAATTCTGATCGTCCAATCATCTCCGTGCATAGATGAGAACTTCTTTATCTATGCACGGAGTTGGAGGATAAGAACAACAGAAAACGAGAACGGGAACATTTGGAGCCGAAGCTACAACTCTGCTTCATCCCAAAACACCACAGCAGGTCGCTGCAGTAGTGTTCTTATCTATGCACGAGCGGGAACGTGCGCAGCTGAAGCACCATCTTTGCTTCGTGGACGTGGTCCCATAGCCATATACATATCATTTTATGGAGCCAGCGCCCCACCGGTCCTAATTTAGGACCGACGGCACGGCGCAGGCACCAAAGACAACACCGGAGGGGCCATCATCTGCTGCCTGACACAAAGAGAGACGAGTGGGCGCGCACACTGCCGCGGCCCGGTGCGACCGCCGGCGTAGCCCCGGCTTGGGGGGGCTCTTTGGGTGGGGCATCAGCTCGCGCCCGGGCGCGCGAACTTGGACGCAGTGGCCGGCGGTTATTCTGTCAGTGTGCAGAGCGTTCCCTGGCGCATGAGCTGGGGCTGCGCTAAGCACGAAAGCGCGACCCTCTGGATGATGCGCGGCGAAGGCTTTGGATAGCCCTGGGCGGTGGCGCTTTTGTTAGCCTCAGACACGCCAGGCCTTGCCTAGAATAAAAAAAGCCCACGAATCGCGACGGTATGGCGCGACTTTTCTTAGGGATAAGAACACGCGGGAAGATCACCTTTTTCATCTCTATACCTGGAAGCAGTTGCCGTTGAACTTGACGCTGGTCCTCCACCTGTTCCCGTTGCGCCGCTGTTGCAGTTCCCGAAGATCTCGTCCTCAGACGGGAGATCTACCTTATTTTCACCTAAATCGTTCATGCGATTCTCCGGGCTGTCGCCGCTGCTGAAGGTATCTTGACTGAGTCTACGGAATAAGTGATTCGGGTGGAACCGGATGGGAGCAAATGGGTTGTTGGGGAGGGACATGCTTATCTTCTCTGCGGTTCTTCTTCTTGTTCTCCCCTGATAATGATGCTCGCAATTCTACTTGTTCTGGATGTTGATGTCCCGCTTGTTCTCATTGCACGACCTGATTCTTCTTCTTCTTCACACGTAGTAACCGCTACGGTAGTACCACCATCAAGTTGCCCTTCATCTATTTTCAAGCTTGTATAACGGCGGCTTTTATTGCTATCTTCGTAAGTACGAAGTAAATGGTTGCAAGAATCCGTACTTAGCAAATTTGCTTGTTGTCACGAGTTAATCTCTTTGCTCTGGAAAGCTCGTCAGATCGAAAAGCCACTCATTCTTTTTCCACAAGTGTGGCCCTCCTTTGCTCCCAGCTCCGCTAGTGCTGAGAAAAAAAACAATTATTTTCTAAATTCCCGCTGACTCCGTTTTGACGAAGAAGGAAATCACAACTCCTTGTCTTGTTTCTCTTTCTGTACTCCCGCTCAGTTTTTCTTCTTCTTCGATGCGTTCGTTGTAGTTTTCGCTCCCGTATTCGTAATCTCAGCCACGCCCTTTTTCACCGCAGGCGAAGCAGTGCTGGAATTCGTACTGTTTGTGAGCAAGGTTTTCTCCTGTTCGGTCAACTCAAGTTGTGACGGAGTTGCCGTGCCCTTGTCCTCAAGAAGCTGCGGGTCTTCGACTTGAAGGTCCTCCTCGTCTGCCGCACCCGTTTCTCCCTCGACCACCTCGGGCTCGCCCAGGTAACTTGGGTTGTTGGTGTGCAGCCAAAAGACTAAGCTCAAAAACCCGAGGGTCAGAAACACGTACTCGGTCCAATCGCTGGCCGTGCCCTCCCAGCCGTGTCCGATGGCCCAAATCGAGAAATTCGGCGGGCGCACCTGGGCAGTATACTTCTGCTGCAAGTGCTCTTGGTAATTATTGGAAGACGCTGCTGACGCGGTCGGCGGGTCCATGCTGGGAGCTGGGGAACTGAAGAACAGCCTAGTGCTGCTCTTCACGAGATCTTCGATGCTGTGACGCACCGAGCAAGGGAACAAGTATCTTCTTTAACGGGCGAATCACCTCAATAACTTGGAATTTTTTAGTTTTGTCACTGCTTGGTCACAGTATTAATAGAGGTTCTGACTTTACACTCAATCTTTAAAAAGAACTTCTATGTATACGTTATGTGCTGCAAGCGGAAGACAAAAATCTTGAAAAAATCTCTGAGCGGACAACTCGTGCTGATGCTACGAGCGTCGCGGTAGTGAAACAGCTACAGCGATTCGTTAATAAAATCGGTACTGTAGCTGAATCTGTTGTATTTTGACTATGTGTTGAAGATGAAGAAGTAGAAGAAGAACTTCTAAATCTAATCGTAGTGGTCGGGTAATGAGGTGATGTAATAGAGTCGTGTCGTTGCTGTGGGACCTGCTCGTGTGTTTTTATTCAAGACAACAAAAAAATCATGGTACGATTCATGTGGTTCTTCCTCGGGTTCTTCTTTGCTCCGCCATAGGCACATATATATTTGTGCAGAACTCTGTACGTCCTGTTAATGATCTTCGTTCCTCTCGATGGATCTGCTGCTGGTGGCAAGTATAATGTTAGTGTTACCATTTCTGGAAAAATTTTGGTGCTTACTTCGGATCTCCACGAACAAGGAGCAAGCACACACCAATCACGAGTCTGAAGCCCACTGTGAAGATTTCGCTGCTGGTTTATTTCGCAAGAAGATCGTTGCCATAATATATCACGATCATCATTACCATTTGAGAAAAAATAAATGGGCCCAAGGATATCGACAAACAAAGTTTGTTTGTCCGTGATATCTAGCTTTTCAAAAAATCTTTGTAGTGGATCACGCGCTCTACTTCATCTTCAAGTAGAACAATCCTCTGGAGCTCCTGCAGAATCTGAATGATCGCCGACGCTAGGACGCCGGGCTCCGTGACCGTGATTGAGATGCTACCTGCTCCACCAGAACACGGACAGAGAATGAGAAGCAAGTCAAAGATCCGTAGTTTTCTTTTATCGATCGAGTTCGTCGTCTGGGTAGTAATCTTCGAGTGTGTCTTGCTCATCTTGAATTGTGTTTGTGATGCAGTCATGGATCATGGTACTCCTGCTCCTCGTGTTGTAGGTAACTCGCTCGAAGAGCCTCTGGTGGGGGTAAAAACAATTGTTCCCGAGGAGCATAATGTTTCTTGCTGGGTGGAAAAAAACTGTCGCCGGGGGTGGTCGATCGTCTACTTTGTGTACAGGAAATTAACGAAAACAACAGCGGCATTCTTGGTCGTAAAAAGCACGAGTTGTGAATCTGAATCTCAACAATCTTTTTGAAAACAATGAAAAAAAATCAAAAACCTCAAACGAATTGGTGTCAAATCTAAATATTCACAAAGCTTGTTGCAAACGAGGAGCTGCCGTCGTGCTCCCCGATTGATCTTGACGCCTCAGATTGATGCTCCACAGCAACGATTTTAGTTGCAGGAGGATCTGCCAGGAGGTCGTCTTTGCTTCTTGTTCTTCTATAGTGTGAGCGTATACTTGTTATTGAAAAAGATAATGGTAAACGAAACAGTCGCTAGAAAGCAGTTCCAAACAAAATGATCAGGAGTATATATCACAGTCATTTTTTTGCTTATCCTCCCCCGGATACTTGATGTTGTAGAAATCGCAGCGCAAGCCTGTTTATTGACTTTATTGCGGCCAACAATTTCAAAATTGTAGTAGTCACCAATTTGCTCAAAACAAAGAAGTCTGTAAATCCTGAGTGATGTATACTCAACTTTTCTACCAAACCTTCTTTCAAAAGACCCAGATGTTGTTCCTTTCTTCCCCAGCACCACGAAACAACAACTCTAGTTGCAGCAGCCCCCGCCGACCGGTGCGCCGGGTCGCACGCCCGGCTGCAACCCGATGCCGCCCGTTCCGGTGGACTTGGGCTGCGACGCGATTTTCGTTTTAATCTCCGAGGCCATCAGGTTAAAGGACTGCTCGACGTTATGGCTGTTCTTGGCGGAAGTCTCCATAAAGTTGATTCCGAGCGAGTCCGCTAGCTCCTTTGCCTCGTCGTACGAAACAACCTTCTTAGACTGCAAATCGCACTTGTTACCCACCTGATAGGTTTTAGATTTCGATTTTTACGCATGATGATGGTGATGATCAAATACTTTCAGTGACGGAATATCAGCATTAGAAATGGTTTGAATCAACATGCATGCACAGCATGACAAATTCATTTCATTTGTACCAGCAACTTCTTCACGCCATCCGCTGCGTACTTTTCTATCTCTTGTACCCAGAGTATCCATCGGAAAAATTGCCATCTACCCTGTCGCTGTCTGTGTCTGTCATGCGCATTGATAATGATAAATCGTATTCGATACTTATGCACTTGCAGTTGCACATGCATCTTGTTGCCTCCTTTGCATGATAAATCGACGCTGTGGCCTGCTTTGTTACTTCTCCGCATGACAGATTGCACCAGAAGCAGTTGGCAAGAATTTTCCGCAGGATAAAGTGCTTCACGTTGTTGAATGATTCTCGGTCAGGGTATGGATTGGAAAAGATCAAGATTTGCGTAGTCGTACTACCTAGTACTAGAAAACGCAACATGACAAGTACTAGAAAATGCAGATGGAGTGGAGCTGGAGCCAGAAACTTGTCTTGCTGCATTTCATTACATACATGATTCAGTTCAAAAAATACTCTGTGATGCATCATCGCGCCTCTCACTTTTCCACTTCATACCGTGACATCGTACACGATGATGATGTATCAAATGTAAAAATGTCTGGGTCTGGAAACTTGTGATGCTGGGTGGCGTCTCATGATGAGGCTACAAATGCTGGCTCAGCATGACAGGTTTCTGAGCTCCTAGGTGTTGCCTATTCTGCATGACAAACTGCGCTTCTGCATCACAGAAAAACGGAGCTCTTGGGTAACGTGCATGACAGATTTAAGAGTCATGCCAGGCAAGCATGACAAACATGAATTCTTCCAGACCCAGACATCTTTACATTTGATATGATGCCATGTGCACCCCGGTAGTACGATGATGTGATGGTTTATGCAAGACAAAAACTCTGTGAGTGTAAGTCTGTGATGCAGAAAATGCAAAATTGTATACACTTGTCATGCTGGATGTGCGTCATAGGCTACTATCATACGTATGTTCACGTACTAGCTGCGCATGGCAGGTTTTCCCTGTAATGCAGAACGAATTTGTGATGCTGCTCTTCCTACAAAGTTACATCTACACAGTTTTTTTCCTGGATATGGTTCGGAATCGCTCCTGACCGGCGGTATCCCACTGTTGTGTTTTCAGTTTCAATTGCTCAAGCGCAGATCGAAATTATGTATGTCTATAGTGTAGTGTCTAATACAAAATCAATTCAAATTAAGTACATCATGACAATGCATAAAGAAAAAAAACAAAAAGTACGATTTGCAGCTTGACTGTTTTCCCCTCCAAGTCGATTGTTCGAATCTTAAAATCCACACCAATGGTAGAGATGTAGGATTGTGTGTAGCTTTGTGGAACGGAAAAACGATTTTTTCTACCAGTGCCAGGTGCGCCGGATGTTGATCCATGTAGCTTCCTAGTGTAGTAGGTGTAGGCTAGGCTTTTCATTTTGCTTAGAAGCATGACAAACACAAACCGCATTTTCGAGCCAGTGAGTAGGTGAGTGATCCCAGTACACTGGCACGACAGAAGAAAAATCCGCTTTTCCCCTTCCATACAGTGTCGTCCGCAAACCGCAAAAGCAGACAACTTATCCAAGGAAAAAAGTGTCACAATTACACATTTGTAGTGAATTCAGCATCACAAACTTGCGCAAGCACACATGAAACGATGCTCGCAGGCCGCATCTTGCGCATTACAGAGGTTGTTTGTCTTGCGTGCTTTGCATAGACTAATATGAATGTGTGTAACTGTAGCACTTTTTTCTTTACATACAACTCTTCCCCACACCGCTGTCGCCGATCAGCAGCAGCTTAAACAGGTAGTCGTATTCCGGATTCATGGTGTTTTCTTTTGAGGGTCGTGGTTGTCGATTCGTGTTGTAAGTTCAAATTGGTTAGTCTTAGTTCTAGTCTTCTTCACCTCCGAAGAAGTGGATCCTCACTACAACTGACAAAGAGAATCAACACGTTGTGGCTGTGGGGCTACTTATTCTGGATGTATGGTTACAAGGACGGCTCTTGGCAAAATTATGCTTCCTTTCTTTTTTGCTCTTCGATTTATCAGTAGGCGTAGCTTTGTTCGAACCCGGATGAAATCTATGCGTCGTTGCAGTTGCCCCCCTCGTTCACTACTTTTAGCACCTAAATACGAGGGGGCAAGGAACAGAAGCTGTTAATATGTATCACCTTCAGCAAAATTTCTTAATATACAAGTAGCGGTTTCGGTTAACAAGGACACTGATACGAGTATCACAGTTGCGCAAAGGGAAAAATATTCATGACACTCTTGGTTTTAATTACGCTCAATAGAAAGCAAGCTGAAGGGGAGCAAAATTACTGAGGATGGGATTACCAGGAAGCGTGAGTAGTTGTAAATATCTTGGTATGAGAATTCGGGATTTGTCACTAGTGTTGGAGGAACCTGAAATGAGACGGATGAATGTCTTTTTCTTTCTTTTCACTCAGATTCACATACTAATTATCCTGGCTCAGAAGCGTGCACTTGTGATAGCTTCTAATATATCAGATCAATGATCTAGATCTTCCTCTGCTCGTTTGGAGTCGTTCTCGGTTTTTGGTGCTTCCAAAAAAAGGGAGCGTTCGTCGTATCGTTTGCCATCGGTTGCTCTTTTCACTCGATAAGATCTCTACTCTGTGGGGGTTATGGTAGTTCCTGTGAAGGTCTTGTGTCTACTGAACTCAGTCATGTGCCCCGTCTGGGGATGAACAAACAAAAAAGAGTCGACGCAGTGGAAAATTTTATTAATGATTGAGTTTCATTATCAGGTACAGCATGTTGGTAAAGACATTGTCATTGGTGTAGTGCCTGAGAAGGCCGGGCATTTGTACTTTTTAGCATCTACACACGAAAATAAATCCTCTTCGACCTCTACAGCGACACCGCCACCGATTGCGTCAACACACGACATCAACCCCCGCTCATGGCATCAGTTTCGCAAACTGCTGGCACGCCTGCAGCCACAGCAGCTGCGATTGCCGTTGCTCTTCGAAAGACGGATTGTCTATCGTATGGAAAACTTGATGGCTTTTTCCAATTTCGTGCCCTCGTACGAAATGAACAACATGAACATGCATACGCGACGAGTAAACGTGGCTTCTAGCTACAACGTCTCCTGGCGTCGAAAATACTGCTAGATGTAGGACATCATGCAAAACGACCCGCTGCCATACAACTACAACCGGACAAGAACACGAACAAATGGACAAAAAGCCGCTCAACAAGTCCAGCCACATACCGTCGTCACCCCAGAATTCCCTTTGGTGGTATTCCTCCAGCATCGAGCACTCCAGCGCTTTCTCCACCGAAATTTCGTCGTCGACCAACAGTTGCGCGAGAATGAACGATTTCAGATTCTGCACCGCCACTGTGAGGGCGGTCAGCTTCCAGTGTGACATGCACGTCGACTGCCTGACTGTTGTTGTGTTTTCAAGATAAACATCACCAACTGCAGCTGCATGATCGTCTTTCACTACTTCTTCCTTTACACCGAGCAAAAGGCGGTCCCGCATTTGCAAAATCGCTTTCTCATTGACCGCAGTGCTCTCGTCCTCTGCCAGAATATTCAGTGTGTTCGCGAAGGGCTGGACGTGAACGCCGTATTTCTCGCAAAACTTCTTCCGCATCGGCGTCCACTGTTGTGCCATCTTTTCCGCGAGCTGCCGGTGGTTGGTGGTGCTGAAAGTTGTTGAAATGGAGGAGCTGGTGGAGCTCTCGTTGCTCGTCATCTGGGTCTGGTCCTCGGCAGAACTACAATCAGAAGTAGAATTTCCGCCTTCAGCGGAAATTGAGTCCGAAGTAGAAGTTGAATCATCATCCAGAGTGAACAAAATGGTGTCGGATTCGAGATACTTCAGGACGCGGTCCACCTCCTCTACGAAGGGTGATAATGTGCTGCTAGCACAAGAAGGACTGGAGGCAGCACCAGTTCTACTTGTTACCGCAGTACTAGAAGTTGCCGGCCACGTGGTACTTTCGTTTTCGCTTGCAACGACTTGTTCTGTCACGTCGTGGTCGCTCAGTGGCGTTATCTGGTCGATGGCCGTGCACAAGAGCGTGTGAAAAGGCATGGTGTCGGGCTTGATGCGGACGGCCATCTTGTCGAGCTTTTTTTTCCTCGAGGACGTAGAGGACGCAGACCTGCTTTCAACATCGTCACCTCTTTCGCTTACGCTTGGTGAGATACAACTACGAGCTTCCATCTTCATTCCTCGACCAGCATGAGGTAGAGGTTTATTTTGCTCCGCTTCTACTTTATGAGCTTTTTGCAGATGATCCCCTTCTACTTTATTTATCCTGAGTAAAAACGTACCCACACCAGAGTCAAGATGGGGAATCGGCTAGACAAATCCACAAGTTTTGACCGTTTTGCATGACAAATTTGGATTCGTAGTGTAGTGCTGTTTGAGCTAGCTCAGCAGCGTCACAGATCTAGCATACCATGCTGATTGGAGCATGACAAATTGCAAAACACGACTAGAGAATGCTTCTCATGGAGCTCCGCATGAGAAACATTTTCAGCATGCAGATTTGCATTACAACTCTGGTGTGGGTACGTTTTTACTCAGGATATTATTATCTTCCACTTTATCCTCCTGTTCCTCGATCTGGCTCAGCCACTCCCGCTGCTATCAAATGTAAAAATGTCTGGGTCTGGAAGATTGCGAGGTTTGTCATGCTTGTCTGGCATGACCAAAAAGTTTGTGATGCGTGTCCAAGAAGAGGTCCTTTTGCCTGTCATGCAAAAACGCAGTTTGTCATGCGAAAAACGCAACACAAAGAAGCGCAGATATTTCTCATGCTTGGCTGTGCATTACAGAGCATTCACTATTCCCAGCGCAGCATCACAAGTTTCCAGACCCAGACATTTTTACATTTGAAAGCTGCACCAGTTTCGCAAGCTCCAGGCTTGGAATCTCCAGGACTTTGTTGTTGGACGTTTTCAGCTCACGGTCCTCCAGGAAAATCTTGTACACCTTTTTGCTGGACGCAGAACTGGAAGCTGCCGCGGCCGCCGACCCGACTATCGTTACTTTTTCGTAAAACAACTTCCTCAGAATCCCACCTGTTCCACCCGCGCAGCTGTCGAGAGGACTGCTTGATGCCGAGGTCGTAGCTATTGTTCCTTTCAGCTGCTTCTCGGTCAGCTTCGGGGTAGGGACGCCAGAGGAAAACTTCGGGTGCTGGTGATGTCTCGGTTCTACTTGCGTCTGTTTGTCCAAATCGACACGTCGTTGACCAACATCGTGTCCTCGATCCGCATCGTCAGGCGGCGCAAACGCCGGTGGAAAGAGCGAAGGTGAGGAGGCGGGAGCAGCAGGCGTTGCTGATGAGGTGGAGAAGAGAGATTGTTCGCTCTCTTTGTTGTACCTACCATGAAGATGATCATGCCCGGTCGACGAGTTCTTTGTACTAGAAGTCGCGTTGTTCGCAGCTGTGAATGCCCGGACGGAGCAGAGTACGGTCTTCACCCTGGTCGTTAAATCATGAACAGAACCTCCACGCGCGGCCGAAGTAGTTGTCGTGGTGCAAGAACGCACGAGGCGAGTTGGTCGTTCCCGCGACAAGTAACGAAATGTTCTCGAGAAGTGAGTCATTTTTAGCACGAGGACTTCAAGTAGTACTTCTAGTAGTCCTGTTGTACTATGATGCGCTCGGGGTAGTTCTTGAATCGGACCCTACATCCGATTTGTCATCGCAGATCAAAATAGATGAAAAGAACGATACCGATAAGTTCTGTCGTTCATCCAAGATCTCCAACTAGAAGTGGGTCTAGGTGTAGCAGCTACGACCGAGTTATGGATCTTGATCGTGAGAAGATCACCAGAAGCAAGCGCATAGTACCCAACAGGAGAACCACGGGAACCACGAAATAGCTGCAACCTCCTGTGCTCATTGAGATTGATAATGGCTGTCGCTTTGTTTTGTTGTTATTTTGTGGACGTAACTACAAGCGTAACCCTGTCATAATTCCCGAACCCGAAGAACAACGGGAGCATTGCTGAACACCAAAACGCGAATTGAAGCGCGCTCACGTAACAAGTAGCACGCCACTTGTTCATCGTCATAATCTTCCATTTCGTCGTGGTGCTGGTGGTGAGGATCCACTGGTATTCTTTGATGGAGCTCGACGCGTGTTTGAGACAGCATAGGCATGATTTCTTCTGTGAGGATTCTTGCAACGGGAAAGAAAAGAGAATCGCAACGGGGTGGTCGTGGTGGTGGTAACGGTGGATAGTGAGTCAGTGGAAGGAATTAAAAAGTAGCTGCAGTAAGCAGGTAGCGAAAACCTTCTACAAGAGGACAACCAACTGCTCGAGCGACTGCGAAGATGCTACTTCAACGATCCGACAAGCGAGGCGTTAAAGCAAAAAAATGAAAATTAACATCCATCGCGATCGCCCGTCAAATTTTGTATTTTTTTACATCAAAAAAGTAGCGCAACCACTCAAAATTCTTGCTAGTTTCAAATTCGACAAAACCTACAAATGACAGAAAAAAAAGCACGGTAGTGAAAAGTGTATTCCATCTTGGGTAGAATCAGTCGGTGGGTAGGCAACTTGTCAACACAAGGCGAGGGATTAGGGCAAAAAAATGACGGGAAATAATAGCGTAGGAGCTCTTCTAGGTGGAAGGTAATACGCAATGGTGCCGCGATCACTGCAGCTGCAAAGCGTAAACTCTACTTTGCCGCCGTCGTGTTCTACTCCGCAGCACTTCTTCCACATCGTAAACAGGACGCAATGCATCTGCAACAAAAGAGAAAGGGAATCTATTACCATATCAGCGTGGCATCAACAACGAAAAAATTGTATTAAATTATAATCACAGTTCGTGAAGATAAGGCTTGTATCTGCTTTGTGAATCTTTCTGAGCTGAGGAAAGGAAACCGAGCTCCTCCTTCTTAATTTTGTCAGCGGATGAAAAAAAGTTGTGACCTGCTAAATTAGGTCGTTGATTGAGCATGATACAAGAGTAGGCCGGTTGAACGGTTCAATTGAATTCTATTCTTTTTCTTTATTCGAAGCAAGCGTGTTGAAAAAGCAATGGCAGTTAGTTCGGGTCCTTCGACCAAAAGTTTCAAAAATTCAAATTAATATCGCAAGCACGATTGGCCAGTGCTCGCTGCGCAAGTACTTACAAGATAACGCCGAGTCGTTTGTTCCAGGAACCTCTTAAAAAAAGAGGACGTTCTTCCCCCCTACAGTTTCGATTTCAGCGCGAACGCGGCTCCCGGCTGGACCGTGGAAGTGGACCCAGCAGTTGTCCCCGGTTGCAGTTTGTCATGCGAGTGTTCCATAAACTGGCTCATCGGCTCGAGGTGAAACGTATGCATTCGCAAAAGTATCGTACTAGTATAAATTGCATCACAAACTTTTTCAAGAAGAAAAATGCATTTTGTAATGCTGTTTTACCGTAGGAGGAAGATTTGTCATGTATGTTTGCAACGAGTAGGTACGAGTACGATACTTTTGCACAGGATAAAACGCCTCTGCATCGTCCAGCAGCACTGCGAACAGATCGCCAGAAAGGATGCTGTTGTAGATCAAATCGCACTCCGGCACGAGGTACCGGTCGTTCTTCATTTCCGGAAACAATTTCGTGACGTAGTCAAACACCTTCTGCACGTTTTTCGGCAGGAACTGGTGTTGCTGATTGATTTTTCCTGGAATCGACGATGACGTAACTACCGTGCTGTGGCTGTCCCCTTCCTTCTTCTTCAGAATGTACAGTGCCTGCGTGGCCGCCATGATTTCGATGGCCAGGCACCGCGCGACATTCTTGGTCACGGTCACCGCTTTCCGCGCCGACATGCCGCCCATGGAAACGTGGTCCTCCTTGTCACCACACGTCGACAAGGAATCGACAGACGACGGGTGGCACAAAACCTTGTTCTCGGAAACCAGAGCGGCCGAAACGTTTTCCCAGGTCATGAACCCGGACGAGAGACCCGCGGACGTGGAGAGGATATGAATTGCAAAACCAAAAGTATCGCACTCGTATAAATGCATTACAAATTTCCTCAGCATGAGAAATAAAATTTGTAATGCTGAATAACCTTAAGGAGAAGATTTGCAATGCAGGATTGCAATACGAGTACGATACTTTTGCACAGGATAGAGGAAGGTGGGCAACATGTCGTAGTTTTTGTGCGGATTCAGCAACCGCATCAGCCGGGAGTACGAAATCGACGCGAGTTCGTGCACGTAAATTGAGAGACAGTCCAGCGACTTGGCCGGGTATTCTGCGTGGAAGTTTCCGCCGGACAGCATGCGCTTGGTGTCCCCGAAGATCAGCGGGTTGTCGGTCGCGGAATTGATTTCGATCTCGAATTCGTCCTTGCACCGCACCACCGCTTCCAGGACGCAGCCGTGCACCTGGGGCAAACAGCGGAGGGAATACGGGTCCTGGCAGTCGAATTTCCGACTTTGGATGGATCCCACGGGCACCAAGGCTCGCATGATTTCCGCAGAGGCAATCTGTCCCGGATGCGGGCGCACGTGGGCGACCTGGGCGTCGTAGGCTTCGGGATGCCCACCGAGCGCAACCAGCGTCATGGCTGCGGCAATGTGCGAGATGCGGATAAGATGGATCGCGTTCGCAACTGCTTCTGCGCCAACTCCGCAGATGAATTGGGTACCTGTAGTGAAATTTTATTCTGTTCTGAAACGACACTTTTATGCAACAGCAAGTAGAAGAAGAAGTACACGGTGTCGATAGCACGACCACATGTTTCAAAGAATAAGAAATAAGAGGCGCTACATGAAATGAAATATTGTATCCGTGTATCAAAAGTGTATGCACTCCTTACCGTTAATCAACGCTAGCCCATCCTTTGCCTTCAACGTCGCCGGCGTCAATCCGAACTTCTCGAACAGGCCCCGATCGCAGGGCTTCAACTCGTACACCTGTTTCGTCGAGCTGCTCATGCCACTACCACCACCTACTCGGGAGCAGGACGACGTTGGCACGAAGCACTGTCCCTCGCAGATCACGTTCAGCGCAATGTGCGCTAACGGGACCAAGTCCCCGCTAGCATATTGCAAGGAAAAGGCCCCCCCTCCTCATATCGAAAACGTATCTTCTAAAAAGTTGTGATGCAGATTTGTGGCCACAAATCCTGTCTGTCTTGCTAGGAGGAAAATCCGGGCACTCTGCTACGCTATGCAGGCGATTTGTAATGCTGTAAAGACTCCAGGGCAGCAGGCTGCCATGCTAGGCGCCTACACCAAAAATCCCGTATCTAGGCTTGCGATCTGCGTGCAGTCCTCTACTGCAAGACAAATCTGATTTGTGTACGGAAATCCAGCATCACAGATTTCCTTTTCGATATGGGGAGGGGTGATTTTTTCTTTTGATATGGCACCGACGGTTCCTTGCTCGCGGATGTAGGGGATCAGGCCCGAGTTGAAGAATTCCACCAGTTGCTTAAAAGTTTTCTCCGAAATTCCGCTGCAGCCTTTCAACAAGGTGTTAATCCGCAGCGCCATCACCCGCTTCGCGGTTTGGTGGTTTAACGGTTTTCCGACCCCGGTCGCGTGACTCCGGATCAGGTTGACTTGCAGCTCCTGCAGCTTCGCTTCCTCGATGCCCACGTTGGATAACCGTCCAAACCCCGTGTTGATCCCGTAGACCACCTTCTTCGAGTCCAGCTGCGTGTCAATCACCGCGCGCGACTGCAGCAGGCGGGCAAACGCGGACGTGCAGACCTTGATTTTGGTGTTCGGAAGACCTAGGAGCATCAGTTCGTGCAGTATCCAGGAAAAAGCACCAATCCACATCCAATTTGTCATGCGAAACATGTACATGTATGAAGTCCTGTGTTTGTCATGCATGAAATCAATGGGGACGCTTGTTTTATCTTCCTGGATAGGCAGCGTCAACGATTCCCCGTCCAGCTGGATTTCGATCTGCTTTGTGTTGTAGTTATTTTCCAGCAAACCACTGCTTGAACCAGACGAAGAGGCCGACCCACCTGTCGTGCTTGTTGTAATGCTGACTCGCGAAGACGAGGACCCTGCGTTACTTTGTCCATTCTGGCCGTTGGCAATGATTTCGTGGTCTACGCTGACGCTGGTGCGGTTGAACGGCAGATGACTGTCGTCGACCGAAGCCGTCGACGCCAATGCCGCAGCGAACGACGGTGACGGTGCGGTTCCTGCGCAAGTTGGGAAAAGCAGCTCCCGACAGCTGGTGGTCGTGGTTTTGCGCAGGGCGTTTGGCTCCACCATTATTTCTTTTTTGCTTGAAAACGTGTAATGCCGTCAAAAGTTGTAACTCAGATCCTGTGGTCTCAAGAACCTCTACTGAAGGATCGCGATTTTCAAAAAGGGAAAAATAAAAAAAAAGAATAGTTTTGTGATAGATGTAGCAGGACCTACTGTGTCGATTTATGGGACTACCACCACGTCGACCATGTAAGCTGTTCTCGAGTGCAGCTGGGGTCGCAGTATCCTTTGAGGTACAGCAGAAATGTTATCTGTAGCAAGAGTAGAAGTTCAAGGAAGAACCGTAATTTGTTCATCAGCGATGAATCTTCTACTTAAAGTACGAAACTATAACTAGTATTCTATACGGGATCGACTTAATCGATACTGGAGTAGTAAAAGTCAACTGAGATGACTCATCAAAGTTGCTGACAATGAAAGAATGGTATCTCACCCAAAATTTTTTTCTTTATTTACAGTCGCCGCGCATAAAATATTTGATTTTTTCTAGTGTCGGTAGAAAAAATCAAAAATATGTAGAGAAAATCATAACGAGAAGAAAAGAGAAAAAAGAAGAGAAAGGATACAAAGAGAAAATCAAACGAGAAAACACAAAGACGACGATTTTTCTCACAAGAAGCACACGCCTCGTTTTGATTTTTTCTACAGCTGTAGAAAAAATCAAAACGAGGCGCGTGCTTCTTGTGAGAAAAATCGTCGTCTTTGTGTTTTCTCGTTTGATTTTCTCTTTGTATCCTTTCTCTTCTTTTTTCTCTTTTCTTCTCGTTATGATTTTCTCTACATATTTTTGATTTTTTCTACCGACACTAGAAAAAATCAAATATTTTATGCGAGGCGACTGT